TATTATTGATGAACAAACAAAAGTATGGTGTCGAAAATGAGTAAATTTTCTCTAGTGACCAAACACAACAACATGTTGAATTGATCTATATAGAATCACATACAATCCAAAAAATGACTAATAAAATCCTCAATTAGCAACCAGAATCGAGGCTATTGATTTGAGAGGGAGTTTGTTTGTTTGTTTGTTTGTTTGTCTGTTTGTTTTTTTTTTGGGTGGTGCAGCTGTTGCTTTAAAGGGAAGTTTGCCATTACCTAACCAAAAAAGGGGAGTAAACATTATGACTTCAATTTTTACTTACATATTGTATTTTCAGTCATACATGTTTTCCACTAGTTATTTTTGGTTTAGTGGTGCCAAATTTAGGTTACCTTCTCTATTTCAAGTGGTCATGTTTTTATTTTTATTTTTAAAATTTTTATTTTTTTGGTTAGGAATTCCTTTCATTCACTTTTAAGTCGTTTACCACATTGTTAGGACTAACTTATGTAATTGGAGTTTTTGCATAGGAAATGCCAAATGGGGAGATTGTTAAGACCAATTTTTGATACGTGGCGCTGGAGGGTCCTCTTTTACTAAAAAGAAAATAGTACAGTCGAATGGCTATACTCCGTGTTTTATTTATTTTTTTTTAAAATAAACTAGTTTTGACACGTGGCGGCTAATCGGTGGGGTCCTTTTCTATATTAAAAATAGTTTCGCCACACAGCTATACTATTTTACACGTCGGCGCCAAAGAATTGTACGTCTGTTGTCTTTTTATTTTATTTTTCAAGTATAGCCGTACGGGTATACTATTTTACACGTGGACGCCAAAGGACTGCGCGTCTGTTCTCTTTTATTTTTATTTTTTATATAGTTAATATTATAGCCGTTTGGCTATACTCGATTTTTTTCAAATGTTTTTTGGAAAATAGTATAGCCGGGCGGCTTTACTGGTTTTTTTTTTTAATATAAAAAAATGGTCCTCAATAAATAGTGTAAACTAGTGGCTATAGTCTTTTATATATATACTGGGATCCTTTTTTTCTTTTAATTTTTTCCTCGATTTTCGTTTATCGATAAGAGTAGTTATCTACTTTGGATATGTTGAAACTAGCAAATTAATATGTATAAAGTACAAACTAATGCAATTAGGAGGGTCCTTTTTTCTTTATTTTTTTTAATTAAATAATATAGCCGTGCGGCTATACCGTTTGAACATAATATAGTATAGCCGGGCGGCTATACTACGATTTTAATAAAAAAAAATTTAGATTTGACACTTGGCCATAGAGGGTCCTTTTTATTTATTTATTTTAATAAACAAAAGTACAGCCGCACGGATATAGTCCGTGTTTTTTTATTTTTTATTTTATTTTAAATAGACTAGTTTTGACACGCGGCGACTACTCGGTGTGGGTCCTTTTTTATATTTTAAAATAGTTTCGCCGCACGGCTATACTATTTTACACGTCGGCACCAAAGAATTGTGCGTCCGTTCTCTTTTTAATTTTATTTAATTTTATGTTTTTAAAAAACAATAGTATAGCAGGTCGGCTTTACCTTTTTTTTAAAAAAAATTTTCTTCAATAAATAGTATAGACGAGTGGCTATAGTCTTTTATATATATACTAGGATCCTTTTTTTCTTTTAATTTTTTTCCCTGATTTTTGTTTATCGATAAGAGTAGTTATCCATTACTATTAGGCCATTACCCGAGTCTCTATTGTTCCCATTTAATTTTTTACTTTTCCAGAGTTATTACCCGTATACAGAATTTAGTACTTTCACATTTAATACTCTATTATACACGTACGTATGTATTTTTCAATAATACATTCGTGTTCTATACATGTCTCACGTTTTTTAAAATGGAAATGTGGAATAGTCGTATTGTACATGTACATACGTATTTGTAATGTTTAATACACGTATTTTTTTTTACAAAATTTACAATAAGACAAAAAATTTACGTATTATACAAATAATTCTCACACACTATTGAATAAGAATGATACATATTATAAAAATTATATTACAATATTATATAGTGGCCACTTAATATCTAATTTGGATATGTTGAAACTAGCAAATTAATATGTATAAAGTACAAACTAATGCAATTAGGAGGGTCCTTTTTTCTTAAATAGTATAGCTGCGTGGCTATACCTTTTGAATATAATGTATTTAAATGGTAGAGCCGGGCGGCTATACATATTTTTGACACGACACATGGCGCTAGACGGTGCTCTTTTTAAAACAATAGTATAGCCGCACGGCTATAGTCTTTTTTTTTTTTTTTTTTTTATTTAAAAAAAAAACAGAACTAGTTTTGACACGTGGCGGCTAATCGGTGGTGTCCTTTTTTATATTTAAAGTAGTATAGCCGCGCGTCAATACTCAGTTTTTTTAATTTTTCAAGTATAGCCGAACGACTACACTATTTTACACGTGGGCTCTGTGCGTTTGTTCTCTTTTATTTAATTATTTATTATTTAAATATAGTAAATAGTATAGCCGTGCGGCTATACTTGATTTTTTAAATGTTTTTTTAAAAAAACATAAACAAAAATTGTCTTCAATAAAGAGTTATTACCCGTGTAAAGAATTTAGTAATTTCACGTTTAATACTCTATTATATATGTACATATATATTTTTTAATAGTGCATTCGTGTTCTACACACGTCTCACGTTTTTTAAGAAGGAAATGTGGAATAGTCTTATTGTACATGTACATATGTATTTCTAATATTTAATACGTGTATTTCTTACAAAATTTGCAGTAAGACACACAAAATTCACGTATTATACAAATAATTCTCACATACTATTGAATAAGAATAATATATGTTATAAAAATAATATTACAATATTATATAGTGGCCAATGAATATCTACTTAAGATATGTTGAAACTAGCAAATTAATATTAGGAGCAGTATTACAGTTGTCCATAAATAAATAAATATTTAAATAACTACCTTCAACCCTTTTGAATATTAAAACAAAGTTATATATCACAACTAAAAACAATTCAATCGGAGTGTGTGCCAAAGAACTAGTGATAATTATAGTATTAGTGAAGTTTTGCAGCTTAAGTATCATCTATCAACAAACAATCAGTGAGTGCGTAAACCTCTAGAGAAACTCTAGCCCTCTCTCTCCTAAAAAACACTCTTACATCCATTTTCACTTTGAGCGGGAGGAAGCCACTGTTCTTCCTCCCCTCCCCTCTCCCCTATTCTCTTCCTCCTTTATCCTCTTCCTTCATTTGCAGAGATAGAATGCTTCCTCTATTTGTCTTTGTTTTGTTATGATTTTCATCCAACCATCACAGGTAGTTACATCTCATTGTTAGATCTCCACATGCATTTCGGCATCGGATCTCCACTACCATCCTTTTTGTGGTTTCTTTATTTTTAGAATAAGTCACAAAGGCTCTTTGAGTTCTCTATGTAGTTTTCATCTCTCCTTTTGTGAGAGTTTTCCACCTCCCCTTTGTGAAAGCTTTTCCTCACTTTAGGCCCCCCTTCTCTGCCCTCACGGTTTTGTTTCTGGGAACTCACGAGTAACTTCGCAGCGGGTCACCCATCTTGGGATTGCTCTAGCCCCAACTTGCTTAACTTCGGAGTTCCCATGAATCACATACAATCCAAAAAATGACTAAAATCATCAATTGGCAACCAGAACTGTGGCTATTAATTTGAGGGGGTGTTTTTTTTTTTTTTGTTTTTTTTTTTTTTTTTGTTTTTTAGTTTTTTTTAGTTTTTTTGGTTGTAGCTGTTGCTTTCTAGAAAGGGGGAGTAAACATTATGACTTCAATTTTTACTTACATATTGTATTTTCAATCATACATGCTTTCCACTTGTTATTTTTGGTTTAGTGGTGCAGAATTCAAGTTACCTTCTCTATCACAAGTAGTCATGTTTTTTGTTGTTAGGAATTATTTTCATTCACTTGTAATTCGTATAGGAGGACATTGTTAGGACCAACTTTTGTAATTCGAGTTTTTATATAGGAAATGTCAAAAGGGAAGATTGTTAGGACCAATTTTTGTATGTTGGCAATTTCCTGCTACAAAAACATAGAGTAGGTCTTTGAGTGTAACTTATAGTTTTTAAGTGACATTCTGCAATCCTAGATCAGTGTGGCTTAGAGACAATGCCAAGGTATGTTTGCATCCATGCATTCATATTTGCACATTTGAAAGTTCATCAAAAGTGGTTGTCATATGTATAGGGTTGATATAAGGTTTAGGGCCAGCCATTAGTGAGTTTTTAACGATGGTTTAGTACGATTTAGTTGGTGTTTATTTATGCACAACTTTGTGTTGATAAAAGGGTTCTTTTGCCTTTTCAGCTGAGTATTTATTTAAGTGACTTTATTTGTTTTAAAGAATGACTATTTGTGCAAAAGCCCATTTTTACTTAAGGCCTTTTTATATTTGTCCTAGTTTTGGGGTGAGGGTATTTTTATTTTTCTTTATTTTTTTTCTTCTTTCACATTTTTTCCCTTCCTAATTTCAGTGGATTGGTTTCCGTAGTTACACAGTACTTGACAGAACATAATGTAAGATATGTTAGCAAGATCCTAACTTAATTAGGAAATTTATTTCCTAGTCTATTAGGACTCTATTTCTTTCCCTTTTGTACAGATATTGTGTAATTAGGATTTTATCTTATTTCCTTGTATAACCCTACTAGGGTTACAACCTTGTATTATAAAATACCTTCTTTTGGAGAATGAAATATATCTGAAAATATTCTACCCATATTGTTTGACTTGGTATCAGAGATAGGTTTCTGTTGACTTGTGTGTTGTGCCCACCCGTGTTCTAGCCCCATTTTTTTTTCTTCTACCTGTGCCATGTGTGCCCTCTTAGGTTTGTGTGTTGTGTTATAGTTTTCGTGCCTCTACTGTGTTCGTGTCATTCCCGTCTTCGTGTATCAGCCTTATTTGTGCCTCTGCTGTGTTCCGTTGTGTACTATGTCGTGATCTATTGAGTTTATGTTGCAATCATGGGTGATAACTCCATTGTTGGTGCTGTTGCTGTTGCTTCTGCAAATTTGTGTGTTTCTGACTATATTCCAAGTACTGGCTCCAATACTTGGGTACATGTCACCAATAAACATGATGTTGCTTTCATCATTCCAGAGTTTTGTACTATGATGTCTACTTAGTTTCAGGCTCAGGTCAAGGTATTTCAGACTGATAATGAAGGAGAATATGTGAATAATACTTTGGCTTATTTCTTCCGTGCTCAAGGTATTATTCACCAAACAACAACCCCTTATCCCTCAACAAATGGTTTGTCTGAAAGAAAGAACCGACAATTGCTTGAAGTTGCCCACTCACTCATATTGGATATGTCTGTTCCCCGTCATCTTTAGGGGCATGTTGTTCTGTCTACTACCTATTTGATTAATCGTACTCCTAGTCGGGTTCTTGATTTCAAGACTCTGCATGATGTGTTTGGTGAACATGTTTCCCCTGTCTCCGTCTCCAAGTTGCCCCTTAAAGTTTTTGGGTGTGTTGCCTATGTTCATGTCTACTCTCATCAACGGAGTAAACTTGATTCTTGTGCTCTACGGTGTGTATTTATTGGCTACACTTCTACTCAGAAGGATTATAAGTGTTATCATCCACTTACCCAGAAGGTGTATGTTACTTTGGACGTGACTTTCCATGAAGAAGTGCCTTATTATGTTTTTCCCTCCTCTCCAATTCAGGGGGAGAGGGGGAGTGAATTGAAGAGTCTTGGATTAGAGAATCTTGGACTTGAATTGGAGAATGATGTGTTTGAAGATACTGCTCTCGGGAAGAAAACAACCAGTTGCACTGAAGCAAGCGACTGGTCGCCTATATTTGAAAATGAAACATGTGGTCTCTGTGAAGAAACGACAGATCGCCCTTTGAAACTCGATCGATAGCCCATATCTGGAGATGAAGCACGTGTTCTTGATGAAACGACCGATCACACTGATGTAAGCGACTGGTCGCCTGTATCTGAAAGTAGTGACAGTGATTCTTGTATGGATGAGCTCAATGCAATACCCCCATTTGCCCTACCAGTACCCCAATCTACTCACGATAGTGAATCAAGTGAGTTAATTTCTGATGATCTATCTGTGTCAACTTATCATTTACTCTCATGAATCACTCGTGAGAAATCTAAAGTACAATATTCTCTTGATATACATATCAAGTCTAAATATCTGATTAGCCATTATGTGTCAACTCATCATTTGTCTAAGTTATATACATCATATTTGTGTCAATTATCTAGTGTATGTGTGCCAAGTAAGTTACATAATGCTCTTTTTTGACCCCAAATGGGTAGATGCTATGAATGTTGAAATGAAAGCTTTGAACAAGAATGAAACTTGGGATTTAGTCCATTTACTAAGAGGGAATAAAGCTGTTGGGTGCAGATGGGTGTTTATTTTGAAGCATAAAGCTAATGGTTCTATTGACCGTTACAAGACTAGATTGGTAGCAAAAGGTTATACTCAGACTTATGGAGTGGATTATTTGGAGACCTTTGCTCCAATAGCAAAGCTTAATACTGTGAATGTGCTCTTGTCCCTGGTTGCTAATCGTGACTAGCCCTTGTTACAGTTTGATGTAAAGAATGCGTTCCTACATGGTGACCTCAAGGAAGAATATACATGGATCTTTCTCCTGGTATTCTTGTGACCTCTAAGGAGGGTGTGGTGTGTAAGCTGCAGAAATCCTTGTAAGGGTTAAAGCAGTCTCCAAGAGCGTGGTTTGGAAGCTTTGCAACATCTATGAAGAAATTTGGGTATGTGCAGAGTAACTGAGATCATACTTTGTTTCTAAAGCGTCATGAAGGTAAATTAACAGTCTTAATTATTTATATTGATGATATGAGTGTAACTGGAAATGATCAAGTAGAAATGCAAAATCTTCAAAAATATCTGGCTTTCAAGTTTGAGATGAAATCATTAGGTGATTTAAAGTACTTTCTTGGAATTGAAGTTGCCATATCTAAACATGGTAGCTTTATATCCCAAAGAAAGTATGTTTTGGATTTACTTGCAGAAACTGGAATGTTAGATTGTAAACCAATTGATACACATAGTGAATAGAATCATAAGTTGGGGTTGTATCCTGATCAAGTCCCTACTGATAAAGAGCATTATGAACGACTTGTGAGGAAATTGATTTATTTAGCTCATACACGTCCTGATATTGCATATGCAGTGAGTGTAGTGAGTCAATTTATGCATTCTCTTAGTGAAGATCATATGGGTGATGTGATACATATTTTGATGTATCTGAAAGTAACCCATGGCAAGGGGTTAATGTTCTCCAAGTATGGTCATACAGATGTGGAAGGGTATACGGATGCTGATTGAGTTGGTTCAGTAATTGATAAACGTTCTACGTCTAGGTATTTCACATTTGTTGGTGGTAATCTTATTACTTGGAGGAGTAAAAAGCAAAAAGTGGTGTCTCGGTCTCGTGCTGAAGCCGAGTATCATGGAATGGCTCAAGGTGTGTGCAACTTACTGTGGTTGAGGAGATTGTTGAGAGATCTTGGGTTTGCGCCCCAAAAACCCATGGATTTGTATTGTTATAACAAAGCTGCAATTGCGATTGCTCATAACCCTGTGCAACATGATCGTACAAAGCACGTGGAGGTTGATCGACATTTTATTAAGGGAGTTTCACTAAAACACCCAAAATGGGGGCTGAAATTATTAAAAAACCCAACACCCAAAACATTTTATAAACACACCCAAAACCCATCATTACACACACTCAAAACCTATTTATAAATACACCCAAAAAATATACAATTGTTGATTTTTGGGTTGATTTTGGGTGTATTTCTATATTTAAATAGTGCTTGGGTTTTTTTATAAATACATGTCTAGGATTTGGTTTATTTATAAATTTGTATTTTATTAAAGGGAATGTGGATACTGAGATTGTTTCTTTTCCGTTTATATCATATGAGTATCAACTGGCAAATATACTTACGAAAGCTATGTCTACACTCGCTTAATAAGTTGGGCATGCATGACATCTTTGCTCTAACTTGAGAAGGAGTGTTAGCGAAATCCTAACTTAATTAGGAGATTTATTTCCTAGTATATTAGGACTCTATTTCTTTCCATTTTGTACAAATATTGTGTAATTAGGATTTTATCTTATTTACTTGTATAACCCTACTAAGGTTACAACCTTGTATTATAAAATACCTCCTTTTGGAAAATGAAACATATATGAAAACATTTTACCTATATTGTTTGACTAGATATTGGCAGCATGAAGTAGATTAGTTGTAATATTTTGTATTTGGTTGTTAATGCATAAATATGTTTTCAATAAGAGAATTGATTGGGTGATCAGTAATGTGATGTTGTTACCCCCTATCTGAGCTAAACAGAACACGTGTTTCATAATATGATATTAGTTTCAAAAGATCAGTGATTAACCCTTAAGGTAATTTATTTTGAACCAAAAAAATCTGATACTTTTTTCTTTATTGGGACTAAGAAAAAGGAATAGTCAGCTTAAAACTCAAATAAAAATTAAAGTAAAAAAGCTGCAAGTAAACTGTAAACAAACAAGAGACACCACTTATACAGTTTCCAACAACGTAATGGTAACAATTTCTCTCTCATTAGCTGTCCACATAGTGCAGAGAATACAAAAACTCTTGAGTTTCAACTTGATAAACATTGAAACTAATGAATAAACACTAAAAATATATGAGAAAAACAAGATTTCTTGAATTCTGATTATTCTGAAGCCTAGGTAGTCTGAGGTAGCTGCAATGAAGAAGGTTGCTGCTGCTGCTGTGGATCTTGAGGAGAGGCCAAGTCACCATCACAAAATTGGATAATGTCTTCCATCAAACCAATATCACCACCACCCAACAGCCAACTAAGATGATCAGAATTATTAGTATCCATCTGAGCTGGCTGCAACAAAGGCATCTGCTGCTCTTGTGATTCAAGAGGGAGAGGGGCCAAGTCACTATAAAAAAATTGGATATAATCTTCCATCAAACCATTATCATTATGATCATCCAATAGCCAACTCACATAATCATCAATGCTGCTCATGGTTGGTGCATCAACAGCTATATGAAGATCATCCAAAAATAGAAAACATCCGAATTTGTGGTGCAATAATCTTCTTGTTGGTGATGAGGAACTTGATCAACAAGCAACATTGATTGTTGTTGATCTGGTGGATCTGGTAGCACACTAGTCCCCATGATATTCTCGTAGAATTCCATGAAACTGCAGGTACTAGTTGTTCTAGTTTTGGTACCACCATCCCTCATCATCACAACTCCAATTCTCTCATTCAAACCCGCTAACATGGTGTCCAAGAAACTGTAATCAGTTTGATAGTGCATCTGCTACCATATATGCTTATTGATAAATATGACCAATTCAAACTTCTTGAAGTAATTCATATCCACTAGTGTCCACTATAATAATGTACAGAGTGATTAAAGATGGATTAGCCATATTTTTTTGTGTGCCTTTCCAATTGTCATCATTATTTGGAGTGATGGAGTGAGAAAGTGAAAAGGCATATTTCTTTTCCCTACTCTCATAAAAAAACAGGCTTTTACAAAGAGACAACTACTAACATGTGAGAAATGGACCCCCCCAACAATAGTTTGCCACCGCAAATCCGAGGACCGCCCCCTACCCAATGGTTTGCCATCGCAAATCTGAGGAGCGCTCCCTACCCAATAGTTTGCCATCACAAATCTGAGGACTGCCCCCTACCCAATGGTTTGCCATCGCAAATCTGAGGACCGCTCCCTACCCAATAGTTTGCCATCACAAATCTGACTGCGCCCCCCACACCCCCCCCCCTTGCCATCACAAATCTGAGGACTGCCCCCTACCCAATGGTTTGCCATCACAAATCTGAGGACTGCCCCCTACCCCCATCACAAATCTGCCCCCAATACTTTGCCACCACATAATTTTATGAGGACCACGTCCGTCATGCATTCAATTATTTCACACAAATTATACATGACAAAAATCAATGTGCAAAGGATTTTTAAGATCAATTGAGACCACCTTAAAAGTGGTGGCTTGTGCAATTGACGGCAAGTGCAGGTCCCACTTAATTAATGATTTTATTTATTGGATCAGTATTTTTCTGTTAAATTTTTTATTTTGCCACCACAAATCTGAGGACAGCGTGCGTCATGCATTCAATTATTTCATGCAAATTATACACGACAAAAATCAATGTGCAAATGATTTATAATTTAAGTGGTTAAGATCAATTGAGACCACCTTAAAAGTGGTGGCTTGTGCAATTGATAGCAAGTGCGGCTCCCACTTAATTAATGATTTTATTTATTGGATCAGTATTTTTCTGTTAAATTATTTATAAGAAAAAAGAAGCCTGTTGCATTATAAAAAGGGGAAGAGGGCTTAGTGTACATATTGTCAATGTAAACTAGAATCTGAAAGTAAAGCACAATGGTTGAAACCCGTCCAAGACTTCTTGTTAAGTATATGCTCCTGAGTTTCCTCCTTTGGCAGCTTGTTTTTAGGCATGGATCTTCCGATACAATTACTTTGTTGGATCCTAACGAAGGTATACGACTGTTTTGTTTCTCATCCCTCTCTCTTTTTATTCACATTTCTCTCATTTTGAATTAATAAATATTTTGTTATGAGAGCTAATTAAGAACGAAAAATATGCTCGAGTATTCAGCCCAAATTCAACAAAAAATTGAAAGATGTGACACATATTCAAAAATTGAAAGATATGATATATTTATTGTTGTTTATGCTATTCTCGTATTGAAGTACTAAACACATTTTCATTATTTTTGTTTTTTGAATATATTTTCTAACTAAGTTACTAGAGGTATTCTCAAATCTTGAAAATGCAAATACGTTTCTCGTTTTCATTTTTCAAAAATGTATTGCTAAAATGTTACCAAACGGATTCTTATTTTGCTAATAATAAATACATGCACGTGGACTCATTTTAGTTTTGGTTTATTTCACAATCCTTGACGCTACAGCTCGAGTTTGAGATATTAACATTCAATAACTCTCTCTCTCTCTCCCTCTCTCGCAGAAGACATCCTCAATTTGATGGTAAATAAGTTACAGTATAACAGGCCATTATACTTGAATGGCTCAAATTGCAATTATCCAGACTCAGATACTAACGATTTGAAGATGAGGTGCACCGAGGACTGTGTACATGACAAAAACAGATATTTCCATGTCAAGGAGTTGTAAGTCACAACAAAATTAATACTATATATATATATATATATATATATATATAGAGCACTCGCTCGGGCTCCTTTAACAATGTCATTTGTCTAACTTTAATTCTAACAATAATTTTTCTCAAATGATTTGTGTTGCAGTTCCTTTACAGGCGCCGCTTTAACTGGTTCTATACCTGAAGAAGTGGAGAACCTTACGCATTTGGAGACGCTGTAATTATTTTCTATCGTTATTCCAACAGTTAAAATCTATATATCTATATATATAAAGCAAAAGGTGGAGAATGGTGAAACATTCAAAATACCAAAAAATGTCATGGGTTAATACAAACATTAAAAATTAAAATTATTAATTAAATGAGAATAATATGGTAAAAAGATCCGAAAGGTTCTAGAAGAATTGTTGAAAATACTAATGCTCATTTGTGACAAAAAGATCCGAAAGGTTCTAGAAGAATCATTAATATTACTAACTTGGTAGAAGAGCCTAAACTATTGGAGATTCTTACATGTCGGCAAAACCAATGTGAACTTCGGAGAATTATCTAGAGAAAGCCACACACTTGTGGCTGGAGTTAATAGACTAAGTCGGTGGAAAATGTCTATGTCGGCTACTCTCATCTATAAAAGGACTTGTAGCCTGCCAAAGCAATTTGGAGTGAAACAAAAACACTCCCAAACTAAGGGAGCCAAGAGCTACCCAAATCAAACTATGCTGAGAGCCAATAACATGTGAGAAAATCCTCCCCCCCCCCCCCCCCCCCACCCAAAATTTGCCACCACAACCCCCAACAATAGTTTGCCACCACAAATCTGAGAAACCCCGCGCCCCCTCCCCCCAATAGTTTGCCATCACAAATCTGAGGACCGCCCCCCCCCAATAGTTTTGCCACCACAAACGCGGTCCTGCATTCAATTATTTCATGCAAATTATACACGACAAAAATCAATGTGCAAAGGATTTATAATTTAAGTGGTTAAGATCAATTGAGACCACCTTAAAAGTGGTGGCTTGTGCAATTGACAGCAAGTGTGGCTCCCACTTAATTAATGATTTTATTTATTGGATCAGTATTTTTCTGTTAAATTATTTATAAGAAAAAAGAAGCCTGTTGCATTATAAAAAGGGGAAGAGGGCTTAGTGTACATATTGTCAATGTAAACTAGAATCTGAAAGTAAAGCACACAATGGTTGAAACCCGTCCAAGACTTCTTGTTAAGTATATGCTCCTGAGTTTCCTCCTTTGGCAGCTTGTTTTTAGGCATGGATCTTCCGATACAATTACTTTGTTGGATCCTAACGAAGGTATACGACTGTTTTGTTTCTCATCCCTCTCTCTTTTTATTCACATTTCTCTCATTTTGAATTAATAAATATTTTGTTATGAGAGCTAATTAAGAACGAAAAATATGCTCGAGTATTCAGCCCAAATTCAACAAAAAATTGAAAGATGTGACATATTCAAAAATTGAAAGATATGATATATTTATTGTTGTTTATGCTATTCTCGTATTGAAGTACTAAACACATTTTCATTATTTTTGTTTTTTGAATATATTTTCTAACTAAGTTACTAGAGGCATTCTCAGATCTTGAAAATGCAAATATGTTTCTCGTTTTCATTTTTCGAAAATGTATTGCTAAAATGTTACCAAACGGATTCTTATTTTGCTAATAATAAATACATGCACGTGGACTCATTTTAGTTTTGGTTGATTTCACAATACTTGACGCTACAGCTCGAGTTTGAGATAATAACATTCAATAACTCTCTCTCTCTCTCCCTCTCTCGCAGAAGACGTCCTCAATTTGATGGTAAATAAGTTACAGTATAACAGGCCATTACACTTGAATGGCTCAAGTTGCAATTATCCAGACTCAGATACTAACAATTTGAAGATCAAGTGCACCGAGGACTGTGTACATGACAAAAACAGATATTGCCATGTCAAGGAGTTGTAAGTCACAACAAAATTAATACTATATATATATAGAGCACTCGTTCGGGCTCCTTTAACAATGTCATTTGTCTAACTTTTAATTCTAACAATAATTTTTCTCAAATGATTTGTGTTGCAGTTCCTTTACAGGCGCCGCTTTAACTGGTTCTATACCTGAAGAAGTGGAGAACCTTACGCATTTGGAGACGCTGTAATTATTTTCTATCGTTATTCCAACAGTTAAAATCTATATATCTATATATATAAAACAAAAGGCGGAGTATGGTGAAACATTCAAAATACCAAAAAATGTCCTGGGTTAATGCAAACATTAAAAATTAAAATTATTAATTAAATGAGGATAATATGGTAAATTCACACTTTTCATATTAAGAAGTGGAGGAGCTTGAGCATTTGGAGTAGCTGTAATTATTTCATATCATTATTCCAACAAGTTTATAAAAATTATTATAAAAAAAAAGGCGTTCAGAGAATTGAATAATATTTTTTTAAACATTCAGAAAACTTGTCTTTGCCAGTTCTTTTGGTGCGGGAGCTTTAGATATTTTACATCTTTCTTTTTGAAAAAAAGTCTTTCAACCGATCCCTTATATATTAATTGTCACGAAAAAGGGAAACCAAGCCACTAAATATATACAATTTAATTTCTTATTTATTAGTTGATTCTGTATACTTATAATGATTGATTATATGATGCCTCACTTAAACAGTGATTTATCCAGCAATGAGCTCACCGGTTCCATACCCGAGACCTTGTGGAATTTGTCATCCCTCATACAATTGTAAGTGTATATGCATAATAGAGATACGGACTTAAGGATTCACTTGAGGGCCAGAGCTTACCTCAAAACATATACATATTTATTGAATTTATATGAATGCATATTAATTAAGTTTTCATATATTCAGAGACCTTTCAAGAAATCAACTGACAGGAGGCATATCAGGGCGCATTGGACACTTGCGCAATCTTACTATTCTGTAAGTATATATTCAATATTGGTTTCTTTCTTTTTTCTTTTTTGCTTTGGTTACAAGGGAGACCAACAACTGCTATAACTCAAATCAATTGAGTGTGGGGATAAATTCTTTCCCAACTACTTCACAGCTCCTTTTCGGGTATTTAACCCTTAAATTTGAGATTTTCCCCAAATCTTTTTTTAATCAAATTAAAGCAGGTACCGTACACCAACAACTACTCTAACTCACATCACTACAACGAATCATAATTTCAAATAAAGCCGATAACTCAAAATAACCAAAAAGCATCTAGACTTTATATAAGTCAATGCAAAAGCTCTAACAGATCTGGAAAAACCACATTTCCAACGATCCAACTACGAATACCAATGAACAACTATGCCAATTGAACAAATATGACAAAAACCAAACTCCTTCAAATTCGAGGTAGAATTAAATTTAGAGAAGATGAGAATTCATACAAAGACAGTTTCAAAAATAATTTGATTAAGGAATTAACCCAAAAGAAGTTGTGGAGAACTTCAAACTGAATATGATTTAGAAGAAATCATTACAAAGGTTTCTTATTCAAAACGTCCGAATAGACTTATTTACTAACTCCTATTAAAAAACAAAAGTAAAGAAGAGGGGAGAAGGGAAGAGGGGCAGTGATGCTTCCTCTCCCCCTCTATTGAGTTTTGTTTCTTTAGGATTTCGAGAAAGCGTATCAAGGAATGTACAACAGCAACTGTTAAGTCAGACTTATACTTGTTTTGGTCATTGTAGTTTGTCTGTGAATTTCTGATAGGTGTGGAGTGTGGAATTGGCATGTGTACTTCCCCAAACGTTCTTTTTTCTGTTTTAAGGGAAAATCTATTGACAGAATTTAAGGTTCTTTTTACCAAAAAGAAGAGAAAAGAATTCAAGGTTTAAATACATCGGTTCAATTAACTTCGATGAATTTAAACATGGTTTTTTCCTCCTTTTTTCTTACATGGGCTGACTTTTTATCTAATCTTGAATTCTATATTGTAATTTGTATATATCTATATCTAATTTCAGTATTTCTTACAACTCGGCTTAACTCGACTTTAAGTTTACTCTGTTTCTACCCCTCTCTCCGACCTTTAACAAGGTAACATCTAATAATTTAGCTCCATTGTTTTCTGGCCAAAAAGCTATCTGGATCACAACTTCCTCACCGGACAGATACCATCATCTTTGGGTGCTCTGCGTTCTCTGCAAACGTTGTAAGTAAACTCTCTGCAACTTGTTTTCACCATTGCACTGAATTCTTCGACTTTTTTTTGACTTGATATGATCAGTTGGTTCCTTTGTATAACGTTTCAAATTCTTCTTTATAATCTGTGAGTTTTGCAGGTCTCTTCATTATAATAACTTGTCAGGTCCAATTCCCCGCCAATTAGGAAACATCACAGCCCTTCAAATATTGTAAGTTCTTTGCTCGCCTTTGTTGCACCTTATGAACTCTCTCTCTCTCTCTCTCTCTCCCCCCATCACACACACACATACAGCGAGAGAAATTATGTACATATATTCTAAAGGCTAAACTTTCTACTGAAAACAAACATCTGAATTCGTCTTCCTTTTTTTTTATGCTTTGAGAATTTTGGATCAGAATCGACTCTCTGGTCGTCTTCCACCCTCATTTAGTAATTTGAGCAATCTCCAATCCTTGTAAGCTTCTTTCAAACAAAGTTACATATATATATATATATATATATATCATGAGAAAAGAAGGAGAAAATTTTGGTACTTAAATCTCTACTGGGATCACATTGTTTTGTTCTCATGTTGTGGAAGCTGGGCGGCATCCAATGATCTCACTGGGGAGTTCCCGGATTATGGCAGTCTTAATCAGTTGCGCTTTTTGTAAGTGTTTCTCATTTAATAATGTCAAAGTCAAATTTGCTTACCAAGTGATGTGTTAGTTCGCATTTTATATCTTGTTGGAAATAAATGGGGTCAATAGTGGACTCAGATTTGAATAAATGAGACACGGCACATCATTTGAGGAACAAAATTTGGTAAAGGAATTTGGTGAGTGTAGCAGGAGTCTTCTTTATGTAATGTTCTTGATGCCTGCAATCTACCTTAAGGTGAATTTATTAATTTTTAAGAGACCCTAATTGGCCAATGCAGTTCAATATCTGGCAACTATATGTCTGGTCGCTTCCCAGCTGACTTCATCAGAAAATGGACCCAAATCTATTTCTGTAAGTTTTCCTTTACGTTACTGCACACAATTCGTAAATCTTTGGGAGAATAGATGTAAATGGTACCAAGAGCAAATTGAACATCTAGATTAAGCTTCTACTCTATGAAAGTTATCTCATAGAGACATCTGAATTTAGTACTACTCTGCACTGCTCACAGGTCAATTGTGGGAAACAATTTTGAAGGGAATCTACCTGCAGAAATTTTTAATTTCTCCAGTCTTCAGTATTTGTAAGTACACCGTCCCCTTCTGTTTCATTAACCCACTTTTTCACAAAAAGGGAAAAACAAAAAAACAAAAATCAGCAGCTCTGTTTTCGTGATGAATTTTTGGTGTCCATTTTGCAGAATGATCAGTGACGTAGCAAACTCTGGTTTCCAATTCCCACGATCTGCGAACCTGAGCAATATAAACATTCTGTAAATGGCTTTTATTGTTCCAATTCCCACGATCTGCTCATATGATTTATCCAATCACTCACCTCTTCTCATGGTTTCTATAGGATATTAAGGAACTGTTCCATCACCGGTGAAATCCCTGAATACATTGGTCAAATGTCAAATTTAACATACTTGTGAGTCTCTCTCTCTCTCTCTCTCTCTCTCTCTCTCCTCTCTCTCTCTCTCTCCACCTTCACGAGTCCCTAGATTAATGGTTTATGTTTATGCTTTTTATTGATTTGTTCAATTCCTGCTTTTGAATGTACTTTGATACAATGGATGTCACAGACTAGTTAACTAAGTTCCCAAGTTGTTAATGCCTCTATGTAACAGGGATTTGAGCTTTAACTATTTAACCGGACGAATCCCAGAGTCCATGAGTGGTTTAAATTTAACTCACTTGTAAGTGAATGATATTCGTGTGTTTTTGCTACACAAAAGACAACAGAACTCTTGTTGATGTTAGTACTCTATTATCAACTCTCTCCTCAGGTCCTTGGCAAAGAATAAACTTAATGACACAATCCCTGCTTGGGTTGGTGGTGCAGTCAAGACTAGATTGTAAGCTTCTATATTCAGAATCTTAAACTATGTACATATATTTTTATCTTCATGTATTGGTTGTCAAATAAATATTTATATGAATAATTGTTCTGAAATGATCATTCTACAAAAAGTTTCATACAGTAATTTAGATACTAAAAAACTTCTTTCATCAGACAGCTACTTAGATTTGACACCGGAATGCTTAATTGTAAGGGAAAGAAAAATCCTCATCTAAGCCACCTTCATTTTCTAGGAGCATATTATGTTCCCACATTCCATTAGCTATGAAATTTGACCATATGTCTTTTCAGGGATCTGTCGTACAATAACTTTTCCAAAGTTAGCTTCGTAGTGCCAGATGATAAGCGAGATCATCTGTAAGAATTGGCATTAATTTTCTTTTTCTATTGTTACCAATCTAGTTGCATGTGGAATTATGATGAGATCGTTTTCCATACATTTCAGGAACTTGTTTGCCTGCTGCAGCAGTTCAAGTTCAACCGATCCAGATCAACTATTTTTGTATGTTAATATTTTTATCTGTTCTAGTATAAGAAAACCCAAGAGCCATTTCTTACAAATTTGGTGGTTTATTCAGGGATCCAATGAAACGCATGCATATGCATTGTCCTGGACGAAAATCTAAATGTGAGTTTGGTTGGTTCTTCAGACATGTATACAACATTGTCCTGGCTTCTTCTGAGCCTTTCATTAATGAAAAATTCTTTGCTGAGTAATGCTCTCTGACCAAGAAGTCTGCTGTGTTATCTCTGGGAAGAAGTTTGTAATAGTTTTATTATTCTTCCAAGGGATGAATTTTGTAAATGGTTGGTCACATAAGCTTGATAAGAGAGTATGAGTATAATCTGAACTTTACCAATCTATAAGGATTCATAAACTGTCATTTTAGGTAAATTTTATTGTTCTTTCATTTTATTAACGTCTCATTTTCAGTAAGCTAAGTATATTTCAGTACCTCTTGTGCACTTTATTTTATCTAATCTATCCCTGTTGCAGATCGTTCCTCCTTGTTCATAAATTGTGGTGGTGAGGGATTAACTGTCGGTGACAATTATTATGAAGCAGATGAATCAACTTCACTCTATTATATTAGTCCATCCAAAACCTGGGCTTATAGCCTTTCTGGAGACTTCTTATTCTCACAGTCCAATTCGAGTAATTTCATACAGAACCAGCCAGGTGGAATTCATGTTCCTGAGGCAGACTTATATTCAAATGCTCGGCTTGCCCCTGTCTTCCTAAGTTATTATGTTTGCTTACACGAAGGCAAATATAATGTGACCCTTCACTTTGCTGAAATAGTATTCAGGGAGAAGGAATCATACAGTATACTAAAGAGACGGGCATTTGACGTTTATATCCAGGTAAGAGCTGATGTCATTCAATTAATCCTATTATTTGACACTAAATTGAGTACTGTTATTTGTACCATCAACTGAAATCTTGTGTACCATCATTAGAATAGAGGTGTGACCCATAGTTTTGTTCCTGCTCATATTTACTGTCTGCCAGTGTTAAAAGAAGCGTTTGTTGTAGGATGAGAGAAGGCTAATGAATTTCGACATCGCAAAAGAGGCAAAGGGTCCAGGTGAACCCCAAACCAGACATTTCGAAGCTGATGTTAATGATAGTGTATTGGAGATTTCCTTCTACTGGGCTGGAAAGGGATGTGCAGACGACCAGCTTACTTTGAATGGACCTCTCATTTCTGCTATTTCCATAACTCCAGGTGATTTAAAAGGCTATGACTTTAGTTTCTTCTAGTTGGTTCCAAGCTACACTTAAAACCCCTTGGCTTATATGGTCATCATGTGCCCCATTAATTTACCAAAAAGTTGGCTATTTTAAGGTTGCAGCCAGGCAGTTTTCATTTCAGTTAATTAGTTTAATCTTGTTAGACTGCATATATACTTAATTAATTTGACAATCTTTTAAAGAAGTTTGACTTTTCTCTTGCTGTTATTCCTTCCTTCGATGAAATATCACTTCGAAGTTCCCCAACACTCTGCATTGCGGCGAAAATTGAAGAAAGCATTGATTATTACTCTAACTTCAAGTGTAGTTGTTCTATTGCTTCTATTAGCTTTCATGTGGAAAATGGGCTGGCTGGGGAAAAGAGAGTTGAGAGGTGAGTGAAGCTACAACTATACTGCACCATGCCCTTTTTCAAGAATTCTTATTTCCTAGTTCACATGTCATCTTTGATTTTTCCCGAAACAGAAATACAGATAGGCCAAGATAAACATGTTACACTTCAAGAATTAAAAGCTGCAACTCAAAAGTTTAGCAGCAAAATGGAGATCGGTAGAGGGCATTTTGGAAGGGTTTATAAGGTATACTTTTACATTGTGAACTTAATTTGTGGTAGAAATTTGATATTAGGGTGGGGTATTTTTTGAATGTTGCAAATTTATTCAGATATATAACATTAGTCTATTGTGTTGATGCAGGCTGAACTGGAAGGTGGTCAAACTACTGTAGCTGTTAAAAGACTTTCTACTCACTCAAAAGAAAAAGTTGAGGAATTATTAAATGAATTCTATGCCTTAAAGTCATTCAGGCATGAGAACCTTGTTCAATTGTTGGATGCTTATTTTGGAGAAGAGATGCATTTGCTCATCTATGAATATATGCCAAACCTGTCCATTGCAGACGCATTTTTTGGTAATTCATCTTTTCTCCTCCCTTTTCTAATTTTTCAAGCACAACATCAAATTGTTTTATTCTATATTATAGGAGCAGTATACTTCCTCCTTTTGTGTACAAATAGGGATACTTACATTCATTTGAGCTTAGCCAACATATTCCTCTTCCTACCGTGTATTGCTTTTATATTAAGAAATAAGATCCGGTACTCACTCGTCATTGAAATACCATCGAAATACTATTAGGTGACGCATACCAGATGTCGTCTTTTGAGAAAACTTTCCATGACACCCCCCATTCGACGACGCACATATTACGACACTTACCCCGAGTCATTAAATGCCTTCCATGATGCAAATCAGGTGTCATGAAAGGGTTTTTCTGTTGTAGTGACTTGTGTTTTCTGTGCTGAAGTGTTTGTGACAAAAACAAAGTCGTTTGGTATTAAACTGGAGGAATATATACATAGAATGCTAAAGTGGTCATTCATGTGACTTGCAGGCTCGAAGTCCAGATTGAAGTTTAATTGGGAAACTAGATTTAACATTTGCCTGGGAATAGCGAGGGGTTTAGAGCATCTTCATGAGCACCCCAGACTCAAGATGGTTCATAGGGATATCAAAGCTGAAAATATCCTTCTTGATGGAGCTTTTAATGCTAAGATCTCAGACTTTGGAATAGCAAGCCTGTATACTGAGGAAGAACAACTTATGATCATCAAAGTGGAAGCACCAAAGTAAGTGTACAAAAAACAAATACCTTTCGCTTTCTGAATCACTGGATAAAATAATACCATGAAATTCAACTTATACTATGACGGGTGCATTATGCAAATATAATTTGAATTTATGCTTTATTGTTGTTGACGCAGCGGACATATGGCACCTGAGTATGTAGTTCAAGGTTTTGTAACAAGCAAAGTTGATGTTTACAGTTTTGGGGTGGTTATACTCGAAATTGTTAGTGGGAAGAAAAATGTAGGATACAAAGTTAACCATGAGAGTGAGTATCTCTTGGACATGGTAAGTAAAACTGACAGGACGTACGGTATTTTGTAATTCCTCCTACTTTAAAGTGAACATGCACACTTTGAATTCTAAACCCACATCATTTTACTGTAGGCTTATGTTGCATATAAAAATGGAAGCCTCGTGGACTTGGTGGATAAAAATTTGTCTGGCATTTATGATGCAAAACAAGCCATCACCATCTTAACCTTGGCCGTGAAGTGCACAAATATATCTCCTACTCTAAGGCCAAGAATGGCAGACGTTGTGAGTATTCTTGTTGGTGAGAAAACCTTTGAGCAGATTAATCCGCCTACTGTGGATGATCATCAGCTTAATGTAGCCATGGCTCATGGCGAATGTACCAAAGCTGATTCTTCTACTTCCACAGACGTGACCTCAACGGCATCAACTTCAACTAAATTAATCAAGGGGATAGATGAAACACAAAATTCTTCTGCAGAAACCAATCTCGAAATATCCGAAGAGAGTCGGATCTCGCATTAAACATGCATCCTATTTGGATTGTGTGAGAGAAGTTACTGTTGAAGTATAAATTGTTTCCCGGTTTAAATTGTTCGTTAGCCAGGTGTATGGCTCATATGCTATCACATTTTGTTGGACTTATAGGTCCAGATTCATGCCAAGTGTACAGCTCACAGGCTGGTACAACTGTGTATTGGCTGAGTCATTTTTGTACTGGTTAAAGAATATATGTTGATAGTGGAATGAGATCACACCATGAGTGTGTGCATGATTACAATCATTGCCTAACAGACTCTCACTCTCTTTCAACGTCTCTCTCTCTTCTCTCTGAAACATTCTCTCATCAACTTTCTGTGCAAGTAAACTTGCTACTCCGTAAAACTCCAACATGGTATTGAGAGTCCAGGTTGCGATATGAGACTGGGCGTTGTGAAATCACAGTAATCCAACTGAGGAAAGCTCTATCTAGTCTCACATGGCTGGATCTGGAATGGGTGAGCTTCGTGCTCCCATCTTCAATGGAAGCAACTACAATTTCTAGAGAATAAAGATGTGCACAATCTTCAAATCTCACAAGCTGTGGGATATGGTTGAAAATGCGTATGAGCAACCTGTGAAGAAGGAAGAAGGAGAAGCTCTGACTGCAGCTCAAAAGCTTGCTTTGGAAGAGAATGTTGCAAAGGATGCTAAAGCTTTGGGACTGATACAAGGTACAGTTTATGATGACTTTTTTCCCATAATTGCATTGAAAGAGTTAGCCAAGGAAGCTTGGGAAATCCTGCAACAAGAGTTTAGAGGTGATAAGAAGGTGAGATCTATGAAACTTCAAGCTCTTAGAAGAGAATTTGAATACACTCGTATGCATGATGATGAATCATTATCTGGGTATGTCACTAAACTGCTTGAGCTAGTAAACCAAATGAAGGCTTATGGTGAAGAGTTAACTAAACAAAGAATTGTTCAGAAACTCTTGATTAGTTTATCCAGTGAATATGATTCCATTGCTGAAGTTATAGAGGAAACAAACACTACTACAAAAAAGGATAAAGACGACGGGAATTCACCGTCGTGTATTCGGTTTTCAAACCGTCGTGGAATCGACCGACATCTATTTGGGTGTCAAACCACGACGCTAAATCACCGTCGTTGTTAAAACAAACAACGTCATTAACAAATAATAACCGACGTCTTTGTAATGGAAAAAGAGATAATAAAAAATAGTCGAGGATGAGAATAGACGACCAATTCTAACAAAAAACGTCGTTAAAAAGGAAACATATGACATATATTAACAGAACATGGCCGCAAGATATACATACAACGACGAGAACTAAAACCCAGCGCCGTTAAATATACCTTTCACGACAAATAAAAATATGACGTCTTTAAACACATAATCGACGACGTTATTGACTCTTACTACGTCAGTATCTTTTCAACAACTGTCGTGAAATGAATTTTCCACTTCGATTTTTCTATTAATGATGACGTGGAAATAGATGTTTGGGCCATTACTTACGACGCATATATTTAAACTGACGACGTTGTACTAATAAACAACGTGGTTACAAATAATTGAGAGCCGTATTACAGAATTTATACGTCATCTCTTAAAATATAATCGTCGTCTAATGGATCTGAAACGACAAGGTTTCTCAGTTCACCGCCGTGTAAACTAGTTTTAACGACACGATCTTAAAATAAACGACGTGGAAAATATGTTGGGGTCATTACTTACGACATATTAATTTATAAAGACGACATTGTCGTCAATATACAACGTCGTTATCATTCAAAAGACAGCCGTATTTCATAATATATACGTCATCATTAAAAAAATTACCATCATCTAATTCCTATTAGATGGCATTGTTAATCCGATATTAGCCGTGTAAAGAAATTTTAACGACATTATGATAAGAAAAGAGACGTGGATACATTCATATAACGTTGTTTTTGTAAAGGAACGACGTCCCAATATAATTTTTCTACGAATTATGACGTGGAAATAGATGTCAGGTTCATTACTTACGACGTATGTATTTACAGAGACGACGTTGAAATGAATAAACAACGTCGGTTCCAAATAAATGAGAGCCGTATTACAGAATTTATACGTCATATTTTGAAAATAAACGACGTGGAAAAAATGATGGGGTCATTAATTACGACACAGTAATTTATAAGGACGACGTTGTCGTCTATATACAACGTCGGTACCATGAAAAAGACCGTCGTGTTTAATAATTTATACGTCTTCATTAAAAAAATTAACGTCGTCTAATTCATAAATCTTAACGTCGACAAATTTAATGGACTTCAAATACCGTCGTGAATTCATCCTTTTCCACTTCGTTTATGAAAGAACATGCGACGTGGTAAATTCATGACGACGTCGTCTTTTGTAACGTTCAGGTTAAAGTTCTCGTCTTTTAGACGTCGGTGTTATGGGATTGGAGTCGTGTTATTTTGAATTACATGGCGGTTCTTTATGCTTGTCCGACGTGTTATCCTGGATAACTGTTTCACAATAGCGTCGTGGTTCTTCATTGTTACTTTGCTTTAAGACGTCGGTAAATATATTGCGGTCGTTGAATGCTCCAAAACGTCGTTATTTATTAGAACAGACGTTTGTTTTTCACATTTTTATCAAAACCGTCGTGTTTGTAATCTGGAACCAGTAATTTTTGTACTGATTGTTTTGTGGCCAAAACCTGTATAATGAAAGTGAAGAAATCACATTACAATATATTACAAAATTAATGTCATACACTGCCAATTACATAAAGCATCATTCAACCCATATATCTTCACACCCATCTCGAATATTTTGACTCCCTAACTCAACCACCACTTCATCAAATGTGTCAACATTTGGCATCCCCCTAGTAAATGGCTCACACTCAATTCTCACATCACCTAAGACATCATCACCAATAACATCATTATATTCTCTATTAGGCATTGATAACACTACCGACCAACCACGATGCATCGGGTCGTCAACAAAAAATACTTGTTTGACTTGAGAAGCCAAAACAAATTGGTCATTCCTATGTCCAATTTTACTCAAATCTACAAGGGTAAATCCAAGTTCGTCCACTACAAGACCAGAAGTATTATCAATCCAATCACACCTAAAGACTGGGATTGTAAACTTTTGGTAGTCAAGGTCCCAAATTTCTTGAATGACACCATAGAAACCCATATTTGAGAGAATTGGGTTTTTATCCTTGGCACTAGCAACTTGCATAGTATGTGCAAGTAAATAAACTCCACTATTTTGAGTTGTCCGCACATCATCTTGTGCCTTGATGTTGAATTTAATACCTTTAATGAGATAGCTCCTATATAATGGCACTGCCATGTTTGGACCAGCTGCTAGCCACCTTAAATTTTCTGATACGCCATGATTGTCTTCCTCATTAAGTTCACTTTGAACCTGCAAATTAATCATAACTTAATTCAATCTAACAGAAAGAAGAAAATTAAAAGTCCAATATGTTATTCAATAACATATACCTTGAAGCGTAGCCATTGAGAAAGTGCTATTGTGCTTATCCTGCAGCCACTTTGTTCTCTTTCTAAATTTTGGATAAGCGGGTCTGGATGTGGATCATATGTTGCCTACATGACACACAAAATTCAAGTATTACGGTCCCAAACATTAAGATAAACATAAGAAATAATTTAAAATGGAAACTTAAAGAATAAAACTCATACGTACTCGATATAAGGTAGGACTCCTCCGTATTCTCCAAGACATATAGATGTGCTTGGTTCAACAGGTCCCGATCAAACTACGCTCACTGTGCAACCTGATAATGGCTTTGAAACTCCCATCTTTTGGCTTGAAGGCACTCCAACTGTACAACATCAGATAAATGCCGGTACAAAACTCTACAGCTTCTTCAGCTATATACGCTCAGCAATGCAACCTTCGGGACGAGTACGATTCTGAACATACCCCTTTAGCACTTTCATATATCTTTCAAACGGATACATCCATCTAAAATATACTGGCCCACACAGACGAACTTCTCTGACAAGATGTACTACTAGATGAACCATGATATCAAAGAATGAAGGGGGAAAGTACTTCTCAAGCAAACACAAAGAACTACTACATCTTCTTCCAACTTATCTAGCTTGGAAACAGCAACAGTCTTTGCACATATAGCATTGAAGAAGAAGCACAAACGGTTATTGCATACCTTGCAGGGCTTTCCAAAACAAGAACGAATTGGCCACAGGAGGCAATGTTGCATTAAGGTATGACAATCATGTGGTTTAAGGCCGAAGTCTTGAATCTTGTAAAGATACAAAGATTTTTTATATTTGAAGAATAACCTTCAGGGCCTTCATACCAAGAAAGAATTGAAAACCTCTCTCTTCTCTGCTCTTGACAAATTCCAAGGCCCGGGAGGCAAACGGTACGTCTTTCTCCATACTCGGGTTGCAAATCAGTTTTGACCCCCATGTTCAATAAATCTAATCGAGCAGCAATCCCATCTTTATTTTTTCCAGGGATCTCCAGCAATGTACCAATGATACTATCGCAAACATTCTTCTCAATGTGCATAACATCTAGGACATGCCTCACAGGAAGGTATTTCCAATACTCGGATCAAAGAATATTGATTTCTTCTTCCAACAAACTCTGTCACCATCTTCAACCATATGCAGCACTTCTTCTCCGGTTAATGGCTCAGGAGGCGTGCCATATTCAGGTTTCCCATTAAAAGCTGCACGTTGCCTCCTATATGGATGATTGATCGGTAACCATTTTCTATGCCCAATGTAACAAATTTTGTGGCCATTTTTCAACCTGTGACTAGGTGTATCATCGCCGCATATTGGACAAGCTTTATATCCTTTAACAACACAACCAGATAAGTTTCCATAGGCGGGGAAATCATTAATTGTCCACATTAATGCAGCTCTGAGTGTAAAGTATTCTCCATTATGTGCATCATACACTCCTCCAATCCCATCCCACAAAGATTTTAAATCATCAATCAAAGGCTCCAAGTAGACGTCTATATCATTTCCGGGCTGTTTAGGACCGGAAATCAATAAGGTCAACATCATGAACTTTCGTTTCATGCACAGCCATGGAGGGAGATTATATGTAACTAAGATAACTGGCCAGCAACTATATCTGCTACTTAGAGAACTGTGGGGATTGAATCCATCAGATGAAAGAGCCAATCTCAAGTTTCTCGGCTCATTACCAAACTCGGGCCATTTATCATCAAGAAGTTTCCAAGACGGGGAATCCGCTGGATGAGACATATAACCGTCAATTGATTTTCTAGCAGCATGCCAAGTCAAACTCTTAGCGGTCTCATGTGATCGAAACATCCTTTTAAACCTTGGAATTGGAGGAAAATACCACACCACCTTCGCTGGCACACCCTCTTTCAAGATTGAATCTTTGCCTTCCTTCCACCTTGAGATACCACAATTAGGACAATGAGTTAAATCCTCATACTCCTTCCTATACAAGATGCAATCATTGGGGCATGCGTGCATTTTCTCATAACTCAGCCCCAATGCACACAAAGTCTTTTTTGCCTCATACATAGAGGCCGGTATTGTATTTCCGTCTGGAAGCAAATCGCCTTGAAGTATCAATAATTCTGTAAAACAGACATCACTCATCCCATATTTTGCCTTCAAATTATACAACTTCACTAATGCCGATAACTTCGTGTACTTTCTACAACCAGGGTACAATGGTTGATCTCCATCCCCAATCACATTGGCAAACTCATAAGGATCAGATCCAAAATCACCAAAATCATTATCATCCATCTCTATTTCTTCAGACACAAAACTGTACCTACTATGGTCATCATCTTCTTCAACATTTCTACTAGCATTAGTAGCTGCTTCCCAAGGTTCTCCGTGAAATGTCCAATTCTTATAGCTTTGGTCAACTCCATTAAAGTATAAGTGATCCCTTATAATTCCAACCCCAAACAATTTCAAATTAACACATTTAACACATGGACAACGGATATGTGTGGTAGTTAGAAGATTTTCTACAGAAAAGTTCAAAAATGCTTCCACCCCTAACTCATATGCCTTCGATCTTCTATCCGAGTGCATCCATGACTTATCCATCTCCGACACTATACCCTATTATATATAATAAAGTGAAAAGACAAGCAATGACCATCACTATAGCAGATTACATAAAGTCTAATAGCAAGTAATATACAACAGAGACGACGGTTTTTAAACAAAAACAGACGTATTTGACATATATAGACGACGGATTTTACGTCGTCTAATTGTAACCACGACGGTAGTTAAATAACACCGTCGTGTATAAGTAATAAAAACGACGGTTTAAAGTAAAAACCGTCGTCGTATGCCTGAAAACGCGTCGATATCCAGTTTATTTTCAAGATCCCAAAACCCTATTAAGAACACAACATAGACATGAAACCAAGCAAGAAACCAACATATACATGAAACCAACATATACTAAGCATGAAAACAATAAATCCATTCCCAATTCAACATAACAGAGAGTGATTAAAAGATCCGACAAAATGAAATCCATTCCATATTCAACATAACAGAGAGTGATCAAGAAAACATTAAACAGAAAATCCATGAACCCATACCTCCAACAACATTATTAACAGATCGCAAAACATATACCTAAAACCCTTTAACAAAACAACGTAATATATCATTCAATGAATTTACAAGGGGAAGAGAGGGTTTGTACTTACAGGTTGGCAGAGCTCACAGATTATGACCAAATTGGATTTGACACAGCCTGGCCCAACTTTGAATTAGAGATGAAGTGAGAGAGCGAAATGTTATGTTGCGCGAAATCAGAAAATTTTAGGGTTCAGGGTTAGAAGTATAAAAATAAGAGCCAAATCTGAAAATTTTAGGTCCCGCGAATATTTTAAGAAAGCGCGCTTTTTAAAACATCGACCGAAAATACAAGCGTCGTTAAAATTTAACATTAAAGATGACGCTTATTACATTAAGGACGTCGTGGTAAAACTATGTACCACGCAAAATCAAAAAAGGCGTTAAAACTATGAAAAACCACGGCGGGGTTAAGTAACTAACGACGTTGTAAATTTTTTTTTTTTTTTTTTTTTTTTTTTTTTTTTTTTTTTTTTTTTTTTTTTTTTTTTTTTTTTTTTTTTTTTTTTTTTTTTTTTTTTTTTTTTTTTTTTTTTTTTTTTTTTTTTTTTTTTTTTTTTTTTTTTTTTTTTTTTTTTTTTTTTTTTTTTTTTTTTTTTTTTTTTTTTTTTTTTTTTTTTTTTTTTTTTTTTTTTTTTTTTTTTTTTTTTTTTTTTTTTTTTTTTTTTTTTTTTTTTTTTTTTTTTTTTTTTTTTTTTTTTTTTTTTTTTTTTTTTTTTTTTTTTTTTTTTTTTTTTTTTTTTTTTTTTTTTTTTTTTTTTTTTTTTTTTTTTTTTTTTTTTTTTTTTTTTTTTTTTTTTTTTTTTTTTTTTTTTTTTTTTTACAACCCACTCATCGAGCGTGCCGTACTCGGAGGGACTTGTGAGAGTAGCAGGTAAAAAATGATGGGGATGGGCTTGAAGCTGCTAATCTGTGCGAGAGAGAGAGAGAGAGAGAGAGAGAGAGAGAGAGAGAGAGAGAGAGAGGCTAGGTTTCAAACAACCTATATTTGAAGTTGGGTGTTGAGGTTGAGATGGGGATGAGAGCATGGAGGCTAAGATAGGGGTGGGATGAGTTTCTTTCTTCCAAGGGTATTTGCAGGAGACGAGAAGGGAGTGGGGATGGAGGTTGGGGGGCTGGGATCTAATTTTATTTTAATTATTTTAATTAGTTTTAATAATTAGAACATCTAATTATATTTTTATCTATGTGGAGGTGGGCTCCACTTGCCACGTCACACCTCAGTTGGTGGATAATGATCTATGTGTATGAAACTACAAAAATACCCTTGCCACATCATCAATTTTAATAGAGTTTTGGATAGAGTTGACGACATGGGGCAAAGTAGGTCATTAAACCATGGTCAAGCAGGGTAAATGGGTCATTTTAAGTTTTGGGGGGCAATATGAGATTTGACCGTAATTTCAGAGTGCACTACAGTAAATAAACATTTTTTAAAATTGTAAGTTTTAAATTTATTTTTTGGGGAAACCATTGGCAGTGTAAGAGCCATTTCTTCTACTCTCACTCAACTCAATGCCCATGACCAATTTTGTATTTGCTCTCATCTTCTTTAGGTGATTCTTTGCTCTCATCTTCTTGAGAGAGAGAGAGAGAGAGAGAGGGGTGGCTTCAATTTTTTTTATTTATTGAAGTTTTAATCTCCTTTTTCTTAAATTTTTTAGCCAATTTTATATGGATATTAACTTTTATGATATCTTTAATTTAAATACACTTGGTTTTATATAATTGGATATGTGAACTCCACATATGTGTCATGCGAGCATTCTAACAGAAATTTTGACGGAAGGTAATGGTAAGGACCAATTTGATGTATAGAGAGTAACCTTAAGCAACATTAATGTCACAAAAAAAACATTAAGGACGAAATGTGATAATTTCGTTACACTTAAGGACCATTTGCTATAAAAAGCCTCCTTAAAAAACTATAAATGGTGGCTGTTTGGGCCTAATTTGGCACACCCAGCCCAAAAGAACAAAGCCCATGTCAATTTTGGGCAGCCACCAACGTTCCCTTGTAATTGGGCCAAGATTACACACTCAGCCCAACACTAAAAGCCTAGAGAAACAAAACGAACTACAGGACCCAAGCAGTACTGGACTTTGCGATTAGAAGAATCAAGGGCCCAAAATCTAGAAAGCCCAACCCAGGATCTATCAAAAAACTTGGGCTTCGAAAAGAAGAAAAAGAAATCAGCCCATAGCTCCATAAAAATAAAAAGGGCTTGACATGATTAAAAAAAAGAAGAAGCCCAAAAAGAAACAGACCCACGTGGATTTTCTTTCTCCTTAACTTAGAAAAGTCAACAATTTCAACTGGGTTGATAAGGAGTTGACAAAGGCAGGCGAAAAGAATGGACATCTCTGAAATCTCTACCACCAGAAGATCAAATCCCTTTTTATATATTTAGAGATATTGTTTATACTTCAAAGAATGCACCATCTTTCAAGGGATACGCAGATTGGGTTTTTCTAAAGAAAGGATAACCAGGAAACAAGGAGTTGTTCAAACTAAAAAAATCAAAACTAACCATCACAGTTTGAGCTCTCACAGGGGGTAGTTTGAATTAAAGAGGGGTTAGGCTCTTTTTAAAAAAACAGGGAAGTTATTATCTTAAGAACTGACCATTGAAGGCTTATGTGCTAGAATTGATAAAACCCCTTTTTTCTTACATTTAAAAATGAAATATCTTTTGGGAGATTTTGGCGCCCATTATTAAGAAAAAGCCCCACTCCAAAGAATTTCTTATAAATATAGGACATGGTGAATAGAGTAGAGAACAATCAAATCAAACAACCAAAAATCAACCAAAGCCAAAAACTCAAAATAATCACTTGATCCCTGAGAAACTTCAAGCAAACTGAAGCAACCAAAAACTCATTCGAGCCCCAGAAGAAGCCAGCTATAAATCAAAACTTCCAATTCATACTCAAGAGAAATAAGTCATTCAAAACAAGATTTCTCTCGTTACAAATTTGGTTTAGCAAAAACCAAAACAAGCAGAGTTTGAGTTTTTACAAATATGAAAACCTCAACGAATTTATGGAGAGCCCTGATCAAGCTGTTGGCTGTTGCGAATCTCATGGCCTGGTGCTCCGGGCCGAGGGGATGTGCGTCAACACGTGACGTCCTTCTTTTGGGTGCGGTGCAGTTGTGCACGGGCGTCCCGGCATGGTCTACCGTGCGTCGAGATAGTGATGAGGTTCAAGTAGAAGATGGTTAAATGATGCGCCTGTTTCGCGTTCGACTCTCAATCAAACGATTGTGGCCGAGAGAGGAACTGATCTCGGCCATCAAGTTCACAGCTTGAGCTACAAGGCCGTTTTAGTGGTTGTGTTGGTGGCGGGTTTTAGGTGGTGCTCCGACGCGTTACTCAGAGAGCGACGGTCGTATGATATATGGGGTGAGTGAGATGGTAATAGAGATGGTGCTCCGGCGCCTTGAAAATAAAGGGTCGTATGATATGTTGATGAATGGATTTTCCTTACAATCTATCACTACTCCTAGGAAAGCAAGTAAAGGTATTGAAAGTGCATTACAGGAAAATATAATTTGCTCCGTGGGAGGCTTTTGGTTTGGTGTTTGAACCCTTTGAATGTAGTCCTGAGCTTAGTATTTATAGGAGGAGTCCTGGAGGGACAATCGAGGCTGAAAAGACCTGCATGGTGGAGCCTGATCGGGGCAAGTGGGTAGTCAAATCGGCATTTGGGATCGTGAAGCATGGTGGTTTGGGATCGTGAAGCATGGTGGTGTGACTCCCATAAATTCGGGTAAATCTCTGCCACCGCCCTGATCGTAGGTTCTGCCCCCTTGGCCGTGGGAACGCATTTAATACCCTGGTCTGGTGGTTGAGTAATCTGACCTCAAGTCGTAAGATTACTTGTGAGAATGTCTGCGCCTAACCACCTTGATTTCCATCACCAAATCCTGACTTCAATCACTTCCCTTCTTCCCTTGTGCATTAAATGCTTCTTGCGACTAGTGGGTTTGCTGCGAAAGTCAGAGGCATTACTTCATTAAATGGGGCGTGGGACCCTGAGGCTACGTGGCGATTTAACCACAGTTTCCTCGGCCGTGTCTTTTATGGCCTTCGGCTTCGGCCTTCAATACTGCGGTCGCGAGGCCGAAAGGATTTTGTCTTTGCAACTTTTCTTTTGTTTTCAGGAAGGCGAAATGGTTAACGAAACGATAGGCGCCAGGACAGAGAGGAAGTCCCTTCAATTAGTTTATGACCGTGATTTATTAGGCACAAACATTGCCCCCACATCCCTAGATTCTTTGGTCGCGGCCTGGGCAGAGGCCAAATGGATTCCAAGGGATGGACCCTTTGCATTCCTCCGGAAGTGATTGACAGTTGGTGCTTTAAATGCGTAGGTCAGTTGGCGCATTAAATGCGCAAGCACGTCTTGCAGGCCATCATTGCCCAGACTTGCGCGAGCCGTCGTTTCGTCTCGTCAAATGAAGCGACGGCCTCTGGGCTTTCGACACGTCATCGCACTCCTTGAGCACGCTGTCAGGCCGTTACGTCTCTCGAGAGAGAGCCACGCCATTTCGTTTCGAATTCTAGCGCCAATATAAAAGCCTGTCCTTCTTCATTCCTTCCTTACGCTTTCAGAATTTTCAGACGCCCAAACTCTGCCAAACTCTTCTCTCAATTCTTCAACCCTTTCGAACTTCACATTTCAGCACTCCACCTCTTTCCGCCCAGTTATCCCCTTTGTTAGTAACCAACGACTTCAGTCGCTTCTTCTGTATTTCTCTGAAAACTCTCGAACTCTTCATCCCTTTTTCTGAGTGCTTGGCTCCCTAGTGTTCTTCGTGTTCATCACCCTTCCTTCGACTTTTTCCTTCAACATACCCTTACTTTAATCTGTTTCAATGGCCTCCAGCACCTCTACATCTATTGAAGCTCGGTCCCAAGTCTTCCAGACTGAGTTTGAAGACATTTGCCGAGAAATCCAAGGCTCGGTCTTACCCAACATCGTCACACCTTTGACTGATGACGACGGCGCCACCACCGACTCCTGCATCCTCGGCCCCTCTGTAGATACCGGGATGCTAGAGAGGATGGTGGCTCATTTGAAGAACAATCTAGTGGACCTCTCGACCTTTGACGGGGGGGACTTCCAAGATTGGAATGTCGCCAGGCCGCAGCCCCAATGGCCAACCTCGACCCTAGACCGGGAAAAATGGCTGCCGAGGATGGAGCACTTCTTCGGCCAGCAATGGAAGGATCAAGGCATCTACCACTTGATCAAGCTGTTCGATCGGCCGCTCGTCATGGACCGGTCGCTCTTGGCCGCGGCCCTATGCTTCTGGTCGTTGGCCACAAATACTATGAACCTATGGTTTGGCATGATGACGCCGATCGTTCTAGACATGGCCGCCCTATTCGGCCTCTCCCACTTTGGCGTGGAAGTAAACGCCGCTCTAGTGGCCCCTGAGGATGAAGGGAGTTTTAAGGCCACATGGCCTACAGTCGCCGAGCTTGCTGGGAGTAAGGTGAAGAACATGCTCAACTACTCCAGCTTCTACAGCAACTTCGGCGTGGAGAACAGCGTCGATGATGATTCCATCGCTCCCTTGGGCGAGGTCGAGCATGCCGCGTTCTTGCTGTACTGGCTATGCAAGTTCATGTTTTGCACCCAGGCGAACAAAGTCACCCTGGAGTTCGTGTCACACCCCAACCCTCGGATTTCCAAAACCTTGGGTTAAGACGTGATTCACACCATAATTATAGAATTTTAAAAAAAACTATAACTAAAATGTGAAGAAAACATTTAAATAAATAAATATTTCACATAAAATATTCAGTAGAAACGCGGAAACGATAACATCTGAAACCATAAAAAATTTACATTATTTTACAAGTCAGAACTACTCGAGAGTTCATTAAAAGAGTAGCTCATTATTCATCCACAAACTATAATACACTCTATAGACATGCCAAAATCATCACAAGCTCTATATTTCAGGTTCAGTACCTGCAAAATTTATTAGGGGGTGAGCAAAACCACAGCTTAGTAGGGACATAAACCTTTTCACGGTATAATTAAATTAAGTGACAAATAATCAAGCAACCAAATTTCACATTATTAGTAACAATGCATGAATGCTCTTCATCTAATCCCGTTAATTCATATAATTGGACAAGCAGACCTGCACGTCCCATACCATACTTTTACCACTTGGTCCCGAATGCCCATTTATATGAACTAACACCCATTTCAACTGTCCCATAATTCCCCTTTTGTTAGTCATCTTGTCTAACTCCCTTTCGCCAGTCCTGAATCACCCAATAAAAATCATGTGCACTGTGGGATCCCTGAGACCTAGTACCTGCCAAGAGTTAGACTCAACTACACAAAACACCATTCCCATTACCCTCTTTTTCCACCATTATTTTCTCAACCCAAGAACCCCAAATAATTTCCATGACATTATATAGTTCACATATCTCATAAAAACAATGTAATCATTTAAATATCACCAATGTACATATAATCATGCCCACATTGTTCAAACAGTTAAGAGTACGTAAATCAAACAGTACCATGTATAATATAATGCTCACGAAATTTAATTAAATCAATCTCTGAAAAGGCCCCCAAAGAAAACCCCTACCTTGACAGCACAGCTTTTGTTAGAATTGTAAGATGACTCCCTAATTTCCACCGTATCCACACTCAAATTCTCTCTCTCACTAGTATTTCTCTTTCTTAACTCTTATGGTTTTCTCATTCAAACCATGCATGCCGTGCGTTAAAAATGAAAGAATTGCATTCCTATTTATAGTACAATAAAAGTCGGCTAAAGATGATATAGGATGGGAAAGTCGGCATCTCAACTAAGTGGTGTCAATTGGCATGTGCATAAGACTGTAATGCTGCCAGCTATAAGAAATTATAGCAGGAGGTGTTTAAAGCTAAGTAAACTCAAGATATGCATATGACAACTCACAAGGTGATTGTGCTCCTTGCTTGGCTATAAAAAAATGGACATGTCTATCACTAATATCAATCAAAGTTGATCACTACAAACCTTAACTTAGCCACCAAGTATTAATAACATGCAGGACTTGCAACGAAAATAAAATATATCCAGATATTTATTTAACGTATACATTTATTAGTGATAATATTTATGAAAGTATAGCACGTAATATTTTATATGTACATATATATATATATATATAATAGAATAATAATAATGCATGAAACTCTAGATAGCTAAGGACAAAAATCCTACTACCATTAAATAAAATTAATATTAAAAGCATGTTTTAAGAATATCATCAAAATTATTGAATTTGAATTAAATAAAACATAGACTTTCATAAAATAAATATAATTATAATTTAATACTTACCAAAATAAAGTATTAACATTTTTAACAACAAGGATTCTCACAATCTACCCCCCTTAAAGAAATTTCGTCCTCGAAATTTAAAACTTACTGGAATCAGAGAACAATTCTGGGTACTTCTTACGTATTTCAGTTTCTAATTCCCACGTAGCTTCTTCTGTATTTCCATGTAGCCAAAGAACTTTGACCAATGGTATTGTTTTTGTACGTAAAACTTGTTCCTTGTGATCCAAAATTTGTACTGGTCTTTCTTCAAATGACAGTTCTTCATCTAAATTGAGCTCTCCCCAATCTAGAACATGGGTTGGATCAGGCTCATAGTTTCGAAGCATAGAAACAAGGAAAACATTATGTATATTCGAAAGTTGAGGTGGTAATGCTAGCCTATAAGCTACTTCACCAATCCTTTCTAAGATTTCAAATGGTCCAATAAATCTTGGTGCTAATTTTCCAGTCTTTCCAAACCTTTTTACTCCTCTTCGTGGTGAGACTTTAAGAAATACATAATCTCCCACTTTAAAACTTAATGGTTTCCTTCTTCGGTCAGCGTAGTTCTTTTGTCGACTTTGAGCAGTTAAGAGACTTTGCTTGATAAGTTTAATCTTTTCAGTTGTCTCCTGTACCAAATCAGGTCCTAGTAACACAGTTTCTCCTACTTCAGTCCAACATACAGGTGACCAACAAGGTCTTCCATATAAAGCTTCATAAGGTGCCATTTGAATACTAGATTGATAACTGTTGTTGTAGGCGAATTCTGCCAACACCAAATGATCTTCCCAACTTCCCCCAAAATCTAGAATACAGGCTCTCAACATGTCCTCTAAAATTTGAATGGTTCTCTCTGACTGTCCATCGGTTTGGGGATGAAAAGCGGTACTAAAATTTAGTTGCGTACCCAACGCTTTCTGTAAACTTCCCCAAAATTTGGAAGTAAACTTGGAATCTCTATCTGAAACAATCGAAACAGGAATCCCATGTAATCTTACTATCTCTCGAACGTAAAACTTTCCAAGGTTTTCAGTGGACTCTGTTGTTTTGACTGGTAAAAAATGTGCAGATTTGGTCAAACGATCCACTATAACCCATATTGCATCTCGTCCCTTTGGAGACCTAGGTAAACCTGTAACAAAATCCATGGTTATATGATCCCATTTCCACTCTGCTACTGGTAATGGCTGTAATGAACCTGACGGTTTCTGATGTTTAGCTTTAAGCTGCTGACATGTGAGACACTTTGCTACAAATTTTTCTATATCTCTTTTCATACCATTCCACCAAAAGTTACGTTTCAAGTCAAGATACATCTTTGTTCCTCTAGGATGAATTGTATAGAATGAATGATGTCCTTCTTTCAAAACTTCTTTTCTCATATCAGAAATTTCAGGTACATACAATCTATCCAAATATCTTAGTCCACCGTCTGCGTGGACATTCCATCCATCAGGTGTCTCTCCAATTGTAATCTTAGTTCGAATGTCTTTAGACATAGAATCAGATTCTTGTGCCTCAATTATTTTTCCAATCAAAGTGGGGTGAGTTACTAAATTACATAGATATGCATGATCCTGGTGCATACCTACATACAAGTCAAAATCATAGAGAGATTCTACCATCTTCCACCTTTGATCATATAAACTGGCTATGACTTTTTGAGGATTTCGACTTAAAGCATCTGCTACCACATTAGCTTTTCCAGGATGATAATGTAAATCAAAGTCATAGTCTTCTAGATATTTCATCCAACGCTTTTGTCTTAAATTCAACTCCTTCTGAGTGAATAATTACTTCAAACTCTTATGATCTGAGTAGAGTTCAAAATGTTCTCCATATAGATAATGTCTCCATACCTTCAACGCATGAACAATAGCTGCCAGTTCTAGATCGTGAGTTGGGTAATTTTTCTCATGTGATTTCAATTGACGAGAAGCATAAGCAACAACCCTGTCAGACTGCATCAAAACACATCCTAAACCATGCAATGATGCATCAGTATACACTATATAACTTACACCTCTTTCTGGTATAATTAACACAGGAGCTGATGTTAATCGAGTTTTTAACTCTTGAAATGCTTCCTCACATTTATCATCCCAAATAAACTTAACTCCCTTTTGTGTCAACTTGGTCATTGGATTAGCTACCTGAGAAAAATCCTTGATAAATTTCCTATTATAGCCAGCCAAACCAAGAAAACTTCGAATCTCGTGAACATTTTTCGGCTGTCTCCAATTCAACACTGCTTCTACTTTTGCAGAATCTACGGCAATGCCTTCTTTTGAAATAACATGTCCTAAAAATTTCACTTATGTTAACCAAAATTCACACTTACTTAGCTTGGCAAAAAACTTGTGTTCTCTCAATGTCTGTAGAACAATTGACAAGTGTTGTTCATGCTCTTCTTGAGATGATGAATAAATGAGAATATCATCAATGAACACAATCACAAATTGATCCAGATAAGGTCGAAAAAACTCGATTCATTAAATCCATGAAAACTGCCGGAGCATTTGTCAACCCAAAAGGCATTACTAGGAATTCATAATGTCCATATCGCGTTCGAAATTCAGTTTTCGATACATCTTCTACTTTTACTCGTAATTGGTGATAACCAGAGCGAAGATCAATCTTTGAGAAGTATCGAGAACCTTGCAGTTGATCAAACATGTCATCAATCCTAGGTAAAGGGTACTTATTCTTAATGGTGATTCTATTCAGTTGACGATAGTCAATACACATCCTCAGACTGTTATCACTTTTCTTCACAAAAAGTGCAGGAAAACCCCATGGTGAAGTACTAGGACGAATGAAACCTTTTCTTTCAAGTTCTTGAAGTTGTATTTTGAGTTCTTTCAACTCTGCTGGTGCCATTCGATGTGGAGGTATAGAGATAGGCGATGTGCCAGGATAGATATCTATAGAAAACTCCACTTCACATTCTGGGGGTAATCCAGATAAATCTTCTGGGGAAAATATCACTGAAATTCTTCACTATAGGAATAAGCTCAAGTTTTGGATCACCTAGATCCTTATTGGCCATGTGAGCAATCAATCTCAAATAATTGCAATTTCTAATATCCAAGATTGATTCAGGCTTGCAACTATTCCTATTTCCATAAAAACTGAATGTTTTCCCCTCACTGACAGTCATAGTCACCATCTTTTTACCGCAATCAAGAACAGCTTTAAATTGGGTAAGTAAGTCCATTCCCAATATTATATCATACACCATGAATTCCAATATCATCAGGTCAACAACAAGTTTATGATCTGATATTTCTATTGGGCAGGATCTACACAACTTATTAACTTCAACACATTTACCCAATGGAGATCCAATCATCAACGAGGATTTCATATATTCATATTCTATTCCAAGAATATATGCAAATGATACGGATATGAATGAATTTGTAGCACCGGGGTCAAACAATATTCTAGCCCACGAGTTAAAAACAAGAAATGTACCTTCCACCACAGTAGGTTCATTTGGCTCTGTCACTTGTCCAACAGCATACACTCGTCCTTGAGTGAGTTGTTCTGACTTCGTTGCTGTTCCTGGTGCCCTAGGCCTTTGTTGTGTAGGTTGTCCCCTTGGACGTTTGTGTCTGTTGATTAACAGGACCTCTAAACTGATTTAGTGAATCTTGATATGGGGCTTGGTACAGAGCACGGTACTGTGTTTGTGGAGCTTGAAATTGTTGTTGTGGTGCACGGAACTCTGGTTGTGGTTGTGGAGCAACAGGTATCTGATATGATTGTAGCTGAGGACAATCCCTCCGGTAATGTCCTATCTGTCGACAATGATAACAAAATCCTGAGTTTTGAGTTGCCTCAAATGATCTTGGATTTTGATATCGAGAACAAGAGGGAAAAAATCTTTGGCGTTTGTTACTTTGTCCCCCGTTAGGATTCTTAGGTTCACAAACTCTCTTAGAACTAGGTATCCTTTGTTCGGCCATTAAGGCACGATCAACAACTTCAGCATACTTTTTCAATTTAAAAAGTTCTACTTTCTCCTTGACTTCTAGTCTCAACCCTTCTTCAAATTTCTTTGCTTTTGTAGATTCATCAGGAATCATGTAAGGAGCAAAACGCATAAGTTCTTCAAACTTAGCTTGATATTGTCCCACAGTCATATCACCTTGATAAAGATTAGTGAACTCACGTACTTTCATGGTTTTCATAGTTTCAGGAAAATATTTCTCCAGAAACATTGTCTCAAAGGCAACCCAAGTTACAACCTCAACATCAGGCATAGCCAAGACAGATTCCCACCAATGATAAGCTTGTCCTTCCAAATAGGTAGAAGCAATGGTCACTTTTAGGTTTCCAGGAACTCTTTGTTCATTCATCTTTCTCTTCATTTGTCTTAACCATTCTTCTGCTGCCATAGGGTTTGGATCACACTTGAACACAGGTGGTCGTGTCTTATGAAATTCTCCTTGAATCCTCATTATTCGATCATCTTGAGTTTCCTGATGGGGTTCGTGGTTATGTTGATTTGTCTCACGAATAGCAGATGCCATATCTTGAATGGCTAACATTATTCTCATACTATCACTCACATCATTCTCATTTTATCCTTCTACTCCAGTCATCTTAATAATTAAACCTTGATACCAAATAATTCCACAAGATTAAAATATATATATATATATAAAATATTAAAATAAGCATATTTGTTATATGCACAATGTAAGACACATAATGACAGATACCAATAAAAAATGTTGATGCTAACAAAATTTAGTATGGATTTAAATAGATTAGTGAATCGAAGAGTCAAGTAAACTAAATAAAATGACTAAATGCTATACGCATTAGCAATCAAGTATAACATGAATAGACTGTATCAATAAAAATAATAACAAGCACCTTAACACATTCACAATACGAAGTATGAGAATGTTGCATGCTATATTTATGAAAACTCCAAACTATGCTGAAATGTACACAAGATTTTAATAGAATCTAACAAAACTAAAAACTGCCACTAGTCTTCGTAAGTCAAATACAAATTTATATAATATAGTAAAAAGAATTGCTAGTGTATAAGCTGATGAGTTGCAGAAATTAATGCACATAACTAAGTTTAGGTTAAATCACTCAATCAAGATCAGAAATACTGGCATGACACAAAAATAATGTCTAAAGTAATACAGATTATGAAAAATGAAATTGATAATTAATTAATTCATAGCAACTTTTTATGCTATTAATCATGTCAATAGAAACCAGAAAGAAAACATACCTATATATATAACATTAATAAATTATATGAAAAAAGAAACATTACAGAAAATCAAACATGCTTATTAAACATTTATAAGTTGTTACAAACCTATTTTAACAAAATAGTCACAAACCTATATTACAAGGAACTTTCCATTTAAAAACCTTCATAAGGCTGCTTACCAAAAACTATACATACCAAAATCAGCTTGTTAGACTTACACTATCTTATTAGTCAGACTTCTGAGAGAATCTATTCATCATCAGAACTAATATCTATAACTTCAACAGGAGGGATAATGGGCTCGAGATATTCATTTTCATCATTAGAACTTATATTGATGATAGTTGGACTAGGATTTTGTGGTTCAATGATAACTACTGAAGCAGATGACGCAACAGATTCAGCAGATAAAGCATCAAGGTCCAGAAGTTCCAAATAGGCTTCATCTCCTGGGTCTGGCACAGGGGGAAAGTTTAAGTCCTGTGGTTCTGGAACATAAGGTAAGTCTATTCCTGGTGGTGGCCACATATCAGCAGCAATAATTGCAGCATCTTCTAATACCTGGTTGTAAGAGTGTGCTTCAATATTCAACTGATATTGACTCCTTATGTTATTGGCCTGCAATCGATGTTTAACAACAAGTCTTTGCACTTATGGTGTATAAAACATCCTTCTATACCCTGTCTCTACAACTTCATTAACGACGTCCAGATAGGCTTGGTTACGTAGACAGCTATGGTATACTTCTTCATCTATTGGGATAAGGCCTTTGGGTCCCATTTGGAACCCTCCCCATGTATCATTACTCTGATCGGGTTGCATCCTAAACAATAATTTAACAGGTTAGTGAATAACAAAACAATTTAATGAAATCGTAAACCTATGCTCTGATACCAACTTGTCACACCCCAACCCTCGGATTTCCAAAACCTTGGGTTAAGACGTGATTCACACCTTAATTATAGAATTTAAAAAAAAACTATAACTAAAATGTGAAGAAAACATTTAAATAAATAAATATTTCACATAAAATATTCAGTAGAAATGCGGAAACGATAACATCTGAAACCATAAAAAATTTACATTATTTTACAAGTCAGAACTACTCGAGAGTTCATTAAAAGAGTAGCTCATTATTCATCCACAAACTATAATACACTCTATAGACATGCCAAAATCATCACAAGCTCTATATTTCAGGTTCAGTACCTGCAAAATCTATTAGGGGGTGAGCAAAACCACAGCTCAGTAGGGACATAAACCTTTTCACGGTATAATTAAATTAAGTGACAAATAATCAAGCAACCAAATTTCACATTATTAGTAACAATGCATGAATGCTCTTCATCTAATCCCGTTAATTCATATAATTGGACAAGTAGACCTGCACGTCCCATACCATGCTTTTACCACTTGGTCCCGAATGCCCATTTATATGAACTAACACCCATTTCAACTGTCCCATAATTCCCCTTTTGTTAGTCATCTTGTCTAACTCCCTTTCGCCAGTCCCGAATCACCCAATAAAAATCATGTGCACTGTGGGATCCCTGAGACTTGGTACCTGCCAAGAGTTAGACTCAACTACACAAAACACCATTCCCATTACCCTCTTTTTCCACCATTATTTTCTCAACCCAAGAACCCCAAATAATTTCCATGACATTATATAGTTCACATATCTCATAAAAACAATGTAATCATTTAAATATCACCAATGTACATATAATCATGCCCACATTGTTCAAACAGTTAAGAGTACGTAAATCAAACAGTACCATGTATAATATAATGCTCACGAAATTTAATTAAATCAATCTCTGAAAAAGGCCCCCAAAGAAAAACCCCTACCTTGACAGCACAGCTTTTGTTAGAATTGTAAGACGACTCCCTAATTTCCACCGTATCCACACTCAAATTCTCTCTCTCACTAGTATTTCTCTTTCTTAACTCTTATGGTTTTCTCATTCAAACCATGCATGCCGTGCGTTAAAAATGAAAGAATTGCATTCCTATTTATAGTACAATAAAAGTCGGCTAAAGATGATATAGGATGGGAAAGTCGGCATCTCAACTAAGTGGTGTCAATTGGCATGTGCATAAGACTGTAATGCTGCCAGCTATAAGAAATTATAGCAGGAGGTGTTTAAAGCTAAGTAAACTCAAGATATGCAGATGACAACTCATAAGGTGATTGTGCTCCTTGCTTGGCTATAAAAAAATGGACATGTCTATCACTAATATCAATCAAAGTTGATCACTACAAACCTTAACTTAGCCACCAAGTATTAATAACATGCAGGACTTGCAACGAAAATAAAATATATCCATATATTTATTTAACGTATATATTTATTAGTGATAATATTTATGAAAGTATAGCACGTAATATTTTATATGTACATATATATATAATAGAATAATAATAATGCATGAAACTCTAGATAGCTAAGGACAAAAATTCTACTACCATTAAATAAAATTAATATTAAAAGCATGTTTTAAGAATATCATCAAAATTATTGAATTTGCATTAAATAAAACATAGACTTTCATAAAATAAATATAATTATAATTTAATACTTACCAAAATAAAGTATTAACATTTTTAACAACAAGGATTCTCACAAGTTCGCCCACCTGGCCGACTATCTCGCGCAGGGCGGAAGGCTGGTGCTCGGCCCATTCCTCCTTGGTCATATCTACCGCACGCTTCACGACGTCGTCACGGATGGGATGAAGCCGAAGCATGGTGGTCCACTATGGGCCTTCCAGTTCTGTCTGCAAGCTTACTTCCCAGAGCTGAGGGAAGCGGCCAATACTGCCGACACCGAGCCGTTGGCCAACGCATTTGCCCGGGCCCCCAGGAAGCATAACACCTCGACTTTCTGCTATAAATTTTTCTACGGCTTGGTCGAGAGGACTGAGTCGCAGTTCCGGGTGTGTCTTGCGCGGCCGTACCCTTTGTTCCTAGCGCACGATCTCTCCGTGATTCCTGACGGCGAAACGGAGAACGATCTAAAGGAGATCTGGGGCTCCTTCCTAGTCGCGCGCGACCTTCACTGCGGCCTGTCCAAGGCTGGGGTCGAGGTTTATCTGCTGAACTTCGTGGCGCCGCAATTCGGCTTGATTTAGACGGCACTGCTCCCCCCGTTGTCAACCAACCGGCTCTCGTCTTCGAGGGCCGACGTCGCCTAGCAGCACGGCGTGGCTCGCATTTCCTTCCAACTCCAAAAGGGGATGACCTTCCTCACTCTGACGCCTTGGTTGCGTCGTAATGCATACGACGAGGATGGAAGAGTCTGGTATGAGGAGTGCATCTCGGCCAGATTCATTCGGCCTGTTGAAGAAGTCGTGAGGGGGCTCTGAAGAATGCAGATTGGGACCCCCTCATCCCCAAGGCTGGTAAGGGGAAGAAGGCATCGGCCGTGCTTCCTCGACCGAGTACGCCGGCCGAAGCCGTACCCAGGGTGGCGGCCCCTCCTTTGGTCAGAGCAGCGATCGTGACTTCAACCGCGGCCCCAACCCCCAGAGTGCCAGTTGTAGTGGGGGCGCGAAAAACTTTGGCCCATAGGACCATGCCATCCGCCCCGCCGACTCGACCGATCGTTGCCGTTGGTAAGCCCTCTTTCTCTTTTGTTTTTCCGTCGGCTTCTCTGAGCCATCTTTGTCTTTGTTTATTTTTCTTCTTACCTCTTTTACTTCTCCCTGTACACATAGCCCCGGGTCGTAAGAGGGATCGAGAGGCCTCAAGTACTGAGGCCGCAGCGGTTGAGGCCGCTCCGGCCGAAAGTGTTGCGGTTGAGACAGCAGTGCTAGAGCGGTCGAGAAAAAGGGTCCTCCTCGTTCTTTCGGAGGATGAGGACGAGGAAGAAGTCCCTCCTGTGATCGTAAGTACTCTTTCTTGATTTCTTTTTACCCCTTTTTCAGGCCACGCCCCTCCCCTCTTTTCCTTTTCTAATAATCTGGTTCTTTCCTCAGGGCAAGGCAGTGGCCGAGGAGGTGACCGCCGCCGAGGTGGCAGTCGAGGGGGCGGCCATTGCCAAGGTGGCGGAAATGCCGGATGCCGAGGCAGCAGTCGCAGAGGTGCCAGCTACTGAGGAGGCCGCCGTGGACATGCCAGACGACGAGGTCCTTGTCGTGGAACCGACGCGGGCCACCCTGGTGGAAGTCCCTTCGGCCGCCTCCGCCGTGCCTACCTTGGCCGTTACCGCGTCCGTCGAGCCGTTGCCGTCTGCTCCTCGTCGTCCAAGCGCTCGGTAAGCGTTTTGCTTTCACTGTACCTTTGTTTTATTTTCAGAATTGCGCCAGATGCTTTGGACCGATTTTTTTTTTTAGCCTCCCCAATCGTCGCTGTCGCTACCCACGGTCGCTGTGAGCATGCCCGCGGCGCCGTGGTCCCAGGACTCGACGATAGTGATTGAGCTTGCAGTGGTTGAGGCTATAGCTACTGATGCGCCGAGCCCGCCGCCTGTCTCCTCAACGGTCCTGACCGAGCTTGTGGTTGCAGAAGCTCTTGGCGCGCCGTCAGCCGCTAAAGTGAGTATTTAGATCTTTACCTTGTCATTTCCTCATGTCGCAGCTAGTCGTTTCCCATTGAAATCTCCTTTTCCATTTCCAGGGGACCACCTCCTCCGATGATCTCAAGGAGTTATATGCCAGCCTCTATGAAGAATGAGGCAGCTCGGCCTCGGCTCCTTTGGATGAGGATTCCAGGACCGTCATTGAAAGGCTCCGAGAGTTCCTATTCTTTGGGGTTCACCAAATGACCACCGCTGAAGCATTCATGGAGTTCAAGTCCTGTCTGGATACGGCCATGGCGTTGGGTCTGCTTGACTCGGCTCAGCTGGATGAGCTACAGGCTCGCTTGGCCGAGGGCAAGGAGATGATCGGTCGATACATGAGGATGACCGAGGGGTGCTCGCTCGAGCAAGAGCTGTCGGCGATAAAAGAACAAGTCCAACCTGCCATGGCCCGTTTCAAGGAAAATGACCTCGTTATCCAAAGAGAGAATGAGGAACTTGCGCAGGTCGAGGTTCAGATTGCCGAGCTCCAGGCCCGTTGAGATCTCATCCTTCAGCGCTGAGATGGTGCGGTCGCCGTCGGAACTGAGCTAAAGTCTTCGGCCAGGCAGATCCTTAAGGCGGTGACCAAGAAAAAGAAGGCATTGGCCGAGAGGAAGCTGATCCGGGCGAGGTGGCAGGCGGATATAGATGGTGGGGACATCGCCTGGAGAAGGATAACATGCCTAATTTGGGGGATGTTTAGCGACGGGGTTTAGGTGGGCGGTCGTTCAAAGACCTTGGGATGTAATAATTAAACAGTTTCTTCTTTTTCCAGACACATGCAGATATACGTGTATATATATATTTTTTTCTTTTTGTTGTGATCGGCCATGACTGGCCATTCTTTTTTTTTTTTCTTTTTGTAAAAACGAAATTATCTCTTTATCTAAATACAAAGCGTGAGCCTTCTTCTCTGAATGATTGTATGTATGTTATTTGCTTTATATTGGCCACACCGTTTGTTCAGCTCGCTCGCCTACTTCCCCCTTTTTTTCTTTTTGACTTTTTTGTCGTAGGCCCTCGGTGCCATTTTTTCTTGAACTCGCACCGAACCGTAAGCGGCGAGTCTTGACTGTCTTAACTTTTCTAAACTCCGGGGCACGGTTTGCGCGTAGTTCTTCATCTTTCGCCTAAGTCGCTTGGAAACTCGAAGAAATCGAACCTCTAACTCCATTAGTTTACCAGTGTCATGGCCGTAGGTCAAGACATAAGGAAATGTGCCCACGGAGTGTTTTGATGTGTGGTGTGCCCAAAAAGCCTTAGAGAGCAAGTCGCGCCAAGTCCTGGGCTTTCCGGGTGGGTACAGCTCAGTATAACTTGGTGCCCCCGGCCGTCCTTGGTCGTGCGCCGGGTGTCTTCGGTCCGAGGATCCTGAGGGGGTGACTCCAGCTGGGTTGGAAGTGGCCACTGGTCCTGTTGCGCATCGTCCTGAGGCTTTATCTGTTGAGCCACTTGAACAAGAGGCTCGGCTGTTACGACCGAACCGAGCGGCATTGGGTAAGCGCCGTCGATTTGGCCAGGGTACGTATGTGTCGCTGTTGGAATGGTCGAAACGTACTGAAGATGGGAGCCTGACGGCAATAACGACGTATGTAATGGTGAAACAGTCGCGTTGCTTGGGTCGGGATGGGTCTGGACAGCCACAGTGTGAACTGGGCCAAGTTGCTGGACCGCGGAATGTGTGGGGCTGCTTTGCCTCAGTGACACGGCCAAAGCATGGAGTGGGCCGTACGCCGTTTCTGCTGGGTAGGTCGGTCCGGGAGGGATTGCCCCAGCTGTTTGTTGGCGGCTGAGAATGCTGGTCGTAGCCTGACGCCTGGGTGCAGCCAGAGAGGCCGAGGCTGCTGCTTTCGCCGTAGGGCTCAAACCTCTCGCGCTCTTGGCTTCTCTGTCCGATTCTGGGAGGCGTTGCGGACGACGTTACCGGCATCCTCTCCTGAAAGAGCGTCCGTAGCTTTGAGGAGAATCTGTCCATTGCGGCCATAAAAGATGTCTCTATCCTGTAGGCCTGCTTCGCCATCAGATCCTCCACTACTGCTTGCTCTCCCATGGACTCGGCTGCGCGATCTGTCGTTATTGGACCCTGGCTGAGATTCTGACCACGTGTCCGGTCTCGGTGACAGTGATTGGTGAGGTGGACTCATGAGCCTCGAAAGTCATTTCAACTGTTTTGTATTTGAGCTTTGCCAGTGCCCTAGTTTCCACCATGAGTTTTTTGACAAGAAGTCCCACTGGGTGTGCCAAAAGTGTTGGCTGTTGCGAATCTCACGGCTTGGTGCTCCGAGCCGAGGGGATGTGCGTCAACACGTGACGTCCTTCTTTTGGGTGCGGTGCGGTTGTGTGCGAGCGTGCCAGCACGGTCTACCGTGCGTCGAGATGGTGATGAGGTTCGGGTAGAAGATGGTTAAATGATGCACCTGCTTCGCGTTCAACTCTCAATCAAACGATCTCGACCGTCAGGTTCACGGCCTGAGCTACAAGGCCGTTTTAGTGGTGGTGTTGGTGGCGGGTTTTAGGTGGGGTGAGTGAGATAGTAACAGAGATGGTGCTCTGGCGCCTTGAAAATCAAGGGTCGTATGATATATTGATGAATTGATTTTCCTTACAATCTATCACTACTCTTAAGAAAGCAAGTAAAGGTATTGAAAGTGCATTACAGGAAAATATAATTTGCTCAGTGGGAGGCTTTTGGTTTGGTGTTTGAACCCTTTGAATGTAGTCCTGAGCTTAGTATTTATAGGAGGAGTTCTGGAGGGACAATCGAGGCTGAAAAGACCTGCGTGGTGGAGCCTGATCGGGGCAAGTGGATAGTCAAATCGGCATTTGGGATCGTGAAGCATGGTGATTTGGGATCGTGAAGCATGGTGGTGTGACTCCCATAAATCCCAGTAAATCTCGGCCACCGCCTTGATCGTGGGTTCTGCCCCCTTGGCCGTGGGAACGCATTTAATGCCCTGGTCTGGTGGTTGAGTGATCTGACCTCAAGTCGTAAGATTACTTGTGAGAATGTCTGCGCCTAACCACCTTGATTTCCATCACCAAATCCTGATTTCAGTCACTTCCCTTCTTCCCTTGTGCATTAAATGCTTCTTGCGACTAGTGGGTTTGCTGCGAAAGTCAGAGGCATTACTTCATTAAATGGGGCGTGGGACCCTGAGGCTACGTGGCGATTTAACCACAGTTTCCTCGGCCGTGTCTTTTACGGCCTTCGGCTTCGGCCTTCAATACTGCGGTCGCGAGGCCGAGAGTATTCTGCCTTTGCAGCTTTTCTTTTGTTTTCAGGAAGGCGAAATGGTTAACGAAACTATAGGCGCCAGGACTAAGAGGAAGTCCCTTCAATTAGTTTATGACCGTGATTTATTAGGCTCAAACACAAGCAGAACAGGTACCTTAATGCAGTCCCCGTTCAGTAATCCGCAAGTCTAGCCACTTCTGTCCCTTTTAGATTGAAGATGCCGCAATTCTGCCCATTCAAAAAGCCTCACATGCCTCGAAATAGATTAAAGCTCTGCCAAACTCAAACTTTGGTATCGATTTAGAGCTGAAGCTCAGTAGTTAAAGTTGGGAACAGTCCAATCCAGCACGGGCATACCCAGTCCAGCCCGCATCAGAAGCTTCTGTCTAGGCATAAATGGAATTCCAGCCTTCTTTTTGTCTTTCTAAGTTGATTTTTTACTGTAGAGTTTTGTAAAAGCCAGTTCCGCCTGAAAACAGTTCATTTCCTTACTATCACCAACATTGTATTGTGAAAAATTATGAAGTCCTCACCAGTCTGAGGCATGAAAAGAACTTATTTGGGAGATATTCCTCACCCAAATTCACAATCGTTTGTTTAGAAATCAGTACCTTGGGGCGCAAGTTATCTATTTTTAAGAAGTCTGTTAGGATTTTTATTACTAACAGTGGCACGCTCGCACACTAAAGAAAGTTGATTTTCTAACCAGTCAATGGTCTTCAAAGCAATGGGGAACTTTATCTTTCCATCACAAAAGCAAACACAAAATGGGTGAACAGTGGGCTAAATTTTAATAAAAGCAATAGTCTAAACTCACACACACAACTAAGATACCATGTGAGTTCAAACCTGAGACCTCTATTGTAACAACCCGTCCTGAAATTTAATTTAATTTTCTAAATTGTAAAGCAAATGGACGGTTGGTGCACTTGATCTCGTTCAGCAACTGATGCAACAAAAAAAAAGAAGACAAAATTCATAAACCAGAAATATCCATAATCCATCATAATCCAATAAAAATACAGAGATGTGCTAGTATCCGATTATACACCTTTGATACGCCTGCAATATGGCCAAGGATACGGAAGGATTTTTTTTTCATAAAAAAAGTTATAGAAATTTTGGGGCGTATTTTGTAAGACCCATCCTCTTTTTCTAGACAAAGGATATGTTTTTTCCACACCGAATTCAACAGCTGTGACACCCCGACCCAATTTTAATTATTCATTTAAAATATTTAATTTATTTAATTGTGAAATTACAATTTTGCCCTTAGAGTAGGGTCATTTTAGTCACTTTTAATCTGGTCGGATTTCGGAGAATTGAATAGAATTGTTGCGTAGAGCGCGTCGATATGAGTTCGTAGACACGTAGTGGGCTCAAATCGGAGTTTTAACAAAGAAGTTATGATCAACGGAAGTGCAGTGGCATAACCGTAAATATTTCAAAGTTGGATTTTGAAAAACCCAATCAGATTCTTCTTCTTCTTCTTCTTCTTCTTCTTCTTCTCTCTCTCTCTCTCTCTCTCTCTCTCTCTCTCTCTCTCTCTCAAACCTCCAGTAGCACCTTCGTCCGGCCGCCACAAACGACAGGATCGGTCCCAAGTGAACCGGCCCGACATCCTCTTCCCACCCTACCTTTCCTCCGCCGCAACCGCCATCCCTACCGCCATGAAAAGCTCAAAAACCAGCCATAATTTATTTGGAATTTTCGGCATCATTTCTGACGATTCTGGTCACCATTTTTGTCTATCTTGGTATTCTTTCTCATCCTTTCAACGTGATCTAGCTTATGGTTGGGTTGGTTAGGATCGATTTTGAAGTTTTGACCCATTTTTTTCTAGAATTTTTTGTAAGCTCCGGCCACTTTTTGATCGTGGCCACAAAAGTTGCTATACTGGTTGTCCTGATCATGTAGATATAGGTATTGATGGGTGTTCTGAGAATTTTCTAGTAGCCGAAATTTTCTCAAGCCACCCAAGCGCTGCCGGCTCATGTGGCGGCGCATGGGCCATGGTTGGGTGCCCATTTGGTTCTAAAATGTTCCCCATGTTGTCCCGAGCACGAGGGTATGCTTGGATTGAATTTGGTTATAGTTTGACAGTCGATTGGATTTACGCATATTAGGCGTTATTCGGTTCGACATGTTCAAACCGTTGGATCGACTCCATTTCCAAATATGTTCCCAGCCACCTGCACGATTTGTCTACACATGTGGTTAGTTAGTTTTCCCCCTTCCCCAGTTGCCTTCGGACAATTTGCGTGTACCTATATCTTGTATACAGACGTTCGCCTTGGATTTCCCGAGTGACCTGCTTGAATTTTCTACACAGGTGGTTGGTCAGTTTCCCCCTTTCCCAGTTGCCTTTAGATTTGATGATATTTTCCTATACCCCTTGGTGGGTGATTGCAAGATATATGCCCTATGGGAAGGTCACAAATATGGCTTCCAAGTAAAAGGCTTGGTTATATATATATATATTTTGACAGGACCCGCCCCGAATTTCCCGGAACCCGAGACGAACCCTGCGGAGACCCCGGCATCACACCCACGCCGGGTTCACTCCTTAAAACTATGTCCTCTTTTACCAGAGAGGATTTATGGCACTAGACTTTCTGCCAAAATTTCGGCAGAGTCCCCCCTATAATTGAACATTCCCCAAAATTTCCACCTGCATAAAACACATTTTATAGCCCAACCAGCAGCACGCACAATATAATCTCATGCAATTTACATAAATGGCCTCCAGCCTTCAAATGATTCTAGCAGAACTACTCACGCTGCTTTCAAAATAACTTAATGCATTAAACATGCATATATCCAATTCAAAATATATCCATACACACCTTCACTCACTCAGTCCACCAAACAAGCCTCAATTCAACCAAGTTTCGGGACCAACCACGAGGTCCGCATCATACTCGATAAAACCACCTAAGTGGTGTCTAGGCCGTGGCTGCACCTAGGCGCTATCCCAGGCTGCCTACGTACCCTACTAAGGGATCAAGCCACACGTAGCTCTTTCCTATCAATCCTGGCTCCTGATATCAATTAAACCATATAAATTCGTACATTCTCGGGTTTATCCATCACAACACACCCAACATAATCATCATATCTCCCACTCATACGTCGGGACGCACCCGGCCACGTACGGGGTCTGTCAACACGCCGGCTAATCCAAAGACGCGTGCGACCTCACACAGGGCCTGGCTACATTCTCACCAGCCATCATACCATCATATCTCCCACTCACACCTACGCGCTCGTGAGAACCAGGAGATCATTTTAGAACCTCAAGCCGGTCCATTTTCCTAGCCCACGCGCCACCACACGCGCCGGCAGCGCGTGGGTGCCTTGAGTAATTTCCGGCGGCCGGAAAACTCCAAACCGCCGGCCAAGCTTCCTATCCTCGATGTAAAACCCTATTCTGAGCCACTTTTGTTCTTGGGCATACCCCAAAATCTGACCGGAAGTGGCCGGAATCTCCCCTCGAAATCCGGCCGAAATCCAATTCGTAAATCGAGTTGTCTACGCTACAAATCGATCAATTCCTACCCAAACATCAGCTAGATCACGGAAAATAGGTAAGAAAGCATACCTTGATCGCAAGATTTGGTGGCCGAAATCGCCGGAACGAGCTCCGGAAAATCTGGGTAAAAACCGGCCGTTTTTCTGCAATTTCCGGCTGTATCGCTGCCGGCTGACATCGGAGAATGGGTGGGGTAGGACGGCGGAGTCAGGCCGGTCATTTTGGGACCGGTCCCGACCCAAGTGGTGGCCGGATGAATGAACGGCCGGCCAAAACGTGGCCGGCTGCGGTGGCGTCGCGAACCAGAGGAGAGAGAGAGGGACGCGCGGGAGAGAGAGAGTGTGAGAGAGACGGGGGCAATTCCGTCTTTTAACCAAAATTCCATTTCAAAATATTTACGATTTTGCCACTGAAGGTATTTAGATCGTATCTCTCTCGTTACAACTCCGATTCGAGCCCACTACGTGTCTACGAACTCATCTCGCCGTGCTCTACGCAACGGTACCTCCGGAATTCCCAAATTCCTTCCGGGTAAGAAATTGACTAAAATACCCCTATCCCACGGGTAAATTCTTAATTTCACTCAAATTAATTAAAATAGGGGATAAATTTGGAGTCGGGGTGTTACATACTACCCCCCTTATAAAAATTTCGTCCCCGAAATTTCATACCTGCCACTCCAAAGGGTGTGGGTACTGGGCCCGCATCTACTGCTCGGGTTCCCATGCTTCATCCTCCACAACCAAGTTGGCAGCCAAGTCATTCCATTTGTGATTTGATTCTCTTCTAGCTCTCCCACGAAGAGAAGTCCAAACTCCTTGTTGATATCTTCCTTCTTTCTTTATAATCGGTAAGCAATATTGCCAACACGATTCTTTGAGAGGGATATCAGAAAGGATCATTTTTACCGAATTGGAATCATCATCTTCCTCTCTCTACCATGACCCATTTCTGATTCCGATGAAAGATTTCTGTTCGAACGTGCTCTCATGAGGTGAGACCCCAAAGCATTCTCTTCATCTCCAGGGTAGGTTCACCCAATCCATCTAGGTCTCATCCGTGGATTTGACTGGAGTATTCCCACCACACACGAGCCTCCTTCTACAAGAGGAATACGGCTATCTAAATCTTTTTCCACACTTGCGGTTTCGATTATACTAAAGCCGTTCTTAAGATCATGAATCTAGTGATTCAATCTTCGAGAATTCACTCTTCTCAAAGAAAGGTTGAGCTCTTAATATCTTCGACTTCGTGCTCACTGCACACAATCAAGAATTAGCAACATGTTCAGGCAATGGAGGATCTCTAGAAACGAGTTTATCACTCCATGTTCTCCTGCCCATAAGAACTCAACAACCTCTGTCTGTGGTAAAGCTCTAGCTCTACTTCTGCCTCAACGGCCTTTGTACCTTTCTTCTTCCTCTTTCTCATATTGGTTCCCTTTCCAGATGGGTAGACAGAAGTAACCCAAGTCGTCGGTCAAACTTCCAATGGCCGAACTTCCAAGAAATTTTGGAGTTCAAATTCACTGCATGAGAGAGCAAGGAAGAACCATAAGGTTCCACTCCTGTCAATCGCGGCATTCAAGCCCACGCGAGTGAAATGATACCTCATCCAACATTACTACTCCTCAACTTAATTTGTCACGACCCACCTTGGTCGGACTCACAACTCTTCCATTCCCTTGTAACTTGTCCATCAACTTCCTCTGACAATTTCATCTCATCGGATTCAATACTTAGCTCTTCCATTTTCCTTCCATAGGATATTGAGATACGACAATTTGGATAGACACGTTTCTAGGAACGTGACACCCTTAAGTGTACTCATCAATACCCTAAATCCATTCCTGTCAAAGAGTCCTCCGCGTCAAAATGATGACGTCTCGTGACGGAACCCATCATGATCCCACAACTTAAAGATGCACACAAGGTGCGGAGTCCACAAGAAATTGAACCTAAGCTCTGATACCAAGCTGACAGGACCCGCCCCGAATTTCCCGGAACCCGAGACGAACCCTGCGGAGACCCCGGCATCACACCCACGCCGGGTTCACTCCTTAAAACTATGTCCTCTTTTACCAGAGAGGATTTATGGCACTAGACTTTCTGCCAAAATTTCGGCAGAGTCCCCCCTATAAATTGAACATTCCCCAAAATTTCCACCTGCATAAAACACATTTTATAGCCCAACCAGCAGCACGCACAATATAATCTCATGCAATTTACATAAATGGCCTCCAGCCTTCAAATGATTCTAGCAGAACTACTCACGCTGCTTTCAAAATAACTTAATGCATTAAACATGCATATATCCAATTCAAAATATATCCATACACACCTTCACTCACTCAGTCCACCGAACAAGCCTCAATTCAACCAAGTTTCGGGACCAACCACGAGGTCCGCATCATACTCGATAAAACCACCTAAGTGGTGTCTAGGCCGTGGCTGCACCTAGGCGCTATCCCAGGCTGCCTACGTACCCTACTAAGGGATCAAGCCACACGTAGCTCTTTCCTATCAATCCTGGCTCCTGATATCAATTAAACCATATAAATTCATACATTCTCGGGTTTATCCATCACAACACACCCAACATAATCATCATATCTCCCACTCATACGTCGGGACGCACCCGGCCACGTACGGGGTCTGTCAACACGCCGGCTAATCCAAAGACGCGTGCGACCTCACACAGGGCCTGGCTACATTCTCACCAGCCATCATACCATCATATCTCCCACTCATACGTCGGGACGCACCCGGCCACGTACGGGGTCTGTCAACACGCCGGCTAATCCAAAGACGCGTGCGACCTCACACAGGGCCTGGCTACATTCTCACCAGCCATCATACCATCACATCTCCCACTCATACGTCGGGACGCACCCGGCCACGTACGGGGTCTGTCAACACGCCGGCTAATCCAAAGACGCGTGCGACCTCACACTGGGCCTGGCTACATTCTCACCAGCCATCATACCATCATATCTCCCACTCATACGTCGGGACGCACCCGGCCACGTACGGGGTCTGTCAACACGCCGGCTAATCCAAAGACGCGTGCGACCTCACACTGGGCCTGGCTACATTCTCACCAGCCCTCACACAGTCACTTGGGCCTGGCTACATTCTCACCAGCCATCTTACTGTCACATCTCCCCTCATACGTCGGGACGCACCCGGCCACGTATGAGGTTTGTCAACATCCGAGGAGGTACATAGGGTAGTGCATATAGCACTGCAAACTAACATTCAATCATAAAATCCATACATACTTTTTATACATTAATTTCTAATAATATAAACACCTTAGTAAACAACTAACATCCGATAATTCCCCATAATCCCCATAACATCAGGACCTGTCTCTATGGTCATTCTAACCCTCTTGGGAAGGTAGAACTATCCCAAAGGTCTCACAGTCAACCTAGGGTCAAACGGGCCTGCGGGGCCCACAACCTCCAATTTCCGATCCGAAAGTTCCAATAGGTTCTACAAGCTCTAAGATGCACGTCCTGCAAGTTTGGTCCAAATCGGACGGTCGGATCGCTCACGATCACACAATCGAACGATTACTAAAACCCTAACCCCAGGGTTGGCATTTCCGGAGTATCCGGGACTCCGTTTTACGATCCGTCGAATCCTACACGATCCTGGTAATACCTAGATCAACATATTATAATATCAGGACCATCCAACGGTCCAAACCTAGCGAACCCGGAAAATACGCGATATGCGATATCCGTTCGGAACTCTAACGGTACCCAAAATGAGATCCGAGCACACCTACGCGCTCGTGAGAACCAGGAGATCATTTTAGAACCTCAAGCCGGTCCATTTTCCTAGCCCACGCGCCGCCACACGCGCCGGCAGCGCGTGGGTGCCTTGAGTAATTTTCGGCGGCCGGAAAACTCCAAACCGCCGGCCAAGCTTCCTATCCTCGATGTAAAACCCTATTCTGAGCCACTTTTGTTCTTGGGCATACCCCAAAATCTGACCGGAAGTGGCCGGAATCTCCCCTCGAAATCCGGCCGAAATCCAATTCGTAAATCGAGTTGTCTACGCTACAAATCGATCAATTCCTACCCAAACATCAGCTAGATCACGGAAAATAGGTAAGAAAGCATACCTTGATCGCAAGATTTGGTGGCCGGAATCGCCGGAACGAGCTCCGGAAAATCTGGGTAAAAACCGGCCGTTTTTCTGCAATTTCCGGCTGTATCGCTGCCGGCTGACATCGGAGAATGGGTGGGGTAGGACGGCGGAGTCAGGCCGGTCATTTTGGGACCGGTCCCGACCCAAGTGGTGGCTGGATGAATGAACGGCCGGCCAAAACGTGGCCGGCTGCGGTGGCGTCGCGAACCAGAGGAGAGAGAGAGGGACGCGCGGGAGAGAGAGAGTGTGAGAGAGACGGGGGCAATTCCGTCTTTTAACCAAAATTCCATTTCAAAATATTTACGATTTTGCCACTGAAGGTATTTAGATCGTATCTCTCTCGTTACAACTCCGATTCGAGCCCACTACGTGTCTACGAACTCATCTCGCCGTGCTCTACGCAACGGTACCTCCGGAATTCCCAAATTCCTTCCGGGTAAGAAATTGACTAAAATACCCCTATCCCACGGGTAAATTCTTAATTTCACTCAAATTAATTAAAATAGGGGATAAATTTGGAGTCGGGGTGTTACATATTTGGATGTACAATAATAAATTGATTGAACAGTTAGGTAGATATTTTCGGGGCATTATATTTTGTTATATAGCTTGTTGAAATCAACGCAAAGAATGATTCTAAAATTTTATTGTTGGTTTCACCTTGAACAATACTATATTATATGAATTGTGATTTATTGTATAAAGAATTACATGTGGCTCGATCCCTTAGTGAGGATATGTAGGCAACCTAGCCTAACCTAGGTCCAACCTCAAGTTTAGGCTCTGTTTAGCATGTTCAGTTATGTCAAAATGGATTTGATAACTTATCTATGTTGTTTTAGGGGTTGAGACCTGACTCAATTTGATGAGTGGTTTATCTAAGGTAAAAGGGGGCCCGAGACCCATTAAAACTTTTGCTAATTGGTGTGTGGTTTATAGATTGTACATGTTGAATGGTTGGGAGATTTAAATTATGTTTTCTCTACAAGTGGAAATTCTGGGTTTGGAGCCATTTTAGGGGAGACTCTGCCAGTTTTCTAATATAAGTAAACCCCTAAAGATGTTTTGGAATTACGGCAAGAAGGGTATTTTAGTAATTTGGGACCACACCTGCCATGTGTCGAACATACACAAGGTTTGTCACATATTCCAAAGGGGGTTTTGAGGCGGGTCCTTTCATTTGGTCTGCAAATCAGAGCCCTTTTTCACTAGACCTTGTTGGCGACTATAGAGTTATAATTATATGACTAGATTGAACCCCCCCCTCAGTTTGTGATTGTTGTCAAAAAAAAAAAAAAAAAAAAAAAAAAAAAAATTAAAAAAAGTTTTTGCTATACTTTGAAAATAATTAGCTGTAAAATAAAGTAGCTCCATGTTTGGTAAACAATATTTTAAAAGTGTTGTTAGTACAAAAAACAGTGTTAAAATCGTTTGGTAAATTTTAATATAAAATTGTTGTAACTGTGAATAATGACTAAAATAGACATGACGTTGAAATGTTATGCACTAATCATGTTATGGTAGTGGTGGTGGTGATGGAGGTGGTGGTGAAAGAGATGGAGGTGAAGGTGGTGGTGGTGGAGGTGGTGGTGGTGAAAGTGGAGGTGGTGGTTGTGGTAGTGTTGGTGGTGGGGATGGCAGTTGTGGAGGTGGAGGTGGTGGTAGTAGAGGTTGAGGAGAAGGTGGTGGTTGCGGTGGTGGTGTTGGTGGCGGAGGTAGTGGTGGTGGTAGTGGAGGTGTATGGAGAGGTGATGCTTTGTGGTGGTTGTGGTGGTGGGGGCAGTTGCAGTGGCTGTGGTGGTGGTGGTGAGGTTGGTGAAGGTGGTGGTGGTGGAGGTAGAGGTGTCATTTTTAAAAATTAATGATGATATTTTGGGAATTAAAAAAATTCTTTAAATGCTGACTATGCTTCTTTTGAAAGCAGTTTTGAAAAGCACTTTAGAGCGTGCTTTTAAAAGTTACTGTCAAAAGGCAACTGTTTTTAAAAGAATCGAAATATTTTATTTTCACCAAACATCTTAAATTGCTAAATTTTAAAATAAAACAGAACAAAAAAAAAAAAAAAAAAATCCCTCACGAGGCCATAATCCCCTCTATAGTGTTATTGAACAAATCTGTATGGATAGGAGGATGAACCACCATCTATTGCCACCCGTCTCCAATGCCTAATAAATTTCAGAACTTTGTTTTTTTTCCTTAAAAAAGAAAGACAAAGACAAATTTCGTAATATTTATATTTTGCCTTTTTTTATGCATCAATTGAACCACCATCTATTGCCACCCGTCTCCAATGCCTAATAAATTTCAGAACTTTGTTTTTTTCCTTAAAAAAGAAAGACAAAGACAAATTTCGTAATATTTATATTTTGCCTTTTTTTATGCATCAATTGCTTTTCTGACAAAGCGTCAAATTTAAAACCCCACCTCCCATATCGTTCAACAACTGCTTACTGCTTAAATTGATAGTAAAAGCTGGCAGTAGTATTATCAGCCATAAAGACCCGTATTTAAGTTTTAGCTGCCACTCTGCCCCACTCCAATCCTCCCTTCCGGTGGATAGTCAGATGCCATTTATTTCATGCACAATGCAGCTGCAGCTGCGGTGACCATTTCATTATCCCACCTGCTTATGAAAATATTTTTGCTCGTTATTTTAATTCAAAATGTATCTTTATTATTTTTCTTAACATTTGATATGTGTTTATAGGTATAATTATAGTTAACTTTTTATTTTATATTTGTGGAACTATAGTTATGTCTATAAATACTTGTCAAGTGTTAAGAAGAATTATTATAATAAACATTAAATTAAAATGATGAACAAAATTACTCTCGTTTGCCTATATATAATAGGGAGTATTTTTGCTCACCACTTTTAACTCAATGTATATCCTCATCACCCTCTTAAAAACTTGACACATGTCTATGACTATAACCATAGTTAAATAAAAAATACCAACTTCAGCAGAGGGACTGAATCAATTAAAGACCAGCCTCCTTTGATAGCTCCTCTTTCGATTTCTTATTCAGTCATGAGTCATCACCATCCCTTCTTTCCACTAATTCCATGTCTCCCTCTCTCTCTCTCTAGACTCTTCCCTATCTATAGAAAAGAAGCAACAACTTCTCAATACACAAACCCCAAATCCCAAACTCATCTTCCATCTCTCTCTCTCTCTCTCTCTCTCTCTCTCTCTCTCTCTCTCTCTCTCTCTCTCTCTCTCTCTCTCTATGAAAATAGAGGTATCCAAGAAAATAACTTGCTTTCTCTCTGTTTGTATATTTCTTTGTGGTGTCATGGTGGGGGAGGCTAGGGTTTTGGGGTGTGTGGTTGTTGTGGTGGGGGCGTGGTGGAGGGTGAACAAGGTGGAGGAGTGAATGGTGGCTGGGGTGGCTGTAGAAAACATAGTCTAAAATATCAATAATATCGACAAAATATCGAGGATATTATTGTTTTTTCGAGTCACGGATATTTCGAAACGTATCCATACACATATCGTATAAATGTCGACAATATTGACGATAATATCAGAAAATATCAATGTCGATAATTTCGCTCACACTTCAGCAATATTTTGTTAAAATATCGCTATAATATCGAAAATATCGATGTAATGGAAAAAATATAAAAATACACAAAGCACACACGCAAAGGGGATCCAAACCCCTACCATTTCACTCCTCCAACCATGTTGCTTTTGTATTTGTGATAATATGCTAAAATATGTATTGTTTTATTGTTTTGTTTTGAACTATCTTTGTAAAAATTAGATTTACACATGAGAATGTGAGTCTTTGACTTTTTCCTTTTGGAATGGAATTGAGCAGCTCATGGAAAGAATCTGAAACTCAATCTTCAAATGATTTTACTTATGGACAACGTCAACTAATCTCGAATCCATATAGGTGGCATGTTAACAATTACATGCAAAACTATTTTGGGGATTTATCATTTGATGACTACTCTTCACAATACACTTATTCTACACATAGAGATGATGAAGATAGTGAAAAATTTAAACCTCATAGGAACTCTATGTGGTACTAAATTACTCATGTATCTTACCATGTAATATATAAAGTGTAAAATATTATAGTAAATTATTATATATAAATGATTAGTGTGTGTTTAATCTTCTTTCATTAATTACTATATATTTTCTACACTCCCAGTGTTTGCTATCTTGCTGTATAATCAACTTAAATCAGTAAATAAACATCATCCAAAGTTTCAATAAAAATTTCTGAGTTTTTCTTACAATTTCTGTGGTTTTTATTCAATTTTTATCGATATCGATAATATCCCGATATTTCCATCGAAATTTCCGTATTTTTGAACTACCGCTATTTCTGATACCATCGATATTTTAGACATTGGTAGAAAATAGAAACCCCGGGGTAGGGTGGGTTGGCAAGGGAAGAGAGAGAAAGAGAGGTTTAAAAAAAAGTTATTTTATTATTATTTGACTTTTTTTTGGGTTTTAAATACTTTAAATTTTTTTAAAATAAAGAGTTAACTATGATTATAGTCATAGAAATGTGTTAAGTTTTTAAGAGGATGGTGAGGGTACACATCTGCTCACCACTTTAACCTAAGTGAGGGATGGTGATGACTCATGATTTAATAAGGTGATGACCCAATGGAGGTTTTTCTTATTTAATTTTTTTAATAAGGTGGTAACAAAGTTGTAAAAAAAAATAAAAAATCAATACATTTAGTAAGGATAAGACTTGGAAAACAAAAATTAGCTTGTATGATGCATTAATGACATTGTTTTTAGTGTAAGGAAAGTGATACATGTAATGAAAAAAAGAGAGAAGGTCAAAAGAAGAAGGTTAGAGAGAATGTTACTAGCATTCCTTATAGCATTTCCAATCGATGTGTCAAAAGTGCCACATAGACCTTTAACAGCTAGAAATAACATCTCACATCACTCCAACCGATGTGTCAAAGCTGATGTGGAATGAAGGCTGGAGGTTGAGATGTTATTTTTGACATCCCAAAAGCAAGATGTCAAATGAATATTTTATTATTTTTTAAAGACAAATTTAAATGATTTGACTGTTTCAATAATTATTTATTTGATATATCAGGTGGAGTGTAAAACTGTGTAAATGTCAAATTGCCACATCAGCCATCAAATTTAAATTTGATGTTTGATATTTGACATCTCTCTTGGACATCTCCCAAGGAGTCATCAAATATAAGATAATGTGATGGGTTACACTTCGGTATATTTCCCTACATAATATTTTTTTAGATAAATATTTCTCTATATGATATTAGAAAAAGATCAATGATAAAAATGTTCGTAATATTCACATTTGTCTAAACCATTTAAATGATAAAAAATAGAAACTGGAAAGTCAAAAAATATGAGCATTTATTGTAGACGGTTCAGTTTTCTTCTATATATTTGGTTATATGCATTGAGTTCTCTGTCCCTCTCCCTACACTTGATAGTGCAGTAACCCTCTGTCGATAGAGAGTGACTCTACAGAGACGAGAGAGAGAGAGAGAGAGCATTGAGCATTGAGAATTGTGAATTGAGGGAGGGAGGAAGAAAATGGCAAAATCACCGGAAGAAGAACACCCACAGAAGGCTTTCGGGTGGGCTGCCAGAGACACTTCTGGAATACTTTCCCCATTTCGTTTCTCTAGAAGGTATATCGTATATGCTTACCTTTCCTATTTTCTTGTAATATTCTTTATATTGTTTTTTTCTTTTCTTTGAAAATGATCTAGGCTGATCCTACAAACTTGAATAGTGTATAAAACTTTTTGTTTGTTTTTTTGTTTACGTGTTTCCCTCTTTGTTTTTTTTTTTGGCTTCTAACAGTTGATTAGACCCTAACACAATGTGATGGAAGCTTTGCTCCAACGTTCTTTACACTCTCCATGTTTTTTTTTTCTTTTTTCCGCTAGAAAATACAGCATGTAATTGATTTAAGAATTTCTGGTGGGTTTTGTTTATGGGTTTTGCTTAACTTAGCAGCTATACCGATAACTTGTGTAAGATTAATTTGACAAAATGATAAAAAGAGAGTTAACAAAATAAACCCATTCCGTTGTTATTCAGTGTTTTAATGCTTTTGAAATTCAGGGGGATAAGAAGGGGATCACTCCCCAGGTGATTAATTTTCTTTTACTAAAACTTGCAAATATAAAGACTGATAAAAAAAAAATTGAAATGAAAATCATTAAATTAATAGATCACTCAGTTTTTGTACTACATTTATTTATTTACTTGAGCTGTTGTTTGTGTTATTTGCAGGGAAAATGCTGATGATGATGTAACAATAAAGGTCCTTTACTGTGGGGTTTGCCATTCAGACGTGCATTCTGTCAAGAATGAATGGGGGGTTCACCAACTACCCTATTGTACCTGGGTAACATGCTAATCTCGTGTCACTCTGTATGAAAGATAATATGATGTGTCTCTGTTAAGTTTGAATGAAAATGTTATTTACGGAAGCCTACTTCACAAGGATCTATGTGGATTTTGTCTTAATGAGAGCCTAGACTGTCATGAATCATACTATTAAAAACATTTACTATTATAAGTTATAGTAAATTCATTTGATTGTTATAAATCAAACGCAAATGATTTCGATAATGTTCTTGCTATAGGCATAAGGCATGATGTCATTGTAAAAATTTGGTGGATTAGTTGTTTGTTTGGTAGATGGAATTTTAACATGCATATTTGTGTGTGTTTTTTTTTAAATATTTGCATTTCAAAATGTTTTTTTATTCTGTTTACCTCTGCATATGACCAAATATCTTATAAAAAAAATGCATTCATGTGTGGGAATTGGCTGTTGTATCCCTCTGCTTTTTGCAGCACGTACCAGAAATGATCGTTTTATTATTCCTGTGAAATCATTCCTGTGTGTGTTGAACATTTTCAATTGATTTTCCAGGCATGAAATTGTCGGTGTTGTGACCAAAGCTGGGAAGAATGTGGAGAAATTCAAAGTAGGTGATCGTGTAGGAGTTGGGGTCATAGTGGGTTCCTGCATGAAATGTGAGACCTGCGACCAGGACTTAGAGAACTACTGCCCTCGAACAATATTTACCTATAACTCACTCAATCATGACCGAACAAAAACTTATGGTGGTTATTCCGATATGGTTGTTGTTCACCATCGCTATGTGCTCCGCTTTCCAGATAACTTAGCCCTTGATGCGGGTGCACCACTTTTATGTGCTGGGATCACTGTGTACAGTCCAATGAAATATTATGGCATGACTGAGCCTGGAAAGCATTTGGGTGTGGCAGGACTTGGTGGGCTTGGTCATGTGGCTGTGAAGATTGGTAAGGCTTTTGGTTTGAAAGTGACTGTCATCAGTTCCTCCCCAGGAAAGGAGGATGAGGCTGTTAAGAGACTTGGAGCTGATTCTTTTCTCCTCTCAAGTGACCCTGCAAAATTGAAGGTAATCTATATCTACAAGGAGGAACCATGAAACTTACAAAATCCCTTAACATGCTCCACTTAAGAAGTGGCTACAACAAACCAATTTATATAACAAGAGTAAAATATTCCATTGAAATAGTTTACAAATTTATAGTAAAATATAACCGTTCTTAACTTTCTTTCCCACTACCCTCAATACTTATCAATTTAGTTAGTAATCCTCGAAGGCAATAACAGTTTAGTTAGTCACCCTCCCTGCACCAGTGCAGAGAGGCTAGTGGTAAATAATACAAGAAATGAAACATCTAGGTGCAATGCTGAGAACAAATCTCAGATCTTTGATATGACCTACCTCAACGACTCCACATTATACGTTGTTCTGCAGATTGATTCCATAATGTTTATTTTTTGGGTCCTCTTCTCAGAAGGTCTAGAATATTTAGTGTTTTGCCCTAATATTTTGTTGTTTCCTGCTTTTACTATGCAGGCAGCAATGGGTACCATGGATTACATCATTGACACGGTGTCTGCAGTTCATTCGCTGGCTCCATTAATTGGTCTACTGAAGCTGAATGGGAAGCTGGTCACGGTGGGTTTGCCTGACAAGCCCTTGGAGTTGCCAATCTTTCCCTTAGTTTTGGGTATGCCTATCTGACCACAAACACTTCATTGTTTTGTTTTATAACAACAAAGACTGAATTTTTCTATTTAGGAGGAGGATGCATCAATGTGCAACTTTTAACTTATTTCCAGGCTTATAGCTTTTCGTGGGCATTGTGCCTAAGACGTTATGATGGGGATATTCTATTCAGGAGAAACACGAAGTGTTAAATTGCCTGATCAATCCCTGATTTCCAAACAGATATTAACAAATTGCATATGCTTTCTTTTGGTGGTGTTTATGTTTGTTTGGTGCTTGTCTCCCCCCATCCTAGTAGAATGCAAAGGGCTCTAGAAACATGAACTAATGCTCGAATTCTGTAACATGTGTTCTAGAAACATAATCTAGTGTTCAGTTTCTGTAATATCCTCTAATCTTGTCATGGCTTTCAGGGCGGAAGCTTGTAGGGGGAAGTGACATAGGAGGGATGAAAGAGACGCAGGAGATGCTTGACTTTTGTGCCAAGCACAATATTACCTCAGACATCGAGCTGATTCGAATGGATTACATTAACACTGCGATGGAACGAATTGCCAAATCTGATGTCCGGTATCGGTTTGTGATCGATGTGGGGAACTCCTTGACTCAGTAGATTGCCTGTGAAGGCTTTACTGCTAGTTTCACATGCTTTCAGACTCTCATTAAAATAAGTCATGGTTAATTACTGTATTGGTGATAAATTGATCGTCCACCTTGGGGTTTAGGGAGGTTATATAAACTTTTTTGTGCTGGACACTTTATGGTTGAACCCGTCTAGTTAAATTGGTCTTCCACCTTTTCGGTTGACGTTTGTGGTGTGAATCAACTTTCACCTACTCTTTGTGCAATTATATTTCCTGTCTTTATTGTTTTGTGGTTTGGTTCCTTCGTGTGATCTGTCTCTTTTTTGGGTCAAACCAAGCCCCCTAGTCTTTGTGATGTGTTCGACTGAAAAAATGAAAGCGAGACTTCATGACGCTGTGACTTTAACTTCCCTACTAAACCAAGCCCCACTGTCTAAACGTTGAGTTCTTGGAGGGAAAAATTATCTTGTCAAATAATTTTACATGTTATGTTGCGAGATTGTGAGATTGTTAATCTGTACTAGATATGCGGTCTCAATTGATAGTTTAATAACATAACATGTCATTTATTTGTTAATCTAGACTAGATATGCGGTCTTAATTGATAGTTTAGTAACATAACATGTCATTTATTTGGAAAAAGACTACTACCCTACATAGATTCTTGTAGTCTTGGAAAAAAAATAATGTAGATTTATGTAATCTAATGTGGACGTCCTTATTTTTTCTAATGTCTGGGTTTTTTTTCTTTTTGTTTTGGCTGCATTCTCTTGCACCCAAGTTTAATTTAGACTATATATCATTTGTATTAAAAAATAAAACATCACCACCAAATCGGGCTTTTCCTTCATTGCTGGCCTATGTAGAGAACTTGGAGGCTGTTTTATGTGACTCAAGGCCACTTTTTATGATAAGAATATTGAGAAGAAGATAAATACACAAAACAAAATGAATATGGCTTCCTTTCATTTGAATGACTGAATTTATTCTGATCAAGCAAAAAAAAAAAAAAAAAAAAAAAAAAAAAAAAAAAAAAAAGGAGATACTTTAAAAAAAAAAAGAAATATAATAAATACATTCCCACATTAAGAAAAGTTATAAAATATATTTATATTTTATGTATAAATATACATATATATACATACATGTTTAGGTGCTTCGGAGTTCCCCAGTCGCACAACGATGTATGTATCCTGCAACAGTGAGAAGCAAGGTTGGCCATGGGATGGTGCTGGTGGTGGCGCCACTGCACAGGGTCCCCAATTTTAGGCCCCCAAAATCCTTTCACTTGTATTTTCTAATATATATTTCGCTCCATATATGAGCATACAATATAATTACACAATTGTGTGTAGGAAAGTGGTTTACTGCGCTCCTAATTTCTCCATAAATGGCCCCAAGAATATCAAACTCATGACTAGTCAAACAACATTACCACACCAAACCACTAGACTAGGCATGTCTTCATGGAAGATAGCTGTGCTTATTTCATGTTAGATCATGTGATGGTCGTTGTTTAAGTATTGAACATCTAAAGGTCGGCCATGGTGAGAACAAAAACTGAACCAAGATTTTTGATATGACAGACCTCAAAAACTTTGCATTAAACATGAACCAATAATGAACAATTTCTATAAACATTTGTAATCTTGGCATGTCACTGAGCTCATCCCAATGGATTACATTAAAACAGCTATGGCACGACTCGCCAAATCCAATGTCAGGTATCGGTTTGTGATCGATGTCGAAAAGTCCTCAAGTACTAGTTGGCTATGAGGCCTTGGCTGCTAGGTAGGGCTAGCTTGACATGCTTTGCTTTGAGAGGCTCTCTTAAACAAATAAACAAGCAATGTTTATTTACGGTTTATGATAGAAGTTTAGAGCTAGGGGGAGGCAGCATAAGAAAGTTTGTTGCCCTGGACAACTATGGTTGTAGCTGCTGTCTAATTAAATTAAGGGAGTTTCACTAAAACACCCAAAATTGGGGCTGAAATTATAAAAAAACCCAACACCCAAAACACTTTATAAACACACCAAAAACCCATCATTACACACACTCAAAACCCATTTATAAACACACCCAAAAAATATACAATTGTTGATTTTGGGTGTGTTTCTATGTTTAAATAGTGCTTGAGTTTTTTTATAAATACATGTCTAGGATTGGGTTTATTTATAAATTTGTAAAAGTAATCTCCACCTTTTCGGTTAACGCTAATGCTCAATGGCATCTCAATCAACTTTCACCTACTATTTTTCCAATTATATTTCTTGTCTCTACTGTTGTGGATTTTGTTTCCTGTCATCCTGTCATCTCTCCCAGTCTTGACTTGAACTTCCAACTAAATTAATTAAAGGTCAAATTAATACTTGTAATGTTTTTTCTGGAAATGTTCTGATTCTTACTCTAGACTATTGATATTAGGTTAACTTTAACATCACATGCTAGACTTTTGAAAGAACATTATCCTATATATTTTTGTAAGTTTCTAAATATAATTTTTTTTTTTGTTTCTTTATATCTTTGTTGTTTGTTTCTGTTTGACGGGAACCCTTAAGAATGTGATGGTTATAATATTGTTATAATTTTAATATAATAGTGCATATTCAGTATGGTTTTTACTTCTATAAACAGCACTTGTTTTGAACCACGATTTCTGGTATGATTACAGTCACCTGGACTAGTTGCTTCCATGTATTATCATTTTAAAATAGAGGAATCTACGTGAGGAGAAGTGTTGAAGAATAGTCTCACATTGTGGTTTGGCTCCATGTGAGTATACTTGTTAATGTCATATCACTCTATATATATGTATTTCAACCACTCCAACCTATATGCAATATTTTCGTGAGTCTTCTTCAGAAAAGAATGGCATACTACTCTTCTTTTCAGTTACTAGGTTTCTTCTGCTTGATGATCAGCTTTCTTCAACTCATTCTACTCCAAGCCTTGGCTTGGGGACCTGATGTTCCTACACAAGGCTTTGTTTCCCTCCCTTTTAACCGATCATTCTACCATATTCAGAAGCCTTACGATGTCCCCGAAGACCAGCGCTACAGCTTCGTCGATGGAATTCATAAATGTTGGGTCTACTCCACAGACAAACCTCACACTACTACCAGCCAAACCATGCCTCGTACTGAGATTGCCATACAAGTAAGGTTCTTAACAAACTAATGCTACAATTGTTTAGACCGCACTTTATATTATGTCAAAATTCAACATGATCAATGGTCTCACAGATCATTAACTCTTTGTATCTATTGCAGGGATACAATTACTCTTCCGGGGTTTGGGAATTTGAAGCATATGGGTATGTACCATATGGGACATCAAGTGTGTGTATAATGCAAGTGTTTGGAGCAAGTGCACCTCATGCCACAACTCTAATGCTTAGGGTTTACAATGGTTCACTCATGTACTACACGGGTCCAGTGTTGGTACCAAACATCTATGACAAATGGTTCAAGTTGAATGTGATTCACGATGTTGAAGCTGCAAAAGTGAAGGTTTACATTGATGGATGTCTCGAATTAGAGGCAGATGGTCGTGGAGGCACATCTCATGCATTCAAATGTGGTGTATACGCCCAGCATAATGACTCCTTTTACATGGAGTCTCGTTGGAAACACATCCAAGTTTCAAGAAAGTGTAGACCTTGAACCATTAAGTAGCAGAGCAATGTGAAATATGGTATGGTCATATGCATATAACTTATTTGCTTCGACCCCAAAAAATAAAGCTTGTTTTCTTTTCATGTCTCGTGAATAAATATGTAAACGAATAAATAAAAGATAAAAAAAAACCTCAAAATAATAGGGGTCCAGGTCGGCCAGAGACGATGGATAAGTTTCATTGTCGACATGGAAACAATCCGAATCACCAGAGCGAAGCGATGTACAAGCCAATATGAATTTTAGGTCAGGGATCCAACGACCATCGTCGGTAAAGTGTATGGTCTTGAGTCCTTGATGAGCGTTGAGTTTGATGGCCTTGAGTCTAAATGACCTCGATTGTTTAGGTGTTACGGTTATCTATTGTTTTTAAAGTGAGGTAGTTAGATTGTGCATTACTGTTGTATTCTAGAAATAATCAATTATTCTCTTCTTTTTTTTAAAATTTTTTTAAATTTAAATTTATTATTATTATTTTTTATACAAGTGATATTGAAAAGAAAATGTAAAAGCCGGAATAAATAAAAGCCGACATAAAAGTAAAGAAAATGACCACCAAAATAACTAATAGTGAATTTGTAAATGACTCAATTTGAGAAACAACCGTCGTCTAAATAAAAAAACATGACGTTGTTTAGTAAAATATCGCCTAAAAAAAAAGCCACCCCGTCATAAACAATTAATAGTACTGACAGGACCCACCCCGGATTTCCTCGGAAACCGGGATGGATCCCGCCTTAATACCGACATCACCCCGATGCCGGGCCCACTTACTAAGAGTCGAGACTTTCTACCAAAAATTTGGTACTCTCCCCTGTAAATTGAACAATTCCCACACTTCAACCTGCTCAAAATTCACAGTTTAACAATCCCAACCAGCAGCATGCTTAAAAGCAAATAAACAGTTTACAACAAAGGCCTCCAGCCTCACAAATCAAACCCTACGCGGGCGATAATAGAGCATGTCTAAGAATTTTAGTTACAACAAGAACAAAGTTCAACTAGAATGAAATGATGAAAGAGTTCCTACGAAGGCTCAAGATTCGGAAGCACACGATCTGGCTCAGCTGCGGAGCTCAGTCAACTACTGGTGGGGGGGGGGGGGAAAACAGAAAATTGTGAGTGGACAAAAATAAAGTTCAGTTCAGTGTAAACCAACATAATATAACCCCACCGTTAGAAAAACCATGCAAGAAATCCAAATGCATCCCAAAACCATCATAATCAAGTATATAAATGTATCAAATCAAAACAAGTACCGGATGCCAAGTCTGAAATCCATTAATAATACTTCACAAACCACCATTCAAAACTTATAAATCCCACGACTAAACTCTCAAAAGCGCACCCATTGGCACGACCAGCGAGGAAGTATCCTCACCGAGAAACAAGAACGAATGAGTAGTTATATATATACATACATAATATATATAATATACTAATATATATAATATAATATAACCAACACCTAGTTGTACCGGGGAAACAATCCAACTGGGGGATTGTTTGACTAGTCCACATGGCAGAGTCCACATAACAAAAATTCCTCAATTCACCATGTGGCTAGGGAACGAGCCGTCTAACTGGGGGACTAACTCTCAGCCAGCACGTACAGCCGAGACACTCAAAGCTCGTACGTCTGTGACCAGTCCTACGCGCACAGACTACCCAATCAAGGGTCTACAACAACATCTCGTCAAGGATGCCCCGGGTTCCAACAAATCCAAGTATCTCAAGTTTCCGTATCCAAGTTCCAAATTCGGGGAGGTACATAGGGTAGTGCTTAAAGCACTCCAAACTGACATTCTATACTCAAATCTTTCCACAATCTCAACTCAACAACCCAAGTACCCCACACATAGACAATATAGGTAGAAATTCTCAAATTCCATACATACATACTCAAGATACTCAAATATGTCAAAACCCAAAATATAATGCCAAAGCTTTATAAGAACATCAAATTCGACAATCAAATATATAATATATCCAATATACCATTTAAAACAATATGCAATATTTTTCATCAATAAAACCATGCTTAAGATTTGAAAACAAAGTCCACTCACAAGTAGTCCCACACTACTTGACCCTGAGAGGGTCCCGCCTGCTGCGTATGCGTGGTTGGAGTACCTATTTCAGAATACGAATATGAGATTAACACAAAGCATTTTGAAAGATAATTTTAAATTAAAATCCTAGTTTCCCGGGTTTCTAAAGAGTGTATGAGGAACGAGACAAATTGAAAGTTCCTAAGGGTTCCACAAGGTTTAGGATACACGTCCTGCAAGTTTGGTCCAAAACGGACGGTTAGATCGCTCACGATCGGACGGTTATCACAAAACGCAAACTTTAAGTTATTGAATTGGAACATCCAGGGCTCCGATTCACGATCCGCGAATTCCTACGCGATCCTATGAATGTTTAGAGTAACATACATTGGAATGGAGTCGATCCAATAGTCCGAACCTATCGAACCCGGATAACGCACAAAATGTGATATCCGATCGACGATCAAACGATAATCAAATTGAAATTCGAGAATACCGTTACACTCGAAACACCACAAGGATCATTTTAGAACAAAATGGCAGACCGGCATTGTTCCCACGCGCCGGCAGCGCATGGGTACCCAAAGAGATTTCTGGCGGCCGGAAAAAACTCCAAACCGCCAACCAAGATTTTCAGGTTAGGTAAATCATATGCAATGGAGCAACTTTTGTTCTTGGACCTACTCCAAAAAGTTGACAGAAGTGGCCGGAATCGGAGGCCAAAACCGGCCAAAACTTCCATCGCTTGGAAACATTTCAAAACTCAGAAATTGATCCTAAATACCACAACCAGCAGCTAGAGAATGTTGAAAGGATAGAAATGCATACCAAGTTCGACAGAAATGGTGGCCGGAAGTGTGAGAACGAGTGGCCGAAAGTTCGTTGAAAAACTGTCCAAAACCGCTCCGTTTCGTGGCTATTTCCAGTGACGGAAGCGGCGGATCGAGGTGTTGGTGGGCTGGAACGGAAAGAGGGAAGTGTGGTGGTTCCAACAGAACCGGTACCGCTCAATTTGGAGGTGTGTGGTGGCAATGGTGACTTCGTGAAAGTGCTGCCGTGAGAGAAAAAAAAATGGGGAAGGGAGGGTCTGTTTTGCAGATCGTGAGAGAGAGAGAAAGAGAGAGAGAGTGTAAGTCAGATATTTTTAATACAAAATTAGTTAAACACCCAATTCTAGATATTAAACTATAATAATACCCTAGACTATTTAAAACATATAAACACACCCAAAATAAACCCAAAAACCAACAGCTGTTGATTTTTGGATTTATTTTCTATGTTAGATTATGGTTTTGACCTTTTGGTCTGAATTCTTTGAAACAGGCCCAAAATTCGCCAGCTAGGATAGGAATTTCTGAAAATTTACGTTGGTGACCTCATAACAGAAACCTGTTTGGCAGCCTCAGTAGATCGAATATTCCAAACGATCTTCGTTCAGTTCTTCGAACGAAGCGAGCTTCGTTCACCTCTTCGAACGAAGCTCAGTATGATGTGGTTTCAAATCTTCTTTTTGGATTCTTCTGAGCTCAGTATGGTGTAGATTGGAGTTCTATTACTTTAATTTTTTTGTTCTTTGTTGTTTGATTTGGTAATTTTTGGATTGATATTGCGCTGCAAGAGACTCGATTGGAGCTTAGTGCGATCTGTGATCTTCGATTTTGAGGTATTCGATTTTTTCTTGTGAATTCATATTCGTTTTTTGAGGATTCGATTATATTGTAGTCTGATTTTTGGTGATTTCATGTTCAATTAATTAAGTTGCTGATTAGGTTTTCGTTTCTTTTTGTTTATAATTTGGATTGATTTCAGATTCGTTTTAATTGTGGATTTGCTCTTGTGTTTTGATTTGAGGTGTGGTGAAAATTTTGTGATATTCGATTTGGTTTTCATATTAATTGAGGTTTTTTTTAGTTGAATCTGAGTATATTCGTGTTTTTTTCTGTTTATGCACTATTGGTTTTTGAGTCGACTATAATTCACTGTTAATACTCGGCATCCACTGTTATTGCTAGTAGTCATTTTTGTTTTGTTTGTTGTTTTTTTATATAGATATGGATGATTCGAGAGTGGCAAAGTGCACCTATGGTGCTGGAACTTTAATGCTTATTTTGTCTTCAACTACTACTTTTGATTGGCTGTCCAACGAGTTGTATAGTAGGTTCAAGCTGAAGTTAGGTCATTTTGAGTTGAGGTACTCTTTTACGGATTGCTCCAATTGTTTATTGGAATTGGATGATGATTTGAAAATCATGTTTATGGTATGTGGACTGACAAATGATCAATTAATTCACATTGCTGTTAGGGATAAGGCTGTAGTGAATTATGTTCAAACTGTTAATACAAACATAATTGCTTCTTCTTTTTTGTTGGAGGCTGTTCCTAACAATGACAGTTTTGCACAAGATGAGGATACATGTAAATATTCAAGTCAAACTGGTAGTATTGTTGATTCAAGTGCAGCTTCTTCTTCTTGTTTGAGTATGGATTTTGATGGTATTAGCAGTGAGTATGGAAATGAATATTTAGGCAAATATGGTAGGTGTGGAGGTCGTCAGTATTTGTCTACTGATTGGGAGGGTTATATTACTCATAAGGGTCAGAAGTTTGAGGGTGGAGTTTGTGAATTCCGTGATAAGTTGGCTAAGTATTTGATTGAGAATGGTTTTAAGATGAAATATTTGAAAAATGAGCCTCGTTGTGTTACTGCTGTGTGTGCTAAGAAGGAATCAAATGGCTGTGAGTGGCATGTGCATGCTGTTAAGTTGAATGTAAATGGATTTTTTTATATTAAGAACTTAAATAATGCACACAGTTGCAGTGGTTTGATCCGTGAAAAGAGAAATAAGGCAATGGGGTCTAGTTTGGTGTCTTCAATTGTCAAAGATAAGGTTCGTAGCAATCCTTTGGTAAGGCCTATTGAGCTGATTACTGATTTGAAGGAGAATTATGGATTGGATATCCCTTATCATGTTGCGTGGTATGGGAAGGAGTCGGCTACTAAGGATTTGCATGGTGATGAGAAGTTGTCTTATGCTCACCTGCCTTGGTATGTGAATGTTTTGAAGGCTAGCAATGTCGGATCTTATTGTGTGCTTGACTGTGGCGAGGATGGTTCTCGTTCCCAGCGGATCTTTATATGTTTTAAGGCCTCCATTGATGGTTTTCGGTGGTGTAGGCTTATGCTGTTCATTGATGGTACTTTCGTCACAAACAAGTACAAGGGTACTCTTCTAGGAGCTACTGCAAAGAATGGAAATAAAGGTATGTAATGTAAATGTTGTAGTTGTTGACTTCCATTAGTGGTATGAACAGTGTAGTTATGGAAATGTAAATGCTGTAGTTGTTGACTTCCATTGAGTGGTATGAACAGTGTAGTTATGCAAATGTAAATGCTGTAGTTGTTGACTTCCATTGAGTGGTATGAACAGTGTAGTTATGCAAATGTAAATGCTATAGTTGTTGACTTTATTGAGTGGTATGAACAGTTTCTATACTGTTCATACCCTGCATCTGAGTATTTTTATGCATTGTAGTTTTATTCTACTTTATGTGGTAACACTATTATAGTTCAAATTAACTAATATAGTTCTCTGTTTCTTGTAGAAGTATTCCCTTTTGCCTTTGCGATTGTATCCAGTGAAACTGTGGACAATTGGAGGTGGTTTCTGCAAAGGATATCTGAAGTCTTGGTGGATGAAGGTAGGCAACTTACATTCATTTCTGATAGGCATGGTGCTATTATCGATGCTATTAGGACTGTTTTTCCTGCTTCTCCCCATGGTTTTTGTCTATATCATTTGAAAGAGAACTTGAAAAAGAAGTATCCGCATGCTGTTGGTTTCTCTTTCAAGGTTCTTATTTTATGGCTTTTTTGTAAGTTGTTGTATGCACCGACTGTTGAGGAATATCAAGATACATTGAAAAAATTAAGAGATGATGGCGGTTCAAAAATAATTGATAAGTTTTTGGCTGATCTCCCTGTCCAAAATTTTGCTAATGCATTTTTTCCGGGAAAGAGGTATGGGGGAGGTTAGTAATGCCTTGTCCGAGTCGTTTAATTCATGGGTTAAGGATGTGCGTAGGCTTCCAATTTATGAGATGATTGACACTGTTAGGATCAAAATGATGGAGATGATTTCTAGGAGGAAGCTTGCATCCGAGAAATGGAGTAGTGTTTTGTGTCCTGTTATTGAGGATGAGTTGAAGAATTTAGCTGCAAAGGGTCGTCATTGGAGGATATGTCGCGCAAGTGAATCTAATTTTGAAGTTCATGCTGATTTGAGTGTTATGGTCAATTTGGACGAGAGGTTTTGCTCCTGTTATCAGTGGCAATTGCTTGGGTTTCCGTGTCAGCATGCGATTCAAGTTATCCAACATTCCAGGTTATGTTTGTACAACTTTGTGGATGAGTATTACAAGGCAGACTTTTATAGGGCTACTTATGCAACCCCTATATTTCTCATACCTGATATTGAGAAGCCTCCTCCTGAAGATGTTTTTCTTCTACCTCCTCATACAAGAAAGCCTCCGGGACGACCTCCGACAAAGCGCTTCAAGTAAAGCAGTGAAACTAAAAGGCAGGTAAAGTGAAAGAGATGCGGTTCTTGTGATCGTCATAATAGGAGAACTTGCAAGGTTCCTATTTAATGTAAAGGTTCTGGAGTATAAAGACTTGAATGAGAGTAGTTAGTTTTTAACTAGTTAAAGTGTTATGTGATTGATTAATGACAATCATAGTTGAAAGGAATAGAAATTGATATGCAAGTTGTTAATACGGTGAAATAGCAGTCACTGCATATGAATACACTTTGAATTTTTGGTATTAATACATAATATTTACAATTTTTGGTATTTTGCAAATTTTGGTTTTGAAGTTTGATATGAATTAAGTATTACTGCTGTTTGAATAATCTATAAATGAACGAACACTATTTAATGCTCACTGTTCATGCCATTGTTGAAATTAAAAGATAGTTCTATGACATGGTATTAACAATTTATTTCTATCAAATAACATTAACATTGTATTGAGAGTGCGTTGTTATTTGTTGTAGTTCACCTTTTTAGTTGTTTTAGTGTTATGGAGACCATTATTTCAGGTTACATACACTGTTAATTCACGTAAATAAACTGGTTTTTGAATAAGTACATAACTTGAATTTGAAAATCACTTTACTTCAATGTTCTAAACCTATACAAGTCCTAAGAAACTACAATATAAGCAAGAATTTTGGCAAAATATTTGATTATAGCTTCATTCTTTTGCATTTCTCTCTTCTCTTTCTTTGATGGAAATCCAACTTCTTTCATTGCTCATAATTTTCATGAGGACTTCTTTTCTCATTTGCCAAATCTTTTCTTTGTTGAAATCTGATTCTATTTGTTGGTCTTTGGAAAGCTGCTTCATGAAGTGCATGACAAAGACACCACAATCATTGTTGCATAATAGAGATATGCATGCATGAGTTATTTCAGTATTTTTTTAGTTGAATAGGATGAAAGTTTCACTGTTATTGCGTAACTTACGAATTGTTTGCTTGTTGGGGACATTCTCTGTTCTCAATCAGCTTGAAGTTAGTAGTATCATGACAAATCAGATACTTCATTGTCTGAGCATATTCTGGTGTAAGTTCGTTGCTGACAAGTATTTTTGCTATCATTCTAGCTGAAGCTTCATGAAGCCCTCTCGGCTTCTTGGCATCAAAATCAGGAATTTGGATGAGTTTTGTTTTCAGTGATACTGCAGCACATTCCTTAAGAAGACAGAGGAATATATTTGTTGTCTCAACCTGCATCATAGTCAAGTATGTGCTTAGTTTCCTTTAAATCTAGTGTCCTATGTATTAATAGTGTTAATTACCAGTCTCACTTACCAAAATAATTACCTTCTTGTGATAATATTGGAGAGTTTGTTCTGATGTCCCCCTGAATGAGTTGAAGTGTGTCCATTTTGCTGCACCGGTGTCAAAGACAAGCAGCGTATGGTGGTTCTCATCTGTAATTAGTATGAACACTCTATCAACTCTTCCAATATTTTCTAGGAGTGGCATATAGAAAGCATGATATGTCAACTTGTGGGAGGCACCTCGCAAAAACATCTGCAAAAGTCATGTGTTGGTGATTAGTGAGCATGTTGATGATATAAAATTGATGTATTAGATGTGATCTTACATAGTTATTGGCGGACAAATATGCATTTTTATATTTCTGAGGGTTCTGCTTCGCATCATCATTAAGTGCCTCTCCATAAGCATCGATGATTAGTGCAGAAATTGGATCATCTCCCATCAACTTTTCAATGTTATGTTTGTACAATATTGTCCTATTGTGTAGGTAAAAGCGTCCCTGCGACAATAATGTTGTTTAAAAATGATAATCTCATAACAGTTTAATAACAAGACAGTTCTATGACATAGTATTAACAGTGTAATTCTATGACAGTTCTACGGCATAGTATTAACAGTGTAATTCTGTGACAGATTGGCTTGCTCATCATAATCAGATGCTGATTTCCAGTAATTTTCCAACTTCTTCTTTGATATTTCATCCAGCCTGTTGTAGACCTCATACATGTGCAACTGAAGGTATGTATCTTTGTCCTCCTTTTTTTGTTGGCTGCTTCATCTTCACTTTGGCTTGCTCTTTTTTGGCATTTCTTATGTGCTTTGGGGTATGTGTAATCTGGTCTCTTTGCAGGCTTTCTGTCTTTTTTGTCTTTGTTTATTTTGATGCCAGAACGCAACTGCCGTGTTCCTACTTCTTTTGTTTGCATGATAACTAATTTTTCAGGAGTTTTTTCATCGGCGTTCTCATCTTCATCGTTAGGAGATTCTTGCATCTCCAATTCACTTTCTTATGCTATTCTCTCATCTTTTTTCTCCTTATCAGCTTGTTCTTTCATCGTAATTTCTCCTTGTTCACCTTGTTTGAATTTTTTTCCCATCACATGTTGCAAAGAGGCAATAACAATGTCTTTTTCTTTCATGCTTTCAGTGCAGGACAACTTTTTCCCCTTCAAGTAGTTCATGTTGTTCCTGTAGCTGTCTTCTATTTGATTTGAGTGCATGAAGTTCCCCTTGTAATTTTGCACCTTCTTTTTCTCTTGCTCAAGCTGCTTTTTCAGTATTTCAATTTGTTGCTCCAACTCTTCTTTTTCAGTCCATATTTGTTGAATGAATGAATTTTTCTTTATGCAGGATTCTATAGCAGTCGGCATCATATCCCTTCGAGTATCTGCCTTTTCAATCCAATAGTCAACTGCTTCTTTCAGCTGTTGGATTTTCTCATGGGTAGGGGTTATTTCATGCTTGTAGTACTCTGAGATTGACCCCACTATGTCCACAAAAATGGCGTCGAAGTCTTCTTCCTGGCTGTCAAGTTCTGGGTTCTGTTGCTGGACATTAACAGTGTCCTCCTTTGTCATTGAGTCTGCACTAAGGTCAACTGCTTGTTCTTCAATTTCATCATATGCTTCGCATTCCATGATTGTGCTGGTGGTTCTTCAATTTCATCATCTGCTTTGCATCCCAATGATTGTGCATTGTCTTCATTTTACTCATGTTGTGGAGTTTTTGTCTAGGTTGCACTTTGGTTCACATTTTCATGGAAGCTGAAGTTCTGTTTCTAGGTAATAACAGTATGTTTTTTTCCTTTTTGTGTTTGACTCTTTAACTGTCACAAATATTAGAAAGGAAAAAAAAGTATTAGCAAATTTATATACATGTATATGTGTTTGTACACTATCAATTCAGTTTTGAAATATAAATGTTGGATCATTGTAGGTTATCTTACCCAATCTTTAAGTGTGATAACAAAATCATCATCCTCTTCATTTTCTTCTTGTTCTTCATGGTCTGCATGATCAGTCTTTGTTGCTTCTTCTTTTCATTGTTAGCAGCTTTTATCTGTTGAATTATTGGAATCAGTAGTAATTATGGTGTACTAACATTATATATGTTTATAGAAGTAAGAAAAATGCCTTAATGTTTTCATATGTTGCAATATTAAGCTTGATATTGAGCTCCGGAAGGCTCCATTTGACAGCCGCTGGTTTGTGATCTTCTCTTCCAGGAATTGGACGGATCAGGTTAGTTCTTTCACACAGCCAATACTGCAAACATGTTTTTCAATATAAAGTGTTAATGCACATGAAAACAAATAATATAACAGGATTAACAAATGGATGTAGTTTCTTACCAGGATTAGCACAAGGCAACCACTGACACTTGGTTGATTTGTCTTGTCCTTTTTATTTTTTATGGCTTGGTCCAGTCCATAATGCATGTAATCTAAGACTCCTTGTGCCTAATTGTAGCTGTTCATAGCTTCTAATGTGTCGATCATAGTCAAAAAGGTCCAAGCCATTGTCGCCCCAGAGTTGCAAAAGGGATTTGTGATGAAGAGCTCTAGGATTAACAACCTGACAACATCCATTGCATTCTTCTTTCTGTCATCTGCTATTGCTGTGTTCAGACACCTATCAATCTCAGTTGTTGTGATTTTTTTTTACTTCTCGAAGGCCAAATTTGTTCTTGTGGAAGTTGTTGTGCTTGACAACTTGTTTCTTTTGTTTGGCAATCCAAAGATGTCAGACACATCATTGCTTGTAATTTCATGCTTGTTGCCTTCACTGAATTTGAATTTTTTGGTTGCAGGGTTGTAGAGTCTGATTAGTTTAATTATTTGATAATTAGACTTCTGGCATTCTACCTTGGTTAATTGACCTTCCATGTAAGCCTTGATGATGCTCCAGAGTGGCCTTTTTTGTAGGATCTTGAGGACATCCTTTTTTGCTGCAAGCTTGTCTTTTACCGTTTGCAATGTGTTGTCAAATGTGAGCATGTTGCTCTTGATCTGCAAAGTGAAACAAATAGGTTACTTTAACCAAACAAAAGAAAGATGAAACATAAGTATTAATACTTCTATGACATGGTATTAACCATTTACTTCTATGCATTTGAATCTCATGCTTCTGTTTCTAGGGCACTACGATTTTTTTTTAAAGAAGATCTGAACCTTATGTAACAAAGGATGCTACATATTTTGGTCTTCAAGTGCACTGCAAAGCAGTGCACTAGAAGAGTAAGATACATAGCATGCTATATATTTTGGTCTTCAAGTGCACTGCAAAGGAGTACACTAGAAGAGATAGATGCATAGCAGTCACATATTTTGATTAACAAACGATGCTATATATTTTGGTCTTCAAGTGCACTGCAGTGCACTAGAAGAGCAAGATGCATGGTATTAACAGTTGTGACATGGTATTAATAGTTCAAGTTCTATGACATAGTATGAACAGTTGTGACATGGTATTAATAGTTCAAGTCCTTGTGCTCAGTTGCTTTTTGTAGTGTCGATTTTGAAGACTTTTGGCTATGGCAGAATATAACTTTGATTTGCCGGCTTTCTCATTATGGAGTTTGTCGTTGATTGGTGGTTATGGAGGTTGTCTCCTGCCTGGTGGTTATGGAGGTTTTCGCTTGCTTTTGGAGTGGGGTCGCGTCGCAAAGTTCGGAGTGAGAGGTTAGTGGGTTTTTCGCTTTTTGGGTGCGTGCGTGTACTTTGCGTTGAGATATTTTCGTTTTTTTCAATGGACTTAGTGAAATTGGGCTTTATTGGCTTGTTGAGTTTTCTGAGCTCTTTTTTTAGTTTGTTTGGGCTTTTTTTTTGTCAAATTAGACTGAACCTTTTTTCTATATTTTTCTATGGCTTGCTTGATTTGTTTTGAGCTTTATTTCGTTTTTGACTTTGATTTTCTCAACTTGGGCTGGGCTTTTTGAAAGTCACTGTTAATACGCATTTTGAACATTTGAATCTCACTACACAGTAACTATTTGACATTTGAAAGTAAAGAAGCATCAAAAGATTTTGGTTAGAAGCTACATATTAACAATTTGACATTTGGAAGTTAGAAGCCGAACATTTACTATTTTATAGTTCTAAAATTTGTGAAATCCATGCTTTCATCCTTCATTCTCTTTTGTGAAATACCAACTTTTTTCACTTTCCATTGTCTTCAATAAAACTTCTTTTCTCATTTCCCACACATGCTCTGTGCTCAAGCTGTCTTCAATTTGTTTTTCTTGTGACAACTTCTGCATGTAGTACATGACAAACACTCCACAATCGTTTCTGCAAATGCACACACACACACACACACACACACATATATATGCAACATTTAGTGAATCATAGTTTAATTTGAATTGGGGGAAGAAAAGTGTTATTGTGAAACTTACGACTTTTCAGGTTGTTGGGCGCATTCCCTGTCCTCCTTAAAGTTGATTTTGTGGGATCATGTTTCATCAGATATTGTATTGTTTGAGCAATTGCTGGTGTAAGTTTCAGGTTTCGAAGAAGTTTTGCAATCTCGTTGGTCAATTCTTCATTGTAGACGGGCTTCTTGAACTCAAGAAGTGGGAAGCTGTTTTTTTCTAAAATTATTGGAGCACATTCCTTGACACTATTGAGGAAGACATTTGTTGCGTCTACCTGCATTGTAGGCAAGTATATTGTTAGCTTCACTGATTAATTGTTTTGTTCATGCCTTGTATTAACAGTTCATAGGAGTCTGTCTTACCAAAATTATTGATTTTTTGTTGTAGTATTCAACGGTTTGCTCAGTTTCCCCCCTCAATGAGTTGTAGTGCGTCCATTGCAATGAATTGGTGTCAAAGACAAGCAGGGTGTGGTGTCCGCCATCCGTTATTGGTATGAACACCTTTGAAGTTTTCCCTATGCATTCAAGGAGTTTGACAAAATATTCATCGAATATTCTTGGGTGCATTTTATCTGTGAGATACCTCTACAAAATTAATAGTTTCGGCATTAGAGAGAATGTGAAAAGTATAGGAAGATGAATAATTTGTGATTTTTACTAGAAGTAATGGGATAGCTATGATCTTACGTATGCGTAGCACGTGATGTATGCATTCTGTTGTCTTTTAGGGTCCTTCTTTTCATCATGATGAAGTATTTCGGCATACGCATCTATGATTTGTCCATAAATTTCAGTATATCTTAATAAGCTTTGTATGTCATCTTTGAACAAAATGCTTGTCCCTTGCCAAAAAGCAATGCTGTAACAGTATTTGTAGTTAGAAAAAATGGCAATAAAATTGAAAGAACTGTTCAATAAAGTTCCAGTATAGGGTAATAATACTGCTTGTTTCTTAAAAAACCCTTTTCTAACACATGTCTACCATTGTAAGTAGGAAGGGTTCACTGCAAAGTTCTAATATAGGGTAATAGCACCGCTAGATTCCTCTGAAATCCTATAACTAATGCATGTCTACCCCCTGTAAAGTTCAAGTATAAGGTAATAACACAATGAAATCCTATTTTCTAATGCATGTCAATAATAGCATCTTGCATTGAAAATGAATGAAACACATTCCCTTACCCATCAACTAATTTCTCAGCTTTTCTTGTGAGAGTTCATCCAGCATGTTGTAGACCTGATATGTATTCCATTGCAGGAATGAACCTTTGGCCCTCTTCTTTGATTTGGCTGGTTTTTTTTGTGCCTTTCTCTTTTGTGCTCTCGTCTCTGCTTTAGGGAATGAGGAATCTGGTTTTCTTGATTTTATCTTTTCTGCTTCACCTTCTTTCTTTTCTTCTTTATCCTTTTCACTCTGCAGTTCTTGCGCTAATTTTTGATCTCTCAACGAGACAATAACAGCTTCCTTTTCATTAATAATGTCCAAGTAGGAAATCTTCTCTGCAAGAAGTTGATCATTTTCTAGCTGCAGCTTTGTCATGTAGGATTTTTCCTGATGAACATCTAATTGTATGACTTTCTTGTGATTTGCTGCTTCCTTAACCATCTTCTGCAGTTGCTGCTGATGCTTCAATAATTCTTCTTTTTCATTGTACAGCATCTGAATCAATTTATTCTTTTTAATGCAAGATGCTATTGCATCATGGATCTTTTGATGCTCTCCTTTCTTTGTCCAATATTCAGCAGCATTATTGATCGCCATCATATACTCTTTTGTAAGCTGTATTTCATCCTCCTTGTATTCTGGGACTGATCTAACAATTTCCTCAAACAACGTTGAATTCCGGTATTATGGGATTTCATTTTGGAGGTCTTCTTGTACCTGGTGGTGTTGCTGGACTTGATGCTCAGCAGCATCCTCATGGTCTCCATTCACTTCAGCATCCTCCTCCTCTTCATTTTCTTCTTCAGCAGCATCACCATGCTCTTCATTCACCTCTTCAATAGCATCATCCTTGTCTTCACTCACTTCTTCAGCAGCATCATCATTATGCTCTTCATTCACTTCTTCAGCAGCATCATCCTCCTCTTCATTCTCTTCTTCAGAATCATCATCATTCTCTTCATTCTCTTCTACAGAATCATCATCCGGCTCTTGAGCTTTAGTGCTTTTTATCTATTTGTTGAGTAGAGTTAGTATTAAGAGTGCACTTCTATGACATGGTATTACGAGTGTAATTCTATGATATGGTTTTAATAGTGTACTTCTGTGAAATGGTATCCATAGTTTACCTCTGTGACATGGTATTCATAGTTTACTTCTATGACATGGTATTAACAAGTATGTATATGACATGGTATTAACAATGTTGTCATATCAGCTGCAGATTATTTGAAAGGAAAGAGTACCTTTATCTGGTTGTTCTTTAGATGATGAAGCTTTGCGCTGAGTTCTTGAAGACTCCATTTGACAGCAGCTCGTGTCATTTGTTCTCTTCCAGGAATTGGAGTGAGCAGGTTAGATATTTGACACAGCCAATACTGCACAATATTTTTTTTGAAATATCACGTGTCAATTCATATAATTAGAATAATGCTACGAATTTGCAGTTTGGAGATTTGTGTTTTTACCAGTATTAGGATTAGGCAGCCACTCACGCTTGGCTGCTTTTTTTTGTCCTTCTTGTTCTTCTTTGCTTGTTCTAATCCAAAATACATGTAGTCCAAAACTCCTCGAGCCCAATTATATTTCCCCATCTCTTCTAAGGTGTCTATTGTGGTTGTATATGTCCAAGCAAGTGTACAACCAGAGTTGCAGAAGAGATTGGTTATGAAGAGTTGTAGGATTATCAATCTTGTTACATCCATAGCACTCTCTTCTGTTTCATCTGCAAGTGCTAAATTCAAGCACTTATCAATTGAAGTCTTTGTTATCTTCTTATACTGTGCGAAGTATTTCTCTACAAACTGCATTTTTGGCCTTGTTGAGGTTGTTGTGCTTGGTAACTTCTTGCCACTGTTTGGCAAGCCAAAAATTTCAGCCACATCTTTACTTTTCATCTCACTGTCACCATCATTAAACTTGAATTTCTTTGTCTTTGTGTCATAAACTTGTATGAGTCTCACAATGTCGTAGTTAGACTTCATGCACTCTACCTTTGTTAACCTTCTCTGGATATATGCTTCTATCAATGCCCAAAAAGGTGTCTTTGATAGCAGTGTTAAGACATCGTGCCGACGTTCAAGTCTCTGTCTGATGTTGTCAATTGTTGTTGCAAAAGAGAGCATGTTGCTCTTGATCTGCACATAATTTGGGTCCTCCCATTTGCTTGGCTTCTTGTTTGTTGTTGTTTTGGATGATGACTGTTGACCTTTTGTTTTGGAGTTTCTTCTAGCTCTTTCTTTCTTCATCTTTAATTGGTATACCTGCATTAGAAATAGGAACACGACAGTAAAGCATCGGTGTTAATACCCTATACTAGAACTTGACAGTGATAGACATGCACTAGAAATAGGATTTCATAGGGAATTAGCAGTGTTATTACCCTATACTGGAACTTTACAGTGGCAGACATGCCTTAGAAATAGCCATTAATCAACATGAAAGCAAACTAGCGGCTAAATTAGTGACTAGAATAATGGTCTTATGCAGTCAGTCCTATAGTGAAATCCAATATAGTTTCAAGATTTTGTCTTTCATTCGAATCTAAAATACTGTTATTACCCTAGACTGGATCTTTATAGCAAATCAATATTACAGTAAAGGTTTGGTTTGTAAATGTCTTACCTTTGAAGCGTTTTCTTGTTGAAATGGTTCTCTGAAATTTTGTCTTGGTTAGTGTCTGGTGTTTGTTTTTGAAACGAGATCAATCTTGGTGGTGGTTATGGACTCTCGGTTTGGACGACGATGAAGACGAATTGATGAAGACGATTTGACTTGATGAAGACGATGAGTGAAGAGACGTTTTGCAGAGAAGGTTTAATGAAGGCGCGCATGCTGGAAGTTACAGTTCACTTTTTTTTTTTGGACGAAAGTTATGGTTTGGGCTTGTTTATAAGTTTGGGCTGGGTTTGTTTTGGGTGTCTTTTGAACTTTACAGGGGGTAGACAGGATAATTCTGCTCATGCTTCTTGAGTTGCCTCGAGGCATAAGCAATCACCCGATCATGTTGCATTAGAACACATCCCAAGCCTTGTAAAGATGCGTCACTGTAGATCACAAAGTTCCCCGAGTTATCCGGAAGAGCCAAAACGGGTGCGGTGATTAACCGCTTCTTCAGCTCCTGAAAACTATGTTCACACTCCTCCGTCCACTCAAACTTAACATCTTTCCTCGTCAACCGGGTAAGAGGTGCTGCTATCGAAGAGAACCTTTCCACAAATCGACGATAGTAACCTGCTAACCCCAGAAAACTTCGTACTTTTGTTACACTTGTGGGTTGCACCCAATTCATAACAGCTTCTACTTTACGAGGGTCCACATAGATTCCTTCTGCTGATATCACATGTCCAAGGAAGACCACTCTATCCAACCAAAACTGACACTTACTGAACTTGGCATAAAGCTGCTTCCTTCTCAAAGTCTTCAACACCAACCTCAAGTGCTTCTTATGACCCTCCAAAGTTCAGGAATATACAAGGATGTCGTCTATGAACACAATCACAAAGCGATCCAAATAAGGTCGGAACACTCTGTTCATGAGATCCATAAACACTGCTGGAGCATTCGTCAACCCGAAAGGCATCACCAAGAACTCATAATGGCCGTAATGAGTCCTGAATGCTGTCTTCGGAATATCCTCCTCTCGTACTCTGAGTTGATGATATCCAGATCTCAGGTCAATCTTGGAAAAATACTTGGCACCCTTCAACTGATCGAACAAGTCATCGATTCGAGGCAAAGGATATCGATTACGCACTGTCACCTTGTTCAATTGCCTGTAGTCGATACAAAGCCTCATGGTCCCATCCTTCTTCTTAACAAACAACACTGGTGCACCCCAGGGGGAAACACTAGGTCGAATGAACCCAAGATCAACCAATTCCTGCAATTGAATCTTCAACTCATGCAACTCTGCTGGTGCCTTTCTGTAAGGAGGTTGATGAATTGGATTCGTTCCTGGAAGGAGTTCAATAGTGAACTCGGTTTCTCTCTGAGGAGGCAAACCAGGAAGATCATCCGGGAAGACATCTGGAAATTCACAAACAACAGGAACATCTTCCAAATTCAGAGTGACCCCTTGAGTATCAATGATGTGGGCTAAGTAACCTACACATCCTTTCTTGAGTAATCTTTTTGCCCTTATGGCGGAGATGACACAAGATTGGAGAACTCTACGCTTTCCACGGAATACTACTTCAGGTTGTCCCGGACTTCTAAGTACGACCTCTTTTCGAAAACAATCCACCGATGCCCGGTGTCTCTCCAACCAATCCATTCCCAAAATTATGTCAAGGTCAACCAAGTCCAAGGGAATCAAATCGGCTTCCAACATTGCATCACCCACTTGGACATAACAACCCCTGAAAACCATGTCCGCAAACAGAACATCGCCCGTAGGCAAAGAGATACTAAAACTTCTTGCCATGGGTGTCGGTTTAACACTGGCATATGGTAAGAAACTATGTGCAATGAAAAATGTGTGGCCTCGGGATCAATCAGAACACGTGCACAATAACCAAAAATAGGGATCATACCAGTGATAACATCGGGTGTGGCCTGGGCCTCCTGCTGAGTCATCGAGAAAATGTGAGCCTGAATAGTAGCACGCCCAGACTGACCCCTCTGACCCCTACCACTTCTGCCCCGAACAGTGGACTGCACTCCACTGCTTGATGATGAACTTGCTGCAGACGAGGCAACACCACTCTGTGTCTGACCCTGTCCTCTACTACCTTGCCCCTGTTGGGCCCTAGTCTCCTTTCCAGTAGTACCACCAACAGTAAGAAGAGGGCACTTACTCCTATAGTGCCCTGCCTGCCCACAATGGAAACATGTCACTCCACTCCTCTGGGTAGGGCCACTAGTCTGCCCACATTGTGGGCAATCCTTCCTGACGTGACCTGCTTGCCCACAGTTGTGACAGGTTCCACTAAACTGCCGCAAAGAGTCCCTTGTTGTACTAGCCATCGACTGTTGTCCCGAGTGCTGGCTCCAAGTTGGTCAAGAGCCAGACCTCCCCCTGCCAGAACTGGACCCACGTCCTCCTGACCAACTACTACCAGCAGAACTAGAACTGGATCCACCCCTCTTTGATGGACCCTGACTTGGCCCACCAAAGCCTGATGAGTCCCTGCGGCGCCTACCAATACCTGCACCCATACTGTACTTCTTGGCCACCCTATCCGTTGCTTGGGCCAAGGCTCTTATGGTAGGATATGTAGTGGCAGTGACCACAGCCTGGATATCTAACCACAGACCTTCTTCAAAACGCGTGCACTTGTCTTCCTCTGTGGTTACCAACTCAGGTGCAAACCTGGATAGATCATTAAAATTGTGCTCATACTCAAACACTGACATGGAACCCTACCTCAGATACAGAAACTCGGACTTCTTCGCATTCTTGTAAGAATGCGGGTAGAACTTATCAAAGAACATCCTCTGAAACTCATCCCAAGTAATGGCAGCAGGGTTAGCATACCCTCTGCGGACAGTCTTCCACCAGTGACAGGCATTTCCCTTAAGAAGGAAGGCGGCCAACCGAACCCTATCTCCATAAGGGCACTGGAGAACTTCAAATACCCACTCGACATCCGTAAGCCAAACATCAGCCTCAGCAGGATCAGCACTACCATGAAACTCATTTGCCCCCAATTCCTTAACCCTCTTTATGTCAGAGCCTTCAGTATTCCGTCTCCCTTGTAAGGAGGTAGACACAGTTTGAGTGAACTAAGATAAGAGGTGTCGCAAGTCGAGCTCATTTCCTCCATCTCGCTCTTCGGCAGGTGGAGAGGGTGGAGGTGGAGGTGATGGAGGTGGAGAAGGTGGTGGAGATGGAGGTGGAGGGTTTGCTCCCCATCTCGAAATACGACCACCCGTCGGCCTAGGACGTCGTGGATGCATGATTCTACACAAGGAAACCATAGAATCATTAGTTTTAACCAAGCATCAAAAGCGCGAAAGCCGAAGGAAAGTGAACCAAATGCTCTGATACCAAGCTGACAGGACCCACCCCGGATTTCCTCGAAAACTGGGATGGATCCCGCCTTAATACCGACATCACCCCGATGCCGGGCCCACTTACTAAGAGTAAAGACTTTCTACCAAAAATTTGGCAGAGTCTCCCCTGTAAAGTGAACAATTCCCAAACTTCAACCTGCTCAAAATTCACAATTTAACAATCCCAACCAGCAACATGCTTAAAAGCAAATAAACAGTTTACAACAAAGGCCTCCGACCTCATAAATCAAACCCTATGCGGGTGATAACAAAGCATGTCTACGAATTTCAGTTACAACAAGAACAAAGTTCAACTAGAATGAAATGATGAAAGAGTTCCTACGAAGGCTCAAGATTCGGAAGCACACGATCCGGCTCAGCTGCGGAGCTCAGTCAACTACTGGCTGGGGGGGGCGCAAAATAGAAAATTGTGAGTGGACAAAAATAAAGTTTAGTTCAGTGTAAACCAACATAATATAACCCCACCTTTAGAAAACCATGCAAGAAATCCAAATGCATCCCAAAACCATCATAATCAAGTATATAAATGTATCAAATCAAAACAAGTACCGGATGCCAAGTCTGAAATCCATTAATAATACTTCACAAACCACCATTCAAAACTTATAAATCCCACGACTAAACTTTCGAAAGCGCACCCATTGGCACGACCAGCGAGGAAGTATCCTCACCGAGAAACAAGAACGAATGAGTAGTTATATATATACATACATAATAATATATAATATACTAATATATGTATATAATATAATATAACCAACACCTAGTTGTACCGGGGAACACAATCCAACCGGGGGATTGTTTGACTAGTCCACATAACAAAAATTCCTCAATTCACCATGTGGCTAGGGAGCGTGCCGTCCAACGGGGGGACTAACTCTCAGCCAGCACGTACAACCGAGACACTCAAAGCTCGTACGTCTGTGACCAGTCCTACGCGCGCAGACCATCCAATCAAGGGTCTACAGCAACATCCCGTCAAGGATGCCCCGGTTTCCGAGGAAATCCGGGGTGGGTCCTGTCAAGCACGCCGTTGATAAAGACATTCCACGACACATGATGATATATTACGTCACTTTTGTTTCCAGATATGACGTTGAAAATGTTGTACACAGTCAGTCTTAACTCAGAAGTTGACGTATTAAATGATGTACACACGTCTATTAGTATATCAGAGAAGACGTTAGGAAAACATACCATGACACCTTTTTTTCCACAGGAAACGTTGTTTTAGTACATTTCACGACACATGGTCAAAAAGTAGACGTGAAAAATGTTAATGGCGTCAGTAAATATGGGAATAAACAGGTTCGTACGTCTCTTTTACTTTAAACTATGACGGTGAAATGTGATTTACAACGACAATTATTATAAACACCGTGTTGTTTGTCATGATACAAACTGTTTGTGCCTAATAAATCACGGTCATAAACTGATTGAAGGGACTTCCTCTCGGTCCCGGCACCTACCGTTTTGTTAGGCATTTCGCCTCCCTGAAAACAAAAGAAAAGCTACAAAGGCAGAATCCTCTCGGCCTCGCAACCACAGTATTATAGGCCGAAGCCGAAGGCAGTAAAAGACACGACTGAAGATACTGTGGTTAAATCGCCACATGGCCTCGGGGTCCCACGCCCCATTTAATGAAGTAATGCCTCTGACTATCGCAGCAAACCCACTAGTCGCAAGAAGCGTTTAATGCACAAGGGAAGAAGGGAAGTGACTGAAGTCAGGATTTGGTGATGGAAATCAGAGTGGTTAGGCGCAGACATTCTCACAAGTAGTCTTACGACTTAAGGTCAGATCACCAACCACCAGACCAAGACATTAAATGCGTTCCCACGGCCAAGGGGGCAGAACTCACGATCAGGGCGGTGGCCGAGATTTATCGGGATTTATGGGGGTCACACCACCATGCTTCACGATCCCAAATGCAAATTTGACTACTCACTTGCCCCAATCAGGCTCCACCACGCAGGTCTTTTCAGCCTCGATTGTCCCCCTAGGACTCCTCCTATAAATACTAAGCTCAGGACTACATTCAAGGGGTTCAGACACCAAACCAAAAGCCTCCCACAGAGCAAATTATATTTTCCTGTAATGCACTTTCAATACCTTTATTTGCTTTCCTAGGAGTAGTGGTAGATTGTAAGGAAAATCCATTCATCAATATATCATACGACCCTTGATTTTCAAGGCGCTGGAGCACCATCTCTGTTATCATCTCACTCACCCCATATATCATACGACTGTCGCTCTCTGAGCAACGCGCTGGAGCACCGCCTAAAACCCACCACCAACACCACCACTAAAATGGCCTTGTAGCTCAGGTCGTGAACCTGACGGCCGAGATTAGTTCCTCTCTCGGCCACAATCGTTTGATATGGAGTCGAACGCAAAACAGGCGCATCATTTAACCATCTTCTACCCAAACCTCATCACCATCTCGACGCACGGTAGACCGTGCTGGCACGCCCGTGCACAACCGCACCGCATCCAAAAAAAGGACGTCACGTGTTGACGCACATCCCCTCGGCTCGGAGCACCAGGCCGTGAGATTTGCGCAACCAACACAAACGTCGCATAACCTATCAAAAACGATGTGGTTACGCTCTACTACGTCATCTTTGTTTTTACAGATGACATTTTTGTGTAGTATTGCACGACACATAGTCACCAGGGAGATGTGGAAACAATTAATGACGGCAGCAAATATGGGAAGAACGAGGTTTTACATCTCCTTTATTTTAAATGATGACGGATAAAAGTACTTACAACATTGGTAATCATATAAAAGGCGACGTGGTTACCATTTTCTACGCCATTTTTATTTATAAAGATGTCGTAATTCATTTTCTCACCAAGTCCTAAAAACATAAATTGACGTGGTATATTGTAAAGACGTTTCGTAATAAGAGTGTATCCTCGTGCTTGTGAAGTAAGACGACGGTATATTTATTACGAGGTCGTTTTATCTTCTTTTAAATGTCGTCACTTTTTGCCTTCCCGTCGTGATATCCTGTAACAACGGCTTTTCATTACCGTCGTCGTTTTATTATTATATGCAGTCTTTTGAGTTATGTTTTAGACGGCGGTAAGTACATCGAGGCCGTCTCATTGGAGACGTACGACCTTTTTAATGTCCATTTTTTTAAACCGACGTCTTTAGCATTTTTATCTTTTTATTATTATTATTATTTATTTATAGGTTTTAAGGTCTTCCATTGCATGACGTATGATAAAAAACGATGTCTGATACCATTATGACGTATGTTTTTGCAATAATGTTAACAGGACCGTCGTATTTTGGTACTTGAACTAGATTTTTTGTACTGAAAGCTTTGAGTCCAAACCCTGTATAATGAAAGTGAAAAAAATCCAATACAATTTCTTACAAAATTAATGTCATACACAGCCATTTAGGGCGTAAGTAATGTCATAAATTACAAGCATCATTTAATCCATATATCTTCACACCCATCTCGAATATTTTGACTCCTAAACTCACATCAAATGTGTCAACATTTGGCATCCCTCTAGTAAATGGCTCACACTCAATTCTCATATCACCTAAGACATCATCACCAATAACATCAACATATTCTCTATTAGGCATTGATAACACTACTGACCAACCATGATGCATTGGATTGTCAACAAAAAATACTTGTTTGATTTGAGAAACCATAACAAATTGGTCATTGCTATGTCCAATTTTACTCAGATCTACAAGGGTAAATCCAAGTTCGTCGACTACAAGGCCAGAAGTGCTATCTATCCAATCACACCTAAACACTGTGATTGTAAACTTTTTGTAATCAAGGTCCCAAATATCTTGAATGACACCATAAAAACCCATATTTGAGACAATTAGGTTCTTATCCTTAGCACTAGCAACTTTCGTAGTATGTGCAAGTAAATAAACTCCACTATTTTGAACTGCACGCACATCATTGATAAGTGTATTATTTCCTATATTTTTATACCTTTTATATGTAGGTTTTGTAGGGAAAGTTAATTAAAAAGAGTATTATTACTTTACTTTCCTTATTTTCAGCTATTCTGCGCTCTTGGAAGGATTTCAACTGAAAATTGACTTTTCGAATGCATTTTAGTGCAAGGCCAATTCTAGAAGAAAGCTAAGACATTGAAGATCATTGTATCAAAGTTTCATAATTTTCTACCAAGCCAAATGCTCCAGACCTGCAAGTCAAGACAGCCTAAGTTGAAATCCCGTCAGAACTGCACTGCTGTGGAAGATTGAAGATTTGAATATTTTTCCGATTTTTCATAGTGGCATGTAATATATGCTTGGAAAGCTTAGAGATAAACCTACTTTTATCATATTTTTCCAGAATTTTCTAGGAAGTGGAACGACCTCAAAACGTGCGTGCAAATTAGTTGACGTGTTTCCAAGTCAAAGAAGGATTCTTTCCTAGTTTGTTTCCTTAATTGTTTGAGATTTTGTTTTGCTTTAGGAGAGTTTTTCTAGACCTTTTTGAAGTAGGGTTTAGTTGTTTTATACTATATAAGGTCACCCTAGGATATCTTCATACGATCATGTTTTTCCACCATCATCTTCCCATATACAACTTTCATACAGCCACAAATATATCAGAAAGAGAGCCAAGAATTTGTTCTATTGCTGTGGAGAATCCAGAGATCAAATCCATCGGCCAAATCGGTTTTATGACAACAATTCTCTTATTTATCTTTTCTTTTGTCATGAACTAATTTTCCTTGCTAGGGCTACGATGTAGCCTAACCATGAATACTTAATTTTTATAGTTATATTAATTTTTGATTACTATTCCATGTTGAGTATTTGTTATTGTTCTTAATGGTTTGAATATCTGGCCAATATTTAATTGATTTGATGATCCAAATGGAGACCGAGAGGAGATGTTTGGTGTTTGCTTCTTATAACAGATACCATGTCTTGAATGAGTGCCCGAGAGGGACTAACATGACTCATGCAGTTTTCTTGCAGGTTCTCATAGAACTTAATGGGTTCTTGATTTTCTAAATCCGTTGCTCGAGAGAGAATGGATTGTTAATTAAGAATACTTTTGGTTAAGCCCGAGAGGGGATATCGAATGAATTAGGAGAAACCAACTGTCAACATGGGTAGTAATTAGGGTTAATTGGCTATAAGAATTAAGTGGAATTGGTTATGGTGAAATCGGATGCTCTAGTGTCTCATCATCTTGATTTTCTATCATTAATTAAATTTCTATTTTTCATAATTGTTTTAGTTTACTTAAATCAATCAATCTTCTTAATCATCTATTCAAATAAACTTCTGAATTAATCATAATTGGTAGTTAATAGGAAATTACAGTCTTCATGGGAACGACACTCTACTTATTTCTATATTACTTGTATGGATTGTGCGCTTGCAATAATTTCACAACAAGTCATCTTGTGCCTTGGTGTTAAATTTAATACCTTTGATAAGATAGCTCCTATATGATGGCACTGCCATGCTTGGACCAGCTGCGAGTCACCCCAAATTTTCTGATACACCATTATTGTCTTCCCCATTAAGTTGACTTTGAACATGCAAATGAATCATATCTTAATTCAATCTAACATAAAAAGAAGAAAATTAAAAGTGCAATATGTTATTCAATTTCATATACCTTAAAGCGTAGCCATTGAATGAAAGTGGTAATGTGCTTATCTTGTAGCCACTTTATTCTCTTTCTAAATATTGGATAAGTGGTCTTGATGTGGATCATATGTTCTCTACATAACACGAAAAATTCAAGCATTACAGTCTCAAACATATCAGATAAACATAAGGAATATAATTTAAAATGACTACTTAAGAATAAAACCCATACTCGATATAAGGTAGAACTTCCTCCGTATTCTCCAAGAGATATAGATGTGCCTGATTCAACAAGTTCCGATAAACTAAACTCACTATGCAACCTGATAAGGGCTTTGAAAGTCCCATCTTCTGGCTTGATGGCACCCCAACTGTACTAACATCAGATAAATGCTCGGTGCAAAACTCTACAGCTTTTTCAGCTATATACAGCTCAGCAATGCAACTTTCAGGATGATTACGGTTCTGAACATACCCCTTTAGCACTTTCATATATATTTTGAACGGATACATCCATCTAAAATAAACTAGCCCACATAGACTAACTTCTCTGACAAGATGTACTACTGGATGAACCATGATATCGAAGAATGAAGGGAGAAAGTACTTCTCAAGCAAACACAAAGTTACTATTACATCTTCTTCCAACTTATCTAGCTTGGAAACATCTACCGTCTTTGCGCATATAACATTGAAGAAGAAGCACAATCGATTTATTGCATACCTTGCAGGCTTCTCTAACATAACGAATTGCCACAGGGAGCAATTGTTGCATCAAGGTATGACAATCATGTGAGCCCAAGAAGTCTTGAATCTTTTAAAGATACAAGATTTTTAATATTTGAATAGTAACCTTGAGGGACCTTCATACCATAGAAATAATTGCAAACCTCTCTCTTCTCTGCTATTGACAAATTTCAAGGCCCTAGAGGTAAGCGAGTACGTCTTTCTCCATACTCGGGTTGCAAATCAGTCTTGACCTCCGTGTTCAATAAATCCAAACGAGCAGCAATCTCATCTTTATTTTTTCCAGGGATCTCCAACAACGTACCAATGATACTATCGCAAACATTTTTCTCGATGTGCATAACATCAAGGGCATGCCTCACAAAAATGTATTTCCAGTACTCGAGATAAAAGAATTTTGATTTCTTCTTCCAACAAACTCTGTCACCATCATTTTCACTTCCACCTCCACCTTTTTTTAAGCCCCATTTATAATTAATACCTTCAACCATTTGTAACACTTCTTCTCCGGTTAATGGCTTTAGAGGCGTGTCATATTCAGGTTTCCCATTAAAAACTGCACGTTGCCTCCGATATGGATGATATATTGGTAACCATTTTCTATGCCCGATGTAACATATTTTGTGGCCATTTTTCAACCTGTGACTAGGTGTCTCATCACCGCATATTGGACAAGCTTTATATCCTTTTACGATACAACCAAATAAGTTTCCATAATTTGGAAAATCATTAATTGTCCACAGTAATGCAGCTCTTAGTGTAAAGTATTCTCCTATATGAGCATCATACACTACTTTAATCCCATCCCACAAAGATTTTAAATTAGCAATCAAAGGCTCTAAGTAGACGTCTATATCATTTCTGGGTTGTTTCGGACCGGAAATCAATAAGGTCAACATCATGAACTTTCGTTTCATGCATAGCCATGGTGGGAGATTATATATAACTAAGATAACTGGCCAGCAACTATATTTGGTACTTCGAGAACTGTGGGGATTGAATCCATCAGATGAGATAGCCAATCTCAACTATCTGTAATTCATGGGTCCAGCATTGGATCCTTGAATTCTGGCGAACGTTGGTGTGCTTCTCTCCAATACAGTATGTAGTTTTAAACAATATGAAATAGTTCAGAGAAAGATGATCGTATTATGGCCTAGGACTTGTGGTTTTATAACAGAACTGAACCCCTTCAAAATAGCAGTTAGTATCAGTTATACCTGTTCAAATTCAAACAGAAAGATAAGTCTTTTTGGTTTGAATTTAACTCCTGCTAAAAGAAATCTGAAAAATAAAAATAAAAATATTTATTTTATTTTCGGGCTGGGTGTATTTCTTTTATTTTTCAGAGACCCCAAGAGCTCCCACTGTTAGGAAAAATTAGTAAATGTTATGTACTATAGGATCACTATATTAATACACAACTCTAAAATGTAGACAGTAACAAAATATGAAAACTGTATAAACGTGCAGATATAAATGAAGTCCTAAATACCGACTTTTATTGAAGATAGAGGCTTGCATATTCGCAGTGTTCTAAAGACAGAATTTCGCCTCTTCCGAGTGCTTGAAGTTCAACAAGCGTCTATCTCCCAGGATTCAACTATCTGTAATTCAAGGGTCCAGCACCGGATCCTTGAATTCTGGCGAACATTGGTGTGCTTCTCTCGAATACAGTATGTAGTTTTAAACAATATTAAATAGTTCAGAGAAAGATGATCGTATTATGACCTAGGACTTGTGGTTTTATAATAGAACTGCACCCCTTCAAAATAGCAGTTAGTATCAGTTATACTTGTTCAAATTCAAACAGAAAGATAAGTCTTTTTTGTTTGAATTTAACTGCTGCTAAAAGAAATCCGAAAAAATAAAAATAAAAATATTTATTTTATTTTCGGGCTGGGTGTATTTCTTTTATTTTTCAGAGCCCCCAAGTCTTGATTATTTAGATATTATTATTAATCAAGCAAGCCAACCATGATAGCCTTCACTACCAAGCCCACCAATCTTATTTAATTGGTGTCATGGTTTCATGCTTATAAAGCATGTGGAACCTTTTGTTTTCTCCAATGTGGGACATTTGCTTTCAAATTTCCAACACCCACAACTAGCGACCCCTCAAGCGGCAACCACAACCAATGATGTGCTCAAATATTCGACATTTATATATGATATTTCTCCATGTTTACGCCTTTGTTTTACTCTTTTATATAGGTTTTACACTCTTGTATTACTTTTTTAGGTAATCACAAGCGAATGGTGGAAAATGAGCTAAAAAGAGAATGTTGAGTTTGAAAGGCCTGTGCAGATCAGTCAAGTTCACGGATTATACTGTACTGACTCAGGAAGAACCAAAAGCCGAGCCACATATTCTTCGAAAGCTACGGATGTGTATTTTCTGGGGAATTTTACGGTTCGTGAATATCATTTTTCTAGAGGAAGTTATGGTGGTTTTAGTACAGGTAGTTCGGCTGTGCGAGAATCTGCAATCTTTTCTGAAGTCCAAGTTTTGAGGCCCAAATCACATCAATTGGGCCAATGAGGAATATTCCTATTTCCCAGGGGTTTATATGTCTGAATAAAAAATATGTCAGGTTTGAGAAACGTGGAGAATAATGTTAGCGAGATCCTAATCTTATTAGGATATTTCTTTCTTATTCTATTAGGATTTTATTTATTTCCTTTTTGTATAGTTATTATGTAATTAGGACTTTTCTTATTTCCTAGTATAACCCTGCTAGGGTTTGTAACCTTGTATTATAAATACCTCCTTTCGGAGAATGAAATAAATCTGAAAAATATTCTACCCATATTGTTTGACTTGGCATCAGAGCCTACTTTTCTGGTGACCTGTGTGTTGTGCCCACCCGTGTTCTATCACCATTTTTTTTTCTCTACCTGTGCCGTGTGTGCCCTCCTGGGTTTGCGTGTCGTGTTGTAGTGTTCGTGCATCTACTGTGTTCGTGTCATTTCTGTCTTCGTGCATCTGCTGTATTTGTGCCTCTGCTATATTCTGCCGTATACTCTACCGTAATCTGTTGAATTTCTGCTGCAATCATGGGTGATAACTCCATTGTTGGTGTTGTTGCTGCTGCCTCTACAAATTTGTGTGTCTCTGATTCTATTCCAGGTACTGGCTCCAATACTTGGATAATTGACACTGGTGCTTCTGATCATATGACTTATGATGCTAAATTTTTTGATGAGTTGTCTAGTAACACCCGTGACCCATACATAACTAGTGCTAATGGCTTGCCCTCTCCAATTACTGGTGAGGGCACAATCTCTCTCACTCCTACTCTGTCCTTGTCTCGTGCATTACTAGTTCCCAATATCCATTGTAACTTGTTATCTGTTGGTCGATTACTTGATACACTTAATGCTTCTGCTACTTTCTATCCTACGCATTGCTCTTTTCAAGATCTCAAGACTCACGAGACGATCGGGCATGGTAAACGGATAGGGGGGGTTATATTATTTGACATTGCCTTCTGCACCAGTTTGTAATCGTGTCGTTAATACTGTTCAAAGTTGCAGTGTCAAAGACAAACAGCAAATTTGGTTATGGCATCGTCGCTTGGGACACCCATCATTTGGCTACCTTAAGCGTCTGTTTCCATCTTTATTCCGCTCTTGTGATGAGTCAAGTTTTAAGTGTGAGACATGTATTTTGGCCAAGAGTCATCGCACTGTGTTTCCTTTGAGTGACAATAAAGCTGCAAAGCCTTTTGATTTAGTGCATTCTGATGTGTGGGGTTTGGCTCGCGTTACTTCGAACGGATTTCGTTGGTTCGTCACATTTATTGATGATTGTACCCGACTCACTTGGGTTTTCTTGCTGAAAAATATACATGATGTTGCTTCCATCCTTCCAGAGTTATGTACTATGGTGTCTACTCAGTTTAATGCTCAGGTCAAAGTATTCCGGACTGATAACGGAGGTGAATATGTGAATAACACTTTGGCATCTTTCTTCCTTGCTCAAGGTATTATTCACCAAACGACAACCCCATTTACTCCTCAGCAGAATGGTGTGTCTGAATGCAAGAATCATCAGTTACTTGAAGTTGCCCGCTCCCTTATGTTGGACATGTCTGTTCCCCATCATCTTTGGGGGTATGCTGTTTTATCTGCTGCCTATTTGATTAATCGTACTCCTAGCCGGGTTCTTGATTTCAAGACTCCACATGATGTGTTTGGTGACCATGTTTCCCCTGTCTCAGTCTCCAAGTTGCCCCCTAAAGTCTTTGGGTTTGTTGCCTATGTTCATGTCTACTCTCATCAACGGAGTAAACTTGATCATTGTGCTCTGCGATGTGTTTTTATTGGGTTACTCGTATACTCAGAAAGGTTATAAGTGCTATCATCCACCTACCTAGAAGGTGCATGTTACTTTGGACGTGAATTTTCATGAAGAAGTGCCCTATTATGTATCTCCCTCCTCTCCAATTCAGGGGGAGGGGGAGTGAATTGGAGAGTCTTGGATTGGAGAATGATGTGTTTGAAGATGCTTCTCTTGGGAAGGAAACGACCTGTCGCACTGAAGCAAGTGACCGGTCACCCATATCTGAAGATGAAACTTGTGGTCCCTATGAAGAAACTACTGATCGCCCTTTGGAACTCGATCATTTGCCCATATCTGGAGATGAAGTAGGTGCTCTCGGTGTCACTAAAGCAAGTGACCAGTCGCCTGTATCTGAAAATAATGACAGTGATTCTTGTATGGATGAGTTCAATGTAATACCACCATCTGCCCTGCTATTGCCCCAATCTACTCGTGATAGTGAATCAAGTGAGGTAATTTCTAATGATCTACCTGTGTCAACTTATCAGTTACCCCCACGAACCACTCGTGGGAAACCTAAAGTACAATATTCTCCTGATATACATGCCAAGTCTAAGTATCCCATTAGCCATTTTGTGTCAACTCATCGTTTGTCTAAGTCATATGCATCATATTTGTGTCAATTATCTAGTGTATGTGTGCCAACTAAGCTGCAGGATGCTTTATCTCACCCAAAATGGATGGATGCCTTGAACAAGAATAAAACATGGGATTTAGTTCCTTTGCCACGATGGAAGAAAGCTGTTGGATGCAGATGGGTGTTTACTTTGAAGCATAAAGCTGATGGTTCCATTGACCGTTACAAGGCTAGATTGGTAGCAAAGGGTTATACTCAGACCTTTGCTCCAGTGGCAAAGCTCAATACTGTGCGTGTACTATTGTCCTTGGCTGATAACTGCGACTGGCCCTTATTACAATTCGATGTCAAAAATGCATTTCTGCATGGTGACCTCAAAGAGGAGATTTACATGGTGACCTCAAAAATGCATCTCCCTCCTGGTATTCCTGTAACCTCTAAGAAGGGTGTTGTGTGTAAGCTACGGAAGTCTTTATATGGATTGAAGCAGTCCCCAAGAGTGTGGTTTGGGAGATTTGCAGCATCTATGAAGAAATTTGGGTATGTACAGAGTAACTCAGACCATACTTTGTTTCTAAAGCGTCGTAAAGGTAAATTGACAGCTTTAATTATTTATGTTGATGAAATGATTGTAACTGGAGATGATCAGGCAGAAATGCAAAATCTTCAGAAGTATCTGGCTTCCGAGTTTGAGATGAAGTCATTGGGTGATTTGAAGTACTTTCTTGGGATTTAAGTTGCTAGATCTAAACATGGTATTTTTCGGTCTCAAAGAAAATATATTTTGGATTTACTTGCAGAGACTGGAATGTTAGATTGTAAACCAATTGATACACCTAGTGAACAGAATCATAAGTTGGGGTTGTATCCTGATCAAGTCCCTACAGATAAAGAGCGTTATCAACGAATTGTGGGGAAATTGATTTATTTATCTCATACACGTCCTGATATTGCATATGCAGTGAGTGTAGTGAGTCAGTTTATGCATTCTCCTAGTGAAGATCATATGGGTGCTGTGATGCGCATCTTGAGGTATCTGAAAGTAACTCCTGGAAATGGGTTAATGTTTTGCAATTATGGTCATATAGATGTGGAAGGGTATACGGATGCTGATTGGGCTGGTTCAGTCACTGATAGACGTTCTACGTCTGGGTATTTCACATTTGTTGGTGGTAATCTTGTTACTTGGAGGAGTAAAAAGCAAAAAGTGGTGTCTAGATCTAGTGCCGAGGCAGAGTACTGTGGGATGGCTCAAGGTGTGTGCGAGTTACTATGGTTGAGAAGATTGTTGAGAGATCTTGGGTTTGGACCCCAGAAACCCATGGATCTGTATTGTGATAATAAAGCTGCAATTGCAATTGCGGATAACCCTGTGCAACATGATCATACAAAGCACGTGGAGGTTGATCGACATTTTGTTAAAGAGAAGTTAGATGCTGAAATTATTTCTTTTCCGTTTATATCATCCGAGTACCAACTGGCAGATGTTCTTACGAAAGCTGTGTCTACTACGGTCTTTCTCAACTCTCTTGACAAGTTGGGCATGTGTGACATCTTTGCCCCAACTTGAGGGGGAGTGTTAGCGAGATCCTAGTCTTATTAGGATATTTCTTTCTTATTCTATTAGGATTTTATTTATTTCCTTTTTGTATAGTTATTATGTAATTAGGACTTTTCTTATTTCCTAGTATAACCCTGCTAGGGTTTGTAACCTTGTATTATAAATACCTCCTTTCGGAGAATGAAATAAATCTGAAAAATATTCTACCCATATTGTTTGACTAATACAAGCAGCAAAAACTTATTTTTTTAGAAGAAAGAGAAAAGGCAGCTGTTGTGCGAGTAAGGAGCTGATTTTGGAGTCTTAAAAATAGAAAAAACAAAGGAGAAGAAGAGGGCAGCCACACCATCCCATTCTCTTCCATCCTTCAAGGTTCCAAGGTCTAAAAGGCGTAGGAAGCAAGGAGAAACGTCAAGGCATCATCCAATCACTCTGGCTGACCAACACATCATCAAAGAGCTATATTCTTCCTCTTTTTATTTTCTGTTTTGTATGTTCTTGCTGTCTATTTAAATTATGGGTAACTAAGTATTTTAGTTAGGGCTTGATTGAAGCCCTAATCATGTTTCTTTAAGGATTTCGATATGCCTTTGCTGTAAACTACTTTTGTGATGCTTAATTGATTAATTTCATATTATATTTTACTCTTTACATACGTTATGTTATGCTTGATCACCATATGCATGTTGTGTATTGAGTTCGTTACATAGGTAAATTTAGATGGCCGAGTCTTGCGCCTGTCAGAGAGTAATAAAAGAACTGGTTATAAGTTCTTGAAATTAATCATCATGAATAACTAGAATAGATACCATGTTCTAGGAGTTGTGTGTTTGTCGGTTTCCATTGTCTTATGCGTTCTTAAAGTACAACTTAGTAGATACAATGCTAAACACTTTAAGAATGAAAAAGTTAGTGTAGATACCCATGCCTAACTTGTTGCTTAGGGAAATCAATAATTTAAAGAGTAGATATCATGCCTTTAGATTGACAAACATGAGCATCTAAAATCTGTTTTGTAGCATTGTGCATGTCGTCTGATTAAGGAAGAAGATTAGCGGTGAACATCGAATCCCTAACTGGTTTTCTCATTGTTTTAACCTTAACCAATTCTGTTTTTAATATTTTATTTCAAAATTTTCAGTTTTCAAAATCATCTTAAAATCGTCCTTTTTAACACCTTGTCTACACCGAGTGCCTTTGTGTATTGCTTAACTTTGATTAGAAATCTTAGGGTTTTGAAATAAGTTTTTTTTTAGGGTTTTCTTTCACTTTTGCATTCTTAGTTGTGCCATTTAGTTAGTAGTTCTAGGAAATTAATTTTAAACACATATTAGTCAAATCCTTGTGGGAATGATCTCATATTTGCTTTCTATACTATTTGTCTGATCTTGTGCACTTGCGAGTTAAAACGTGCATATAGTTGCTTAATTTTTAGGTTGCTATTTGTACAACAACCACCAGCCACGACCACCAAACCCGACCACCAACCACAACCACCTAAGAAGGAGAAGACAAAATAGAAGAGGAAGAACACAAAAATTTCGAAAAAAAGAGAGAAGAAGATAGAATAGAAGAGGAATAAAAGAGAAAGAGAAAAGAAAATTTTTGAAAAAAAAATAAAGAGAAAAGTAGACAAAAGAAGAGGAGAGAGGATGGAGAAGAAGAAGATGAAAGAGATGCATAGAGGAAGAAAGAGAAGCAGAGAGAAATACTAGGAAGAAGAGGAAGAAGGGGAAAGAGAAAGAAGAAAAGTAAAAAATTAAAAATTAAAAAACTTACTTTTCATAGAAGAGAAAACTTACTTTTCAAAATTTTTTTTTTTTTTTTTTTTTTTTTTTTAAAATTTAGTCCAATCCAAACATACACTAAACACAGTACAAATGTTATCCAACTTATGACATGCCAAGTCAATTCAAGACAGTCCCAATATAAGATAATGTGATGGGTTACACTTTGGTATATTTCCCTGTATAATATTTTTTAGAGAAATATTTCTCTATATAATAGTAGAAAAAGATCAATGATAAAAATGTTCGTAATATTCAAATTTGTCTAAACCATTTAAATGATAAAAAATAGAAACCGGAAATTCAAAAAATATGAGCATTTATTGTAGACGGTTCAGTTTTCTTCTATATATTTGGTTGTATGCATTGAGTGCCCTGTCCCTCTCCCTACACTTGATAGTGCAGTAACCCTCCGTTGAGAGAGAGAGAGAGAGAGAGAGAGAGACTGAGGGAGAGAATGGCAAAAACACCAAAAGAACAGAGACACTTCTGGAATACTTTCCCCATTTCGTTTCTCTAGAAGGTATATCGTTTATACTTACCTTTCCTGTTTTCTAGTAATATTCTTTATATTGCTTTTTATTTTCTTTGAAAATGATCTAGGCTGATCCTACAAACTTGATTGGTACTGAATAGTATATGAACTTTTTTTTGGATTTTTTTTTGTTTACTTGTTTCCCTCTTTGTTTTTTTGGCTTCTAACAGTTTTTTTTGTTGTTGAGAAAAGATGGTATTTCATTAAATCGAAAGGAACATTACATGGTAAGAACTACCATGTTAACGGCGGCCTTGTTAAAACCTTCCTAGAGAAACAAAATCCCAAGGTAGGAAAGAGTACCACCCATGCCATTGACTAAACAGAAGAGTCAAACAATTTATACGAAACAAACCAACCTAAACCCCAAACCACAACACCCTTAAAACAACATCCCATCACTACGAAGGTACTATCAAAGAAGTCCTCCTATGATCTAAAAAAAGGCATCATAGTTCTTCGTACAGAGTAAAAAACGTACAATGGGTATCTGTTTGGGCCTAAAAATTCCACACGCCAGCCAAATTGAAAACCGGCCCATAATAGAAAAAACAGAAGATGGGCCTTATCTCCAGAAAACAACCCACGCGACTTTAGAAGCCCATGTTTTTTTGCAAAAAGTGGCAGAGGTTTAAAAAAACATGAAAATAACAAATAAGATTACCATTTAATGGTAACTTAATACCAAGCAGGTCGAAAACCTATAAGAATTGGATTAAACCCAGCTTCTGAAAAATTTTCATCACTTGATCTCAATCCCAAAAGCGAGTCATCAGATCTTTTTTACTAAAGAATGCTTTCTCAAAAGAGCCCCACATGACTTCCTGACTTTGAAAAGTCAAAATTCTCAACTAAAACAGAGGAAGTGATAGGGAATTAATGAAGGCATGTTTTACAGGAGGACTTCTCCATTTTTTACAGCCAGGGAAAGAAGATCAAATCCCCTTTTCATATACAAAGAAGCTTTGCACCAAAGCAGGTTATATTTCCAAGAGATAAGTAGGCTACGTTCTCAAGAGATAGGTAGGGAGCAAAAGAGTTGTTCACCAGGAAAAGCAAACTGACTATCGTGGCAGATTATGTTTTTACAAGGAACAAACAGAGAACAAGAACAGTTGGTTTTCTTTCAGGAAAAAGAAAGGAAAAGACCACGATGAAAACTGACTGCTGATGGTTCTTCTCTGCCAAAATAATAACTTCCCTTTTTGTGGCATTTGAAAGGGAAGATCTTTTTGAAAGATCTACCGCCCAATATTTAAATTAAAAACCCCACTCTAGTATTTTCTATAAATATGAGAGGAGGTGAACAGATCAAAGGACAGCCAAAAAATCAATCAAGACAAAAACTCTCAAAGTCATACTAACAAAAATCAAAAAGATCAATTCATCTCAAAAGCCTTCAGACACTGAAGCAACCAAAACTCTTTGATCCACAAGATACAAAACCAGATAGAATTCAAATTTCTTATTTCAGTTCAGTTCAGAGAAACAGTTTTACAAAGCGAGATTTCTCTCATTACAAATTTGGTTCAGCACAAGCCAAGTCAAGCAGAATCCAGGTTTTTACAATATGAAAACCTCAACAAATTTACAGAAATCCTTGATCAAGCAAAACAGGCACTATAGTGCAACTCCAGCTCAGTGATCGTCAATCCAGCCACTTCTGCCCCTGCAGATTAAAGACGCCCCAATTCTGCCCGTTCAAAGAGCCTTCCAAGGCTTGAAACAAATTAAAGCTCTGCCAAACTCAAACATTGGTATCAATTTCTAGTTGAAACTCATTAGTTGAAGGTGTTGACAAGCCAATCCAGCACAAATCCATCTAGTCCAATCCGGTTCAGAGGCAGCTACCCAGGCAAAAATCGAAGTCCAACATTGTGTTGTCTTTTTTCGGAGTTTCCATTTCTCTTTTGAGTCTTATAATAGGCAGTTCTGCCCAAGCAGTTTGTCTTCTTTTTATTTTTTCTGGCCAAAACTACCAATTTTGTACTGTGAAAAATTGTGTAGTCCTCACTAGTCCGAGGCAAGAAAAGAACTTACTTGAGAGATATTCCTCACCCAAATTCACAATTGCTTGTTTAAGAATCAGTAACTTGGTGCGCAAGTTATCTATTTTTTAGAAGTCTGCTAGGATTTTAAACTGCTAGCAGTGGCACGTTCACTTATAAAAGAAAGTTGACTTGTTGACCATCAATGGTTGTCAAGCCAATGAGGAACTTTACCCTACCATCACAGGATTAAATAAAAAATGGGTGAACAATTTGGCATGCCCAATGGGACTTCTCAGTATACGTAATCCTAGAAGATATCTCTTGGTGTATGAATATTGGAAGCACTAGCCAGAATCCACGCTTTACCATGGAAAGAAATCAAGCAGCTCTCCAGGAAGGACATGAATTAGAGAGTGACGCTACGCATTCAGCCCATGGCAACACCAGGAGTAGATGTTCCAGATCTGGTTCTAGAAGGATAAACCAGATACAGGATGCTATGCTCCGACAAGAGGCTGCAGCCCAAAGGAGCCAGGATACTCTAAATAACATGACATCCATGATGCACTAGCAAGTCAACAGGCAGTTCAGGAAGGATCATGAGGCTTCTATTGCAAGAATTCCAAACCCAGATGTTGTGGTCTAGCAACTAGACCTCCCCTTTGGACCTCCACCAGGATAGGCGAGGCCATAGCAAGAGAATCCTCTCATCGCACAGATAGCTGGAGTACCAGGAGAGGGAGAAATCCAGGCTGGACAAAGGGGAAGAGCCTTTCTCATCCAAGAACACGAAGACCCAGTTCCTCTAGAAGGCCTTGCACTAGTTCAGGCCCCCCAGATTCAACCAGAACCTCCACCTATTCCACTACCAGCGGTCCCACGCGATTAGCCAGTAGCACTTCTGCCTAAGCAACCAGTTGTAGGGGACTTTTTCTTCCTGCAGCTATAATGGGCTGGGCTGCTGTAAAGGGCAGACTGAGGAGACTGTCCCCTTTGTTTGAGTTCGAAAATTAAGCCCCAAAAATACTTCGAAAGGGATGCAAAGCCTTAGGAAATATTTTGGTTACCTTCACCAACCAAAATAATGGCTGCTTACAGGTGGTTTTCGCATGCTTACATATAATATTTTTAGCTCAGCGTGAGTGGCATGTGGTATGGGAGCAAAATCAACATGAGTTTAGCACATATAGAGAATTTAGGCTTGCTTTATGAGAAAAGAAAGTGTTAAGGTAAGAAAGGAGATGTTTTGTGAGGGATTTGGCTAAGGAAAGAGAAAATGAAGAGCAGAGTTCTTCTGGCAGCTGCCAGAAGAACAAAATGGAGAAGAAGATGAACAGTGCACGAGGCTGCTGGGTTTTAGCAAGTTAGAGAGATGGCTTGCTCTCTGAATTTGAGTTGCCTCTGTTAGGTAGGGGAAGCCTCAATTTATAGCCGCTATTTTTTTTTTTTTTTTTTTTTTTTTTTTTTTTTTTTTTTTTTTTTTTTTTTTTTTTTTTTTTTTTTTTTTTTTTTTTTTTTTTTTTTTTTTTTTTTTTTTTTTTTTTTTTTTTTTTTTTTTTTTTTTTTTTTTTTTTTTTTTTTTTTTTTTTTTTTTTTTTTTTTTTTTTTTTTTTTTTTTTTTTTTTTTTTTTTTTTTTTTTTTTTTTTTTTTTTTTTTTTTTTTTTTTTTTTTTTTTTTTTTTTTTTTTTTTTTTTTTTTTTTTTTTTTTTTTTTTTTTTTTTTTTTTTTTTTTTTTTTTTTTTTTTTTTTTTTTTTTTTTTTTTTTTTTTTTTTTTTTTTTTTTTTTTTTTTTTTTTTTTTTTTTTTTTTTTTTTTTTTTTTTTTGGGGCACTATTACGAGGAATGCGAAACAAATTTGTACTAACATCTCCACATAAAACACGGCAGTGAGGTACAAGTAATAAATGCCATTTGATAGTAACAACTAAGCAAAGCAAGAGAAGGCTAAACGCAGCCATTAAAAGAAATTTTAAACTTCAGAATCAATATGAATTCACAGTAGCATAAACGCATTCCTAGTTCAGCAGAACTTGTATTGGCAAGGCCATAGAAACTCAATGATAGGACAACTTCATAATTCCTCCACAGAGGACAGACACCAAGTCAGCAAATTTTGTATTTTTTTCTTCTGACCATGTCGTCAGTGCAAAGAGAGAAGAATATAAGGGGCGCGAAACAGGGCGAGGAATGGAATTGGATGAATTAAGAGTCAATGATCTATTCCTCGATGGGACAGGGACTTGGGCTTCAGTGCTTCGGCTTCCCATACAAGTCCAAATTTGCAGCTAAATTTTTTCAATTCGGTTTTCAGACTTTCAGTCAACGCAGTGGGTTGAAAGTCGGCCTAGGCGGGCGATAGGGAGGCTAGGCGGGGGCTAGGAGTGCGCTAGGCTGTAGCGGTTGCTGGCGGGTGATAGGCGGCTAGGCGGTCCCTAGGGCGGCTAGGAAGGAGCGAGGGGGGCGCCTAGGCGGGTGGGTTCTTTTTCGGCGCCGAAACCCGGAGGACGAAGCAGCGACTGCGAGAGAAGTAGTCCACTGCGAGTGCAAGCTTCGTGGTGGAGGCGAATATATTTAAAAGTTATAGCCGCGCGGCCGTACTTTTAAAATATTCGAATTAATTAGAAAAATATAGCCGTACTTCAAAAATACCACATGGTCCTTATAATCCTTTACCTGACACCTTAAGGAACTTCAAAAACTACCCAATAAGTCCACACATTTCCCAATTGCCACTCACATTGCTAGTATAATTTCGGATGATCGTATTCTTAACTACTCTGCTTAATAGTAACCTATTTCCATGCTCAATGGTAGTGGATATCATGTTATTTGATTCCCTCCACTCCCTAAATTTAGGGTTCATGGGAAGTGGCTTGTTACTTGGGCCTTAATTTTTGCTCCCACGCTGATAATGTTGCAGAAGCCTCAGGAATATGATTTGATGTGGTAGAAATAGACCAGCTTGACCAAATGAGAATACAGTATGCTGATTATTTGCTGATATGCTCTACGTTTTACTTGTTTGGCAGATTGGGGACCGAAGGTTGATCTTGTCGTTTTTTGTTTTCTTGACCTTGCTTCAAATTATGAAGCCCCAGATTCACTTGCGGAGTGGCTTGAAGCTGGAGAACAGCCTGTCTATATTGATTTGATAGCCTTGTGAGTTTGTTGCAGCTTTCTCTATTCATGTTTAATATTCTTTTCCCGGTTCTATCCCAGAGTAGCTCTGTTTGTCCTTACCCTAAAAAAATTACTTGTTCCTTCCCAATTAAAACAATCAACAAAGCCACAATCTCCAAAGAGTGACCACCTTCATGTTGGTCCCCAACGAACAGGCCGTGGAGGTCTATTCATGACAGATGGCAAATCGACCCTTTGGTTCTTCAGTTGTTCAATATCTAATTTGACTGAGGCATGTCTAATACATGCAGAGTATACCTCTGAATTGCATAGTTAAGGTTACTTGATTGTGCATTTGATTGAAATGGTAAATTGTCTTGCTTGCTAAATTTTTTTTATGTGTATTGTATTAGCCTCTTGAAGAACCAGAGAAAATGACCATATTATTCTTCAAGCTCTGGAAATAACTGGACAGAGAGGCGTCATCAACCGGGGCTGGGGTGGCCTTGGATCTTAAAAAAGATTACTTTCAAGCACATTGTATTCTTATGCTTCTTTACATCTGAAAGCCTTCATATATTTCTCTTCTCAGTGGCAGAACCAAGTGATTCTGTGTATTTAGTGGACAATTGCCCCCATGATTGGCTATTCCAACGATGCTCTGCTGTGGTAAATTTCAATGCTTTTAATTATTTTTAATTTGGTTGGGATTTCACTGCACTGGTGTTCAGAACGTCACATGAACTTGATGCACCTTTTTGTCGTTTTGTTGTTTTGTTCCCTTATTGGATAACTAGGCTACTCCTGGTTTCTTACTGGATTTGAAAAAAATTCTTAGGTGCATCATGGGGTTGCTGGGACAACTGCAGCTGGTCTGAAAGCTGCGGTAACTGATAATGTTATATTCTTGGGGAGTCTTACATTTGTAAATGATTCAGTTACTCATTTGGCTCATATTCTCTGTTCTTTTTAGTGTCCAACCACAATTGTACCATTCTTTGGGGACCAGCCATTTTGGGGGGAGAGGGTGCATGCCAGAGGAGTAGGTCCTGCACCCGTTCCAGCTGATGAATTCTCGCTTGAAAAGTTGGTCGATGCCATACGCTTCATGTTAGATCCAAAGGTATTTACCATTTTCTTTTTAAACTTCCAAGCGATTTACACATAATTTGTCCTTTCTTGAGTGTAAACTTATCACAAGTAAAACAAATATCATTCCAAATACAAAGCACTTGCTGCCATGATTACTTTCATATCCAAATTCAGATGTAAAAGCCAGATACAAAATACATGTAAACATGAAGGAAATACAAAGTCCACCACAGTTCTATCATAATTTAGTGATATTTTAAATTAAATGACAGTCCAGTGGCAAAACAAAACACCCCCCATCTCTAGAGACCAAAGCAACACACAACCTTCACGCCACACAAACCCGCTTCATACTTCACTTTCTATTCTATTTTCTCATAAACCAAACGGAATAGTCTAAAAGCAAAGTGATGAGCACATAATTATTACATGTGATATCCCTTAAATGATATTTGTTAGTATCTTATTTGTTTAATTTTGGACTAATTGCTTTGATACGTGGGTATGTGAGGTGTTGTTGTTACAAGGATGGCATAATCAACTTGGACTATGCACAATAAACATATCATGGGCATTCACGTGGGTTGGCAGCAAGATGATGAAAGGCAACCTTTTGGAGGTTTGCACATGCCAAAGGAATGCAAAGAGAGAGGTGGTTGGCCACCAAAGGAGAGATAGCTCCAGCAAGATAAAAAGCATGATGGGATAATGGTTTAATCAAGCATGTTGCAATCGCACTACAATAAGAGCAGCTCCCATTCCTATAAATAGATCATTGATGCAGTTTCCACAGACACCAAGCTCACAATCTTCTCTTGAGCTCTCTCTCCTTCCTCCAATTCTTCTAGTTATTTTATGGGAAACTAAGGCTAGCACTACTACAAAACAAACCCTTGCGCGACCAAATTTTGCGCGACGAATAATTTTTCGTCGCGCAAAGACACTTTGCGCGACGAAACTCAAAACTCCGTCGCTAAAAACCTTGCGCGACCAACTTTTGCGCGACGAATTTTTTTTCGTCGCTCAAAGCGACTTTGCGCGACCAACTTTTGCGCGACGACAATACGTCGTCGCTCAAAGTCTTGCGCGACCAAATTTTGCGCGACGAAAAAAATTCGCGCTCAAAGAAACGAAAAAAAATTCGTCGCTCTAAGTAACTTTGCGCGACGAAAAACAGTTCGTCGCGCAAAGCGACTTTGCGCGACGAAAAACAATTCGTCACGCAAAGCTACTTTGCGCGACGAAACAATTAACTTCGTCTCGCAAAGTCCTTATAAAAATAAATAAAATATTTTTTAAAATATTTGTTAGAAAAATATATTATTGTTTTTTGGATTGGGTTTTTATTAGAAAATATATTTTTTAAATTGACGATCGAATTAGTTCATTGTATTCATATAGGGTCAAAGAGTGTAGCTATAAAAAAATCATCAAAATCGGAGTTAAAATAACCGTTAAATCGTGATTTTTCATTTATAACCGTCGAAAAGTTTTGTCCAATTACTTGATCTCTGAATGTTTATTTCTTCCGATTTTTAGCGTATATGATCTCGAAGTATAAACAAACAAGTTTGACGGTTGGATCGTTCAAACTAGTTTCATAGAATGCGTATGCCATCAAAACAATATATTCACTAACAATTAAGAGTTTATTTATACTTTTGTTAAATATAACATAAGATTTTGTGGTATCCACTAGTGTAAATATTTTAAATTGAAGATCAAATTCAGTCATTGTATTCATATAGGGTAAAGGAGTGTAGCGGTAAAAAATCATCAAAATCGGAGTTAAAATAACCGTTGAATCATGATTTTTCATTTATAACCGTCGAAAAGTTTTGTCCCGTTACTTGATCTCTGAATGTTTATTTTTTGCGATTTTTGGCGTATATGATCTCGAAGTATAAACAAACAAGTTTGACGGTTGGATCGTTCAAACTAGTTTCATAGAATGTGTATGCCATCAAAACAATATATTCACTAACAATTAAGAGTTTATTTATACTTTTGTTAAATATAACATAAGATTTTGTGGTATCCACTAGTGTAAATATTTTAAATTGAAGATCAAATTCAGTCATTGTATTCATATAGGGTAAAGGAGTGTAGCGGTAAAAAATCATCAAAATCGGAGTTAAAATAACCGTTGAATCAAGATTTTTCATTTATAACCGTCGAAAAGTTTTGTCCCGTTACTTGATCTCTGAATGTTTATTTTTTGCGATTTTTGGCGTATATGATCTCGAAGTATAAACAAATAAGTTTGACGGTTGGATCGTTGAAACTTGTTTTTTTGAATGCGTATGCCATCAAAACAATATATTCACTAACAATTAAGAGTTTATTTATACTTTTGTTAAGTATAACATAAGATTTTGTGGTATCCACTAGTGTAAATATTTTAAATTGACGATCGAATTAGTTCATTGTATTCATATAAGGGTCAAGGAGTGTAGCTGTAAAAAATCATCAAAATCGGAGTTAAAATAATCGTTAAATCGTGATTTTTCATTAAGAACCGTTGAAATTTTTTGTCCCGTTACTAGGTCTCCGAATGTTTGTTTTTTACAATTTTTGGGGTATACGATCTTGAAGTATATACAAACAAGTTTGACGGTTGGATCGTTGAATGGTGTGTGTATATATATATATATATTTACTTATTAAGTAGCTTTAAATTTATTTATTTTGTACGTATAACACTTAAGAAATTGGTATATACATTTATTAAGTAGCTTTAACCTTATTTATATTTTAAATCGTAAAAAAAAATAAATTTATTATTCATAACAATTATTTTTATAAATATCGTGCTATGAACCAATTTTTCGTCTCTCAAAAGTTTGCGCGACCAACAATTCGTCGCGCAAAACTTTAAAAATTTGGGTGAGTACCAAAAATGGGACGCGGGATGGAAAAAAAAAATTTTTTTAGACTTTGCGCGACCAATATATATTTTCGTCGCGCAAAAATTTGGCGGGTACCAAAAATGGGACGCGGGAATTTTTTTATTTAATTTTTTTAGACTTTGCGCGACCAATATGTATTTTTCGTCGCGCAAAAATTTCAAAATTTGGGCGGGTACCAAAAATGGGACGCGGGATTTTTTTTTTTTTTATACTAATATTCGTCGCGCAAAACTTTGCGCGACCATATATTTTTCGTCGCGCAAAGCTTTGCGCGACCAATACTCCAATATTTTTCGTCGCGCAAAGCTTTGCGCGACCAACAATGTCGTTCGTCGCGCAAAGTGATACGGTTTTTAAAATAAAAATAACTCCTCCACCATTTTCTCAATGTCTTTCTCTACTCTTTCCTCTCCTCTCTCTTTCCCTCTCCCCAAATCTCACCATTTCTCTCACTCTCACTCCTCTCACTTAATCTCTCATCATCTCTCTCTTCACTATCTCTTACTCTCACTCACTCTCTCATCTCTCTTTTCACTATCTCTCACTCTCACTCACTCTCTCATCTCTCTATCACTATCTTCTCTAATTCTCTCACACTCATTTCTCTCTCTCATTCTCACTCACTCTCAATCTTGCCAAAAGGTAGATTCTCTCCAAATTTTAATTTTTTTTTCATTAATATGTGTTTTTGGAGTTAGTTTTGAGTTTGTGTGGGGTTTGGGGTTGAGTAAAGGGGAGGGATTGGAGTTTGGGTTGGATTTGTGGTATAACAATTTTAGGGGAGATTATCCCTTTTTTTATTTATTGTACTTTGTTAATTTATGTGTACATTTTGAATATTATATATATATTTATTGGATAATTTGATCACTATTTTTCATATGTAATTTTATTTTGAATATGTCAATTTAAATTAAAGTAATTAAATTAAATTTAAAAAGTAAACATTTGAATAAATTAATATAATTAAATTAATATCAATTTAAATTAAAGTAACGAAAAAAATCATACAATTAAATTTAATTTAAAAATTAAAAATTCGAAATAATTAATATAATTAAATTAATATTAAGAAATAATAAAACAAAAAGTCAAAAACCAAAATATTTCGTCGCGCAAATATTTGCGCGACATTAATATTCGTCGCGCAAAACTCTAAAAATTTGGGCGGGTACTAAAAATGGGACGAGGGAATTTTTAAAAAAAAATTTTAAAATTTTTTCGTCGCGCAAAGTTTTGCGCGACCAATATTTTTCGTCGCGCAAAGTGGCTTTGCGGGACAAATATTTTTTCGTCGCGCAAAGTCGCTTTGCGCGACCAATATTTTCGTCGCGCAAAGTCACTTTGCGCGACCAATATGTTTCGTCGCGCAAAGTCACTTTGCGCGACCAATATTTTTTCGTCGCGCAAAGTCTCTTTGCGCGACGAATGAAAAAATTTCGTCGCGCAAAGTCTTTCTCCACGATCTTTGCGCGACGGAATCTGCGCGACGAAGTTTCTGTCGCGCTAAAATTTGTGCGACTATAATGTATTTGCGCGACGAAATTTTCTTCGTCGCGCAAAGTGAAAAATGTAGTAGTGTAGGGAGAAAGCTTTTAATATGAGTATGTAATTTTATTTGTTTGATCTAGGCAAATTTGTGCGGTATCTTTTTCATTTGGTTCCTATATTTACAAAGGTTTCTAGCAAGAGTATATTGCAGCAGCTGTTCTTCAGGACAAATTTACGCAAGTGTTGATTCTCTTGCAGGGAACAGAATATTATGATGGGAAAACAAAGAGATATGTTGATTTTCCAATATCAATCACAGATATATTCCAAATGATGGTTTTGGTCACACATGACTATATAGAATAAAAAATGGAAAGAAAGAAATATGTGAATCAGATTACATGCTTTTCTCCATTTATAATCAACAGTTGCTCAGATTCTACAAGAAAGATGAGAATAGATGTCCATCACAATCCGCCCGCCAAACAATCCATAAACACAAATCATATTACTTTCTGAATATTTGCCTAAAATATTAATACTAGGAATCAGGTTGTTTGGGGTTCTTTAACCTGAGTCTCAAAATAATTACAAATAGTGGCTATACTCGTTAAAACTTAAATATAAATTGGGTATAGCCGTGAGTCTCAAGTATCAGTGGGAGCTGCCTTCGGGGTAGGCCAGTCCACAGTTTCTCAGGTGACTTGGAGATTCATTGAAGCATTGGAAGAACGTGCCAAGCACCATCTCAAGTGGCCTGATTCCAACAGAATGGAAGAAATAAAGTCCAAACTTGAAGAAGCCTTTGGATTGCCCAATTGTTGTGGAGCCATAAATGGTACACACATCATTATGACCCTTCCTACCGTTCAAACATCAGACGATTGGCGTGACCTGGAGGACAATACAGCATGCTCTTGCTCTCTTAGAGATCTCTAATTTGTCCACGCCCAATTCCTTCTCAACCAATGATTCTGAAGAGGAATATTTATTCTTGTGTTCCTTTAAAAGACTTTCTGGCTAGAAGACCATACACGATGGCATTGAAGCAAAGGACATAATTGCATTAATTCATGGGTGCGTTTCTAGTTTATGAGATGTGGCGTCTGCAAGCACATGCTTCTCAGGTGCTGTTGTACACACCTTCAAACAGATGACAGATGGAATATAGGCAGCCAGTTGATCTTGTAGCCCTGCTAAACGAAAATATGCCTGTCTAGCCGGGCGGCTACACCGTGGAATAATATTATATTTAAAGAGTTCAGCCGCTCGGCTATACCATTTAAATATTATTTAAATAGTATAGCCCAAAAAAGCCCAAAAATGGCTATACGAGCTTTACAAGTGCTGTTGTACACTCCTTCAAAGAGGTGACGGATGAACGAAATATATTATATTTAAAGAGTTCAGCTGCTCGGCTATACCATTTAAATATTATTTAAATAGTATAGCCCAAAAATGGCTATACGAGCTTTACAAGTGCTGTTGTACACTCCTTCAAAGAGGTGACGGATGAACGAAAATCGGTGCAGGGAAAAGGATGCCAGTATAGCCGATCGGCTATACCTTCTAAATATTATGAGTACAGCCGTGCGGCTATACCATTGAAATATTATTTTAATAGTATAGCCGTGCGGCTATATTTATTATTTTTTTTAAAAAGGCCAAAAATGACTATACGAGCTTTATATTGTCCTCCCAGCCTGCCTCGCTTCACCGAATCACTTCCCATCAAAGTCTTCAAGTTTAAGGCCAAAAAAGAGGTGGGCAATTCCTCATTTGAGCTCTCATAAAGTCTCCCAAGAAATCAAAGAAAAGCAAGAAAGATAGGAAAATTGAAGAAAAACTTAAGCTTGGTTCCAGTCGAGCCTAAAGCCCCAGAATCTGGCTAGTGGGATAGTTTCTTCAACCCAAGGTTTTTCTTTTCACTAAGCTCAATCTTCAATTACTCTGCTTCTTGCTTTTTAGTGGAATGCATTCAGATTACTTGTAGTTTTAACTAAATTATCTTTATGTTTTGCTTATTTTGGAAAATCTATGATGCACAGAAATCTAGAACAGGTGGTGGATTTTGTTATGTAATGTTAAATTCGGTAATGATGTTCATAATTAGAGCTCAAAACCTATAAAAGGTGCTTTTGTTCAGTTAGGCTGTTGAAAAAATCGGCCCATGCGCTAGGAGGCCGCCTAGGCGGGTCCCTTTTTTTTTTCCTGACTTTAGCTAAATTATGAACTCGCTTCAATTTCTAATGGCCGCTATACAAAAATTTGCTTTTGATTATGTGTTTTGCATCCTGAAAAGAGAAAGATGTGGTCGAAAAGTTATTACTAGAGGGAGCAATAGAGATTTTTGTTAGGAATCTGGTTTGGCCTAAGTTTGGAAATCCTGATTGAATCAGACTTGGGGAATATACAGACATAGAAACACATAGTCGGGCTTTGCTTGTTGTCATAGACTATGAAGCCGCAATTCACCTCTGGATGGTTGACAAGTTTGACTTTGTTGTCTGCATGAGTGCCTATATCGACCCAGTAATTTAGCATGCAAAGGATCTCCTTATTTTCCCATTAATGAGTATATATCTTGTGCAAGTTTTTGTTCCAATATACGATACTTTACTTTGTACCAAACAGATATTACCTAAATTGACGAAGTGGATGTGAAAAAAGCAGGTGACTTTTTTTGTATTTGTAAACACGGATCCCATAACTTGATGCAAAATTGAAATAAAAATAAAAGTTACAGAGAATGAAAACGACATTGACATGTTAAAGGTAGCGTTAGCTGCTCAATTTCATTTGAAGTAATAAAGTTCTGCAAATATTCGAATAACAAAAGCTAGGATGCAAGTATAGAGCTCAAAGATTTACAGATAAGCCTCCGATATTCCAACCCACAAACCACTTTCACCCTACAGATTGCATCAATTGGTAAAGTACAAGGGCATCGCCAAAATCGAATTCCTTTATGATGCCTCAGCAATGATAGAGAGCTGCACAGACACTTTCTCGGCTATTGATTTGATCTCTTTCACTCTCTCATCAACTAACTGCTGGAGTTGCTCCTCCTGATTTGGTTGATTCTCATCTATCTGAACAGTACTAGCAGCTTCACCAGCTTGTGACCTGAACATCACAAATGACATCTCGGGTTCATAATTGCTTGGAACTTCAATCACTTGCTTCCCACCAGTCCCAGAATCTTTTCTGATAAGATCTTCCTTCATGCGATTAGAAATAATTCCCACAAAATCATCCATATAGCTGTCCACATGATCAAGGCCGAGATAAAGGAAAACCTCCCAACACTGAAGAAACTGTTTCTTGTTGATTTTCAAACTTTTCCGGACATCCTCAATGACTCTAGTGTCTGGCATGAGTCGAGGAGTGTGTCTTCTTCGACAATTTTCCTTGCTTTAGTTGTGAAACTGCTGAGCTGACTGCATGCTTGATTGGATCGAACTTATGAAGGCGCAGTACATCAACACAAGTGCGTACATGTTGAAAGTAATTCAATGGTTCTTCAACTGTTAGGTCATAGACGTTTTCAGATATTGCAACATCATTGAAAACCTCAAGAAGGTATCGTCCAAAACCCTTGTGTTGATAAGGAGGCAATACCAATATCTGCCATCAACAAGCAGGCTTGTTAAAACTCAACAGCACCAAGATTGCACAAAAAATGAAATTTATTTGAACTACGGAAGCACCAAGCTGTTTCTCTAGAGCATGCATAACTAGCAACTGATATATACAAGGAGCAAACCTGACCAATCCGCAACTGAGAACTATATATCAGGATAATGGTAAAAACGATACACAGCTGTAAAACCAAGCAACATATTGTAGATTTCCCCCTGCTGATCTGTTTTCCTCTGGATCAGGACATACAACTCCCAGCTTGGATCCACAACATCAATTGGATTGCTACCTAATTCAAAAAACAACAATTGATGTCATATTCTTACACTCCCCCTTCCCATCTTTTCTCCATAAAAATAAGAAAATAACAGAGTGTTCTCTGATGAAGTGAGATAGGTGATAAAATTACCATCAATAAGAAGAAGAACAAGAGGAATCAAGTGACTGTAAAGGTGTCCAGCATGCAATACAACCAAGCGAACAACCTGAAGTTGGCTATAATATAGTACTTCCACGCGGCTATACTAGGTTTTTGCCTAATTTTATTTTAAAAATAGTACAGCCGATCGGCTATACCCTAATTTTTTTAAAATAGTATAGCCGATCGGCTATACTCGGTTTTTTAAAATATTCTGATGAATCGGACTCGAACTCATCACTACGAACGTCTAGGGCACAGAGCAAGCCCGTTCCAGGTTTTGAGCAGTGTTCGAAATATCGGCCTAGGCGCTAGGCGGGAGGACACCGACACCAGGGAGTTCGGGGGGGCTAGGCGGCCTGGGCTGTTCTAGGAGGCTCCTAGGCGGCCTAGGCGGTTCTAGGCGGTGCTAGGCGGCCTGGGCAGTTCTAGGCGGCCTGGGATGTTCTAAGCGGTTCCTAGGCAGCCTGGGCTGTTCTAGGCGGCTCCTAGGCTGCCTGGGCGGTTCTAGGCGCCTCCTAGGCTACCTGGGCGGTTCTAGGCGGCCTGGGTGGATCTAGGCGACGCCTAAGGGGCCTGGGCAGATCTAGGCGGCCTGGGCGGGTCTGAGCTCCAAGGCGGGTCGTGTCCTTTTTTCTCCAAATGAAGACAGACGAAGCTTGCTAGTGCGAAGGAGGAAAGGTGACATAAAATAAGGAAAGGCATAAGAAATGAGGGGTTTGTTTCGTGTGGAGTGAAAGGAAGAGATAGAAAACTGTGTTTCTGTTGTTGAGAGAGTGAGAATTGGGAGACAAATGAAGAGGGAATGAGAGATTTATAATTCCTGGTGGTCTTGGTTGGGGTAAAGAAAAGGAAAAGATAAATTAGTCGTCAACACGCATGCAGGGAGAGGTCGGTTAGTGGAGGGAGGCGCATTGGCATTGCTCACCAATGCCTTTCTGCTTTATTGATTTCTTTCTAGTACTAGAAGCCTAATGTTACTGTCTAATAAAGTCACATAGAAAATCCTTACATCTTCTGCTCTGCAACTACTTTTTTATTTATTTAAATATTTTGACTGTACAAGTGGCATAGCACTGTAGGGGAAGACACCTTCAACAATAATTAGTGTGGTATTCTGTAGCAATCCTCTTCAGGAATGTTTTCAAAATTTAGAGAGAATACAAGCTAATTTCACAGGGAGGAGAAGCCACAGAAAAGCGTAACGCAGTGATGACTTTGATTGCACGCTATGCTTAATATGAACCTGTCACAACTCCTTGTGGGCATGAAATCCTTGTGGGCATTTCATGCCTATTTCAGTCAATGGATCGAGGTGAGTGTTTTGCTGTTACTGATCCTATTTAATTGAGTTAGTCTATATCTTCTAATCCCTTTTTAGTCCTTGACTTGTGTTAAATTTTCCTAGGTAACAAATGTCCTTTGTGCCCAACAGTTCTTTTCATTAGTCCTATAACATGTGCTTATAATAATTGAATGAGATGCTTGTATTATTTGACATCAGAATTATTGCTTTATGGTTTTCTATACCTGTGCTGTTTGTAATGGGCATGGCTGCGCATCCCCCAGGAGTTCCACCTATTATAGATTGAGTCTGGCATTCTCACTTTTACAGAGTATAACAATTAGTGGATTTGTGGTTCTAGATTTTGTCAGCATGATATGTGCTTTTCCATCATCCATTCAAACGAATATACTGTGAAAATTTTCTATTTATAGAGCATAGCCGATCGGCTATACTGCTACAATATTCTATTTGAAGGGTATAGCCGAGTGGCTGCACATTCAAATATTCTATTTATAGTGTAGCCGCGCGGCTATACCTTTATGGCAGCCTATTTAACGACGATATTCAAAGCGTATAGCCAAGCGGCTATACGATTTGAATATAATATTTAATCAGTATAGCCATTCGGCGGTACTATATTTCAATAATTAAATAATACAGCCGCGACCGTACTCTTCAAATATTGGCAGTGGCCATTTCCTCAGGTGATTAAAGCATGGAGGGAAGATTTTCTGTATTTCTCGGACCTTCTCACGTTTGGATGCCTCCTCTTTTGCAGTCCTTCCTTTATCTAGCACATCAAAATGATTGTAATGCGACTAATAAATTCATAAAGTAAAAAACAAAAAGAAATTTTCAGTGGAAAAACAGATGCAACGATAACTCACCAGGTTTCTTTGTAGACCTCCCAGTTCCCCTTTCACCTGTACAACCATTGGCTGGCCATACTTTTGCAGAATGATTAGAACCACCATGGTCCTAGGAACAAAAACAAATGCAACAGCCAAAAAAATTGAAGAATAAGTTTCTAAAACAATTAGTCCAAAATGAATAAGTTAAACACAATGTGAATTGATAATGTTACTGGTTCAAATGCATTCCTGGAAATTAATGAAGTCCTACCGGTGGGGATAACAGACAAGTCCAAATAAGGAAGTGATCACCTAAATGAGGGGTTTCTGTTGCTTTAGGATCAGCACTTGATAAAACTTGAGCTTCATCTCTTATCAATGCATGGGTTTTTCCTGGTTTACATAGAGTTGCAGCTTCAGAAGAGGAGTCTCTAGTATCACTACTTTTTCTTAAATGATCCATGCAAAGAACTTCAACATCCATTGCACTTTGAGCACTCTGGCCAAGTACTTCTCCAGCCTGTTGTAAGGTGTCACTGCCTGTCTTTTCCTCATCATGAAGTTGTTCTTCTTCATGCATCAAACTGTCCCGATGAATGAAGTAAGCAATTAAAATATAAGAAACCAATAAGTTCTGAAGTTAATGTGAACCAACAGTTTAGTTCAGCAGCAGCAGATCCAGCACGAGCATATGTAAAATCAATGATCCGTAGCAAAGAAATTAGATCGGTGATTACAAATTACATATACAGAAATGAAGTATCAGGTTAAGAATGCACATAATAGTGGAGTCAGTCAGCCACTCGAGGGCAACTAAGCACTAACAATTATGTACTTTTATTCTGACCTTGTTTTTATACATATGTATTATTATAGAATACATGTAAATGAGAATGTATTTTCCATGTCGCATCTTATTTTCTATTTCTCATTTCACATGATTGTATTTGTGCTCATAGGCAGATACATTATTTCCAAATTGACAAAAGATAGGGTTCAAATTACATACCTCTCTGGAGTGCTTCAAATCTGCTTCATGATCTACTGAGCAGTTTTCAGGGGAAGTTTCTTCATAAGAACTGGTATTAGTACAAACAGAATTATTCAATTTGGTTATCAATGAGCAGCTATTTTCCACGTGCGGTGATTTCATTTGTATATTAGACTCATCCATATCCTTTTTTCTTTTATTCCTTCGGCAGAAAGTAATCACCACCTAATTATTCAACTTGTTTCACGCAAGCTGAATCACCACCTAATTTATCTAACTTATTTCTAGAGAATGAATCAGTGTCTTCTAAGTTTGATGTATTCAATCTTGGCGAGCTACCATCACATCCAGAGCTGCTTTTTCTTTCAAATGCTGCTGCTGCTGATGATGATTTTTGTCTTACAAAATCAGCAATAATTACAGCGGAATTCATCACCAATTGAGAAACTAACCTCCCTCCAATATTATTATCATCAACCAATGCTCCAGCATTAGCATTTGAAGATGAACCTACTTTCTTGCCACTAGACTTATTTCCATATGCATCCCTTTGGGAAGGAACCTCATCAAGACTTGTCGGAACGGTTTTAATTGGTATTTGTCTTGTGCTGGACACTTCCATGTGTTTCTTTTCCTTATGGGGTTTATCTAGGCATTGGAGATGATACAACTGAAGGCATTTTCCACAGTGCTTCAGGTTACCCCCAACACAGCACACAAAACAACATGGCATACCTGCAAGAAAAAGAGGCAGGTAAGACAGAATATAGCAATGACCTTAAAAATAAATTATAGGTCTAAGTCAACTAAGAGAAGATCTTCATAGAAACCTAGATTAAAGAACCAAATCTAAATGCTCATCTCAACTAGATACGCTTTCAAGGGTCGGTTGAATAGGGCACATTCTGGTGGTATCTGGTAATCCCTTAAAACCTTTTTCTTTTCAGTATTTTTTTCAAGAACAAAATTATTAGAGGAAAAATAGGGAAGGATGGATTATTAAATTATCTACATAAAGATGATTGACATACAACATATGTCCCTATGAAACAAACTACAAAAAGTGAACAGGTTCCAACTTTCTAAAATCTCACCGCAGAATTTCTGTGTAATTTTCTGAGGTACGCTTATCAATCAAATGAACTTGCAAGTCTGGTGGTTTGCTTAAAGAAGTATCATCGGGAGCAACAAAAAGTGAATTACGGCACTCATGTCCCTGTACAGGATCTGTTCTTGATTGCCGCTTTCGCTTATACGTTAGCAACACTTTGATTCCTGACATTTAAGCTTTCAAAAAGAAATCTTGCTGCACTTCCAAACACTTGGACCGCATTTTTCACATGAAATTTGTACTTATTCCACTATATGTTCAGTCTCATTTCAACACAGAAAAACCTGCAACTGTTACGAGGAATGCGGCAACACAATGATAGCTGAAGGGCAAAAGACGGATTTCGACTACTCTGAAATAGTGAATCACTATTACGAGGAATGCGGCAAACAAAAATTGTACTAACATTCTCCACCTAAAACACAGGCAGTGAGGTACAAGCATAAATGCCATTTGCATATTAAAGAATAAGCAAAGCAAGAGAAGCTAAACGCATGCCATTCACAGAACCTTGTTATTGGCAAGGCCATAGAAACTCCATGATAGGACAACTTCATCATTTCCTTCCACAGAAGACAGACACCAAATCAGCAAATTTTGTATTTTTTTCTTCTGCGCCATGTCGTCAGTGCGAAGAGAGAAGAATATAAGGCGCGAAACAGGGAGGGGAATGGAATTGGAGAATTACGAGTCACATGATCTCTTCTTCTATGGACCTCACTTGCGCTTCAGTCCTTCGGCTTCCCAATCTCAAGCTCAAATTTGCAGCTAAATTTTTTCAATTTCAGGTTTCAGACTTTCAGTCAGTCGCAGTGTTTGAAAAGTCGGCCTAGGCGGGCGCTAGCTAGGCGCGCTAGGCGGTGGGCTAGGCGGGCGCTAGGCGGCTAGGCGGTCCCTAGGCGGCTAGGTAGTAGCTAGGCGGGCGCCTAGGCAGGTTGGGTCTTTTTTCGGCGCCGAACCCGGAGGACGAAGCAGTGACTGCGAGAGAAAGTTCCGTCCACTGCGAGTGCAAGCTTCGTGTTCGTTAGAATAATATTAAAGAGTATAGCCGAACGGCTGTACTTTTAAAATATTCGAATCTAATTAGAAAGTATAGCCGTCCGGCTGTACGTTTATAATTTCTATTTATACAGTCGTGCCTTGCGGCTATAATGGTAAAATATTGTATTTAAAGCTGATCGGCTATACTGTTAATATATTGTATTTAGAGAGTATAGCCGTGCGGATGTACTGTTATAATATCTATTTGTGCATGTATTAAATAAATAAAAGGTGTGATACTAATAATAGATTTTTCTGTATTTCTCGGACCTTCTCACGTTTGGATGCCTCCTCCTTTGCAGTCCTTCCTTTATCTAGCACATCAAAATGATTGTAATGCGACTAATAAATTCATAAAGTACAAAACAAAAAGAAATTTCCAGTGGAAAAACAGATGCAACAATAACTCACCAAGTTTCTTTGCAGACTTCCCAGTTTCCCTTTCACCAGTACAACCATTGGCTGGCTCTACTTTTGCAGAATGATTAGAACCACCATGATCCTGGGAACAAAAACAAATGCAACAGCCAAAAAAAATTGAAGAATAAGTTTCTAAAACAATTAGTCCAAATGAATAAAAGAGAAACTGATTGGTACTGTGGCATCCTCATACATCCGAAAACGGCTCTTCGCTTGTTTCATGTTCTTAGCAGCGATAGACTCTGCAATGTAGGCACCTTGCTTACTGGAAAGCAAGCCTTCATGAAATCTGAAACAACATAAGTGGAAAAAAAATTGAAACAAGTCATAGAACCAAAATAAAAAATTAAGTACACTAATATATCCTAAACAAGATACGTAAATGGAGCATAGTTATCAGGAAAATTTAAATCTCCATCGATCCTGTTACAGCCCAAGAAAACTCAAAGATAAGCAAACAGATTACTGACATTTTTCCAAGACCCAAAAGATGCAAAAAGGGCCATCATATTACGCAGGAGCATAGCCTAACAACAAATGATATACCTTATCTTTGCAAGCATCTAGAACAAATGAACACATCTAGAATAGAGGAGAACGGGAAGATTCAGGAACATCAAGGTTACCAAAAAAGAACAGAATTCCATTTTATTTCTGTCTTTGACCTCTCTACTGTTTTTACATGTGAATTGGTTTTTTAAACAAACTAAATACCGAAGGATTGAACCTTCAAAACGTACGTATTGCAATTTCCAAAACAAAAAAATAAACAAATGAATAAAGATCTAAATGTTCATGTCCACTTCTTGGGATTGGTATATTTTGGATTTTATAACTGTCAAAATTGTTTAGTAATCATAGCATTAGCACTGACAAGACCTTCTTATGGAGCCATTAGCCCCTCAGTCAGCTTTGAGAAGCAGTGTTTGCATCACATTGTACCTGGGATCAAGTTTCCGCTGCCATCCCTGCAAAACATAACCAGTGATGAGATTTGTATAAGATCAGTTAATTGATGACCACACCAATGATAATATAAATTGGAGCAAATTGCCTCTCAGATTTGTATAAGATATCAGTAATTGTCTATTTCTGCTACTCATGGTAAACCTATTATATAATACAAAAAACTATCATATTTGTTTTTTCTGAGACAATTAAATTAAATTTATAAAGAGAAGAGAAAGGAGTAAAGGATATATGGCCAACAGAAAAAAGCAGAAAAACAAATAAAGAAAAGACAACTTAATAATCTACGTGTGCTTTAATTTAATGCTTTGTGCTTATAAATTTCACATGCCTATATTGCGAAGATTACAGAATTTCATAAGAGAATTTCCATGCCTTGGCTGCAATAGATAAAGGAAAAAGAAATTACCTCAAGAACCAAAGTGGTTACCATGACAGTACAGACATTGCCATCGACATTGACTCTATGACGCCTAACTGTCTCCGGTAACTGCTGCATACACTCAGCAGGATGGACCAGATCACCTTCTGGAGTACCCCAGAAATCGAATGCCTCCTCCACTTGCTGTAAAAAGAAGATTAGACTAAAATCAAATACATAATGTAGATTATTAAGGAGGGAAACTTGTAACAGAAGCTTCCTGAGTTCATAATATCATTGAGGAACTGCATTTTGTCTACAACCATAACACACACAGTGATGAATAAACGAAAAAAGGAGTGAATACTACACACACACACACACACACACACACCACACATATATATATATATATATATCACATATTTCAATTGTGCTTGACAAAATTCAGGCTTTGAGACAAGAAAGTATTACCAGAGGACGGTGGATTGAAAATCATTCTAATATGAAATTCTTTCTTTGCATAATCTTAGCATAAAGGAGGAATTGAAAGGGCAAATATCAAACTTGCAACTTATTTAATAAGGAACACCCAAACAAGATGAGCGCAACGGATCTCCAGAAACTGTTAAGGAAAAACTAATAAGGCAAAACCTTTGAAGGTGAATTACTTGCCCATTTTTATATTTTTTTTTGGATTTGTTATGTATTCAGACCACATTCAGGTATATCAACTGATATAATTCACAAACTTCAAGACACAACAAGATACTTAAAAGACTTAAACACAATTCAATCAAAATAGTCCAAAAGCATAAATGCATTGCAAGTAACATCAAAGGTATATATATGTTACCAGGTCCAGGAGCATCTTCAAAAGTGCGTGCGTCACAATGTGAGCAAGCGCAAATTGAATCCGATCATCACCTTCAAGATCATCGACACATTCCTCTTGTTCATAAGTTTTCCACCAAAACAGCAGGATCTACAAATGGGGCAGCTTCCCTTGCAATCTCAAGCTCAAATTTGCAGCTAAATTTTTTCAATTTCGGGTTTCAGACTTTCAGTCAATCGCAGTGTTAGAAAAGTCGGCCTAGGCGGTAGCGCTAGGCTAGGCGGCTAGGCGGTCCCTAGGCGGCTAGGTAGTAGCTAGGCGGTTTTAGGCGGCTAGGGGGTGGCTAGGAGGCTAGGTAGTAGCTAGGCGGGCGCCTAGGCGGGTTGGGTCTTTTTTCGGTGCTGAACTCGGAGGAAGAAGCAGTGACTGCGAGAGAAAGTTCCGTTCTCTGCGAGTTCAAGCTTCGTGTTCGTTCGAATATATTTAAAGAGTATAGCCGATCGGCTTTACTTTTAAAATATTCGAATGTAATTTGGAAGTATAGCCGTGCGGCTGTACGGTTATAATTTCTATTTATTGAGTCGAGCCTTGCGGCTATAATGGAAACGTATCATACAAAAGAAGACGTAACATCCAAAGGAAACGTATCATACATGGTCATTTCAGAATCCTCATGGTGGTTTTGGATTATTAAGCATATCTTATTACATGGGCTTCTTCTTGTTCTAGCAATAGTGTGCAGATAATATTGCAGAAGCCTCAGGAATATGATTTGATGTGATAGAAATAGACCAGCTTGACCAAATGAGAATACAGTATGCTGATTATTTGCTAATATGTTTTACGTTTTACTTGTTTGGCAGATTGGGGGACCGAAGGTTGATGTTGTTGTTTTTGTTTTCTTGACCTTGCTTCAAATTATGAACCCCCAGATTCACTTGCGGAGTGGCTTGAAGCTGGTGAAAAGCCAGCCCATATTGGATTTGATAGCCTTGTGAGTTTGTTGCAGCTTTCTCTATTCATGTTTAATATTATTTTCCCAGTTCTATCCCAGAGTAGCTTTGTTTGTCCTTACCCTAGAAAAAATTACTTGTTCCTTCCCAATTAAAACAATCAACCAAAGCCACAATCTCCAAAGAGTGACCACCTTCATGTTGGTCCCCAACGAACAGGTTGTGGAGGTCTATTCATGACAGATGACAAATCGACCCTTTGGTTGTTTGTCGTTCAATATCTAATTTGACTGAGGCATGTCTAATACACGCAGAGTATACCTCTGAATTGCATAGTTAAGGTTACTTGATTGTGCATTTGATTGAAATGCTAAATTGTCTTGCTTGCTAAATTTTTTTTATCTGTATTGTATTACCCTCTTGAAGAACCAGAGAACATGACCAATATTATTCTTCAAGCTCTGGAAATAACTGGACAGAGAGGGCGTCATCAACCGAGCTGGGGTGGCCTTGGTAATTGTAAGTCTTGATTCTTAAAAAAAGATTACTTTCAAGCACATTGTATTCTTATGCTTCTTTACATCTGAAAGCCTTCATATATTTCTCTTCTCAGTGGCATAACCAAGTGATTCTGTGTATTTAGTGGACAATTGCCCCCATGATTGGCTATTCCAACCCTTTTAATTCTTTTTAATTTGGTTGGGATTTCACTGCATTGGTGTTCAGAACGTCACATGAACTTGGTGCACCTTTTTGTTGTTTTGTTGTTTTGTTCCCCTATTGGATAACTAGGCTACTCCTGGTTTCTCACTGGATTTGAAAATATTTCTTTGGTGCATCATGGGGTTGCTGGGACAACTGCTGCTGGTCTGAAAGCTGCGGTAACCGATAATGCTATATTCTTGGGGAGTCTTACATTTGTAAATGATCCAGTTACTCATTTTTGGCTCATATTCTCTGTTCTTTTTAGTGTCCAACCACAATTGTACCATTCTTTGGGGACCAGCCATTTTGGGGGCAGAGGGTGCATGCCATAGGAGTAGGTCCTGCACCCATTCCAGCTTATACACCTCAAGAGCATAATCATATGCTGTTCAGATACCCATCTTCTTCAACACTCTGCAGAGTAAGATAAACACAATCACATGATGCCTAAGAAATTTGTAATCAGAGTTGTTCCAGAGTCGGTTTCTTATTCACCCTCTATTCCGTATGAAGTCTGAGATCCAAAAGGGTTATTTTATTTTTGTATTCTCCGTTGTTGTAGTTTAAAATGAAAACAGAACATTCACTTCAACATCTACTCTCTCCAGATAAGACACGGGGCAACATAAATTATGTAACTAACCTCAATGAAACAGCACAAAGAAGCTAACCAAGACAAAAATTTATATAGCACACATATTCCAGTTGGTTGGTCAATCGTTTATTACATATTCACTACTTCCACCTTTTTCCAGTTAGAAACTAAGATTCTGTTAAACTTTTATACACAAGGAAACTCTTATCATGGATAAAAACTAATAATTTAAAGCCTGTTGCAAAATACCACCCAATAAGAGAGTTCAAGGAAATAGTATAGCCGATCGGCTATACTTGTTTTTAGAGAATCGTATAGCCGGGCGGCTATACTCGGGTTTTTAACATTTTTAAGTAGCCTAACGCATGCCATTCACAGAACCTTGTTATTGGCAAGACCATAGAAACTCCATGATAGGACAACTTCTTCATCATTTCCATCCACAGAAGACAGACACCAAGTCAGCAAGTTTGTATTTTTTCTTCTGAACCATGTCGTCAGTGCAAAGAGAGAAGAATATAAGGCGCGAAACAGGGAGAGGAATGGAAATTGGAATTAGATGAATTAAGAGTCTCATGATCTCTTCTTCTATGGACCTGACTTGTGCTTCACTGCTTCGGCTTCCCAATCTCAAATTTGCAGCTAAGTTTTTTCAAATTCGGGTTTTAGACTTCCAGTCAATCGCAGTGTTCGAAAAGTCGAAACTAGGCGGGCGGCTAGGCTGCTAGGCTGCTAGGCTGCTAGGCTGGCGCTAGGCGGCTAGGCGGTGGCTAGGCGGGCGCTAGGCGGCTAGGCGGTGGCTAGGCGGGGCGCTAGGCGGTTTAGGCGGCTAGGCGGTGGCTTGGAGGCTAGGTAGTAGCTAGGCGGGCGCCTAGGCGGGTTGGGTCTTTTTTCGGTGCTGAACTTGGAGGAAGAAGCAGTGACTGCGAGAGAAAGTTCCGTCCTCTGCGAGTTCAAGCTTCGTGTTCGTTTGAATATATTTAAAGAGTATAGCCGATCGGCTCTACTTTTAAAATATTCGAATGTAATTTGAAAGTATAGCCGTGCGGCTGTACGGTTATAATTTCTATTTATTGAGTCGAGCCTTGCGGCTATAATGGAAACGTATCATACAAAAGAAGACGTATCATCCAAAGGAAACGTATCATACATGGTCATTTCAGAATCCTCATGGTGGTTTTGGATTATTAAGCATATCTTATTACATGGGCTTCTTCTTGTTCTAGCAATAGTGTGCTGATAATATTGCAGAAGCCTCAGGAATATGATTTGATGTGATAGAAATAGACCAGTTCAAGGAGCCTATGACTGTTTTCAGCATCATAACTATCTACTTTCAATTTGGCAGTCTGCAAAGAATGTGTGATAGTCAAGTACCACATCATTGATAGATACATATATTGAAAAGAAAAGCAAACATTTGCAAAATAAGGATTCTTCTTCATCCCTAAACATTTTCAATGATTTCCATAGGGTTCTATTTCCGATAACTGAGTTTTTACATAATGCCTATGAGCTTGTGGATAATCAGATATACACATCCATATATACTGCAACAAACTATTTGCTATCACAAAAAATTCAATTATATATGAGGCAAGAACAAGGTTCTTATCTTTTTCTTCAGGATTTTTTGGACGGTGAAAAGCGGACTTATACACCTCAAGAGCATAATCATATGCTGTTCAGGCACCCATCTTCTTCGACACTCTGCAGAGTACGATTAACACAATCACATGATGCCTAAGAAATTTGTAATCAGAGTTGTTCCAGAGTCAGTTTCTTATTCACCCTCTATTCCGTATGAAGTCTGAGATCCAAAAGGGTTATTTTATTATTGTATTCTCCATTGTTGTAGTTTAAAATGAAAACAGAACATCCACTTCAACATCTACTCTCTTCAGATAAGACACAGGGCAACATATATTATTTATGTAACCTCAATGAAACAGCACAAAGAAGCTAACCAAGACAAAAATTTATATAGCACACATCTAATTCCAGTATGTTGGTCAATCGTTTATTACATATTCACTACTTCCACTTTTTTCCGGTTAGAAACTAAGATTCTGTTAAACTTTTATACACAAGGAAAATCATGGATAAAAACTAATAATTTAGAGCCCATTGCAAAATACCACCCAATAAGAGAGCTCAAGGAGTACATAAACCTGCCATGAAGAGGATATGGTGCGGGGACCCATCATCATAGTTGCCCCAACTTGCTTCGGCCTTGTTCTTTCAAAAACAAACCTTGTCAATGCGTCTAGCCGGATCTGAATTCAGACCTTAATTTGACCAACTGCATTAGAAAAACTTAGCCTTCAAGTTCAACACAAACAAATATCAATATAGAGAGTAACAGATTTGAATTCATGACCTACAAGAGAGAGATCAAAGACAACAGTGAGTCACTGACCTGAATTTCGTTAATTCTTTGTAGATCATGTTCGTTGTTCAACGGCCGTACAAGCATTCTCTATCTGAAAATAGAGCTCGAATGGAACATACGGTATACAGAGATAACATAATTCAAGAGTAGCAGTGCTCAATGTGCCTAGAATGTCATAAATAGCTAACAAGCGTAACCTAAAAGCAGATAATGCCAGTTTAACAGTACATGTATGAATTGGCAACCAAATTCTTGAAAATAAAAGGTCAAGATTGCTCTCTCTCTCTCTCTCCTCTCTCTCTCTCTCTACTACTACTACGAAAATGCAGAAAGACGGATTTCGACTGCTCTGAAATAGTGAATCACTATTACGAGGAATGCGGCAAACAAAGATTGTACTAACTGTTGACGCAGAAAAATGGTTCTGCACTTTCCCGCGCAACTTAGTGATTAAGTCTCTTCGGTATCTGATGTCCTCGGTAGGGTGTGCGATCTGTAAGATAGCAAACACACGGTAAATCCTAGGGCACCGGTGTGGTACCGGCCGAAGGCTCTCCGATGCTTAAGTAAGTACGGATTTAGTAAGTTTTAACTGCAGATCAATAGGCAGTATGCCGTAAGTTCTGATTGATTACCTTCAAGCTGGGATGGATGTCCTCTTTTATAGGCCTTGGGAGGTGTGCAATTTGCTTAGAGTTTCGATGTGGGACTCTGGGCGTCAGTTGTGGGGCTGCCACGTGTCAGAGTGGCGAGGTTGCCCTAATGTTGCGATCGGTAGGTCTGGTACCGAAGGTGAGTGCCGAAGGCACACGTAGCCCTGGTTTGGTCCACGTGTTTGATATTCATGGGCTGTTCATTTTGGTATAAACAGGAGTCCCCCAAGTCCCCTTGCGAGAGTCTTCGGAAGGGGATTTGAAGTTATCTTCGGGAGGAATCACGGCCTTACCGTTCGGTAACCCCACCTGGGGAAGGGGCCAAATCTTGTCCTTCCGGCATGACCAGCTCAGAGGCCGACGTGGATGAAGTCAGAAGGTCGCGTCGATCTGACGGGCGAAGGGACGTCTGAGCGCTTCGACTTCCGCGCCTCGCGTGCCGTCTATTCCCATAGGATGAGCGACACGTGGCGAAGGTAATGATAGCGCGCGGCGCATTAATGCGCCGTTTGGTTTTTCGAGGATACCGTTGTCGAACTCCCCACTATAAATAGGGATGACCCCGGTGGCGAATTCACTTTGCATCTAGTGAGAAGTGAGAGCTCTATCCGAGGCGATTTCCGACGAGTGCCAACGGTAGGAAAAGGCGATTTCCGACGAGAGCTAACGGTAACCAGGCGATTTCCGGTGAGAGCTAACGGTAACCAGGCGATTTGTGAGCAGTGATCGGAAGCAGTCTGCGTTTATTTCCAGAAGCTAAACGAAGGTACCGTTCGGTAGCCCTACTTTTCCCTCTTTACGCACCTTAAGAGTTTACATCCTTCCTTGGTTTGAACTAGACTGGCCATAGGGTTCCATTCGGTAGTCTAGTCGCCATAGGTGGTGATGTAGGGATCGGTAGGATAGCATCCGGCATGAGCCTTAGTTTCCCTTTTTTTTCCTGTTTTTGTAGATGTCTGATAGCGAGTCATTCTCCGAGCGCGAGCCCAATGCGTTCGACGAGGAGTCATCGGACGGTCTCTTTGACTCCGACGTTGAAGCGGTAGGGCCTGATGCCGAGGAGGGGAGTGATACCGATGTCGAGATACTCGGCGAAAGGCCCAGCCCAGTTCCCATTCATGGCATCGGAAAGGGGCTTATGACCGCTCCGGTACCGTTGTCTATCGTATATAGCGACGGTCGCCACGTGGGGCTTGGCGCTCCTGGGGAGGCGAGCGGTAGTCACCAGCCAGAGGCTTCTACTTCCGGCCGTGGTGAGGCGGCTACCGAACCATCCAACCAGCCGAGGGTATCCGTAGTCTACCCCGGCAATCCTAGGGTGCCGATGGGGGTTCCGAAGGAGCTCGTCTTCGGTGTGGATTATCTGGAGCCCAACAGAATCATCGAAAGGGAGATTGCGAAGTTTCGGGCGGAGTACTTCATTCCTGATTCGGTAGGTATGAGGATTCCACTTTCTACCGAATCCCTAAGCAGTCCGAAGGAAGGCGAAGTCGTCTTTTTCACGGACGTGCTTCTGCAGGGGGTGAGGCTTCCTCTGCAGCCTGCCGTTCAGAGGATCCTGGCGCAGATCGGCTACGCTCCCGGCCAGTTCAATCCCAACTTCTGGGTGGCGCTGATGGGGGTAGTCACAGCCTTCGGCATGGCTGGGGAGGGAGAACCTTCGTACGAGCAGTTCTCCCACCTGTACAGTATTACGAAGTCGAAGTGTGCCGATCACGGGGCTGGGTCCAGGCCAATTGCCTGAAGGCTGCCGAGCGTGGTCACTTCGTCAATGCCGTCCCGACCTCACAGAAGACATGGAGGAAACAGCGGGCGCTTTTGTCCGGTGACTGGGAGTCGCCCTCGGGACACCCCGTCCGTTTTCCACATTCCAACCACGTTCCAAATCGCCGGTAGGCTATCCTACCGTTCGGTAGGGCTCGCAGGTCTCGCTCTCCTTGTTTTAAAGCTGATTCCGTTTGGTTTTGTGCAGGCAAGTTGAAGCAGCCGAGCACCACACAAGCGGAGGTCCGGCAGATCGAGAGGGTTAGGCTGAAGGTTCCTGCCGTTGAGAGGGTGTACCCGAAGTTTCTCTTCACCGCCAATCTCATCAAGGCCCGGCTTGTCACCCTGCCGAGAGTAAGTATACTTCTCCATTTTGACAGTTCAAAATGTATATCGACAAATCTGACCGTCTCCTTCTTGCAGTGACCGAAGAGAGGAAGGCTGCCGAGGTAAAGAGGATGAACGAGTCCTCGAAGAGACGCCTCATGCTCGGCATGCAGGGGAAGAAAAAGGGGCGGCAGGCCTCAACGGCACCGGCGCCTTCGGGAGGCGTGGACCCCGACGATCTGACACTCAATGAGCGCCGTCGCCAGATGCAGGCCGAGTCGACGCGTGCTGAAGCTACCGAAGCCGGTCCGTCCCCCCGGCCGAGTTCCGCCTACCGAGGGCACCTCCTCCAAAGCTGCAGGCAAGAGGCCGTTCACGGTGGACCTTGATGCCGACCCCGCTTCAAAACGCGGGCGACAAACTGAGCCTGCTCGAGCCATCTTTTCTGCCGAGGACGACGAGGCGACTTCCGAAGCTGTTACTCTGGCATGTCCTTCGAAGACGGTACAGTTTGTGAACCATATGATCCTTGGTTCACAAATGGAGCTGTCCGAGATCGAGGACCTGCCGAAGAAGCTACTTCGGGAGGAGGCTGGCCGCGCCTTCCGTCTCCAAGCCTCGGTAAGTGCCTACTGTTTTAAGCGTTTCCCTGCCGTTCATTTCTCTTTCCATCTGACATTTTCGTTTGTTGTGCAGGCTTCAATGGACATGTGGCTCTGCGTTAAGCGAGCCATCAATGCCGCTGAGAAGGCGAAGAAGGCATACGAAGACGGCAGAGCGAAGGTTGCCGAAGCTGGCAAGGCCATCCAAGCCCAGGCAAACTTGGCCAAGGACATGTAGGCTGCCGAACGGCAGGTAAAGGTTTATCAGGCCAAACTTGGCGAGATGTCGGCGGCTTTGGAGGCGGCTCAGCTGACGGCAAAGGAGGCTCTGGAGGCGATCCAGGTGGCCTTCGAGGAGTCCGAGCGGACCAGGGCTTCCGAGATCGGGGCTGCCGTTCAGGAGGCGATTCAGGGCTACCGTCGGTCTACCGAGTTTTCTGCCTTGCTGGACAAGGAGGTAGGCTCGGAAATGGCGGAACTCGTCTACCGTTTCAAGCGGTACAACCCCGGGAAGAAGCTCAACCTCAACTTTATTGCTGACCCCCCCCCCCCCCCCCTGAAGGCATAACCGAAGAAATGGTCGAGGAGTACGAGGGGAGGACATGACCGAGGAGGTCCCAGCCGATCCCGAAGGGGGTGCTGCCAAAGGTGATGGTGCTGCCCCTGGTGCCGATGATGCTGCCGCCTGATGGAGGGTCCTGTCGAAAGCTGTGTTTTGTTTCCAACTCTTAACCTTCTGAACTTTAATGCCGAGGGCATTTTTTTATGTATTTTTGATTTTAAATTTGATGCCGTAGGCATTTCTGTAATTTTGTTGCAACTCTAATGCCGTTGGCATTTTTGTTTTAGATAATTAATGCCGTGGGCAAGTTTTTGTTAAAATTATGTTTTCACTTTAAGTTACTTACATCTTACTTCTGAATCGGTAGCGTTTTTAGGAAATTTTTCTATTTAATGCCGAAGGCTTTTAAACAAAGGTCATCGGCCGTTGGCCAGTGACGTTTCCTTTCAAGCACAAGTTCCAAGTGTTAGGGATTGAAACCAATGGTCGTGCTTGCCGATTATAAAGCAATGGCCCGTAATTACCGAAAGCCTATAATGCCCAATAAAGTCTACCAAGTTGCCCCTTAATCGGTAGGATAATGGCGATGCCAAAATGCGTAGTTTGCTGTGACCGATGGTCCCTACCGTACCCCTCTTTTTTTTTAAACAAAAAATGGAGAGATTGAAAGGTATAACAAAGTGCTGAATATATTAGCCGAAGGCCCTTTCATTGATAAACTGCCGAAGGCAAGAGTACAATTGGGAGTGCGTCTTACAATTTAGAACCCGTCGTTGGCTAGGAAACGCTATAATGCCGAAGGCTGTGCTTGTAGAGATACCGGGGGCTCTTGTGACTCCTCCGTCACCCTACCGTAGGCAAGATGACTTCATTTGAAATAGTACTTCAAATGCTCTACGTTCCAAGGATGACTGAGGGTTTTTCCGTTGGAGTCTTTGAGTCGATAAGTCCCCGATCGCTGGATACCGATGATTTCGTAGGGTCCCTCCCAGGAAGGTCCGAGGGTTCCTTCCGTGGGATTCTTGGTTGCCAAAGAGACTTTCCGCATGACCCAATCTCCGATTCGGAAAGAGCGGGATCTGACCCTGGAGTCATAGTATCGAGAGACGCGTTGCTTGTAAGCTTCGTTCCGAAGGTTGGCTTGTGCTCGGCGCTCTTCGAGTAAGTCGAGGCTCAAAGCCAGCGCTTCCTCATTTACCTTCGGTGCGAAGGTTTCCGTTCGGTAGGAGGGCTCTCCGATTTCCACTGGGACTACTGCCTCTGAACCGAAAGCCATAGAGTGGTGTTTCCCCAGTTGCCGTTCGGTAGGATGTCCGGATGGCCCATAGCGCTTCCGGAAGTTTTTCCGGCCAGGCTCCTTTGGCTTTGTCAAGCTGCCGTTTCAACAGCTTCTTGACAATTTTGTTCATGGCTTCGACCTGTCCGTTCGATTGGGGGTGTGCTGGCGAAGCAAAGAATAGGTTGATCTTGAGTCGGGTGCAGAATTCCCTAAAGACTTCCGAGTCAAACTGCCTGCCGTTATCCGTGACGATGGCGTAGGGGATGCCGAATCGGCAGCAAATATTCGTCCAGACGAAATCCTCGACTCTGGCTGCCGTTATTGTCGCTAGGGCTTTGGCTTCTACCCATTTGGTAAAGTAGTCTACGGCAACAACAGTGTATTTGACCTGACCCTTACCTTCTGGCATCGGACCAATTAGGTCTAGTCCCCACTGAGCGAACGGCCACGGGCTCACGATCGGTGACAGTGGCTCGGCAGGAATATGAGGGACACTACCGAACCGCTGGCATTTGTCACACCTCTTGACTAGTGTGTTCGCATCCTGGTGCAGAGTCGGCCAGAAATAACCCTGCCGGAAGACCTTGTGTGCGAGCGATCGGGATCCAGAATGGTCACCGCAGATTCCGCTGTGGACCTCCCGAAGGATGTAGTCCCCCTGCCCCTTGGTCAGGCATTTTAAATACGGCGTCGTGTAGCCCCGTTTGTACAGGACATCGTTGATGACTGTGTATCTTGCCGATCGGTAGCGAAGTTTCCGAGCTTGGGACTTATCGGTAGGAAGGGTTCCGGCAGTCAGGTAGGCATAGATTGGAGACATCCATGTGTCTTCGTACCAAACGGTACATACCTCAGCGGCGGTTGTACTCGGTTGGGATAATATCTCCACCGGTACCTTCCTTCCGATCTTGTCATTTATGGCCGAGGCCAATCGTGAGAGTGCGTCGGCATGGCTATTTTCCGACCTGGGGATCTGCCGTATCTCGTAGGCCTGGAATTTTTGTAGTAGTTGGTGGGCTGCCGATAGGTAGGCTGACATGGAGGCATCCCTTGCTGCGAAGTCTGCCGTTATCTGATTTACTATGAGCTGGGAGTCGCTGTGAATGCTGATCTGCCTCGCGCTCATGCTCTGGGCTAGCCGAAGGCCAGCCAGGAGGGCCTCATATTCTGCCTCGTTATTGGAGGTTCGGAAGTTGAATCGGAGGGCGTACTCGATTTTACTACCGTCCGGAGTGGTTAACACTAAGCCGGCACCACAGCCTTGCTGGTTTGCCGAGCCGTCCACGTGCAGGATCCAAAGGGGAACAGAAGTGTCGAAACGTTCGGTATTCATTTTCTCTGGTGCGGTAGGGACGACGCTCGGCGATGATGGTTCCGATAAAGCAGGCGGCAACGGCCTGGCCTTTTTTTGCAGGCCTTGGCTTGAATTGTATGTCAAACTCTCCCAACTCGATTGCCCATTTGACCAATCGGCCCGATGTTTCCGGCTTTTGGAGCACCTGCCGAAGAGGCTGGTTCGTCAGAACTGTGATTTCGTGAGCCTGGAAGTAAGGGCGAAGTCTCCGTGCCGAGACGACCAGGGCCAGTGCTAGTTGCTCCAAGGGTGGGTACCGAAGCTCTGCGCTCTGGAGCGCCTTGCTGACATAAAAGATCGGTAGCTCCGCCTTCTCCGGCTTCCTTATCAACACTGAGCTGACGGCAGTGTTGGATACCGAGAGGTACAGGAGTAGTACCTCGCCTGGCAGCGGTTTCGATAACAGTGGTGCCTGGCTCATGTAGTTCTTCAAGTTTTGAAATGCCTGGTCGCATTCGGGAGTCCACGTTATATGATGTTTGCCCCCTTTCAAAACTTTGAAGAACGGCACGCATTTATCGGTAGCCTTGGAGATGAAGCGTGTCAGGGCAGCGACACGTCCGGTAAGGCTCTGAATGTCCTTCTGCGTCTTCGGCGTCTCCATGTCGATTATGGCTTTTATTTTCTCGGGATTGGCCTCGATTCCCCTTTGACTGATCATGAACCCGAGAAATTTACCGGAAGATACACCGAAGGCCCACTTCGCCCGGTTCAGCCGCATTCGGTAGTCCTTTAGAATACCGAACATGAGGGCCAAGTTTTCCAGGTGATCCCCTGCCGTTCGGCTTTTTACCAACATGTCGTCGACATATACCTCCATGATTCCGCCGATGTATTTAGCAAAAATCCGGTTGACGAGCCGTTGGTAAGTTGCCCCCGCGTTCTTCAGGCCGAAGGGCATGACATTGTAACAGTACAAACCGCGATCTGTGATGAATGCCGTATGTTCTCTATCGGCAGGGTCCATGAAGATCTGGTTGTATCCTGAATACGCGTCCATGAAGCTGAGCAGCTCGTGCCCGGCGGTGGCATCGACGAGCTGGTCGATCCTCGGTAAGGGGAAACTGTCCTTCGGACAAGCCTTATTCAGGTCGGTATAGTCCTGACACATTCGCCAACCTCCCCTGGCCTTCCGAACCATGACTGAGTTGGCAAGCCAAACAGGGTACGTAGCTTCCCTGATAAAGCCGATGGCTTTGAGCTTGTCAACTTCGGCACGCATCGCCTCATATCGTTCGGCATCGTACGATCGGCGCTTTTGCCTGATTGGTTTGTGGGCGGGGGAGATGCTGAGCTTGTGGCTGATGACATCGGGTGATATGCCGGGCATATCGTCATAAGACCAGGCGAAGACCTCCGCATGCTGCCGTAAGAAGTCGATGAACTGCCTTCGGAGGTCGGGGTCCAAATTGGTGCCGATCTTCACCCACCGATCGGGGAATTCCTTGTTCAGGATTATGGTCTCGAGCTCCTCGGCGGGCTGTGCCGTCGGCGTTGGGTTTTCCTCCCGGGGGTTGTCAATGAGTTCGTTACCGTTCGGTAGTCCCTGCAAAGTCATGGCTTCCATTGGCGGTTTGCTGGCTACCGACTTAAGGGCCGTGGCATAGCACGTCTGTGCGCTGAGCTGATCGCCCCGGATGGCTCCGGTACCGTTGCGTGTCGGGAACTTCATCAGCAACATGTGTGGGGATAGGTGGGCTTTAATCCTGGTGAGTGTCGTTCGCCCTATGATGACGTTGTATGCCGTTGGGCAGTCAACAATGAGGAATTGGTCGTAGGTCATGGTCTTCCTGGGGGCCACGCCGAAGGCGATGGGCAGGCTGATGCTACCGACCGGTTGCACCAGATCTCCAGAGAAACTGAGGAGAGGCGTGATTTGCCGATTGACCATGCTGTCGGTAATTCCCAGTCCTTTGAACGCATCGGCAAAGATCACGTTCACCGAGCTTCCGGTGACGTCGTAATCGACGATCTCGGCCCGAATGATCATTGGGTCGTCATGGGGGTAGATGATCCCCTCCTCCTCTTCTTCACAAAATGTGATGGGCTCCCATCCCACCTTCGGCAGCTTTCGGCACCGATCGTCCTCTATGCCGAAGACCTGAGGGCAGTGGGCGGCACGCACATACTGCTTCATTGAACGGTTAGAGGGTCCCGCCAGAGTGGGGCCACCACTGATCGTGCTGATCATGTTGATATGCCGATTCGCGTTCGGTGCGGGGGACCTGAGTTGGCCTGGCGAGGTACTGATCCAACTTTCCTTCCCGAATCAGGCGCTCGACAATTTTCCTCAGACTGATGCAGTCTTCGGTATTGTGGCTGTTCTGCTGGTGATATCGGCAGAATTTGCCAGTGTCCCGATTATCCTGCCGATTGGGCTTCCGGTTGGTCGGCTTCGGGATCTGGTCATGTTCGTTCATTAGAACGGTTTCGTACGTCGTGTTCAGCAGGGTGAAGACTTCCTGAGCACGATCGTGATTCGGTAGGGGTGCCCGTTGGTCGTTACGACCGTACTTCCCACGTCCCTTCTTTGAGTTTCCCTGGCGACTATCCCGGTCGTCCTTCCGTTTGTGTCCTGCCGACGGGTCGTCGGTTCGGCCTGGATAACTTTTGGCGGCCGATTCCTCCTTCCGAGCCGAAGGCCCGGGTTTGGAGTTGAAGTATTCGGCCTTCGCATGGACTGCCGCCTGCTTCATTAATTCGTCATACGTGCGCCAGTTGCTACTGTGCACGAGGTACCGGAAGTGAGAGGACCGTAGGCCACTCTTGAAGGCGCCGTAGGCTGCCCTATCGTCCGTTTCGGGACACCTCGAGTACTCGTGACTGAAGCGCGCTGCGTATTCCCGTAGGGGTTCGTCCTCCCTTTGCCGAATCGTGTACAGATCGTCGGCAGAGTACAAACGGTCCGTCTGGATCATGAAGTGGTTGAGGAAAATCTGCTTTAGTTCGTCAAAGGAGTGTACCGTCCCTGGCTCGAGACGGTAGAACCAGTTCAGCGCAGCTCCGGTAAGGGACGAGGGAAACAGCAGACATTGTCCCTCGTCGCTGAGGCCCTTACACCCAACTGCCGATTGGAAGGAGTGGAGGTGCGTCAGAGGGTCCTCCACACCGGTATAGAAGGGTATGCGCAGCGGCTGCACCTCCCTGTCCGGTCTGGACCTTTTGATGCGCTCGGTAAATGGTCCCGGCCGAAGTTTTCCCCAGTCAGGGACCTGGGATCGGGTTCGGTCCTCCTCCATCTTCTGGATTCTTTGGAAAAGTAATCGGATGGTGGGGTCTCGGCTGGGGACGTCCTCGGAACCAAAGTCTTTGGAAGTTTTCCTCGGACTTGGTGATCTCGCCTTCGAATACTCCGGGGGAGCTTCCGAACGGTAGCTTGATTCGGTGTCCCTTGTGGGGATGTACTCATCATCGGATTCCTGCGCCGAATCCAAACCCTGAGCCCTCCAAAGGGGCGATTTATCCCCCAAGACCCTCATCCGGGAGTCCCTCAAGTTGGCGTTTAGTCTGATTGGGGACCTATGCCGTTCGGCATCCTTCTTGTCGTTGATCCGATGACGACAATCGGTGTATACCTTCTTCGGTACGTGCGGTTGGTCCTGGGGTGCTGGGACCACCAGCTGCTTGGAAGGCGCAGGCGTTGCCTTTGCCCCCTGTTTTCCCTTCCTCTGCCGACCGGGGGTCTGCTGACTCTGGGAAGATTCGGTGGTCCGAACGTTTTGTTTCCTGCTGATTAAGCAACCGTTGGGTTTCGTCCACTTTGGACGAGAGGAGATTGTTACGTTCTTGGAGTTTAGCCATCTCCTTTCGGAGGGAGGTCATCTGAGCCAGAAGCTCTGCTTCGACCGTGGTCTGAAGCGCAGGAGGATTACCGAAGGGAGTGCTAGGGTGCAGCGCGGGGCTTGCTCCACTTGGCATACCGTACGGTAATCCATCCTCCGATAGGAACTGTGGTCCTGAAGTGGTTCCCATTTGTTTTGTTTAGGAATTGTAGGTTGATTTTATCGTTTCCCACAGACGGCGCCAAACTGTTGACGCAGAAAAATGGTTCGGCACTTTCCCGCGCAACTTAGTGATTAAGTCTCTTCGGTATCTGATGTCCTCGGTAGGGTGTGCGATCTGTAAGATAGCAAACACACGGTAAATCCTAGGGCACCGGTGTGGTACCGGCCGAAGGCTCTCCGATGCTTAAGTAAGTACGGATTTAGTAAGTTTTAACTGCATATCAATAGGCAGTATGCCGTAAGTTCTGATTGATTACCTTCAAGCTGGGATGGATGTCCTCTTTTATAGGCCTTGGGAGGTGTGCAATTTGCTTAGAGTTTCGATGTGGGACTCTGGGCGTCAGTTGTGGGGCTGCCACGTGTCAGAGTGGCGAGGTTGCCCTAATGTTGCGATCGGTAGGTCTGGTACCGAAGGTGAGTGCCGAAGGCACACGTAGCCTGGTTTGGTCCACGTGTTTGATATTCATGGGCTGTTCATTTTGGTATAAACATTTTCTATTTTAGTTTATGAATCTCGTGATGTATCAATAAAGAGAAAATGGTTGTTATGTTTCGTTATGTACACAAGAAATGATGTATGATTAAAAGCTTCACAGGTATTGAACATGTTACAAGTACCACAACTGAGTCACTTAAAGCAAGTATTGATGCATTATTTTCTAGACATAAATTGAGTATGTGAAAATTACGAGGTCAAGGTTATGATAAGGCCAGTAATATGAGTGGAGAGTTCAATGGTCTAAAGACACTTATTATGAGGGAGAATGAGTTTGCTTACTATGTTCACTGTTTTGCACATCAACTTCAGCTGGCTATTATTGGTTTGGCAAAAAAACATAGCCTCATAGGTGCTTTCTTCACCTTAGTTTCTAATGTGGTAAATATTGTTAGAGCATCATCTAAGCGTCGTGATATTCTTTAGGATAAGCAAGCTCCCAAAGTAGTTGAAGCACTCACCAATGGGGAGCTTTCTAGTGGGAAAGGTTTAAATTAAGCAACAGCGTTCATGTGATACACGTTGAGGCTCATATTATGGTACGTTGATAAACTTTATTACCATGTTCTCATCTACAGTTGATGTGCTTGATGAAATTGCAAATGATAGATTGACTGTGATAAAAAAAAAAAAAAAAAAAAAAAAAACAGAGCATTTATACTGCTAGAATTAGTGCAAGTCAATTAGATTTTGTATTCAGTTTGCATTTTGATGAGGAATATACTTTGAATTACAAATGCATTGTCACAACTTTACGGAGGGATGATCAAGATATTGTGAATGCCATGGATTTAGTTGAATTATGTAAGCAACAATTCATGAAGATGAGGGAGAATGGATGAGATTCTTTGTTGGAGGAAGTTTCTGTTGCAGGAATCAAAATATTGAGTTCCTAACATGGATGATATGTTTCTAGCTAGAGGGAGGTCACGACGCAACGGTCCAGAAATCACAAATATGCATGATTATCGTGCTGATTTTTTCTTTGAAGTGATAGCTTTGCAACTCCAAGAGCTGAATAGTCGTTTCAATGAGGCCAACACTGAGTTGTTACTTCGCTTGGCATGCTTGAGTCCAAATGATTCATTTTCTTCTTTTGACAAGCAAAAGCTCATTCGGCTTGCTTAACTTTACTCAAATAATTTTTCTAATCACAAGAGCTTGAGGTACTTAAAGATCAACTTCAAACTTATATTGATGATATGCATTCCAACACCAACTTTTCAAAATTACAAGGTATTGGTACTCTTGCAAAAAAAACTAGTTGAAACAAAAAAGGGCAAGGCATATCCACTAGTTTATCTTCTCTTGAAATTGGCGTTAACACTTCTAGTTGCAATAGCTTCATAAGAAGGGGCATTCTCTGCTATGAACATCGTGGAGAACAAAATGCGTAATCGAATGGGGGACCAATGGATGAATGTTGCTTAGTAGTATATCTTGAAAAAGACATATTTAATAATATTGATAATGAACTCATTATGCAACGTTTTCATAATATGAAAAGTCGTCAAGGACAATTGTAAATTTACTTATTAGACAATGCTATTAATATTTGAAGTTTTACATATTTTTGTTTGGCTATATATCGGTTGGATTTTTTTTTAAGCCCCCAGATGAATGAAAGTCTGGGTCCTCCACTGGTGGTTGCGACGGCAATGGTTACAACCTTGATAAGATGGTGGTAGTAGAAGTGGTGAAATCATATATTAAGAATAAAAATAATATATCCATCAAAATATTTGGGGAGAAGCAAAGATTTGTCATGGCCTAAAATTAGTCTACAGTCAAACAAAATCCATCACCTTTTTGTATTCTATTTAAAATCAAGGCTTAATATCAAAAAAATGTCCTTAAGATTTGCTATCAGATTCCATTTTTTTTTTTTTTTTTTTTTTTTTTTTTTTTCTGTTCGTGCCCTTAAGGTTATGTTTTGTTAAAAACTCTGTTAGTTTGCTAACATTGTATATATATACCACAAAACATACCTGATATTCACGCACCTATCACTAATGGTCATTGCGAAATTTTTTGATTTTTTGATTTAAAATTCATAAAATTTTGGTTTTCTTTTTTAAATTTTATGAATTTTAAATTATTTATTGGAGATGTGGGCTCCGCATATATGCCAGATCAACAAACTAATTGAGTATTTTTTAAAAAAAATTAAAAATTCATAAAATTAAAAATTTTAAAAACCAACATTTTATGAATTTTAAATTATTTGTTAATATATATTGTATTTTAAATACATGTGGCACCATATTGTTGGAGATGTGGGCTCCACATATATGTCACGTGAGCAAACAAAGGAAGTTTTTTTAATTTAGAAATGAAAAACCAAAATCTTAAATGAAAAAACCAAAATTTTTCATTTTAAAATTTTGTTAAGGCTTTATATCGCTAAACTCTAAACCCTTGGTTTTTTTCATTTAAAATGCATACAATTTTGGTTTTTTTCATTTTAAAATTTTATGAATTTAAATGAAAAAAACAAAAAATTTCATAAGGACTATTTGTGATAGATGCATGAACCTCATGGATATATATATATATATATATATATATATACACACCACGTCAGCGAACTAACTGAGTTTTTGACGGAACCTAATGGTAGGGATCATTTGTGAGCACACATACTAACCTTGAGGACTACGAATGACACAAAACAAACAATAATGATGCAATCTGATAGTTTCGTAAACCTTAAGGACGTTTTGTGATATTAAGTCTAAAATCAATGAGTTTTTAAATACACCCAAACTTTTATGAAGTATTTTAAAATCGTGATTGAATACATCCAAATTTGAATTGAGTTTAAAAAGTTTAAATAGAATACACCAATAATTGTATAGACTTCTATAAAATCGTGATTGACTACACCTACACTTTTGAACTTCTTTAAATCTTTTAAAATCTCATTTGAGTACACCCCCTAAATTTCAAGTTTATTTGCTCCATCCAAATCCATGGTAAGGTAAGGCTACATTAGCTAAAAGAAGAATTTATAATTAGGGGTGGGCACAGTCCGGATTGGTTCAATTTTACTCTCAAAACACAGCTAAACCAATAAGAAAATAACAATCTGGTTGGTTTGGATTAGCCTAAAACCATAATGAAAACCAAACCAATCCAAACCACTTGTAATTGGTTTGGTTCAAATTGGTTCGGTCGGTTTGTGCCTAACACAAAACCATGCATTTTTTAACCTGCTCTTACATTATAATGCTAACATTTTGCCATTATATCATTCCATTCAATCAAAGGCTAACACAACAACATTCCATTTAATCAAAGGCTAACACAACAACATTCCATTTAATAAAAGGCTGTCCAATTTCCAGCATGCATCTAAGTTCATAATTTCCATCAAAACAAACATTCTAAAGTTCATATGAAATGAATACAAGATGATAAAACTAAGAAATGAAAGGCTTCCCAAAATACAAGTTCATAATTTCCATTTAATTAAAGGCTGCCCAATTTCCAGCATGTCCCCATACTGCACATAAAAGCAGTTTCAATCAACACAAATTTTAGGATACAAGATGATCAAAATAAGAAATGAATAAGAAAATTACCATAACTGCAAGGTTGTGTATCAATAGAGAATCAATCAGTGAAAATGTGCACAGACGCATTAGCATTTGATCTCCGCATTTCTATATAAGAAATATACATAATCCTATATTTAGCTTTAGCACAATAAAATTCACACGTTATAAGCAATTAATCGAGAAAAATAGATATACCTAACTCAATGGTTTCATAAAACTCCATCTCCTCAATGGTGGACTCAACTTGTAAAGATATTGAAGTGGACTTCAACCAATTTTGTGTACAAATTAAAGTCTCAACCATAGCAGGACTCAAGGAACTACGAACTGAGTTCATTGTTCTTCCCCTCGTGCTAAAAGTATATTCTAAGGCAACTGTAGAGACTGGAATTGCAAGCACATCTCTTGCAACGGCCGCTAAAACTGGATATTCAGAAGCATTCACCCTCCACCGATTTAAAATATCAAACTGTTATGTAGCATTTGACAAATATCTATCTATCTCATGAGATAAAACCACTGCATCTTTGTCTTCTTGTCTCTTTTTCTACTTTTCCTTCATAGCCTTTTTTCTATCACCTCCAAAGCCTGAGGAGTTAGAACTATCAGTCACTATGCTGCTGCCAATACTTGAGGATGTAGTAGAAAAACTAAGACTTTGAGTTGGATTACTAACGAAACCTACCTCGTACAACCCATAAAGTTTAAACAAAAGATCTCTCACACCAGCTATTTTCTCGACAACATAAGCATCATTTTGCACATACAAATCAACAATATGCATTGATAAATTGTCCAATTTATACTAGGATCAAGAACAACAGATATCAACAAGAATTGGTTTCACACTATCAAGTGATTCACAATCAATTACAAATAAGTCATGAAAAGTAGTATGGGCTGTGACATGCAAAGTGGCACCACATGTCGCGCCCCGGACTTGGGGGTCGATGTAAACCCTAAGCCTGGTGTGTGAGAAAATAAAAGTAAAATAAAATAAAAAGAAGCCGAAACATGGGTTTAAAATAAAGTTCTCTTATAAAAATATATCCAAAATCTTACAACTTTACAATAAATAAATAAAGCTCTATCACTCTATCTAATTCAGCCTAAACCGATTTAGTCCTTGTCTTACCCACTAATTCATCTGAAAAATTAAACAGGATGAGGGATGAGCAACCACCACTCAGTGAGTAGATTATGTAATATGTCAGTCAAGCAATGCCGTTTTACACGGTCTAGAAAATATTATGAAAAGATACACCAATCCAGATCATATCACATCATCCTTTCATATCGTAGTTATCCTTCATAGCACGTAACCAACCATGTGACCCCTATTGGCCTCACTACCCTATGTCCCCGTGTGGTACATCTATCCGTCGGATACTCCAACATTGAAGTTCTCATGTTCCATGAATAATACATACTTCATAAATATTCCAATCAATATATATACATATATATATATATATATAGTGTGAAAGATTACATCAAATTAGACATGCTTGACTTGAAATAGAGAGACATTTGTAAATAGAACAAATCCATGATAATTCATGGTTTTCATATTTTATCACAAAATAAGAACTTTTAGAACACATTACATAAACCACTCATCTCGATAATGACAGCCCTTAAAATAAATTGGCAAGACAACCCATCTACCTATCTTCATGTACTATCACCCAAACCAAGCTCCAAGAGTTTCATCACCACTCTGTCTCCTTCTTTCTAATTTCTCATGTTTTGAAACTATAAGGTTATGCTCCTATTTATAGTGCTTATAGGGATAGGATAAACTTCTGCTGATGCCCAAAAAATCCACGATTGAACCCGAATAAATTCTCGGCCCAGTACGATGCCTCATTAAGAAAAGACCTGATTTGGAGCACACGGTCGCGGTCCACGTGCCATGGCAAATAAATAATCCATCATGTTAGGAATTGAGATAAGCTTATAAAATACACTGACTCTACGAGCCCATGCTAATTACCCCATCAAGCATCATGTCCCTTTTCAAGGATGATAAAATTAAAGCACGTCGATTGACATGCCATGCCAAGCAGGAAATTATTATTTCACACCCAACCATGTTACAAGCTTAAGTGGGCCCAAGCTACTCAAATGCCTGGGGCTTGCTTGAGTGGGTTGTGGTATGGATGGTAACAAGTTGTCATGAGACCCATTGATGGGCTGAGAAATCGAAGTCTTGGGCTGCTTGGGAGCCTGAAGACTCAAGCCCATTTCTTGAGCCCAAATATGTGGGTGAGATAAACCAACTTATTGTCCTAGAAGGCCCATGCAACCAAAATGAGAATATGCAAAAGCCCCAGCACTTGGATGGAGAACAAGGGTTACGAAGGGAGCCAAGATATCCACGTATGCAAGGTTGCTGAGGGGGGGAATAAATGGGTATATATGCAGGTTTGAAGGGTGCCTCCCCTCCCTCTCTTTGTCTCCCTCATCTTCTTAGCCAAACCCTCTTACAATCTTTTCTTCCCTTACCTTGACACCCATTTTTCACCTAGGAACTCATAGCTCTCTCTCTTCAATGCTAAACTCATGACAACTTTGCTTCCATGCTACAAACCTCTCATGCCAAGCTAAGAATTTATCTGTAAGCGACTGTTAGTTTTGCTGGTGAAGGTAACCAAAGTGCTTCTTAAAGCTCAGCTACCCTTTCGAAGCATTCTTAGAGTTTGATTCTTGAACTCAAACCCAAGGGCAATTTTCACATACTTGGCTCTGTACAGCAGCCTAGGCCCACAGTAAATGCCAGAACGAAATAGTCCCTAACTTCAATATTAAAAGGATAAGAACATCCAAGTTTATCCAAAAGATAAATATCCTAACAAGATAAGATCATCCAAGTTTATCCAAAAGATAAATATCTTAAAAAGATAATATCATCCAAATTTATCCAAAAGATAAATATCTTCTTTTATCTGTTTAAAATATAGGTCTTCACACTACACCTCAAAGTGAAGTATAAAACTTTTTAAAAACTTGACAAAGACAACAACATTTGCCCAATCCTCCTCAATTGGTGGCCTATTCCCTCTGCCAAAGTAGCTTTCAAAATGTCCATCCTCATCTTCCAACCTACAAAAAGCCTTTTTTAAATTTCAAAGCAGCTTCTAGCATCATGTAGGTGGAATTCCACCTAGTTGGCACATGCAAGACAACCACGCCTTTACAATCAATCTTATCTTTTTCAATGCAAGATTTAAAAGTTTCTAATCTTTGGGGGGAAGATCTTACATACATGACAACATTACAAATACTCTTAACAGAATTATGTAACTCTTTCAAACCATCAGTTACAATGAGATTTACAATATGAGCACAACATCTCATATGTAAGTGGACACCATCTAATAACAAACCTCCATTCGCCCAATCCTTCATCTTACTTTGCAAATAAGATACAGCTTTATCATTTGCAGATGCATTATAATTATGAGTGCTCTCTTTATACCCCATCAATCAAACACTTCTCAATAAGTCTGTTAATTGTCCGACCCTTCCGATTTTGAATTACACAGAAATTCAACACATGCTTATGCAACATTCAATCACTATCTAGAAAATGTGCAGTGAGAACCATATAGTTTATATTTGGACAGAAGTCCATGTGTCAGTAGTAAGGCAAACTCTATATGTAGCTAACTTTTCTTTCAAAAGTTGCTTTTCATCATCGTAAAGTCCAAACAAATCTCTAGCAAGTGTTCTACAAGATAGTGGTATAAACCTAGGGCATGCAACACTACAAAAGTGACGAAACCCTTCTCCATCTACGAAACTAAATGGCAACTCATCAATAATAACCATCCTAAGACATGCTTCCCTAGATTCTTCCTTATTAAATCCCGTTGCCCCAAGAGCGATAATACTTCTAGATTGGTCCTTGGCAAAAGTTAGGACCTTTTGATTTGAACCAGGCACCCTATATGGGTATTTTTGTGTGTGCATAAATTAGTAATATGAGTTCTCAAACTTGATGTCCCACAAGTTGCTGGATCATATTTATGGTCAGCAGTTTTGCAATACTTGCATCTAAACCCTAATAGGTTCAGAAGGATTACCAATTTGATATTGTTCAAAGTGATTCCACACCTCACTTGGTTTCCTAGTCGGTTTTCTCTTTTTTTGGGAAGGAAACGATGGAAGTTGATCAGATGCACCAATCTGAGCTTGAGAGGTCACAATCGTTGGTGCAGATTCAGTTATAGGTGGTGGCTGATTAGAAGCAAAACAATCTTCCACCCCCTGGTTTACCTCCATCTATATAATCAGACAAATTGTACATTAAATAAATTGCATCTTAATCAAACAAATTGCACATTATCATGAACATTAAATAAATTAGAAGAACTCCCCATCGTTGGCACTGAGTTAGCTTCATCCATCGTTGGTACTGAGTTAGCTTCATCCATTGTTGGCACTGAGAGGAGCACGTTTGAATCAATGAAGGTTGAAGCTAGAGAATCTAATCTGTGACGCCCGACGGTGGGTGGAGGTTGAAGTGGGTTCGAATAAAAGGAGAGATATGGAATCAAAGTTTGTATAGGGAGACATGTTATAGGCCCAATGGATCATTGTCTAGAGAGAGAGTGGAAGTACTTTTCAATAGTAGAGAGAAATCTGATATTTGGCAAGCTTTTCACCAAGACTCGATGTGAGATCCATGCTCCAGCTTTCAACATCTCCTCTTAAATTTCCCAAAAACAAAGTTGGAGAGATCTACACAAGACAACCCATTTCATGAAATAGCTTTTGACGATGGTTGTGCGACGATGATGATGGTTGTGCAACGATGGCTATGTGACGATGACGATGGTTGTGCGACGACGACACTAGTTGTGCGACGATGACGATGGTTGTGCGATGATGATGCTGGTTGTGGGTCGCACAGTGTGCAACGATGACAATGGTTGTGCAATGATGACGATGGCTGTGCGATGATGGAGGTGCGACACCGATGAGGTTTCTGCGATGTGAGAATGGGTTTGATTGAAGCAGCGAAGGTTATAGTGGTTCAAATCAATGGTGGCTTCTCTAGGGTTCTAGTGGGTTGAGTGAGGCTGGATGTTCAAGGAAAATGAGCCTTTGAGATGAGATGAGATCATATGTGAGTGAGGTTGGAGTCCGAAAATAAGTGGTTTCGAGTCCAATTTAGTGCGGCTGGGTGTACACTAACATCTCTAATTAGCCACTCAATCATTGACACATGTAATTATATTTAAACGATTCGGTTCAGATTAACATAGTTTTTTAAGCTTAAAATTGCAGTTGAACCAAACCACTTCGGATTTAAAACTGTGGACTTTTTAAAGTCAAAACCAAACCAAATCGAAAAATACGGATTGGTTCGGTCGATTTGGTCAGATCGGCCAGATTGATGCTCACCCCTATTTGTAATGTAGAAAATGTAGGAAGTGGAAGGCAGCTTACCCTCTCTCTCTACTTTTGCAGACACATTTTGGACTGCTTCCACACCCGCATAAATTTCCAAATAAGAGGTTGAGAAGAACTGTAATAGTGTGGAAGTAGCCAAACAGTAGTCTATCAATAGACAACACCCTATTGACTCAGCGTCAGTAGATCCTCAAATAAAAAGGACCCAAAAAAACCTACACACGCTTTTCAACAGCTCGCGCACTTTGTTGGCGTCCGCAACCGCAACTGTCAATCTCTCTCTCCTCTCTTACACAAACTCTCTCTCTCTCTCTCTCGCTCTCTCTTTGTCACTCTCCTTAAAACCCTAGCGCCCACCAAACCCATGACAAGATGAAACACTACAAAGCGCGCGTTTTGCTCTGATCGCAGCTTGCTCCACCAGCCCACGAAGATCTTGATACTCCGTTCCACGCTCTTCCCCCCCAATTTTACCACTTTAACAGTGTCACTGCCACTGCCACTGCCACTGCCTCTGTTCTCTTCATTGAGCAAAGGAAAGGAGAGGAAAGGAATTTTGGTTTTGGTGAGATCGGAGGAGTGATGGTGATGGCTGAGAATGAGGCTGGGGATGACCAGAGGGACCTCAATGTCAATGGAGGTGGGCCCAAGTCCCCATGGAAGACTCCGGTCACGGTCGACGCCAAGGCGGCCGAGGATGCTCCCGTCATGGGGGCTGAGTCCTGGCCTGCTCTGGCCGACGCCCACAGGCCCAAAAATTCAGATGCGCCGGCGAAGCCGCCAGCCGCAGAGCCGTCTCCTTTGCCTTCTCAGGTAAATTGTCAATTGCTGAATATCTGATTTCTTGGAATCTTTTTTAGGGTCCGTTTGTTTCGATAAGTGGTTTTCCATGGGACAGCTTCCATGAAGATAAGAGAAAGCTATTGTTTGGCTGCAGAACTACAAAATAACCCAAACCTGTTTGCTACATGTTGGAAAAGTTTAAAACTATGGAACATGCACGGCTAATTTAGTAATGTTTTATCTCTGCATTGAAACCTTAGAAAATGGTCATTTTTATTTGCATAATTTATTTATGTTTTCTTAGGAGAATAGTTTTGTGTAATTAATTAAATTATCATTTTTGTTTGGCAAAAATTATTTAAAGAAAATTAAATTCGCATATTCATGTCTTTATAGATGTCCTAAATATTGTATTTTTTGAAGAAAACACCTCAGAGTATAATATAACTTCAAATAAAAGATTAATAACTAGAGAGCTTAATAAAATCGAAACCAAAATTACAATCAAAGCAAATGTTTTTCACTTTTTTTCAAAAAAATATTTGGCAACCCTTCAAAAGTTAATATTGTACTAGGATAACCCAGAATTTAACTGTTACATACTCAGTCCATGTATCTGAATATTTGGGCACTTACTGGAATTTACTTTAAAAAAGTTCTTCTAAATGGCCTGCTAAAATACAGATTTTGCATTGTCTTGAAGGACTAGAACATAAATTTTTTAGACATTCATTACCAAAGTGGCTCGCTGGTCTTCGATTTCTTGTTCTCCCCCTTCCTGCCATACCTGGTTACTTGATGTGTCTGGCACTAGTGCTTTGAGAGATACGCTTAACATTGGATTGGTTATTTAGAATTTCAAGTGTTTGGGCCTGCCACCTGTTCATGAACATTGTTATTTTATTAATTTATTTCATTCCTATTAAAAATGAGCAATAGTTCAAAAACAAAAGAATACATGGTACTTTAGTTCATCTGGTCATTAACTGTATTGCTTTTAAATGTTTTGATTGGTCATCCAGGGATTTGTCATGCAGCAGAAGTCAAATGGGTCTGGAAATTCTAATGCTTCACACAAGCATTCATCATCACAACATCACCAAAAAGGCCCTAGGCGCAACCCAAATGCTGCACCTCCTTTTCCAGTACCCTTACCTTACCATCAACCACCGCTTCCTCCTGTTTTTCATACTATGGTACAGCATCCACACATTGCTGCTTCTGGGTATGCTTACCAGCCATACCCTGGACCCATTCCAAGTGTTGAAAATCATATTGCAAAATCTGGATGTGAGACCCCAGTGCAAGCTTTTGTGCAACCGGTTCAGCCTCAACCACGAGGGAATCCAAATGCTTATAGTGCCAATTTTTCTACTAGAAGACCCAATTTGCCAGAACCTGGTGGCCATTGGAATCATACTTGGAATCATCAACGACCATTTAACCCCAGAGAGAACATTCCTGTACAACAGGGTGTTGGACCTAGGCCTTTCTTAAGACCTCATTTTTTTGGTCCAGCTCCAGGATTCATGGTCGGCCCAAGCATTCCTGGTAATTATAGCATGCCAGTGCTGAGCTGTCTTATTTTGTTGTCAATTATGTGTATTATTTTTAACAAATTTTCCATTTTCCCCTTGGTATCTGACTATTTCCAGTGTCACCAGTATACTTGAATTCACTTAATTGAAAAAATGGAGAAATCAATGTGCTCAATGAATCTCCTAACACTTAGCTGCTGCTGATCTTTACTTTGTGTTTATTACCTTATGTTTTATTCGTGTTTATATCAATTACACAGGTCCTGCACCCATATGCTATCTTCCAGTTCCACCACCTGGCGCAATTAGAGGACCTCATCCTCCTCGCTTTATGCCACATCCTTTAAATCCAGGGGCTCCATTACTACCCTCAGAAACACATACATTCTCTTTGAGGGACAATATTATTAAACAAATAGAGTATTATTTCAGGTAAGTTGCTTATGAAAGTCAAGCTTTTCCATAGTGAAGCACATTTTCAACTCTCTATAATGGGCAGTATAAATTCCAAAAGCAAGAAGTGAATAGATCTGGATTTCAACGAGTAGTATAAACACATTCTCGACCCTCTAAAAAGTTTGATCTAATCAGAAACTTCTCTGAAAAGTTGGGACTCTTCAACGGACCTAGACCTGGAGAAGTTCTTAAAATATACATTATTACAATGAAAAGCAGTGAATTTGTATATACTAGAAAAGTAGGCACATGCGCTTGTTGAAGTTATTGGAGGAAGAGAAATATAAGGATGTGAGAGAAACAGTGGGGTTGTATGTAAAGACAAAAGTATCCCAGATTTTAACTGACTTATTGCAATTATCTGTTATCTGCAGCCTTTCTGCACACCATAGAAGACAAGGAGTGTTCTCTTATAGTATAGATAGATGTTACAGATGTTGCTTTTATTATTAATTGACTCTATTAATCTCCTTTTGGCAGTGATGAAATCTAAAGAATGACCATTACCTAATTTCATTGATGGATGACGAAGGATGGGTTCCAATAACCACGATTGCGGACTTTAAAAGGGTATGTTTCGGTACCATAGTGCATATGTAGAAGCTAAGTAATACATGCTGATCAATTTTACCGATGTTTTGCTGTGTGATATATTAGATTAGATAATATATGCCCTCCTGTTTTGTGGCTTGCAATAATGTAAATAAGCTAATTTTTTTATATTTTGTGTTACAGGTTAAAAAAATGTGTACCGACATAACGTTTATCATTGATTCACTGCTGGGTTCAGCTACTGTAGAAGTGCAGGTTAATCTTCTTTCTAGCACTTATCCTGATGTTTATGTCTTCTTGTCTTGTACTGTATGCTCAATGGTACGGCAAAGCCAGACAATATTTTTTATGGTGAATATGGAATGACAATCTATTGTTGTGGTCTATTGTTTGCTGACAATGGATTTTTCCTGTCTCTCTCATTTGTTTTATTTAACCTTATTTTTTTATTTTTTCTTCATTTTTTTAAGAAAGATCTTTCCTTTCTACGTTTGGGGGTTCATGTCATTTTGGAAGTGAAGGCCACTGTAATGGAAAATTTTCCTTCCTAATGTTCATAATCTGAGGTTAATGGAACATTTATGTATTACTTGTGTTGAGGTGCCTTTGTACTTTTGGTGGCCTACTCAAATTACGAAAGATGTTGGATTCAGAGAAGTTGAGAGATATGCTGACAAGTTATGGATGTTTTTAAAATGCTTTGCTTCTTTTCTGTGATTAGGCTAACAAGATACGGAGACGTGATGAATGGTCAAAGTGGACCGCAGCCTCTGCAGACTCTATGTTTAACATCCAAACCGCAAACTTCCCTGGTTCAACATCAAGAAAGGTCTATCAATGCTCCTGAGAATAGTGATTCCATCGATGATAGAAGGAACACTTCCGAAGAAAAAGCTGAACTTTCATCAGATGAAAAAACTTTGATGTTGTGCATGCCATCAAACACCAAACATGGCACTGATGGTGTTCAGGTTGATGGAGGATCACAAGATTATAATGCTGGTTTAAGTGGAAAGTTGACTTCTAAATCAAATTGCGATTCCTCAATTGTCAAAATGAATCATGACTCAGACTGCCTAGACCACTCAGAGGGAATTGAAAGTGTAAGACTTGATGATGATGGGGTGGAAGGCATGCCGTCAGATATGGATATGAAGAATGTTGGTGACCTGTCTAATGATTTTGCAAACACATTTATGCTGGATGAAGAGCTAGAGCTTGAGCAGAAAATAATAAAGAAGGATGATCTTTTTCCTGTTAGAAGAAGGTATTCAATGTTTTTTGTTTTTTGTTTTTTGTATTTGATTGATGTGCTTATGTACAATGTCGTTCTACGGGGCCACAGGTGGGGACCCCAGGGTGCAACAGGTGAGTTTAGTTAAATGTGAGAACCATAAGTACTGTAGGGCTAGCCCCCAATGGATTGTGAGGTGTACTTGGTTTTGAAGAAAATAACGAAGGCACCAACAACATTTTTGTAATCTGACCTACTCAAATTACTTAGATACGAATCTCACATTCCTAAGTGGTTGGTGTGACAATGAATAGACTTGGGCTTACTACGAATTATTTGAAATTTGTTGGTTAGTTCTGGGAAAGATAGATAAAGTGCCTCCGCAAGTGTGCTAATGTGTGCTAAGACTCGGTTCTGTATCTGTATCTAGTAATTGTAACTTACCTTTTTCCAGAAGAGATATCTTTGTCTAGAGGACAATCTTTTAATCCCTCTTTGTATATTATATTTTAATATGCAATTAGGATTTACTTAGAAGCTAAAATTTCCAACTGCTGGTTTTTACGTGCCTGAATGTAATATTATTTCATATTGTAAAGCCATATTGAGAAAAAGAAACCAATTACTATATTTTTTTTCATCAGTTTTTTGGGGAGTGGGGTGTGCTTGTAGTGATGTTCTTTTAATGTTGTTTCTCAGCAATCACCATGTCCTGGAGAATTTTTTTATTTTAAATTTCTTGTTTATCATCTGAAGACTTTTGTGTTGGAAACCTTGTGACCTGTAATTATGTGACTCTGTGCATGTGGACATTTATTGCTCTCGTTTATTTCTTCTTTTCTGCAGTCTTTTATTCATTTTTTTTTCGTATTTCTTTATTGATGAAAGTATGCTTCCAAGATACATTTTGTTTGTTTGTGCACTAAAAACTGGTGATTGAACTCTACTGGTGCCATTCAATTTAATGTAATTGGAACTTGGAGCCTAAAATTTGTGGCTTATCTTGGCCAAGCAATTTGGTATGCAAGCTTACTATCTGCTTCATTGTTGTAGTGTCTGCTTGCTCGGCCTCTAATTGTATGTGTTCTTCATATGACAGTGGTGTCCAAAGGATTGATGATGAAGATGATGAGATTGTAGTCAATGATCAGGATGTCCAGAGACTTGTAATTGTCACTCAGGTATGCCATTAAGTAACAAAATGTATATTTGAAAGAGCTGATTACTCTTTTCATATTGCAAGTAAATCTAAATATTTCATGCTTAAGCTCTTGCAAATAGTGGTAAACCAACAAAGTCTAACATGGTATTCTCACGTGTCAAGCCCAATGGCCACACGCACTCCATGTGACACAACATGAGTTGTCCAGTCCATGTGTTTGGCTCAAGTTACACCACACATGAGGGTGTGTTGAGAGTATGTGGCATTAATAAAGTTAAGCCTTGTATTACAATGTATAATGTCCTGTTGCTTAGCTATGTTTTGCAGTCTTAGTTGTATTTAGCTAGCGTTTTCTAGCTAGTCTAGTGGATAACTTGTCCTCTGTGTTGCTCTGTTCCTTGCCAATGAAATTATGTTTTTTATCGAATAGATAAATAAAAAGTCTTGGGCCTCTCCACTTAGCCAATACGTTTGTTGGATGCTCTATCTAACAGACATAAACACCGTATAATGTTCTCAAGAAGCATAACGAGTAATATTAGTATTGCACATAGGAATGCGACCCCCCTGAATTATTGGATGTATTATTTGATATCTGTTTTCTGTTGGTGCAACCTCATCAGACGTATATCCAGTGCTTAAGATTGTAGTATGGTAAGACGAAAAGGGTGATGTGTCAGGGGTACCATCAGGATATTCTTCCCAAAAAATAAACAAACTTATCCCAGTCAGTTTCACTTACATTTATTGCAACTAGCTTGTCTAGTTTCGCAACTCCCTTAATGCCTAAATAGCGTTTTAGAGCATGTATATGCTGTGAAGGCATCTTTGTCGTATCAAAAGTGTTAATCTGCTAGTCTACCAATGAATCATGCAACAACTGCCTATCTCATAAAAAAGAGATGTTTCTTGAACTTATGTCTTTTGAATACGAGGTCCTTTTACTTTTGTTTCATGCAAGGGATTTTAATTTAATGTCTTTAGCATTTTGATTATTTGACATTTCATTGTTTGCTGTGCAGAATAGTAGAGTCGGTGAAGGATCTAAAACTGGAGATAAAGAATCAAAAACCATTTCCAATGAGCTCGCATCTGCTATAAACGATGGACTTTACTTCTATGAGCAGGTTGAGAAAACCCCAATGGAGTTTGTTAATTACTGTACTTTCACTGTCCTAACATATGATCAATTAGCAGGAACTGAAAACCAAGAGATCAAATCGTAAAAAGAACAGCTCCGGCTATGAAATAGAGATGCAAACTCAAGATTATCAAACGTTGGCAAAGGCTTTTCAAAATTAAAGCCTGGAGAAATATCTAACTGTAGTGTTGGCATTGAAGAGTCAGGAAGTGCTAATTCCCGGAAGAAGCAAAGTAAAAACTTCCAAAATCAGCAGTCGTCCCATAGACAGAGATTCTTCTCAAGCAACTTTAGAAATTATGGAACTGCTCGGAACTCTCTAGGAATCATATCAGAAAGTCCACCAAGTAACTCTGTTGGCTTTTTCTTTAGTTCCACGCCTCCTGAAAGTCATGGGTTAGTTAGAAATGAATGTTATTTTTGTTTATGACATTTTGGATTTGTTTCTTCAGTAGAGTAATTCTACCTAGTGATTCAGAAGTAGTTTTTTCTTACTTGTGAGATGAGAAATTGTAGTTAACAAAACTCGAAATCAAGGGACAATAGTTGCAACACCAAGCTAATGTTTTAGTGTCTAAGCATATTAGGTCTTGTGATTCCGCAAAGCTAATCCAAATATGATTTTAATTTTACAGACCAAGGTCTTCAAAATTGAGTGTTTCTCCCCATGGGTTTCTCTCGAGCAGTAGTCCACCGATGGGTTCTGTGCCAAAATCATTTCCACCATTTCAGCATCCAAGTCATCAGCTTCTAGAAGAAAAATGGTTTTAAACAACAGAAGTAAGGGATGTAATTTTGTAATTTTGATCTGTGTACATGCTTGTATGTGCGTTAGATACTGAAATAGAGGAGACAGATAGAGAAAGGACGGGGGCCAAGGTGGGTTGGGGAAGAGAGAGAGAGAGAGCGAGAGCATAAATTTGTTATCTAACATGGCTGCCTTTCCTTTTAGGTACCTAAAGTATCATAAGCGTTGCCTAAATGACAGGAAGAAGTTGGGAATTGGATGCAGTGAGGTAGACTTTTATCTGAACTTATATTGTCATATGAATTTCATTTTCCAAGAATACTAAAAGAAGAAAAAAAATGAGAGTAGTTTTTTAAATATTTTTCTATTGGTTGAAAGCTTTAATTTATGATTAGATTGTTGTCACCTAAATTTAGTATTCATTTCTTCTGAAATCAATCTCACATAATTTTGTATTCTTTATCCTCTGTTCTCCACCTCCACGTAATTGTTGTATCTTTACGTTTGTATGTGAGGATGTAACTGAACTGTTTCTCTTTGCAATTGAGTTTCAAGGCAGTTGCTTTAATGTCAATGCCACTGCCTCTGTTTCGGTCCACGCCTGAAGTATTTTTTTTTTTTTTTTTTTTTTTTTTTTTTTTTTTTTTTTTTTTTTTTTTTTTTTTTTTTTTTTTTTTTTTTTTTTTTTTTTTTTTTTTTTTTTTTTTTTTTTTTTTTTTTTTTTTTTTTTTTTTTTTTTTTTTTTTTTTTTTTTTTTTTTTTTTTTTTTTTTTTTTTTTTTTTTTTTTTTTTTTTTTTTTTTTTTTTTTTTTTTTTTTTTTTTTTTTTTTTTTTTTTTTTTTTTTTTTTTTTTTTTTTTTTTTTTTTTTTTTTTTTTTTTTTTTTTTTTTTTTTTTTTTTTTTTTTTTTTTTTTTTTTTTTTTTTTTTTTTTTTTTTTTTTTTTTTTTTTTTTTTTTTTTTTTTTTTTTTTTTTTTTTTTTTTTTTTTTTTTTTTTTTTTTGAGTTTTGGAACCCTGGCAGACTGCCCATGATAGCCGGGGGAGGTGAGGATGACGTCAAGTCATCGTGCTCCTTATGCCCTAAGCGACCCACATGCTACAATGGCCGGGACAAAGGGTTGTGATCCTGCGAGGGTGAGCTACTCCCAAAAACCCATCCTCAGTTCGGATTGTAGGCTGCAACTCGCCTGCATGAAATCGGAATTGCTAGTAATCGCTGGTCAGCCATATGGCAGTGAATTCGTTCCCAGGCCTTGTACACGCCACCCGTCACACTATGGGAGCTGGCCATGCCCGAAGTCGTTTCGCTTTTTGTTGTTGGTTCCCATTTCATTTTTTGAGATATAATCTTGTTTTTTCTTGCTCTTATAAATCCTGGTCTTGTTTCAATTGTAGTTCTTCGGTTGTGTTCGTTCTTTTATTCAAGTACATCCCATTTCAGGTTACCTCTCTGCTCGGGATGCAACTCCCGACTGCATATCTTATCAATTGAATTTCGTCAAAGCCCCTTTTTGGTTCTTAGCCCAGTCCCATTTTAGCTCTGTATTCCTGATAAGGTGTTTGGTTCTATTAGTATATCCATGTCCACAAAGAACACTGGGGTAAGTTTGATCCATGTATCCTTAAGTGTATATCTTTGGGATATTCTGCCACTTAGAATGGAAAGTTTTATCACTGTCCTTTGCTGAAAATGTTTGTTTTTGGTGATATCTCATTTAGGGAAGAAACATTTTAGGAGAACCAGAAACTTCTCTTCAGGGGGAGCGTGGTGTGATTAAGGGAGGTTCTGGTATAAGTTACCAAAGTTTCAGAGATGTAATTGGTAACTATGCTATCTTAGAAGTAGTGAATTGGACACTGAAGGCACCTGTTGACCAATCAACTGACCAATCAATTGCCATTCATGTGAATCCTGAAGTTGTTTGCAGAATCCAACCCGTGTGTTGACCTTTTGGTATTGATTTAACTGATATGGATGTGCATGTTAATGATACTCGATTCCCAGCAAGGGGACTAATGCTGCTGGTTACCATTTCCTGTGAACATAAGTCTCTTCATTATTGTTATAGTTTTGTGGTAATTTTGTACCATAACCTATATCTAAGCATGTGTCTTATTGTTTGTCACCATCTGTATTTGTCTTATCAATATTTATCACCATCTTATAAAGATTTTGCGACCTGGTCCTCTATGTCTCGCCTTATGTTCTTGGAAAATCTAATTGTGAGGCTGCTGTGGCTGAGGAACGGAAGGTCTCGAAAAGAACTCTACTTGTAGTTGGTTGCAAATGGAGATATTTAGGTGAAGCAGGAGGTAGACGGTTTTATTGAAAGGTCAAAAGCAATTGAAGAGTTATGCATGGACTTGTAGGATAGATTGTCAAGAATTATTTGAACTTGTGGCTAAGATCAATACCATCCAGGTTCTACTATCCTCGGCTGCAGATTTGGAATTGGCCTCCAGCATTTTGATATGAGTGATTTTCTTCTCAGGGATCTTGAGGAGGAAGTGTGAATGGAATTCTTTCCTAGTTTTGCTACCATTTTTTAAAGCACAAGTGCATGTAGATTGAGAAAATCACTGTGTAGGTTGAAGCAACATCCTAAAGCTTGGTTTGGCATAGTGATGCAATCTATGAGGAAGTACGGATATCACCACGACCAGTCTGTTTAGACTTTATTACTTACGGCCTTATGTAGATGATATTGTGGTAATTGGTAATAATACAAAGGAGATGAAACATTTAGTTTAGAGGATTTATAGAAGGGCTCACTTTCACCTATATTTATGATGAATACATATAACAAAGCTAACATTAAGTATAAGTACTAAATTTTGTTTAAATTCTCTCGTTTCATAAGGAATTGAAGATCTTTAATTATGTCATTTTCATGTATAACTGTTTTGAACTGAATTTGAATTATAGGTGATTGGCTAGTAATCCTTTTGTCATCCAGCATGTGCATCTAAGTACTTTTTATATCTTGAATTCCTTGTGTATGTGTAGGGCATTTCATCATTATCGTGAACAACGGGATCAGAAAGAGCCTCTAATGAAACATCCAGAATTGGATCGTTTGCTCAGGGAAGTATACCGTAGCTTGGATGACTTCCGTGCCAAAGAGAGAGCCACTATGATGAAATAGAGGAGTCATCAGTAGCCAGTAGCAAGTAATGCCTATAATCAATCCCCCAGAGACATTGAATTGATGGCATTCCAATTTTGAAAGACAATTCTGACAGCTTTACGAGGGAGACAAGTCACAGCTTTTTTAGGTTTGGAGGCAAAGAAAGGAGATGATTTCTGTATATTATGTATTGATGGATTTTACACCTTGTGAGGGAGAGAGGGCTGCTGACTGCTCAGTTTTTTGTTCAAGGTTTTTCGGGCGCCCGGCTCTATCTTTTATTGGAGTTATCTGCAAGCTTAAAGAGGTGCCTCTGCTTTTCTCAATCATTTCAGTCCTCTGGATTGTAACTTGTACATAGGAAAGAAAACAATTTTGTTAAGGGGAAAAAAAAAAAAGAGCGAGAGAGAGGGATGGAAAAGAAAACCCAAAAGAAAGGGAACTTGTAGTTTAGACCTTGTGAAAATTGACCAATAAATGACTGATATTGAATTTGTTTTGTTGGTTCAGCATCTTATTCATATTTTCTTGTGATTCGCTTCGTAAATTGCTGGCCGTTTTCAAGCACAAACGAGTCAAAATTTCCTAACTTTCTAAACTTCCTAGCACCGTCAATCACAGACTTCAGTCCTGAATTTAGTAAAACCTTATTTTTAACAAAAGCAGACTCCTTTTTATGCAAGCGACGCCAAAATAGACAACCAAAATCCAAGGACAGCACCACCACATGCTCCAACAACAATAAGATGGAGACATCAACAGCAACAATTTTGTAAAATGCTTTATGCATTTTTTTGGGTCAGGTACAATGCATTATGCATTTTTATTTTTAGTGCCGACACTTTCATGTCCCTGCAATAGATCAGTTGCTTACTAATAATAATAAGTAATTGTAGTTTTATAAAAAAAAAATATTTCGAAACAGAAGAAAAAGAAAAAGGCTAAAACCACTTGCTAAGAATCACTGTCTGGTTGTACTAGAGTCCACTTTAAAATAACTTGGCAGATATGAAAGTTGTGGGTAAATTTTCTTTCTTTTCTTAAATCTCTTTGGATCCTAATCACATGCACATTTTTCCTTTTTCTTTCAAGTAGTCCCACTAACGTTATTCTCCTTTTAGCTGTTACTTTTCACTTGTTTTCAGGTTTTTTTGGTGAAGGAAAACTCCAAGGGCTACTGATCAGAAGTCAAAAATGAATGAATATTGGATGATTGCTTTACACGTTGAGTTCATGTGGTGTCGACAGCAAGCAAACATTAGAGTATAAAGGAAGGAATGATGGGTAATTGCTTTCCTCTCCACTTCATGTGGGGTGCAATCAATTGTGATCAGAGTCCAAAAGTAGTACTTTAAGAAAGAAACACCCATAATAGTCCTATTGTTTGCAACCCAATTTTGCATATCTTCTTCGGCTAGGTTTAAATTAAAAGTTTGTTGACTGAGGAAAATACCTTATGTTGCACACCAAGCCTTTGGTGCTAAGATTTATGTGAACATCAATATGATAACACACTTAAATAATGGCAATGGAAGTTGTTGAGCAATTTCGCACAATAGTTTAGAGATAAGTGAAGTATCGTTCCCACGAAGAGTGATTTAATTTACCAAGTACTAATTGTGACTAACTCTAGACTTTATTTGTATAGTCAAATAATGAGATTCAATGATTAATGAACTAAAAACAATAAATAAAAGCAAGCATATAAAAATAAGGTGGTGAGATTTAAGTTATGAGAGCACTAGAGCTTCCGATTTCACTATAGCCAATTCTACCCAATTCCCTTAGCATGTTAATCCTAATCAATGTTTTCATAGGCGAGGCGTATAGGCGAGGCATTTTTAGTAGCGCTATGCGAGACGTAAGCCTTGAAGCATTGAGGCGTAAGCTTTTTGAACATTAATTTATTTTAATAAGAAAAATTTATGAATAATACAATACAATTAAATTGTACAATTAATTCTTATTCAACCATAACAATCTTTTAAATAAATCAAATATAAGTACTAATTGTCATTCAAAGCATAATAATCAATCCCAAAACATAAAATATTTATTCAACATCAAAACAAAAACATAATTCACTCATCCCACTCCTCAACACTAATATCATTCAAACTAGCATCACTATCATATTGATCAACTGTATCAATATGAAAAGGATATTTCCCACTATCAAAGATACAAGTATGATGCATCTACGTCAAATTTCTACTATATCGCATAAACGAATAAGTTAACTAATATATTTTTTAAAAAAAATTGAAAAAAATTATACGGAACTTCAAATTACAGTTGCGAAGAATTAGAAAGAAAAATAAAATGACTTACTTGCAGTCAAAAGATGAAGAGAATTCTTGAAATTGATGGAGATTATTGGTAAGGGTAGAAATTAGGGTTGTACTATACTATATATATATATATATATATATATGTATATAAGTCTATGTGTTAATATATTAATTTAGGGAAGGAAAAAAAAAGGTAAATGGAAAAGCTACAGCAACTTGCGTGTTTCATTAACATATTTCCCACTATTAATTCTTCTTGCCTGAGGTTTATTACAATAAAGGTCAGATAAAAAAACAACAACTTGCATGTTTTTTTTTCCACACATTCAAGTGAAACGACGTCGTTTCACTTTAATATTGTTTTCAAAACACTGCAATCAAAACGACGTCGTCATTCATTAACCAAAAAGGGAAAAGGAAAAAAAAAAAAAAGGAGTCTTCCTTGCAGACATTTGCATATTTGCAAATTTCTTCCGGTTCAGAAGTTTCCAGATCTGGCGCGCCTTGCTCCGCCTCGCTCTGCCTGGACACCCCTTCCCGGCGCTAAACGTGCAGATCGCTAAACAGCAAACCGCCTCGGGCGTTTTCCTGCCACTTCGCGCCGACGTGCGCCCCGAAGCACGCGAAGGCATGCCTTTGAAAACACTGATCCTAATTACTCTCCATGTTAACAATTGATTTTCCCTAATTTATTTGATACTTCATCATCTCTGGTCATACCAAAAGTATCCTTATTACCAACCCACTCTATCCCTAGTAATGAAATTAAGATAATAAAAGCCCATTAAGTTCTTGGGAAGACCTGCAAACAACCACATAAGTCATGACAAACATCCATGTCTAATCATGTAACCCATGACATCTATTACAAGAAGCAAAACTCTAAATTGGACATCCAAGTTGTCAATTTAGCATCAAAACAATTAAATGTTGCCAAACATTCAAAGCATTAAGCGTAGTAAAAGATACTCAACATGGAAAAACACTTGGAATTAACATTAACTAAAGTAATTGAGTATTTATGACTAGGCTACATCGTAGCCCTAGCAAGAAGAAGTTGTTCATGACTACTGTAATAAAAACCATAATAAGTAGTGTCATAGAATAAATCCAATCAATGACTTGATCTCTGCTCTACGCCATCACCTTAGAAATCTTCAAGAACTCCACATCAAACCCTAGCTCCATGTCATGGCAAGCTCTCTGAAAACTCTCTCAATGTTTTTGTGGTCTGTTTCGTCTTTTTCAAAAGCCCTCTCTCCTCTTTCTATGATGATGAGCATGCCTTTTGTACAGTATCCAGCCAAGCTCTAAGTCTCCCCACCAACAAAGAGGAATAATGGGCTTACTAATTCTAACCTTATTAGGACTTCCTTCTTCAACAAGGAGAAAGAAATAAAAATTAATCAAACTAATTAAGTCTCTCAAAGCCACTTGGAAAGCTCCTCTACGTTACTTGAACCTCAAAACCAGCCCATATAGTGAAATTCCCTATTTTGCTTCTGCTCAACCACGTCAAGTTGGAAATCGACAAACAGACAGCGGGTTCTAAAACTTTGAATATTCATCTTTTCATGCGATTCCTAAGGATAATAGAATTTTAACTCCTGTTGATTTTCTATTCCCACTAAGTATGTACGAGTTCCGACTTTGTATATTAAAAATCCATGAAGGAGGTCAGTGTTTGAGCAAAATTCCGCAAGGGGAATATTCACGGGTTGATTCCTTGATCTTCGATCTTCCTTCTCTCTCCTCTTCCTCAATCCCTGCGAAAAAGACCAAAGTAAATAGACTACACTTGGGGGGTGTTGGCCAAAGGCGAATATGCGTAAGTCAGTTAAATGTTCTTGAAAAAGATACTTAGATAACTGAAAGGATGGAGGTCTTCTCGCACGGGGAGGGTCGAGTGACCTGAGCCGTGTGTGAGAGTGGCCAGAGCCTTGAAGAAGAGAATGGCGTGAGAGAGAGAGGGCATTTCAAGGGTATAAATCAGATTACCTCATAATTGTGATGTAGCCATGTATTTATAGTGCTCTAGCCTTCTAGGGTTTTTCAAAGAATAATTCCTATAAGGAATGAAATTATTCTTTCCCTTAAATTGAGAGATTGAGTCAATTAGGGACTTTAATAAGAATCAAATCCCTAATTTATGATGATATCTCTATTTTTGGTCTAAATAATTGGCCAATTAGATGGAGCACAAGTATTGACCTAAGAGATATTCTTCTTATCCATGTGACGCCTTGTGATTGGATGCTGAAATATTTGTCCCACAAATGCCCCCCAGTTTCTACATCGCGCTTATGTGGCATGGAGGAGATGAGAAATATTTATCAGGCTTTCCAACTGCATCTAGGCTTCCTTCCGAAGGTTGGGCTCCTGAAGGGAGGAGGCTTTTGAGATTCATGCTTGGTGTAGGGGCATATCACGAGATTGCCTAAGCAACTATGTTGTGTTTAGGTCAGTTGGACTGGGTAGTTGTTGAGCTAGCCGACTGGTGCAATGTCTAGCTATGGTATGTCTCGAACTACTGGTTTGGTTTACCCATATATCCAAAGCTTTGTCAATGTGAGTTCTTGTGGCCAACCGACTTTTGTCTTCTACTTGCAGTTTGACAAGATTAGTAAAAGGCTTGATCTCAAACCCGACATGGCCAAAGCTTGCCAGACCTTGAAAGTATGAAGGTGGTATGCCCCCAACTAGGGATGTTGAGAGATGGAAACATCATGGTCTCGACTCAGATGATCAGCTCAATGAAAGGAATGAGTCCTCGACCGGTGCATATGAAAGAGGAAGCATGTTCCCGATTAGTGATGGAAAGGTTTAACTGCTTTTTTAGTGGGAGTCTTCTGCTTAAGCTGAGCATGATATATTCATGAACATAGATATGACCGAGGAGCAGGTAGCTGGTAAGATGATGGCTAATGAGCTTGCAGTTAAGAAGGATGAAGCTAAGGAGGGCGTAGCTGATAAGGTAGATGTTAATGCTATGGAGCAGGTAGCCAAAGCTAATGAGATGGCTACAGTTGATGAGCAGGTAGCCGAGGCTGATGAGCAGGTTGTCGGTGAGATAGGAGCCTAAGAGAAATGCAGTTGATGAGATTGGAGCTCAAGAGGACGTCAACAAGGAGTAGTCTCCTATTGAAGTCTCAAAGTAGATGAAGAATTTTTCTTCTTTGTAGCTTTAAAGCTTTAAGTATTGGTCTCGGTTGACCACTTCATTTGATCTGCTGAACTTGGGCATGTCGGCTGCTCACTAATATTTTTAAACCTCTGGATCTGTTAATCGCCTGTTCTTTGTTGAACTCTGGCCTGTCGATCACTTTTGCTATGAAAACTTCAGTTCTTTCTTTAACTTCAATTTGCACTGTGTCTTGCGAATCGCTCTAGTGTTTTGCTTGAATATTTACCCATCACCTACCTAAGGGGTGTTCTTCTGTTTTTCCTTTAGGATGTTTTGGATATTTTCCTACGTCTCCCTTAGGATTTTTTTGGATAGATGTTTGTGTCTCCCTTAGGATGCTTATGGCGGTCGTCTTGCATCTCTCATATGACACTTTTAATAGTTGTCATCTATCTCTCTTAGGACACTTTTACACAGAAGCATGCATCTCCTTTAAGAAGCTTATGGTTGTCGTCCAATGTCTTCCTTAGGATGCTTTTTATACAGTGGCTTGTTTGGAATGCGTCTCCCCTAAGATGCTTTTAGTAGTTGTCATACGTCTCCCTTAGGACGCTTTTACACAGAAGTCTGCATCTCCCTTAGAACGCTTATGGCGGTTGTCTTGCATCTCACTTGGACGTTTTTTAGACAGTGACTTATTTGGCATATGTTTCCCTTAGGACGCTTTAAGCAGTTATCATGTGTCTCCCTTAGGACACTTATGGTGGTTGTCCTGTGTCTCTTAGCGAATGCTTTATTTATAATTGCCCTGTATCTCCGTGAGGACACTTTTGGACTGCAGTCTGCTTGGCCTGCTTCTCCCTTAAGATCCTTTGGATGTTTACCCACCACTTACGTAAAGGGTGTCTTCCTCTGCTGAGGGTTATTTTTATCCACCCTTACTTGAAGGGTGCCTTCCTCTGTCGAGGGTTATTTTTCTCGAACACTTCATTGAATGAAAAATTTACTTTCTTTGAACTCAAGTGGAATAGACTTAGTCATCTACTGGGAACTCAGTTGCTCTCCTTTGTGGTAGTAGGACATTAATTGTTGTTGATAAGATGTAACTCAAACGATGGCGTGTTCCCCTTATTCCTTAAGCAAGTCAAGGTTTGTCTTCATCTACTCAAAATTCTAATCATTCGTGCCCATCTTGATGCTCACGGATGGAACAGTGATATGAGGAGGAATGATTGTTTCAGTTCCATAAGCTAAGGAAAATGGGATTTTGCCGGTTGTCTCCTTTTGATAGTGCAATAAGCCAATAAGACTCTAGGCAGCTCGTCTACCCATTTTCCCTCTGCACCTCTTAATCTTTGTGAAAGAATTCGGTGATCTGCTTATCAATGAATTACAATTTGTTGTCGATGACTAGCGTTTGTGGGCAGCCGAATCGGCAAATGATGTTCTTCCAGACAAATCACTCCACATCGGCCTCTTTAGTAGAGGATAGAGTTTTAGCCTCGATCCATTTAGTAAAGTAGTCGGTAGCGAAGATCATGTCTTTCTTGGCAGGTGTCGGTGACATAGGACCCACCAAGTCAATAGCCCATTGCATGAATGGGCATGGATTGTTCTGTGGATGGTACACCTCGGCTAATAGACTTAGGACCAGCTTGTAGCATTGGCATCGATCACATCTTCTGACATAATCCATAGAGTCATAATGCATGGTAGGCAAGAAGTAACCTATGTTTAGTGCTTTATGGACTAGTGATCTACCCTCAGAGTGGTTGTCGCACTTACCGTCGTGGATTTTGCAAAGCACTTCGAGAGTTTACGAGTACTTCATGTAGGTGAGATGAGGATCAAAATATGATCTGCGAACAAGCTTGTTGTCCTTCATGTAGTATCTTGCAGCTTTCTGCTCGATTTTTCTGGCCTTGAACTTCTCTCTTGGAAAATTTTTGTTCACCAAGTAATAAATCATGGGGTCTTGATAACTGGGGTCCTCATTGATCTGCATTAGGTTTGGTTACTCTACCTCTTCGATGCTTGACTGACCAAGGTGCTCGACCAGAATTGAATGTTTGAACTGGGTGTCCAGCACTGATCCCAGGCTTGCTAGTATATCTGCATGTGTGTTCTCTGCCTGGAGAACTTGTTGAATGGTGATGGTAGGGAATGCCTTCAAAAAGCTCTTGAATTTTGTCAAGGTATTGGATCATCATTGGGTGTTTCGCCATGTATTCTCCTAAAGCTTGATTAGTGATTAGCTAGGATCTGAGTAGATAGCTAACCTCTTGATCTACAGTTCTCTTGCTAAGCGCAGACCAGCGAGTAATGCTTCGTACTCAGTTTTGTTGTTTGAAGCTAGGAAGCCAAGTGTGATGGCTTGCTCCAACAAAGTTCCATCTGAGAGATTATGACGATGTTTGCTATACTTCCATTGTGATTGGATGCTCCATTACAAATTTCCATTAACAAGGACACTTGAAACCAAGAAGGTTGAAGATTGGGTGGAATGTTATGGGCCTCTACACATGCAACCCTTGCTAGTAAATTCAAGGCAATGACAAACCTCTACTCCACTACGAAAGCAACAAAATTATGAGAAAAGGTATCAGAAAAAGTAGCCAAAACCTTCAACCTTATTGAATTGTTCCACTAAAATTTTCTTGAAGCTTAAAGGTTGATCTCCTCAGCTCCATTTTGAATGGGTTCTCCAGTCACAAAGATACGTGACATGTCAATCTTTTCACCAACTTGATAATAGGTGATGCAAAGCATAGGGGGTGGATCAAGACAGATATTTACCATTTAATTAGTTATTTCACGAGATATTGTTATTTTCTTGTTCATGTAGTTTTAGGGTATCTTTTATTATGTATGTGTGATTTGATAATTAATTAGTTTACTTTTGGACCAAGTAGCCTTGGTGCCCGAGTCTTGTAAAGCCTATAAATAAGGCTAATGTAATAGTTGTTGGGAGGTTGTTTTGTTGATGATTAATGAAATAGTTTATTTGTGGCATGGATTTGCTACTATATATGTGAGTTTGCACTAGCCCTAGTCTTGGGTGTTTGTGTATGTTGTTGGTGACCTATGTCCGGACCCCGATCCCCATCAATAAGGTGAAGATGATGAAGCCTTATATAGAAAATGGTGTTAGCAATCACCCTACAACGGCCATAGACCTTGAAGGTATCACTTTTCTTAAAAATTGGTCTTCAAACGAACAATAGACCAAGGATAAGCTTTTACCCAACCCTAACCAAGCTTTCTCACCGTATACATTAAGAAGATCTCAACATCTCTAAGACTTAAATCAAAGATTCAACTAATAGCCTCTACACATAGACTAACCCTATACATATTTGGGGAGCATTGCGTAGAAGTTCACCTAATAGTATTAAAAAATTTCACCAAACGACAAGGAAACTTGAAACCATGAAGGATGAAGAGAGAGCATGGAATGTTATGCCCCCACCCCACCTATACGCATACAACTTGGATAGTAAATCAGCGCACCAACGAATCTCTACTCTTGTGGGAAAGCATCATAATTCTAAGCGACGAATGCTCTGGAATTTCATCTTTCTCCCAATTAGCGGGATTGGGGAAAAGAAAAAGGGTTGCCCATGGAGGACACTTACCTCCTAACTCGAAGTTTGAATCTCAATATTCATTAGGTTTGGGGAATGATTTTTTTGGCGACATCTTTCTAAATGAATCTTTAGAAGAAAAAAAAAAAGGAGGATTTTCTTTCGATAGAAAGTTAGAGAAGAAAAAGAACTGGGTCTTTTTTATATTTTATAGAACCAACATGTTAACTGCGGCTTCTTAAAACCTTCCCAAAATAATTCACATGAGACAAAACCTTGGAGGAGAAAAAAATATCACCCATACTTCGACTAATGAAAGAATCAAACTCACACAAACAAATCCATCACACCAACAATAACAATTCTATAGTGGGTACCATCGCCAACACCGTTCATGAACTAACAAATAAGGACTCCTATGATGAAGCAAATGGGAATGTTGAAATTCAGCATCATAGTTCTTTGCAGAGATAAGACTTCTCTCCTCGGGCATTGGTTCGAAAACAAAAAGAATTTTGTTCCTCGCATTCCATAATAGCCATAGACCAACATGAGGCACACACAACCGCACCCTGTCAACGACCACCAAACCAAAAAATAGAGTATCTAGGACATCAGAGCTGCCAAAACACCGGTCCTTCGTGCAAAAAATTCAAGGAGAGGAACCACACATATCCAAAGTAGATCTGAAAACTCTAATATGCAAATCAAAAACACAAAACCAAACAAAGCAAAGAGAGAGGGGAGGAGCAAGTAGAAGGAGAGGAGGAGGAAGGGGGAGAGGGATAGGAGGGGAGAAGAGGGACGATGCCGCCCTCGTCTAGAATTCCTTAGTCTGGGGTTTTTTTTTTTTTTTTTTTTTTTTTTCTCTCTCGCGAGGACCCAACTTTATAACAACAATCAAGTGTTTGGGGGATTTTCATGAAAGCAAAGAAATCAGTCTTCAAATGTATAACAACTTGAAGACTCTTAGATAAGACCTACTTCTTTAAATAGGCGTGGTGTCTTTTAGGGCAATATTGCAAACGATATCGCAGTCCAACAAAATTGGCAGCACATACATCTTAAAAGGCACAGCGTTATGTCTTTTTCAAATCCACGACATCATGGCACTCTGAGAATTGGAAGAGACGGGGGCATTTTTGGGAGCAAGATTTCACACGTCAATGAAAAAATTAAATGTGGACAAGAACTAGAAAAAATAGACAAAACTGCCGTAAGTAGGCACGGGAATGGGATCTTCATCTAATCACATATTGATACTCCATTGCGACCAAATAAGGAAAGGTCGAACAGGGTCATCGCTTGGAGAAATTATAGAGTGATACAATATCACCACGTCAGCGGATGATACTCCCACTCAAAATCTAACACGTGTCAAATTTAAAAAAATAATTACATTTTTTTCATAGTTGTACTTTGTCTTCCAACTTTACCCTCAATTAAAAATAAAATAAAAACATGAAAAATAAAACAAGAGTGTAGCAGTGTCCCACCCATATCCCATTGGCAATCTGCCTTCCACTCACTGCCGCCCCTTGGCTGTAGTCCCCCTCTATGCAAGGACGGATCTAAGTAATGGGTTGTCTGGGCTATAGCCCAGACGAATATTTTTTTTATATATGTAATACCATGTAGTATTCTTAAGAGAGAAACAAAACTTAGTGGAGATAGCCCATCCCAAAGTTGAAAGCAGAGCCCAGCCCACGCATCAAACCTTAGTCAAACTTAGTGACTGAGAGAAACAGACAGACAGAGAGCAAAACTTCATTCCCCAAGAGAAGCAAATTGACGGGTGTGCGACTGTGCGACTGAGGTGCAGCAAAAAAGGGCATCGCAGCAAGTTACGAAGCCAAAACCTTCTCTTCTTTGTTTGTTGAGGTAAAACCCATAACTAAAGATTTTGTTAAAATTTTGGATATTTTTTCTTGAAATTAGGAGTAAGAACGATTTTTGAATTTGGGGATTTTTAACCTCATATCATATGTGTTTGGGATTTTATTCCATTTCTGGAATTTAATTAAATTGGAACTCTATTTGTTTTAGCTTACCAGTACTAGAACTAGATATTGATTTTTGATAAGATTACATGTTTCTATACATTATTCATAGGTTATACTCGATAATGTCAGATCATCATCGAAATCCTAAGAGAACAAAGAATATTTTGCATTTTTTTAAGAAAAAGAATAATGGATCATCATCAAGTAGCATTCCCTTGTCATCTCCTTCAATTTTTGGAGAGCAACCTCCTTTCGAGCCTCAAATTGTTAGAGGAGTCGAGTCTGAAAGAGTCTATTGTGATCAAGAAGTGGATACTAATTCTCTTGAACGTGATCTAGGATTACGTCGCCAAATATGCACATATCCAATTAATGAACGTGATAATGTTCGAAGATCATATATTTTCTTAGGACCATGTCAACCCACTTAGGAAAATATCCATGCCACTTAGATGGGAATCAAAATCGTCGATTTCAGCAATGTTGGTTCAAACATTTCTCTTGGCTTGAGTATTCTATTAATGAAGATATAGGATTTTGTTTTCAATGCTTTCTTTTTTATATTGATCACTCACACAGGCATTCACGATAGATGGGTTTAAAAATTGGAAGCAAGTTGGTGGGGATAAATGTGCTTTCCTTGCTCATGTAGGCAATATAAATTCCCACATCATATGGCTATGCAAAAGTGTATGGATATAAGGAACCCTACTCAACATATTGATAGAGTGGTGCAATCACGGAAGATGTGAGAAAAAATCGGTTGAGACTTACAACCACAATAGAGGCTATTAGGTATCTTGCAAATCAAGGGATGGCTTTTAGAGGTGGTGATGAATCTTATGACTTGTCAAATCGTGGTAATTTCATTGAGTTTATAAAGCTTTTTCAAGAATGATGTAGATGTTGAAAAAGTCGTCTTAGAGAAAGCTCCTGGAAATGCTAAGTATATTGCACCAATGATACAAAAGGAGATCCTACATATTTTTGCCAACAAAGTGAGGAAGAAGATTCGTGAAGAAGTTGGGGAGGATGGAAAATTTTGTATTCTTGTTGATGAAGCACTTGATGAATCTCAAAGGGAACAAATGGCTATTATTCTAAGATTTGTTGGTCATGATGGATTTATTTGTGAACGGTTTTTTGATATTGTAAGTGTTCATGACACTAATTCATCTACTCTTAAAACCGAGATTTGTAAAGTGTTTGGTAGACATAATCTTCTAGTTAAAAATATGTGTGGGCAAGGATATGATGGGGCTAGCAATATGCATGGTCAATGGAGTGGCTTACAAGCATTGTTTCTTAATGATTATCCATATGCATATTATATACATTACTTTGCCCATCGTCTCCAACTAGCTTTAAATGCTGCAGCTAAAGATGTGGGAGTCATTTGGAGATTCTTTTCAATGTTGAATAACATTGTGAATTTTGTTAGTTCTTCCGCCAAGCGTCATTCTGAGTTGAAATTGACTAGAAAAGTTGAAATTCAAGAGTTGTTAGATGCTGGAAAACTTGGAACAGGTAGAGGGGTTAATCAAATTCATTGTTTGCAACGACCTGGAACTACTCGTTGGGGCTCTCATATTAGTTCTATTAGGAGTTCGATTAATTTATTTGGTGCAACCAAGATACTTCTTGACGAAATAGGTCATAATGGACCTAGCTCACAATTTCATGGGGAAGCTGAGAGTATTTTATATTTATATGATGTCATTTGATTTTGCCTTTGCCTTACTTTTGTTGGACAAAACTATGGGATTACAGATTTTTTTTGTCAAGCACTTCAAGGCAAATCTCAAGACATTGTAAGTGCTTTAAATCTTGTTTCAAGTACAAAATGAAGCTAGATGAGTTGAGAAATAATGGTTGGGATGATTTTATCAAGAGTGTGCTATCATTTTGTGAACAACATGACATTTGTGTACCTGATATGAGTGCCCGTCATAAAATGGGTAGAGGTCGTTCTTGTCAACAAAAGGATTCTATTACATTTGAGCATTATTATCGCATTGATGTATTTAATGATGTAATAGATTTTCAGTTGGTGGAGTTAAATACTAGATTTCCAGAGCAAACAATGGAACTTCTTTATCTGACCTCAACATTGGATCCTCGTAATTATTTCAAGCGATTTAGCATTGATGATATATGTAATCTTGCTGAGAAGGTTTATCCTGAAGATTTTACTACAACTGAGTTGCAGGCTTTAAATCAACAATTGGGATTTTATAAGATTGATATGGACCGTCTTCCAGCCTTCAAGAATCTCGATTCTATTCATGAATTGCTGAAGTGGTTACTTGACACAGGGTTAGCACACACCTACCATTTGGTTGATAGATTGATTCGTTTGGTGTTAACTCTTCCTATTTCTACATCAACAACATAACGTGCATTTTCATCTATGAGACTTATCAAAATCGACTTCGGAACAAGATCAAGGATGAGTTTCTTGCTGATTGTATGTTACTTCACATTGAAAAAGAATTTGTTGATGGTATTGATAATGAATCACTAATTAGTGATTTTAACTCTTTGAAGTCTCGAAGGGTGAAACTTAAATAGTTTTATTTTGTGTTTGCATTGCATATTTATTTATTGTTGCCTTTGTTTACTAGTTTCTATCTTATGTACTATATGCATTTGAGGGGTACGGCTCATTATGTCCCCCCCTGATTAGGTGTATTATTTTTTGTTATTAATTAAATTCACTCGTGCCGTCAAGTTTTATTGTAAGGTAAATTCAGCCCATACCATTTTGAATTCCTGGATCCGTCCCTACCTCTACGAATACCAACATCAAACAACACCACCCAAAAAGTGGTTGATAAAATTAACAAAAAAATGAAAAAAATCTTATTTACTTGGTTGCCCATAACATCCATCATTACCTTTCTTTCAGTAGTGAGTTGTCAACTTATCATCATAGGAGATGTTTTTGAAGATTTTTTATTTGCATTTATATATATTCAAGATTTTTGGCTTTTTCTTAATGCGTTTAACTTTTTTACCGAGAATGAGAGGGAGGGAAAGAGGGATTGGATGAGAAGGGAGAGAAAGGTTGGGGTGGGTGGCGAGGGAAAAGAGAAGACAGCTTGGTGGTGAGGGAAAAGCGAAGCACAGGGAAGACAGTGGGAGATGGGTTAGGTCTAATTAATGTTGAAGGGTAAACTTGGAAGACAAGGTCCAGGTATAATTGTTTTTTAATTTTCTTTTAAAATTGATACATGTTTGATTTTGAGCGGGAGTATCACCAGCTAACGTGGTGATAACGTATCACTCTATAATTTCTCCATCGCTTGGATTATAGGCACCCATTTAATCATGTCCACTCATAGGTGACAATTACTGCTATGTGAATAATGGCTAGAATATCACGTGTATTAAACCCATTAATTATCTCACAGCCCAAATCAAACCCCTAATTAACACAATGGCCAAAATAATGGGTCTCGACTGACAAACACACACCATGTCGCCCACAATGGCGAGAAACTAGCCACCCAGAGGTTATATAAAAGCCAAACTCCATCAAATGTAGAAGGCAACTATTCCATAAACTAAGAGCATCCATAGTGGTCGCATGTAAAAGGGGGTGTATATCAAATTTACACCCCCTATTGCCGGAATAAGCTCCAATGGTCGTATGTAAATGGTTGTACATTTGCATTCTCAAGCTGAGATGCAAAAAAAAGATGGAAGTTTACATCTTTTTTTACATCCCATAAGCAGATCCCACGACTGATAAAGGAGGAGAGAGAAGAGAGAAGAGCCGTGAGGTTTCTGGAATTACACGCCCCAAACTCACAAATTCAACTTCAGTCACCCAACATAACTTAGTTCGAGCCCTAGTTGTGGCTTAGTGCACTTGATTTATTGGCATTTGAATTGGTGCTCCAACAGATAAAACATCCTACGGCTCTAATTTTTCACAAACACCAAAATCATTAATCTAAAGGCCAAACAATTTCTAAACATACCCCAAAATCATCTAATTGTCTAAAATTGATGGGAAAAAAGGCCAAATTTTTTTTCTTCTAATTTTCTATATATAAGCACAACCTTTGTTCACAAAAATCACCACTCTTCATAACTTATCCGAATTTAAATATTTTTAGGTTTATTTGTTTAGAAAAATAAAATAAATTTAACACACACAAAATTAATTTCAAAATGTTAACACGCACACAACAAAATAACACAAAATCGAATTAACACAAGAAAATCAAATATACATCTTAATATTTACATCTGAAAATACACCCTCCCACTGTGGATGCTCTGAGCATCCATGTGGGGAGGTGTAAAGTCACTTTTACATCCCCTTTACATCTCCGGAGGTTATAAATGTGATTTTTGCTCCAGTGGGGAAAATGTAAATCTAAAGATGTATAATTGATTTCTTTCACCTTTTCTGCTGTAGGTCCCACTTTTTCTCACATTTTCTCATGTAGGTCTCACCTGCAAGAAATGTAAAAAAAAATGTATATGTGCATCTAAATTTGCATCTCATGGTGGTGATGCAAATTTACACTCATTTACACCTCTCCATAGTGAGTGATTCCGATCACAAAGGATGTATATTTAACATACACCTTATTATATGCTCTCATAACCTTACTTTTTCATTTTCATACTCTAAATCTAACTTCGATATTGGATGCTCTTTAGCTCACAGCACAATGGTGTGTTGAAAGACTCGGTTGACATTATATTCTTAATTTTCAGGACACAAAAATCTTTATTAGACATTGGGGAATTTATGTCATGCATAGAGCAAATTAATTATTTTTAAATTGACTGCCCTTAATAGTGATTTTATGTTACAGTAAAATTGCTCTTTTATAAGAGAGAGCACGTACCAATTTAATTTTCCGATAATGATTCTCAAAAAACAAAAGTATAATGGTTGATATATTGATTTGGGAGAAGTGTAAAAACATCGCTTGAAATAGTAGTGATGCGTTCAATTACCACCTAGAAGGAAAAAGAATAGCAATGTCACACCCGAACTTCGAATTCTGTAGCATCGTGGCACTTAGCTTCATTTTCGTCCCTTTTTTTTAAAGGTTTTTATCGCAAATGATCCCTGAGGTTAACAAAATTATCACCTTTCGTCCTGAAAGTTTTTTTTGTGACATTAATGATTCTTAAGGTTATTCTTCGTACATCAAGTCTGTTCTGCCGTTAACTTCTGTTTAATTTTCTGTTAAATTGCTAACGTGACACATATGTGGACTCCACATATTCAATAAGATAACGACACGTGGGTTTAAAAACAAAAATAAGTATTTTAGAGAAAAAAAAAAAGATTAAAACTTAAAAGAAAAACAAAACAAAAAAACCTGCAGCTATCCCTCCCCTCCCCTCAGTCCTCCCTCCCTCCCTCTGTTCTCTCTCCACGTTGTGTTTTGAGTCATTGTTTTAAGAGAGAGATGTCAACGTTGTAGCTCCTCTTTTCAGTGGAGACTTATTTGTAGAGGGGAGTCAACTTACTTGGTGATCAAGTCGTGATCATGATCTTTCCTCCTCATTGCATCCCATTTTTAAAGATTCGATCTTGATTCTCAAGTATTCAAAATAATCGCCGCCCTCTGACAAGTATTCAAAATACTTTTCATTATAAAAATATCAACAAAATAACCCAAATATTATAATACTATCACCAGTATTAATACCATTAACTATTCCCAATATAGTTTTCACCAGTTCTCCATCTATCAACCTAAATACAAATGTGTACAGGTGGCACCACAGTGGAAAAGTAGTCAAACTCTTCTCCCTCCCCAAGTGCATCTGTGTTTGATTCATATAGGAGATAATCTTGAAGCAACCCGATATAATTACCCCTCCTTAAAAAATACCAAAAAAATAAAAACTAAACACAAATGTGAAAATGGGTGTAATGGTACTTTGCTCCCACCCATTACTTCTCTTAGACTAATTGGTCACGGTAATGAATTCAACTCTTTACATTCAAGTTCGAATTTTTTGTTTTTTGATAAATTAAATTAATTTAAAATCTTGTTTGTATTAAAAAAAAAAAATCAAAATTTCCCAATTTTAGTGTCAGCCTTTAGTTGTAAAGGAAGTTAGTATTCATTTGATAGGACAGAGATACACGTAGGATAAGAGTGACAACAAGCAGCAAGGTGCTTAGGTCTCACGCCACGCGCATCTGCTGATAGGTTTATTTTCAGCCAACTGTTTAATGACCTGTTTAATTTAGGAACGCCAGGTCCAGATCTCATAGGAAGGTTTTATATAATTAAAAAATTATAAATAAATAACCTGTTGCGGGTGGTAAGTGGGGCCCACAATCCACTCTGATCTCTTGTCTTTGTGTAATGCCTTTTGCATGGAAGCGGCAGTGGCAGCGGCAGCAGATTCGTTTTTCTGGACTTCTCTTTCTCAAAAACACTTTTTATTATCTTTCTATCTTTTTCTTCTCTCTCTCTCTCTCTTTCACACTCGCTCTGCCTCTTATTAATTACTAAAAGAAAGAAAAAAAGGAATTTTCTGAATTTATTTTATTTTATTTATTTTCTCTGAAACTCATACACACTGCTCTCATACGTCTCTGTTGTGCTCTGAAATCCAAGCTATCATTCGACGCCCTCTGCGTCACTTCAATTCTCGGGTACGCTCAAAATTCCCCCTCTGCTCCTTTTTGCTCTCTATGCGTGGTTTTGGTTTTCACTGCTCTTGTACAATTCTACTTCTTCTTTCTCGTGGGTACTGAATTTGGGTTCAGTTCTTCGTTTCTGATTTCTTTGATTGTTGGTTTGTGAGGCTGAGATGGGTTTTTTTTTCTGTGTGTCTTATAGTTCTGAATCTTGCTTCGTTTGTTTGATTTTGGCTGTTTGGTTTTAATAGTCTAGTTGTTTCTGTGTGTGTTCAACTGCAGAGGCTGTGATTGCGTTTTACGAACTCCAGGACCAAGGCCTTGAATTTGATCTACTTCGTTGCAAAAATTGAATCTCTCAATTGGGGTTTCTTCTGAGCTCTCTCTTCTGGTGGGTTTTTCCGCTTGAATTCAGATAAGAAAAATCAAGGTTAGTAGTGACTTTGAACTTATTGAGTTGATCTTTGGGATTGGTTTTGAGATGTGAGAAGTTTTTACATGGGAATTTCAAACCTCCATAGCTTTTATTGGACCAATTCACTTGCTTTGCTTGGCTTTTGTTAAGTGTTTTCTAATATTCAGAGATTCCGTCCCTTTTGGATACTCTGGTTAACGAGGGAAAGAGAAATTGCTTAAGGGTTTTAGAACTTCTGCTATCTCCTCATCCATTGTCAAGATTAACTTGAGCTTGAACCAATATTTCCTTCTCTTGCTGTTGTTATAGCTGGTGTTGGTGATGTTGCCCATTTCTTTAGCTTATCTCTTACAAGTGTTTCTATTCATTGAGGTTGGCATGTGGAATTTTCTTGTATACTTCATACTTACTTTTTTTTATTTTTGGTAATTTTTGACTGTGATCGTTTCCTGATAGAAGCTGATTTCTCTGATGTTGTACTCTGTCCCTTAGTTTTCTTTTGTTTTTTTTTTCCTGTTGACTAGGAATTCCGTAATAAATTTGCATTTCTTTCAGAAAAAGAAGGCGGGGCTGGGCATGCTTTTGTTTATCTATCTTTAAATTTATTTTATTCTCTTTGATTTAAGGGGTGCTACTAAAATGAACATGATTTACATCTTGTGCTTGTACGTGTTTCAAATGATTTTGTTTTCTTGAAGAATTCTCAGCATTGCATGTATTTCCCATTTTTTGATACCTCTATTAAATTGAGTTTCAGGAGGAATCTTATGTCCTGTTGATGTAATTAGACGATTTTAGGCCAGATCTGCTGATATGGGGGCTGCAAACTCTAAAGTAGAGGAAGATAAGGCCCTGCAGCTATGTCGAGAAAGGAAGAAATATGTTAAGCAGGCACTTGATGGAAGGTGCTCACTAGCAGCAGCTCATCTTATGTATATTCAATCACTAAAGAATACGGGAACCGCTCTTAGGAAATTTGTCGATCCTGGCGCTCCCATTGAGTCTTCCTTGTACACTTCCACTAATGCAACGCCAGAGCCTCTTGTTCAAACTGAGAAGTCCCTTTCTCACTTCTCTTTTTCTTCTCCATCCTTGTCACAACGCATTGATGCAGCTGAAACTTTTTCTCCATCTCCGTCTCCTCCAAATTCTACCCGATTTCACGTAAATCATATGAAATTCAGGGGTAGCTTTTCTAAAAAGGTAGAAGAAAAACCTCCTACGCCTGTTACCGCAACAGTAACCTCCTCGAGCACCCCACAGAATACCACGCCTCGCTCCACTGAAAAACCTGAGGTATCACCATTTGAAGCTTCTTCGCACCCACCTCAAACTCCACCATGGGATTACTTCGATTTCTTTCACCCAATTGACCATCAGTTTTCTTTTCAAGAAGGGAAGGGAGTGAACCAGGTGTTCGAAAATAATGATGATATGAGAAGACTTAGGGAAGAGGAGGGAATTCCTGAGCTGGAAGATGAAGAAGAGAAGGTTTCTTTTCTAGGGGGGGAAGAATCTGAAGATTCTGAAGATGAATTTGATGAGCCTGCTACAGATACTCTAGTTAGAAGTTTTGAAAACCTTAATAGAGTACATGATCATGTTGAAGCTAGCGCTTCACCCACAATGCCTTCTGCAGAAAGTGTAACTTCAGAAACTGAGTTACTGAATGGGGAGAAAAGTAACTCTCCTGATTTGTCGCCATTAAGAGCCACATCCTCAGTATTTGCCGTTGAAACTGACTCAAATAGAACACCAGTTAAAGAAGATTGTATTGAAAGTAAGGTTGCCCCAAAAGATTTTTTTTCAAGCATGAAAGATATTGAAGTTCTCTTTATAAAAGCGTTCGAGTCCGGTAAAGAAATTCCCAGAATGCTTGAAGCAAATAAGTTTCATTTCCGTCCGCTATTTCCAGCAAAAGAAAGTAAGATCTCTCTCTCTCTAGTATTTTAGTGGAACTATTTAAGCTTGTTTTAGTTATCCAAGGATGATTTATTCTGTGAATAAAGTACAATCAAGAGTTTCTGGAATGCTATGAACACTACAGTAAACTTCTCCTGCTTTAGTGGAGCTCATAGATTTAAATCACGGCACATATAAGATTGAAAAAAGAATGGATATTCTAAAATATTTTGAAATAATTTCCTATTACTATAGACCATTGGAAGTTTGTTTTCTTTTGGTGAAAGTTATGAACACTAGGATTTCTACTGTAGCAGGTGGATCAATTTCATCTACATTCCTGAAGGCTTGTTTCTCCTGTGGTGAAGACCCAAGTCAAGTTCAGGAAGGTAGGTCTTGGTCTTTAAGCTTCTCATTTTATTTTTTCATGTCACAGATGCATGACACAGACATTGGTTTTTAACCAACATGGTTCTAGTGCAAGAATGGTTCTGTTATGTGTCTTTTCAAAAAAATAAAAATTTTATAAAAAAAACTATGGATGATGCATGTGCTATGGATGTTGCATAATTCTGTTAAGTCTATGCTACATGGTATTCTCGATAACTGTTTTGGCAAATCATAATTTTCAGTGCAAAGATGTAATTATGTAGTTGAATAGATATAAAGAACAATGTGATTGATGTGTGTCCTGTTTTTTTTTGGGTTAAATTATTGCAATTTGTAGAACCTCGTGCTATGTGTTTGCAAGGGTTTTTAACTAACTTGTGAAAGTATTTCATTTCACTTCTATTTGAGTGGTATGAAAATTCTATGCTAAGTAAGTACAAAACTAGTTTATCCAGTTCATATTTGTTCATGTTTATCAAGTCTAGCAACTAGGCAGAGTGCCATGCACAAGTCGGCCATGCTTTTCAGGAAAACTAGTCTTGTACAACTAAAAACTGGCATGTTTACCAAAAGTTTTATTTAAGAAGCAAATTGTAGCAAACTTAGAAGTTTCTATTATTGAAATGTTTGAGCGCCTGCACGCATGTGTATGAGAACATTTTAGGTAAAAGATGTATCTAGGAGAACAAAACTGTATGCATACTAATATCTTGTGAAATCATTTAAGGTAACTCTTGATATTGGTATCTTGATTTCAGTACTGATTCTTTCCTTAATTTCACTTAGAGCCTCCTCAAACTGCTGTGAAGTACTTAACTTGGCACAGGACGACATCATCTCGGTCCTCTTCATCGAGGAATCCTTTAGCGGCAAACTCAAGAGATGGTATTGAGGATCTTACTGGTAACCTCTTTGATAACTACTGCATGAATTCAGGCAGTCATGCCTCAACCTTGGATAGATTATATGCGTGGGAGAGGAAGCTTTATGACGAGGTCAAGGTACTGTCGATTAATAACAGTAGTTATGGCATTTGTAATCATCATTGTCATCATCAAATTTACTGTTCTATGGTTGATGGTATTGTTATGGTTTTTTTCACTAAAATTGTTATCTATTAAAATGATCACGAAATAGACGCATAAATATGCTTTATAGCAATTTCATTACTGAGATTAGTTTAACCATCTTATTGTTTAGAATTTCATGGAGTCTTCATTTCATTTACATTCCTGCTTCTCTTCATGTTCAAACTCGTCATAGGGATCAAATTTAGTGGAATGAGGTAATCTATAACTGGATATGCTATTGAACCATGAAGTCATTCATTGTTACAAAAATGAAAGTTCAGCCCTTTATTTAGTACACTTCCACATGCTGAGTGTGGAGATGTACTCACCCATTTTACAACTACACATTTCTGGCATTAGGCACTTCTAACTTACCCTGCAACTTGGGAGAGGGGGGAATGAATAAAGACAAAAAAGGAAATTTGATAGCTTAGAAGCAAAACATTGATGTGATATAGTCAATGGGAATGTTACTGAAAAATCATGTTATAACTAGAATTACTATAGAGACTAAGCTATTTGGGCTTCACCTTTGTGTTTGTTGTTTTGATGCCCTTATAGATTGATGTCTACTCATAATGCGTGTAGTGCCAAGATGTCAGTCTCTACCTTTTGTACTTTTACTGCCAACTGTTGAAACAAAAAAAATCAGAAATTTCAGATATGCAGAAGGATGTGGAACTTGTTTTTATGGTGTTGGCATTTCTGATCTGAAACTTAAAAACATATCTGCATCACTTTTTGTAAACCCTCAGATTTCTCACCTTAAAATCTTAGGTTGTAAGTTGATCTAGCATTATATAAAGAGTATATGGGTACTTCTGTTAATTTATATGAACGTGTACAACTGTTTTTTCAGGCTAGTGAGATGGTTAGAAGGGATTACGACATAAAGTGTAAGATTTTAAGGGAACTAGAATCAAAAGGAGAAGCTTATCAAAAAATTGATAAAACTCGTGCTGTTGTCAAGGATCTGCATTCTAGGATCAGAGTTGCTATTCACAGAATTCACTCTATATCAAAGAGGATTGAGGACTTACGAGACAAAGAGCTTCAGCCACAACTTGAAGAGTTGATTGAGGGGTATGTATTTTGTATGTTCCTATTTGCTAGTGCTTTATTATACGTCCTAGAAACTCAATTTTGGAAGCCAATGAAACTTGGAATTGGGTATATTTACGTAAAACTAGATGCAAAAAAGAAGAGAATTTTTATGTCAATTAATTCTTCTTTTTCTTTTTTTTTCCTTTTCTCATGGCTGTTCTTAAGAACCCATACAAATTAAGTTGAACGTGACATAGGATGGGAAAACTATTTGGAATTGCTTTAGGTTTCTGTTTTCAGTTTTCATATAGGCACTATTGTTCTGTGTACATTTTCCCCTCATCCATCCCTTCCCTCCCCCTTCCTAGTTCCTTCTTTCTCATCCTTTTCTCCCATGCATTTCTTCTCTATCTTTTACTGAAAAATAAAAACTAAAAACAATAGTGTTACCAAGCTGGTCCTTTAACTATTTGATCCAGATTAGATGTTTGGTGAAATACTGTGGGAACATTAAACAACAGGATATTTCAACTGGAGTGCGAACAAATGAGATTCACATGTCTTTGGTGGGAGAATCATGTCTGTGTGTAAGATTGAAACCCTTAGTGTGTTTCATTTTCCACATGCACATATTACGGCACATTTACGTTAGTCTAAATTGTTGATTCAATTTTACATAATATTATTATACAATCATAACTCATAAAAAAATCCGTAAGTACGTTTGCGGTGAAACTTTAGGAAATGCGAAATCAATCCATAATGCAGCAACTAAATATGTAAACATCGTAAAATAATGTATTTATGACGAACATATAACAGGTCAGGCAAAACACTTTGCATTGAGTTATAATTACTGCTTATAGTTAGTCTCTATAATAAAAGACGTTTTTGTTAATGTAGACATTATCTTGAGTAATTGAACCAGTGAGTTGAGAATTTTGACCGAAAAAAACAAAAAAAAAAAAAAAAAAAAAAGAAAGATTGAGTTGAGAAGAGTGTATGTAATTGTAAATGATTGATTGAAAAAGAATTAGTGATAATTATGTGTAGTACTCTGATGGAAGAATTTAGTACTTTTAAGTTAAATGTGGACATATATACTTGATGTGATTATTATGAATGCTTCACTTTTGGGCTTCATTTGCTCTGTTCTTTGTACAAAATTGTAGGTTAAGTCGGATGTGGGAGGTGATGCTTGAATGTCACAAGCTTCAGTTTCACATAATCTCGATAGCTTACAACAATGGCAACACCAAATTCTCTGTACAGTCAGAATCACGTCGTCAGATTACCATCCATCTTGAAGATGAACTCAACTCTCTATCGTCAAGTTTTATGAAGTGGTTTGGTGCTCAAAAGTCTTATCTGAAGTCTATAGATGGCTGGCTTTTAAAATGTATCTCTTTGCCACAGAAGGCTTCCAAAAAGAAAAGGAGGCCACAAGAAATCCCCTTTCGGTACTATGGCCCTCCAATATATGTCACCTGTGGTTTCTGGTTAGAGAAGCTTGAGAATCTTGAGAAGCCGCCTGCCAAGGAACTGGTAGATTCTATAAAGAGTTTAGCAGCTGAAACTTCCAGTTTTTTACCACGACAAGAAAAGAAAGAAGGGAAGGATGCTAACCAATCAGATTTAACATCCTGGAAACATGATAATGGTAGTGATTCTGCAGTTAATATGTTGAGAGATGAAGTTTCTCAAGACTGGGCTTCAGGTTTAGACCATTTCCAAATAAGCTTGGCAGGGTTTTGTTGTAAGTTGAACAACTTTGCAGAGTCATCTGTGAAGATGTATGCAGATCTTCAGGAGGCCATTCAACGTGCTAAGAGCAACTATGAGCAGTTTAAGGCTCAATCTTCAGTTTGAAGGATTGGCGCTCAAGTAGAGCAAAGAATGCATCCCATATTAAGTTCCATGGAGTGGCGCTCAGTAAATGTTTGAAAGAAAAAAAAATTAAAGCGTTTGGATACGAGTTCAATTGGGCATGGGATTTGTATATGAAGAGAAAAATAAGAAAAATTTGGTCATAAGTTAAATAAAGTTTTGAAGTTGTATCTATTATAATGGGGTCTCTTGTAGGTTAAAGCTGTAATTACAAGGCTGGTAGCGGTCAAGAGAGTTGTATATAGTGATTTTCTTCTAGGAACTTTGCCCTCCTTTCTACCAGGATTATTATTCAGTTCAAAATGTATTCAAGAGTGTGTTAACTTTGCCCCCGTATTTGTTATTATTATTATTTAAAATAAGAAATAAAATTGCAAAGAGGATCCTCCAAGGATCCCTAAATTCCTCTTATCATACATGAGTTTCAAAGGGAAAGTTTGCATTTTGTTTTTGTTTGGTAACATGACCAGTTGTTGCTAGATCGTCAGCCACCATGTTAGCTTCCTTTGATAGATGTGTCTTACTTGGAGAATCTAAAAGCTTTGCATTAATCCCTTAATATCTCCCATATGTGACAGAAGACCAAGGAGGAGGTTGAGAACCTTATAACACTTTGATTAAAATCTGCAATCTTCTTCAATTTGCACAACTTCATAAAACTTGACGATAGAGAGTTGAGTTCATCTTCAAGATGGATGGTAACAGCAACCCTAGCATACCCAGTGGAATCTCGAATAACAAAACCACCAAAAGCTTTGCCACAAGAAAGAATTGATCCGTCAAAATTTAATTTCCAACTATTTAAACTTTGAGGATCTCATTTAATATTTTTAATATGCCTGATTTTCGAACATAACGGAATCAAGGGATTCCAATTCCAATCCAACAAATTTCGGAATGAAAATTCTCTTCCAATTCCATTCCAAAAAAATTCGGAATTTCAATATCCATTATAATTCGTGAAACTCGAAATTTTCAGAATTTTTGGAATATTTCGGAACTTACTTTTTTCAAGTAGTTCAAATTTTTAAATATGCCCAACCATACCGAAAGCTCAATATATGGTTGTATTTAGATGTTGTTATCCTTTATGGAACAACTCGCCTATGTCTATTTGGTCATTAAATCCTATTTCGTTCACCCTGAAATTTGTCATTATACAATCTAAGCTTAAAACTCCAATATATTTTGGAATTTTCAAAATCTTGAGGTACATTCCAATTCCAATTTTTTTAGAATTTTGAAATTTTCAAACTTTTGGATTCAGAATTGATTTGAACTTGCCAAAATTAGAAATTTTCGGATCGAAATCAGCCGGAATTAGAATTTCTAATCCCTCTTGCACCCCTAATTTCTATTGTTGAGTTGTCTATTTTTATTTTTCTTAAGTTGAACCAGATGAATATCCCAAAACTCGAACAACAGTTGTTTCACATTATTAACTGCTAGCATGACTTGAGGAACTTTTTTCAGAACAATCAATTTGTTCTGTTGGTACCAAATTTGCCATGGGAAAGGAACTATGAAGTTTCTTTCTTGGAACGGTTGAGCTTGATCTTGGCATGGATTTAAATTGGAACTGTTGCTTCTAGTAAAACTTTATGGTCTTGATATTGTATGCAAAAGGGAGACTAAACTTTCTTCGGATACTTTTGAAACTAAATTTCCAAACTTGGGTTTAATAGAATTGTAGAAATTCCACCAAATGGCTAATATTTTGGTAAAAGTTAAGTTTATCCACCTCAGCAAAAAAGAAAGCCACATTGGAGCAACCACGTCATCACTTAACGCCTCCACTAATGGTCTGACCAACGGAGTAACTAATTTGTATATTTTATGAAAGGTCGGGTATGCCCATGAAAAATTTAAAAAGTTGAGTACTAATTTGAAACGACCCCTAAAGATTGGGTACTTTTATGTACTTAATCCAAAAATTAACGTTTTTTTTTTCGATTAATAGGGGGAGAATACAAAGAGAAAATTTGATGCCACAACACTTGCTTCAACCTCCTCCCTCTTTGGGGTTGTGATTACCTATGGATTGACATATGGAATTACAGTTTATGAGTTGTTTTTTTCTTTCTTCTAGCTGGTGTCTTTGTTGGGCTCTTCGGAATGATTTTTTCTTCTAATAGTCTTAGCACCTGCGTTGCACTCTGCTCCCCCGTGGTTTCCTATGTATTAAATGAGCTTAGAACTTCTTTAATTTGAATCACCATTCATGATTAAAAATAACTGGCAGCTATCCTTTTGGGACTATTTGAAATTCTTTAGATCATTGAAAGTAGACATAGGGTTTAATTTTGATCAAATAGTAGATTCTTATGCTTGAAAATTTATAAATAGTATTCTTACATTGTGAACAGGAATTCTGAACATTAGAGATGAACAATGTCCAAGATGACACCTGGCATAGTCATGCTGATACAATATACAGAGGTAGCCTTGGAGGGAAAGTCATTCTTTGAGCTACAAATTGTTGTGAATATTCATGAGCTTAATGAACTAGGCATTTATCATTTCGGAAATTGGCTACAGCTATGATTGGAAGTTGACTTGAAATTTGATTAATTTCCCCCAAGGAGGAGGGGGGATTAGAAATCATGGAAGACAAGAGCTTTCCCCTGATGAACATAATAGACTATCCTTGATGCAAGACAGCAACAAAAGATACACAAAAAGACATTTAATTTGTCTAATGAGCATAAATTAAAGTAAAAGAAAAGAAAATTGATAACAACTTTGAAAAAAAACTCACCATTAACAATATTTTTGGTCATCACTCTCCATATCTTGGCACAAGTCTTCTGACTCTTCATTGCCTGAATTTAGATTCATAATAATCAAATTAAACATAACATTTGGACCTTACTATTCGAAATATATATTTTTTTAAAAACAAAGTGAACCAACTTACATAGATTCGTTGATTCATTCTTTCTTCTTTTCAGATTTGATGGACAATTTCTTTTGTCATGTTGTGCTATCTTTTTGCATAATGCATACTTTCTTTTCTTCTTGTTTTGAAACTCAATACCACTTTTTATCCTTTTTGAACTGCTATTATTGTCCTTATTTCTACCCTTAGTTTGTGATATATTGGGGTCCAAAAGCAACAATTGAGAGGAATCAATGTTAGTACCAATGGCGGACTCAGGAATTTTTATAGGGATAGGCTAAATAAATTTTTTTTCAGAGGAGATATATATTATAAGCCTTTTTTCTCTTGAAACAAAAATGCAAATAAAATTTTATAAATCAAACAAAGTCACATTACAAGCAAATATAACACAAAGAAGTACAAAATATAAATAAAATCCACTTTTTTTGAAGAATGAATAACTAGTTTTTCCTCTCTTTGCCAGTCTATTATCATCATGTGACATGATATCATAATAAGAAATACTAGACACCAAAAATCATATATGCTAATTAATAAAAATTGCAAAAATAAAACATATATCAACAATCTCGAAAAGTTTTCACCCAAACCCTAAATCATAAAAACTTAACAACAACAATTAAAATTGGAAATTGAATATATATATATATATATATAAAGAGAAAAACTTACCAAGATTGAAGAACCCACTGAAGTTAGGTTGGTACAATTTTTTAGAGGAGGAGAGCTATTTCCTCTAGGCTCTCAATATTCAAATATGGGGTTTTGGGTGGCTAGAAGAAATTTTTTGATGTTAATGCTACACTTACCACATTTTTATCCCATATTTCTATACCACATGATGTGGCATGTCCATATCATATGCCACATCAATTAAATGAATGAAGTGTATTTTAATAAATAAAATTAGAAAAACAGAAACTAGTATTTTACATAATGTGGTATGTACACATCAGCTGCCACATCATGTGGTATACAATTGTGGTATAAAAAATGTGGTAAGACTAGTATTACTCTTAGCCCAATATCAGTACGATTAGAATAGCTCAAGTTGGTAGACCTTTAGCATGAGTTCTGCTTCTAATCAAATTGATATAGGTTTGGATTGATGTTTATTATTTCCTATATGCTTCAGGAGGAGTGGGCTTATTTTAAATAGAAGACTGAGCTATTATTTACTTTACTTAGATTGGGCTACAATTAGTTTATTATATTAGCGATTAAAAAAAAAGCAAGTGTGGGCTATATTTATTTGGTGCAGTGGGCTAAATATTTATTGGAGTAGGAATAAGCTTATAAAATTTAAACTATATTTAAGATTTTAGAAATCTTCCTCCAGCCTAGGCATAAGTCCATCCTTGATTAGTACTACATGGATCACCTGTTGTTGAGGAAGGAATTGTTGCATGCTAAGTAGAATTTTCTTACAGTTTCTTGGACAATTCATTTATAGCTTCCATGAAAGTTGTGTATGCTTGATTTGAAGATGCTGCAATGTAAGCCAACTTTGTTTGCTTCTTGTCTCCATCTTGGAAGAATAAAATGGTTAGGTAGTGTATCTATATCAAGGCGGACAAATACTTTCAACAAATGTCGACAAAGTATTCCAGCAAACTGAAAATTTTGGCATTCACACATACCTTTGTATGTTTGCAAATTTAACTTCACCACAAACTCTTCATGCTCTCTAAGTTTTGTTTTCACTAGGTATGCATGATATTCGTCGTCACATGGCATTTCTTCAACTTTGTAAAGATTAACTTTACTCCATTCATCCTTGAACTCGTTCAAAACATTTCTAGTATAGAACTTCGATGCATGTTTCTACAAACTTATTCTTAATATGCCAGAGGCATAACCAATGGCGAGTGTTAGGAAAAATCTTGGCAATTGCTCCTTTCATTGCCAAGTCTTGATCAGTAATAATGGAAACTGAATGACGTCCTCCTATTGCTTCAAGCCATGTCTCCAACAACCACAAAAATTTCACCTCTGTCTCATCTTGTAAAAGTGCGCACATCCAAATTTTATTGATTGCAAATGGTGGTTTACTCCTGTGAATGGTGCAAATGGCATATCATACTTGTTTGTCCTATAGGTTGTGTCAAATGTGACTACATCTCCAAAATAGTGGTATGCCATGTGTGATCGAGCATCCACCCAAACGAAATTAGCTGCCTTTCCATTTTCATCACACTGAATGGCATAAAAAAAAATTGAGGATTCTCTGCTTGCTTCTTCCTAAAGTAAGGACTGATTGTGCATCACCTCCATCCATTTGTCTATGCCATACATTTCTCAAGTGGTTATAACAATCTCTATTGTTAAAACCAATATGTGGGCCACCACGGATTGAAGGAACTTTTGCAATTGGCAAATTTTCCTGATGAAATGTTTCAGTCAAAATTTTAGCTGCTTTTGACATAACCTTATTTGACTTCATTTTCATTCTTCTTTCCAGTGCAACTAGCTTGTGATTGTGAGAATCTTGGAAACTTGAAACTTTTCATTTGCTTGACCATCTATCAAGCTTAATTCGCGTACTTGATTTGCATCGACATTTCACCGTAGAACAATTTTTACCTGTTCTCTTCATGTTCTCAATCTCACTTATGTCTCTCTCATCATTCTATTCTGAAGCCTTTTGTGATGTATTTTTGGGCACGTATTTTGATATAATCATTATTTCATACATTTTTATTAACTTTCTCTTAGATTCTTGCTATGCTCTTGAGTGAGTTTAGTCCATTTTTACTTAGTTTTGTATTTTACTAGGTTTGAAGAGTAAAGATGGAAAAGCAAGCAAAAAGAGAAATTTTGGGATTGAAATATGATGTGCAATCCTAGGAGCAGAATATGCTGTGCAGATCAGACAGCTTCAAGGATTAGACTGTACTTCCTCAGAGCAAACCAGATGTTGATCTTTATATCATTGGAAAGATACGGATGTTAGCTTTCTGTAGAATTTTGCAGTTCATGATTCAGATGTGTGTGGAGAGAGTTGTGGCCGTTTTAGTATAGACAGTTCGGGGAGAATGTATTCTGCGAGTTTTGCATAATAATCCTTTCGAAGTTCAATCCTTGGACTCCAATTTATATCTATTGCATTTGGGAAGTGTCTACAAGGATGTAGGGCTATGTTCTAAGGTCTGATCGTATATTTAGTAGGTTTTGGATGCCAACTCATCAAAGACAATTGAAACCAAACTAGGAAAGTGGAGTTACCAAGTCAAAAGAGGATTTGTTCATTATTTAAAGAAAACAAGAAAATAGGGTTCAGAGATGCTAGAGTTAAGAGTCAAAGAGCCACTGCATTTGTCAAGTTCTTGAGCATCATCACAATTTTATGTTTTCTAGTTTTTCAATTATGTTTTCTTTGAATATGAGTAACTAAATTATTATTTGTGGCGAGGATGATGCCCTAGCATGGATAGTTATGATTTTTAATGTTATTTAATGGATTCTTAGTTTCTTTTAGATGAATGTGTAATCACTATTTTAATTGTTGCTATTTGTTTAAGTTCTTTGATTGATCACCTTAGGGCTTTGCATCTAGTAAATTGGAAGATGAATTTGAGGCAAAACTCACAATATAATTCAATTAGCTTCTTGTGATTAAGTGTGGTGAATTACATTATTGCTTGACGAAGAATAATGGTTTGCTTGGTTCTCTCGTTTTCTAGAACGATGGAACTTAGAAAAACATTATACATATGTTCAGTAGCAAGGCCAAAATTGTCTGTGTGGGGGGCCGAACAATAATAGAAGTATAGAAAAAAAAAAATCAATCTTACATCAATAATATATATATATAAGAAAAAATGGACATTTTAAAGAACTTTGTACTCAATTTCATGTATCAAAATGGAAAATTCTATTGATAAAATCTCATTCCCCTTTAAACTATTTATTTTATATTCCTTTCTTTTTGTTAAACTATTTTCTATTCCCTTGACTCACCAGTTTGATTATTAGAGGATTAATACTTTCCTTTTTTATGTTAGTTGTGTAATGGGCCCACAAACATTTTACATATAATTATAAATGAAGTTATTATGGATTGCAATTTGGGGGCCGTTAGAATGGTTATATGGTTTGCAACACTTTGCATAAATACCACCTGAACTTTCAGGCATGTGCATCATTACAACCTAAACTTTTAATTTTTATTTTTAACCATCTAAACTTTGTAAAGTGTCGCAATCCACCACCTACGTCTAACTCCGTTAAAGTTTCAGTTAAATTTAAGGGTATTTTCGTCAATTAATTATAACTAAGAATAATTATATAAAAAAACAGAATTAAAAATACAAAAAAAAATATATAAAGCTAACCTCCATATCTGGTCCATTTTGATTTTTTGCCTACCTTCTTTTTTTTTTTTTTTTTTCCTCCTTTTTTTTTTTTTTTTTTTTTTTTTTTTTTTTTTTTTTTTCCTGCATTCATTTCATGGCTTGCACTATTTGTTCAAAGGCTTGTCCTTCATTTTAATGGAAGTTTGCATATTAAAAAAAAAAAAAAAAAAATACAATTACTACTCTCTCTCCCTCAATCCAGCAAATTCAAAAAATTTAACATCAAAGCTAGAATTTAAATTTTGTAACTTCATCATGGGTTTTGGGAAGGAATCAATTGCATTCCTAGTACATATAAATATCCCAAAAAGGTCCTAAACATCTGTAATTGACAAACAAGTTCTAGGAATGCCTAAGTTCAAGTACCAACACACCAGTGCATTCTTTATATAGGACATGAGATGCCAAGAGACAGAGATGAATATAGAGTATGGTGTGTGTAGAGGGTGGGTTTTGGGAGGGTGAGTTTTTTTGGTGTGGAGCGAATTGATGTTGGAAAAGTAGGAGTAGGGGTAGGGTGAAGGCACTGTAATTAGGTTAAATTTTTTATTTTGTTAAATCCGTTCTTTTATATAATTATTCTTTGTTATAGTTAATTGACGAAAATACCCTTAAACTTAACAGAAATTTTAACGGAGTTAGACGTAGGTGATGGATTGCAACACTTTACAAAGTTCAGGTGGTTAAAAAGAAAAATTAAAAGTTCAGATGGTAATGACGCACATACCTGAAAGTTCAGGAGGTATTTATGCAAATTTCCCTAATTATAAATGAAGTTATTAAGAATTGCAATTTGGGGGCCATTAGAATGGTTATATAATTTGCATTGTTAAATGTATGAACTAAAGCCCAAGCTTTACTGTGTTGAGAACAAATTGTTAAGGGACCAAGCCACCTTAGGCCCTAGAGTACCTCCCCCCTGCATATGTAAATAAGATTTATATGAAAATGAAGAATATGATTCTCTATGTATTTTAACGCAAAAAAGAAATTATTTAGCTTGTGGAACACCTATATCTTAATGCAAGATGAAATATAATGGAGTAGACTATCATACTGATTTTAAAAAATAATTCTTATGTTAAAAGATTATTTTTTGTTAATTATATAACATTGTATTTATAAAATATATAAAAATTCAGCAATCCTAATTATCTATAGAAAGAGCAACAATAACGATTAAAAACAAAAAACAAAAAGATAAAAATCTCAAATGAAGGTAACCTACCAAATGCACTGAGAGTTAGAGGAAATATCTTGTGTGGAGAAATTGCTTTGACATAAAAGAACTATATTGAAGATGAATTCATGGCTGCATATGCATGTGTGTTAAGACTCCTTACGGTTAAGGCATTTAGTTTTTGGTGAGATTCTTTATTTATTACACTTTAATAAATATTTGATATTAAAGAGACAAGAGAGATAAAGTCTCCAAGAAAAAAAGTTTGAGAGAGAAAACTCTTTTGCTTTACTTTTATGAGAGAGAAAATCAAATTAATGGCCTAAAAACTTGTGTCAAAAACATAGTGCCATGAATCCGTGCAAGCAAAAAACAAGGGAAATCAGACCAAATTAAAAACAAATCCAAAATGATCCTCGACTGCCTTGAATCACCAAAATGATCAAGAATATTGATCCTCGACTGAAAATGGTACCAAACGCTTTTTCTCAAATTTGGACTTCCAAACTCATTTTCTCGTGAGAGAGTTTTCTAATCATTATCTCACAAAATAAAATATTATCGTGTGTAAATCATTGTAAGTATCTCCAATAAATAATTGTATGAATCAAATCGTATCGTCTAAATTCACACCAAAAAGAAGAACAAATTGTCTAATTCTAAAACAAAAATTAAAGCGCATAACAAAACCAAGCATATTCCACTATTCTACCAAGGATCCACGCCGTAATCACAGTCCCTAGACACAATGCTGGCGTCTGCTGTCAGTTTATTGACAGTCAGGTGACAGGCAACCTTTACGGTAATCGTCCACGTCTTAATGGACCCCACTTTAATTCTAACGGGCGCTCTCAGGTCCAAATCTAACGGCACCTTCCCTTGCTTCTGCGCATCCACTAAGCCCTTCTGCACTGCGCTCGTCAGTTCGATCCCGGACCCCGTCAACGCCGTTCGAAACTCCGTTACGTTCTTTGACGGCTGGTAAAACGCTGGCAGAACGCCGTCACACAGTTTGATGTCGGAGTAAAAGAGCTTGACGGAGCTCTCTCTCTCGTAGTAGATCCCGATCTTCTTGTTAGGGTTCTGGGCCCGGACGGTGACGTGGATCTCCGGCGAGATGGCGGACGGCGGGGACGACGTCGTTGTGAGGTTGAAGCCTTTGAACGCGATGCTCTCAACGGAGTAGTTGGGGGCCTCGGGGCGGACGACGAGGTAGAAGATGCCGGCGGCGGCCGCGGAGAGGAAGACGATGGCGGCGAGGAGGCCGAGGAACCAGCAGCAGCAGCAGTGGCAGGAGCTCCGGCGAGGCTTCCGGTGAGTGTAGCTCTGGTAGCGGCTGGCATTCTCCGGAGGCGGGACCCGGTAGACCTGGTCCTTCGGGATCTGGATGACGTAGGTGCCCGGCGGAGGGACGGGCTTCTCGGAGTCTGGCGGGGAGGGCCTTGATAAGGACAACGGCGTCGTTTCGGTGTGAAAGGGCGAGTCGCGCGGGTGGACTCGGTCGGCCATTTGGGGCTGCAGTGAAATTGAAACGAACTACAGAGAGTGAGAGGTGGGCGGAGATTTTTGTCTGACAAATGAAGCAAGCAGGCCAGAGAGAGCGAGGAGAGAGAGTAAGATGAGTTTCGATGTATTTTGGTTTTTATTTATACATACTGAAACCGCGTTCGAAAAGGGTATAAATGGAATTTTAGAAAAATAATTCGCTGATTGAAAAATTTTCGCACACGGACTATACAATTAGGTCAGTAATTATGATTTTTTTTTTTAATTTTAAACGAGGATAATTAAAAATCTTTACCATAAATGCATTTCTAATTCCAAAACGAAGGGAATTAAATTGATTGAGGGACCAACGAATTGCATGATCTGAAAATGGAATTTGAAAACAAAAAGGAATAAAAATTTGGGGAGGACATTCTTTTGAAATACTTATTTATTTATTTATTATTTTAAAAATGCATAGGTTGTGACAGGAAAGCACTAGTATCGTCTACACGTATAATTGAAAAGTGTTTTAGGATTTATAGTTGGGCGCACGTTATAGACAAAACAATTCAAAAATTTCCAGATTTTTCGGTAATTTCTCTTTTCCCAAGTTTAATTGATGACATCTTTTGACAAATATGGGAGAAGGCCAAAAATTAATTGACAAATGAGGTACGCTAAAGACTAGAAAGTTGGCTTAGAGGTGGATGTGCTCTTCATTTTGCACCCGAGTTTGAATCTTCCTCTCCTTTAGGGATGGTAACAGGCCGGGTAGGGGCTAGGTATGGCAATACCATCCCCGTCCCAGATTCCCATCCCCGACCCCGTCCCCTCCCCCATCCCAGTTTAAGCAGTTTCGGAGAATCCCCGTCCCTGTACTAGTCGGGGGCTATCCCCCATCCCCGGTCCGAATTACCTATTTTTAAAATGATCTTTATGTTTCCAAGATAATCTCCCTTCCCATAGTTTAAATTAGTTTAAAGTAGAATATCGTTTGTATAAAAAACAAAAAAATCAGAAAGTGAAAATCATAACATAGCATGAGCTTATTTGTGGTTGGCTATTTCCTTCTTAAAGTAAACGCATGATTGCATAAGTTTGATTCAAGTGTTAATGAAGAACAAAGAAGAAGAAAAAAAGAAATTGAGGAGGAAAAAGAAGTTAAGATGAATGGATGACAAAGGAAATTAGATGTAAGAACAAAATGGGCAAGAAATATATAAACATACTAGTACAAGTATAAAGGAAGGAGATTTACCTGATGAAGAAAGTTGAAAGCCGATAGCTGAATGAGAGAGAGCGAGAGGCAGAGCAAACCAAACTGTATAAGCTATTAGCTATATATAAGGTAGCTCTCAAGTCTTGGATTAGGTAGCTGCAATTGCTGATGATGATGCCTCAGTCTTTACGGAGTATGCCAACTGAACGAGTCTCTGCTTTCCATGTATCTATATATGGAATTTTGAGTCTCTGTATTTAACATCGTGCGTTTAAACGGATTAAAAACAAATTAAAGAAAATTTAATAGTCTGACTGAGTAAGAAGGGTTTGGTTAGGTTAGTTGGGTACAGTTCATTCCTTCTTCTTCATGTCAATTTATTTTAATTATTTATTGTTTTAGTAAACAAAATCCCATCTTAATAATTAGCTTTATCTATGCAAGAAACTGGAGAGAGCGAGAGAGAGAGAGAATGCGTCAACTTTGAAGGAAGTGTTCAAATAAATGTCTTTATCTGCCTCGTCCTCAACTGATTTAGAGTGCGTGTGCAGGCGGGGCACAGGCAGGCTTGCATTGCAGCTGTGAAAGATATTATGGTATCAAAACATTGGGCTAAATGGCAGTTGCCACACGCTTCCTTACCAACACACTCTTTCTTTCTTTCTTTCTTCCTTTCTTTCAGCTTGTTTGCAACCGGTACAACACACGCTTATCTTTTAAGATTGGCTATCTTTCCTACGATATATCCTACTTTCACATCTACAATATAAAAATAATTTCAATGCAAAGGCATTTGTATTCCGTTCACATTTTTGGATGTAAAATTTATAATAGAAGCGTTAGTCTAAATGATTTTAAATTAATATATTGTACATGTAGGGGAATCTAATTTCGGTAGAACGGGGCGAGCGTACTATCCTTGTTGGCAATTGGCCTAACCACATATGCAATAATGTAGTTTTTGCTACAATGGGAAGATGTTAATGTGAAGATGTAAATTTAGATTTTTCACGTAAATTTAAATCCTATTAGATAGGATTTCGTCCCATACGGAACATTGGATCATGAAGTACAAACAATTATATGAAACACTAGTTTCTTATCATGTGTTTGCACAAAATGCGAGATTTCGGCAAGATAAGATTTTATCTCACATCAACTATTGGATCAAATAAAGTAGATTCAATATCATCTCTAAATTCTGGAGAAAAAAATATATATCTTCTCTAAATTGCTCAAAATTCAAGATCTGATATGACAATATTTGATCTCATCTAAAATTGTTGGATGAGATTCTATCATCTCCGGCTCAACACTCTGATTCTTATATGTGATATCATCCAAATTATCTATAAACATCGAAGTTTTCTTAGTCTCTTAACAATTTCTCCATCAAAATCATCCATCTATTATCTGAATATAATTCTCCTCCACTATACTACAATGAGGCAACGAAACTTACTTGACTCCGATTCCAAAGATGAAATGATGGTGGACATGAACGCATTGAGGGATAGCCAAGAAAAATAATCCAGACAAGGCCAGGCGTGGTGGTTTGTCGTCAAGGAGGTATGTACCAAGAGGATTACATTTGTGCCTTATGAAATGTTGTTTTGGTGCCACTCCCACGTTGTTGTCAAAATAAAAGTATAAGTTAGTTCCAAAAAATAATATAAGATATCCAATAAATTAGTAAAATCATTGGATCCACTCTTGCATGGGAAAATTCGTGAACTACTGTTCTTTGGCTGGAAAATGCAGCCACCCCTAATAATCGAGGTGGTGTTTGTGTAAAATTGAAAATCAGCTGCTGACGTCAGCAGCCCGAGGTTTGGTGCCCAGGCTGGTGGGACCCACCATTTGCCTGGGCTGATTGCTGGAGCTCCTTGGGCTCACTAGGGCAGCCTTTTGCCTGGTTTTGGCTTCCGCACTGGACTTGCTCTAATAATCGAGGTGGTGTTTGTGTAAAATTCTCTTTAAAAAAAATTGTAATAAGAAAAGTTATCGAGGCTTTAAGGGACATATGGCGTTGCTGTGCTGTGAAAACAAACTCAAGTACGTCTTGTTTACCCGGCTGGGCAACTAAGACCCAATTGAATTGAGGCCCATAGACAAAGCCCAGAAGAAAAAGAAACAACAAAACAAAAACAAAAGGCCACTGAAATTAGAGACAGATACGATTAGAAACAGTGCAGTTTTCTCTCTCTAACAATGGTTGATCTGATGCAGTACGCAGCAGAGTCAGAGTGAGCAATTGGTAAGGCGATGAGAGTGTGCAGCGGATGGCGTCGTTTCCTCATCTTTCTCCCTCTTATTTTCATTCTTCCTCACTTCTTCTCCGGTGAGCCTTCTGTTCTCTTTCTACTTTTTTTTATTATATTTATTTTCCCTTATTTGAGGCTAAACTCTGAAGAAACAACATTCAAATTCACAATTGAAGTTTAAATTTCAGTCAAGCAATTGCATTATAACTCTAATGTGGAAGATTTGCCCAAGAAGAAACAAGGCAACAAATCCAATCACTTGGTTCTTGGACCTGCTGCTGGTCAAGGCTTGAGAAATCGCCTCCAATGCCAAGGTTATTCAATTTCTTTATCAAAATAAATCAAATCAGATTCTTTTGTTCATATAATTTGATTAGATCGGATTTGGGTTTCGGTTTGTGTGGTTGTGTTGTTTACCAATGGTTTTTTCATCCGGCCAGGCATCAAAGCTCTCAACCAAACCCATTCTTCAGCCTCTTCCCATGTGTCCAGTGGGGTTGATGACATTGCCTTTGTCACTGTCTTCACCATATACAACTCCACCGTTAATGGGCTCGCCGAGGATCAATTGTCACACTTGGTTACCGTTGGGAATGCTTCTTATACTAAAGTGGAGAGATCAATGGCCATCTTGAATGTCTTCATTAACTTCATTCAGGTAATCGTTAAATAGAACATAATGGATTAGTTGCTCAATGTCCATTGTTTTTCTAACACTTAACAAGTACCATTGTGATTTATCATGTCTTTGCTAATTTCTAAAAGATCTTGGGGTACATGTTTGAGGTTTTGTGAGCTCAATATTGATATAGTGAAATTGCAACTGATGGAACGCGGATTTTCTAACGTGGTTTAAACAGAATATGTAGAAAATTGTATTAATCTCCCATGGCAATTCCACAATAAGGAGTGTGTTTTGTTCCCTATTTAAACCAAGGAATGACTGTAATTGAATGGTTCTATATTAGGATGTGCAGACTTTTTAGAATGGTAGGAAAAATTAGGGGTTTTTATTATCAGCAGACTTTGTAGTTTGGATTTCGTATGATACAGATACTTGGTTAGAAGGAAGTCAATATGCTAATTTGTAAACATTTTAGTGTATGCTGTTGAAATTTTATTTATCATTATGAATTCCCAAATTCATTTCTGTAGTTCATACTTGCAGGTATCAATGCCTCGGAGCAATGTAGTCATTCTTACTGACCCAGAATCTGATCTTTCAATGCACAGAAATGGGGTCACTGTACATCCAATTCAAGGTGAATATTCACGTGACCAGTTGATGCTTCAAAGAATCAGGTCTTACATTGTAAGAGCAAGTTATATTAATAACAAGTAGAAAAATCTCTTGTTTATCAGTAGCTATGCTTCTCAGAAATATTAGTTTATTTCATTAGTTAAGACCTCTCCTTTTTAAGGTAAGGGGTGCTTTAACATGAAATTGTTCCCATGTGTAATAGTGTATTTATCCGTCATCAGAAAAATGCTTTATTATGATGTTTGTTTCGGATTTCTGTGATTCAGACCTTCCTAGAAACAAAGCTGGAGGAGCTTTCTCAGAAGCAGGGGCATAATCGTCATTATATATTCACTGACTCGGATATAGCTGTGGTTGATGATCTAGGATACATTTTTCGTGAGTACCCGAATTTTCATCTGGCACTCACGTTCCGAAACAACAAAGCTCAACCTCTGAATTCAGGGTTTATAGCAGTGAGGGGTACTTCCGATGGCATTTTAAGGTGCATTTATCACATTATCTGGTTTTCTTTTTCATGTTAGCTCGGTTGGTTTGCAACAGAAGAGATATTTAACTGAAAGTTAATGGTTACTGTTTACCAGAAAACATAAATGCGGTGTTTTTTCTGGATCATTTTCCACATCTCACATACTGTATCGATGCAGGGCGAAGATTTTTCTACAAGAAGTACTAAAAGTTTATGGATCAAGGTACATGAGAGCTTCTAGAATGCTTGGGGATCAGCTAGCTCTTGCCTGGGTGGTGAAGTCACACCCATCTTTTGATGCAAAGAAATTTACCAAAGCCCAAGTTTTCATAGAGGATATTGGCGATGCTTCAGTGTTGTTTTTACCCTGTGCTCTATACAATTGGACACCACCAGAGGGCGCAGGTCAATTTCATGGCATGCCCTTGGATGTTAAGGTATGCTGCAACTGTCCAAAACACACCACCTGTTGAATAGAAACAAATATGATACTCAATTGTGGTTATTTGTAAAATTCTTCTGAGTCCCTTCTATGATATATATCCTGGATATAGGTTGTTCATTTCAAAGGATCAAGGAAACGCCTGATGCTCGAGTCTTGGAACTTCTACAATTCCTTTTCTGACATTTCAGATATGTTGTGCCTGATACTAAAGAGTGGGAGAACAAAGTACGATTTCTGACCCACATGATTTGGTTTAGTGCATATAAGTTACATACTACAAAGTTGATCGGGACCTGCTGATTTCATGTGAGGAGAGAAGGATACTATTTGATGATTTTGAAACTGGAGATGTAGAGTAACTAGTCTTCTAGTCACCTTGGACACATGAATTACATATTACAGATTTGATTGGGGACCTTCCGATTTCATTCACAGAAGGTAGAAAACTATTTAAAGATATTGAAAATTGGAAATATAAAGTAACTAGTTTTCTGGTCGCCTTGGGCTCTTTTGGTTGCTCAAATGGTGTTTCTGTTTCAGGGGTACAGCAAAGTTTGTTTTTGTGCTGAGTAAATGAGCTAACTCTTCTAAGGTGTTCTTCCATACTAGACACAGATTTGGTATTGCTGGATGGATTTAGTAGTGAAGAATGACTGACTAGCTTCTTTTTGTATCTTGTAAAACTTTCTTCTTTGAATTTTTTTCATTTTTTTAATGGGGAGAAGGTAAGTTAGTATTGTAGAACTTTTGGGTTTACTTTAACAAGTAATTGTTTGATGCCACCGTAAGGGATTTTATTCCTCAAAGTGGTTAAAAAAGTTTTTTCCAAATTTAGCCCCTTGCTTTTCTTGGGTTGGGAGAGGAATTGAGTTAAAATTTAGGATTTTTTGAGTTTGGCCTCATAAATTGGAGATTGCCCAATCGATGTAAGAAGCTAAGCCAATCCATAATGTCGCATGGAAAAGTTGGGTGTTATATATTAAAAAGAAGAAAAAAAACTGATTATGCTGGACCGGTTCGGTTTAGCTAAACTGCCAGTTTTAAAACCGAGAACTGAAATCAGTTCAGCCAATTCAATTTGATTTTTGTTACCAAAATTTGAAAATAGAAAATAGACCCACACCAAACCAAAACGGCTCAGTCGGGTCGGGTTCAATCAGTTTGGCAGTTTAAAATGTCTCGCAAAATGTTGGACAAAGCTTCCGTGAGATGTAAAAGCTAACCTTGTCGAACATCTTTCTACTAATTGAGCTTATATTTTCTTAGATATCCAAAAAATAAAATAAAAGAATTGGAAATTCTGATGTCCGTAAATTTGAAAACACATTATATCCACGTACAGTATTTCCATAAATTTGGGTGCAGAAAAAAGCTTGGCAGATTGAGAAATCTCAGTTATGAAGATCTAAAATTAATACCACACGAATGCCAGTATGAAAATCATACCCTAGAGTAGGGTCAACAAATATTATTCACCCCACATATAAACAATGAACTTATTTTCCTCTGAACTGTACCACTACCTGTTTGGCTTTGTCAATTACAGGATCAGTTGACAAACAATTAGTAGATTACACAAAAATGAAAAAAGAATCGATGTATGGTGTTAGTACCAATGACTACGGTTAGAGCATTTGTTGTACCTGGGGTGCCCTTTAGTTCACTATACCTGAAATCTCTTCAAATACAGTTTTGATGTCGGGTCTTTCCGATGCTGGTTGGATACATCTTAGAGCTACCTGTAGCATTCCATCAAGAACTCTGGGGGAGTGCTTAACGCTACGCTTTTCCAGAATCACTCTGTCAATGCATTCAAAAGAACGATTTTCTTCTGCCAATAGTCTCACCCAGTCTGTCAAATCAACCACACCAGGTATGCCAGACACAATCTCCCCGGAACTCTTTCCAGTCAAGAGCTCCAACAAGATCACCCCGAACGCATAGACATCACTCTTCAAGGATGGGCAGGGTTTACTTGAGCTAGCAAATTCAGGGGGCCGATAGCCAAGAGCACCTGCATTCAATACTTGCTCAGTAGTGCCAGCCGGAGTCAAAATTCGGTGGAGACTGTAATCTGTGAGGACTGCGTTCAGACTAGGAGTTTCTAATAAAATATTTGTGGATTTGAGGTTGCCATGGGGAATTGCCTTCTCATTATGTAGGAAGTTCAGACATCGGGCAACATCTACAGAAATTCTGAGCCGTTCCTCAAGAGACAGGGGTGAAAGTTTTCTTGGCTCAACTTCTGTAGACGACTCAGAAAGATTCAGAAAACTCATGTCAGATGCAGGAATAAAACTAGAAAAAGATTTTAAAAACATATGCAAAATATTAGAAGGGTGTTGCCGATGTCACCCATAAATTGTCCAATTAAAGTGATGGATTTATTACAGGAAAGTTGGTAGGGGCCAACTGATAATACAAACTCCAATACGATCTGTTTCATGCATTTTAAGCTATTAATGGCAGATGTTAACTCGCTAAAGCTTTAGGAATATATTTCTTATGGATGCAAAAAAAAATTTGCCTTCATAATAATAGTTTATTAAAAGACAAGGTAAGACGGGTCATGCATTTTAACAATAATTCAAGACCAAGACATTTGTTAAAAAAATAAATTACAGAAACCACACAACGCATTTGGTGAAATACTACTATAAACAGTAACAAAAGTTGTCTCCTACTTTAAAAGCACAACAATTTCCCATTAATGAACACCTGATACAACTTAGCATAAACTGCCATCCTAACCTAACAGGTTGTAAATTTAAAGTAGAATAGCACATAGTAAAAGACATCAATTTCAATAAAATAAATCTAGTTCATTTAAAATACACTGGCCTCTCTTTGGACAATTTTCAGTATTGGTTACAGGTTTTAGTAGGCTTGGATGTTGCCCCAGGTTCTGTCAGCCAGACTGAAGTTCTGGCACACAATTAATATTCTCTAACAAATAATTACAAAGTAAATTTTGTAAAAGGATATTCAAGGGATGATTAAAAGGAAATTTTTCATTGCAACTCCATCCCAAAATTACAAAGTAAAAACTGTGACTTTCTTTATAACAAAATGAATCCAGATCAATTCAGTTTAGTGCTACACATTAAAAATAAAATGCTTCAAACTCAAACTTCCCTAGGGGTTTACTAAAGATACATGAACCTCCTTTACACCAAGCTCTCTTGTTTAACTATTTAAAGTTTTTCTGCAGAGTCATCTTCGACCTAATTCCCAAATCCTATTATTCAAAAAAGAAAAAAAAAATTCCTGTTGATCTATTTACCATTCATCAGTCCTGAAAACCAGTCAAACTGGATTCCGAGTGTACTTGTTATCTTATACAGTAGAATACTTTTGTTACCTACAGACCACTGGTAAACAAGTAAAAATAGTGAATTGTAGAATGACCAAATGGATCCAGATCATTTTACCTTGTCACAGAGTAAGAGCAGCATAAAGCTCATTCAAACCTCCTTAGAGGTCATGGACATCACTCCTATTTTTAGAAATTTATACCAAGCCCTCTGGTTTAACTACTAATAGATTTTCTGCACTGTTATGATCTACCTAACTCATCATAAATCTCATTGGGTTCCAAAAGTTTCACATATGAATCATTAATACTCTCAAAATTAACATAAAATTGAAACCTCTATATCTAGTAAAGACACATTAAAATAAATATCATGCAGATTTTTTTTTGTTTTTTTAGGAGAGAGAATTGCTGGTAAAATCAAGGTGTACACAAGGAACAATATTACACTCTCAGCATTTTAGATATATGTGGGAGCTTCACCAAGACCAGAAAACAAAAATAATCTGAAGTATTGGCGATTTTGGCGAGACAAACTTTTCCAAAAACCAGAGGTGGCATGCATATGAAATGCGGTTGTAAGTTATCCAATCTTTTTAGCTCAGATTTTCTGTATGGGTCAGAATCATCAGATAATGGGCTCAGCTTGGCTTGGCAATTTCATTTTGCTGAGATTTTAATGGAAATAATATTCGGGAGATTCTTATTTCAAATCCTAAAATGAAGGATAACAGTCTTACCATGGAGATGGAATGCCAACGATTGTGCATTAATATAAGTTGATATAATCAGTTTCTCATGCTCCTTTGGGCCCCAGTAGTAACCGAGCAGAGAAACTAGATTCGGATGTCTGATGGTTCCTAGTTTCTTTACTTCTCTTGCAAATTCTTTCCTTCCTTTTGCTATACCCTCCCTTAGCCATTTCACAGCCAATACATGACCTGAGTCAAGCATAGCTTTGTACATTGTTCCATGACAACTCCTTCCAATAGCTTCTGCAGGAGCACATGAAAGTTCTTCTGCTGTGAACACCAAGGCGCCATCAAACAGATGTAAATCACCAGCCAATTTATCTGGAGAACAAGTTTTGAGCACATCAGGACTCTCAAGTGGTTGTTGATTTTTAGAAGGTGATAGATTTGATGATGATAAGAGAGACATAGGAGCAGATGTCCCTTCCTCTTTTTTTGTTGACTCCGGATGACCCAAATTCTTAGGTTTCTTTAGAACTGATGAAGTATCACAGGCATCATGAGGATACCTCGTTTGGGATGATGGTAAAAGATCTTGAGAAGACATTGAGCCGTCTACACTTTTTTCAGGTACCGATCTATGAGAGAGGGCAGAGCCTCCTTGTTCGACAGCTTTCTTCCCAGAATTTTCTTTCGAACTTGTACATTCCTGCCAATGAGCCCTGTAATAGATCATCATACATGAAAGAGCTATAACAGCAGCACCACCAACCAAACCTGCTATGAGGGAAATTCTAATAGCAGCTTTCTTAAGGGGCCTGTGCTCCCTAGAAGTATTATTGAGGACACCCTTTGGTGATGATAGGGAATGGGGAAATGTTAGCAAAGAGTTCCCCGGATAAAATGCGGAATCAGGAAACTGCCGTAAATTTTCAGGTACAACACCGGAAAGATGATTGAAAGACACGTTAAATCCTTTTAGTTGATCTGGAAAGTCTTCAGGAATGCTACCATCAAAATTGTTCTTAGATAGGTTGAGATATACCAAGTTATGAAACTCACTGATCTCTGCGGGCAAATGACCACTCAATGAGTTATTAGACAGATCTATAAATACCAGGCTCAGATTTTGAGCGGAACTGTTTGAAGGATGACTTGAGATTTCCTGGACAGGTATTGACCCGGAGAAATTGTTGCCTGACAAGTTAAGATCAGTCAATTTAGTTGACGAGAAAAAGCCAGGAAGAAGGAATCCTTGTAGCCGGTTGAGGCTAAGATCAATCACTTTTAGCTCTGGGTATGTACCCAATACTGGTGGAAGAGCACCCTCTAATGAGTTGTTGGATATCTTAAATGAGGTTAGCCTAAAAAATTGAGATGTTTCATTAGGCAAGCTTCCTGTCAAGGAATTGGAACTTAGCTGGATAACTTCAATGTAATTTCCCCAACTTCGGATTCGGGACAAGTTACCTGTGAGCATATTATTACTCAGATCTATGATGGCACAGTGCCCAACCACGGCAGGTAAGGAGCCTGACAATTTGTTCGAAGAAATATTAAGCTTCTTCAGAGTTGCAGAGGTGATGCTTCCTACTGGACCTGTCATGAAGGCAAACAGTATAACTGTATAGAGGAAAGGGAGGAGGAAAACAGGAGTAAATAAATGAAATTGTAAATTTGAAGATGATATGATGACTTTTAAAAACTGCAGACCTCAAGCAATAACACACGAAATATCATGCAAAAGAGAAATTCCGCATACTGAAAAGATGGACGGGCCACTGCCCTCACTGTAGCATTTATACTAAAACTGATTCTTAAAATGATTATGATTGTCCACTCATAATTACATGTACATAAAAAAGACAATGCATTTGTTAAGCTTGTTCTTGCTCACACCTTCCCCCAACTTAAATCTCTGTCTGACCAAGATGAAAATTTAGTCCCCACTACTGGCCATAGAAACTTAAATCTGCACGCACTGTTTCTGATGGTTCATGAAGAACTTCGCATCATGGTTTTACATGAAGATGCTAATGTAAGCATGCCAACATTGTCATCCAACATATTTTTATGTGATAATGTCATTAGAGATGAATCGCGTAAAGCAATAGCATTTCTATTACAGAGAGAAAAATAACTAAATAAAAGGTCATTCTTTGATGCGATCGTAAGTCAGTTATTTCCACTTCATTTATTTTCAATTTCCAAGTCTGAAAAAAGAAATTTCCAAACAGGACTATCAATTTTCATACACAATTTGAAATATGAAAGGAAAGAAAGTACTTTTACATATCCTCTACAAAAACAAAAAAAAAAAAAAAAAAAAAGTTGTGTGCCAAAGTTAAGTGTAGAAAACTGTTAGAATCAACGTACCTTCAAGTTTGTTAAGACTAAGATCCAGTTCGGACAAGAGCATTGAGCTCTCTTGCAATAGAGCTTCCGGTAGAGAACCAGAGAGCTGGTTGCTTCCAAGCCGAAGTGTGCGCAGAGAGAAAACAAAATTGAAGGAAGGTATAGGACCCACTAACTGATTATAACTAGCATCAAATGTCTCCAAACTATCAAAATATGGCATCCCATCGTGAGGAAAAAGCTCTCCAACCAAGGAATTGTGGCTAACATTCAAATATTGAATAGATGAAACAAGAGAGGAGTTACCACGTCCCAAATCCAACGAACCAGAAAACCGATTGCTGCTCAGATCAACATGGACCAAGCTACCCATTTTGGGTAGAAAATTCATAATGTCTCCAGAAAAGACATTAGCTCGAGCATCTATATACCTCAACCGTTCAAGTTTGCCTAAACCAGTGGGAAAAATGCCTTCAAATTGGTTTGAAGAAAGATTCAAACGCACTAAACTCTTTAAGTTGACCAAAGCAGAGGGTATTAACCCATGAAACAAATTGCATGAGAGATCCAAATATTCCAGGGACTCGAATAAACCAACCTTTGAGATGGTCCCCGTCAGCTGGTTGTTTGAAACCGACAAATTGCGAAGCATTTTAAGACCAGTAATGGCTGAAAAGCTGAACTCACCAACCAGTCCAGCATCATTTACAGTGATTGATGTCACACGGCCATTGCTACACGATATCCCGACCCAATTCAGGGGGCAGCCATCAGAGTCCACGGACTTCGAATCCCATGAAACAAGAACTTTCCCAGTAGGGTCTTTCTGAATGCCTTTTCTGAGCTCTAAGAGTGCTCCCAGATCTGACTGTCCTGATGCAATTACTACTAACAGCAGAAATAATATCAAACTGATTGTCTGCATTACTCCTTGAACAGCCCCAAGCCCCAAAACTTGAGGGAAAAGAAAGGAATGAGAATTTACCAAGTTACAAGACAAAGATATTTACTCTTCTTAGAAGTATGAAAGGAAGGAAGAGTTCAAGAATTGGTGCAAATTTAAATTCAAGTGGCAACTATTTGGATACAAAGATATGGATTTTACAAGAAAGACAAGTAGCAATAAGTAATAGGAGAGAGAGAGAGAGAGAGAGAGAGAGAGAGAGGAGAGAGAGAGAGAGAGAGAGAGAGAGTTCAATAAAATCAGTCAACAATGGAAACTGAGAATTGAAGAAGCCTACTTAATTTATTTCCCAACAGCTCCACAATGGCCATGATAATGAACCCTCTGTCACAAATCCCAACCAAATCAAGCGAATCTCAAAATGTAGCAACAAAACCATACTCAACATTTACAGAAAATGCGAAGAATGCAATAATGCCTAGAAAACAGACAGCTCCAAGAATGAGCAGCTCTGCATGATTAAGAACACTACAAGTAGAACAACAACAACAACAACAAGAGTTCAGAGTGCTAAGAATCTAGGGTTGTTGTTTGGGAAAGAATTTTGTAATTATTGGAATCTGGGCTACTTTTGGGCCTGGGTTTGATGAGCTAGCCTCGCATTCTTTTGGGCCATATCTAATGGAAGTGTTCTTCTTCAGCCGGAAAGAAAAGAGAAAAGTCCACGCAGTTAGAAAATTCAGAAGAGGAAGAGGAGGATGTAGGTGGTGGTGCGGTGTTTGTATTATCTGAGGAAAGCCAGATAGAGAGACAGCTGCTTCACTTTTCCGAAGGCATTAGTGTTAGTTGGAAACAATATACAATTCATTGGGCTTAGTGCCTTCACTTCCTCACTCACTCAAAGTGAGTGTGATGGTTTGACCTCGGCTCTGTCTTTCACCCACTATTCTTTTTATAATTGTGATTTTTATTGTAGATCTAGTGAGCAAAAACATTTACATAAGAGCATCTCCAAGTCAAAGGGTCTTATTCATTGAAAAAATGTCTTCATTTGCAGATAAGTGGTGTTAGGTTTGAATTTCCATAGCATCTTGGTAAGCCAATATAGTCTAGCCTAATGGAAAAGAACATTGACTTGTTTTGTACCATATTTGACCGGCCTCTCATGCTATGACATGTGAAAAAGATCTGACACCAAGCAGGGCCAAGTAGCCCACGCTGGCTAGCCCAGCCTTATAATCGGTAAGTGCCCTCGGCACCTACGACTGATTCCACGCTAGTCGGCCCAATCGTGTAGGCCCACAACCCCCTGCCGATTCAACCTCCTAGAAGGTATCTTGCAGGAATCTATCTGGTTCCTCACTGGTATATTAGTTGGGACACGTGGCAGCCTCACATCGAAACTTCACACCAAGAGGACACATGAATATTGTTGGATGTAAATAGGTTTATAAAGTGAAGTGCAAGGCTTATAGTTCCAAGGAACTTCATTAGGCCTACTTGGTTTCCGAGAGGGCTAATCAACAAGAATGGGGTATACTATGATGAGAGCTACAGTCCCGTTGTCAAATCAGCTACCATCCGAACCCTTATTGCTTTAGCTGTTTCAAGGATTGGCCTCTTTAACAATTAGATGTCTGCAATGCCTTTTTAAATGGCATCCTATAGGAAGAAGTCTATATGAAACAATCCCCTAGCTTCACTTATCCTTCCTGACCTAAGTATGTGTACAAACTTCATACGGCTCTATATGGCCTTAATCAAGCTCCCTGAGCTCTCTGTTTTTATTTACTTATTGAAGGATTCTTTCACAACTATTTAGATGCTTCTCTTTTCATTTGCGACGCCTAGGATTCCTTGGTTTTTGTCCTTATTTATGTTGATGATATTATTGACACAGGTCACCGAGCTCATTAAATATCAACTTTCATTTATCTTCTTTGCTCCAAGTTTGATAATCGTCGGATGGGTGACATTAGCTATTTTATTGGCATGGAGATTCATCGTACTCCGATTGCCATCTCATTATCTCAGGCTCATTATGCCCTGGATCTTTTGAAGAAATTTCATATGTGGTCTTGTAAGCCTAATCCCACGCCCTTGACTTCTAACAATCGTCTCTCCTTTCTTAATGGTGATCCTTTGCAGGATGCTACTACTTATCGAAGTATGGTTGGTGAGTTATAATATTTGACCTTGTCTCGTCCGGACATTTCCTATGTAGTCAATCAGGTTTGCCAATTTATGCATGCTCCTCACACCACTCATCTTCAAAGTCTTAAACGAATTTTTCGTTATATTGAAGGCACTCTTAAGCATGGGCTTCTTTTCCTTCGGACTCATAATCTATCTCTTTCCAGATTTTTCGACTCGTATTAAGCTGGTTCTATTGATGATCGTCGGTCTACTATTGGTGCTTGCATTTTTCTTGGCCCTAATTCTTGCTTGGACAACCTAGAAGCAATCCACTATTTCTCATTCTAGCACTGAAGCGGAGTACCGTGCTTTAGGTACTACACATGTTGAGATTCAATGATTCTATTACTAGTTTCGTGGGCTTGAAATTCATCTTTGTGCATCATCTTACATCTTTGTTGATAATATGTTCGCACTTCATATTGCTGCTAATCCTATTTTTCATGTTCAGACACATCACATTGAAATTGATTATCACTTTGTTCGTGAGTTACTTACTCAAGGAGTTCTTCGCACTCGTTATATTTCGTCTACTAATCAATTGGTTGACATCTTCACTAAAGGCCTAACCCATGATCCTTTTTATTTTCTTGTTCCTAAGCTTCAGCTCCACTACGTTTCGTCTTGCTTGGATGAGGGAGTCAATAGACTAATTTGACCCCTGCATCAATTTCTCCACAACCATTGATGTCTCACTCAAATCATGCATTGACATATCACCATTTAGAGAATTCTAATGGGCAATTTATTTTATAATAATTATAATCATAATGTTTTTTGTACCACATTTATTGACCACATTAAAGATCACCTCTCTAATAAAGAAGGTGAGCAGTGTATGTGGGACCGATCTGTATTAGAGAGGTGATCAACAATATGATCAATAAATGGGGTCCAAATAGTACCACCATTATAATAGTTGTAATATTATTTGTATTGATAGCCTAACATATTTGGATTAATAGTCTAGGTTGTTCTTTACCTAGGCTTGTGCAAAAGTCCACTCTAGCTTGTATGTGTTGAATGAAAATCAACAACAAAAACTAACGTGTTGGGTCCTTTCGAAAAGAGAGCAAGAGGAAAAACCCTAGGGTTAGGTTTTCTAGCCACCGTCCCCTTTAAGGGTTGGCGGCCTCCTTCTCCCCCCCTTCATTTTCCTTCCCTCACCTTTTGTTTTCTCCCACTCTCCTTTTACTCACCCCTCTCCCTTTTTGCTTTGTTTTTTTTTTTTTTTTTTTTTTTTCTTTTTCTGGTTGGAGGTCTCCAGATTTGTTGTTGGTGTTTCTTTCTGTCTTCCGACTCTTTGCATACTCAACAACTCTTGTGATGTCCAAAGAACTATGGTTTTTCTCATATGAGGTTTTCTTTAACAAATTTTGGGATGAGTTAGTGTGCTTTTGTGGGGTCCTACTTTGTTGCCTCCTCTGTGTTCTCTTCTTAGTGTCTTCTCGTATCTCTGACCCTTGGCATGCTGAACAACTCTTGGGATGATGTACAAAGGACTATGATTGTTCTTATAGAAGGCATCCTTTGACAGTTTGGGATGTGTTGGTGTGCTCTTCTGCAGGGTCTCTTATGTTGATTTTTCAGTAGTGTGGTAGTTGATTCTATTTATTGTAGTGGTCTTTGTTTTATTTTGTTTTGGACTCTTCTATTAGTTTGTAGCATGTGTGGCACTCTTTCCTACCCTAGGATGTTTTCCACGTGATTTTCTTAAGAATGTTTTAATGAGGCCACTATTCTCATGCTGATCTTTGTATGAAACTATTGGATTATGAATGAAATCCCTTTTTCTCAAAAAAAAAAATTAAAGGAATGAAAATTATCAAGCTTTTCTGCCATCAACCCTAAAATGCCTAAAATTCTTCAGTTTGGGGCCTAATTGTATAACTAAATATTATCTACTACTTTGCTTATAAACCTTCAAAATAAATTATTTTTTAAAGAAAAACCCCCAAAGACTTTTACAACAAACCGTCATATGAGATTTTTCTTAATTATTGTGGGAATCGGAAACTCTTCTAATAAAAATAGGCTTATTTACTGTTTCACTTCCTAGAACTCAAGCTCACTCTTACTTAACCCAATCGCACCCCACCCTTTCCCCTCTCTCTCTCTCTCTCTCTCTCTCCTCTCTCTCTCTCTCCCTCTCTCTCTCTCTCTCTCTCTCTCTCACATCCCCTCCCCAAACCCAATCCCTAGCGCACCTACATCGCAACCCACCCCTCATCTCCCTTTGCCTCTCTCTTCTCTCCCTTCCCCAACCCCCATCACAACCCACCTTTTCCCATCTTCTTTCTTTTTTGTGTCTCTTTCTCTTACTCTCACTCTCTCTACGGAGAGAGAAGATGATGAGGAGTGGCTATTGAGGAGTTTTTAAAAAAATTTCGAGTGGTGGTGGTTTAGGTGTGTTGAGTAATTCCATGGAGGGTTAGATTTGGGGTGGGGGTTGGGTCTGGGGTGAGGAGAGAAAAGATAGGCAGAGAGAGTGAGAGTGAGAGAGGTAGAGGGAGGGAAGGGGTGGGGTGCGCTGGGGGTTGGGTTTGGGTTTGGGAAGGGGATGGGAGAGAAGAGAGAGAAGATAAAAGAGAGAATAAGAGGATGGGGTGGGGTGGTTGGGTTGCGGACGAGAGAGAGAGAGAGAGAGAGAGAGAGAGAGAGAGAGAGAGAGGAGAGAGAGAGAGAAAAGTCATTTAAAGGGAAAATGAGATCGCTTGGAGGGGAGAGGGTAACATTTGAGATGGAGTGGGAGAATAGGGGGTAAAGTGAGGAAATTTGAGTTTCAGGTGGTTAAGTGAGAGCGAACTCGAGTTCTAAGGTGTGAA